CGGCCTCCTCCAGCGTCGCGCCCGCGCGGCCATTCAAGCACGCCAAGTCGCCTGCACCCCAGGCGGCCTCCTCCAGCGTCGCGCCCGCGCGGCCAGTCAAGCTCGCCGAGCCGCCTGCACCCCAGGCGAGCGCAGCCTCTTCGCACGTCGCGCTCGCGCGGCCAGTCAAGCTCGCCGACTTGCCTGCTCCCCAGGCGAGCGCGGCCTCCTCCAGCGTCGCGCCCGCGCAGCCAGTCAAGGCAGTCTCGCCGCGGAAGCGCGCAACAGCCTTGGCCTCGACGTCGCATCTGACGCCGGCGCGGACACCCGAGGAGGAGCAGAAAGTCCAGGCCAGCAGAGAGGCGTGGAGAGTCTTTGTGGAGTGGCGCCAGGCCCAGGCGGAGGCGTTGAGAGTTGCGGAGGGGAAAGAGGAGGAGAGGAACGAGAAGAGGCGCAAAGATCAAGCGGAGCAGCCGAAGCTGATGAGCAGATACGAGGAGCAGGAGATCGCCCGCGAGCGTCGCAAGAAGTTGAGGGCGGAGCGTGATGAGGCAGATGCGTTTCGGTACGAGGAGCTGGAGAGGATGGAGCGGGAGCGAGAGCAGAGGTTGAAGAACCTAGCGGACGCGGAGACGAGACAGATCAACGAGGCTGAGCGCAGAGACGCGGCTGCGCTTGCCGCAGAGCACTGCCTGGCGCTCGACGCCGTCAAGAAGGCCACCGACGAGCACAAGGCTGCTGGAGACGCGCAGCAAGACGACGGAAGAGTCGACTTCGACGAGCCTCCCGCACGCACCGCACAATATCTCGCGCTCGCCGCACGTCGACTCGCGATCATCACCGCCCAGACTGAGTGGAAGAAGCACAGCCGGATGATGAGGCGGATGACGGACGAGTACTACTGGCACGCATACAAAGACAAGCCTCAGAAGCTGCGCGCTCGCGTCGTGCGCATGTGCGGCCACCTTCGCATCCTCGCGCAACCCTTTGTCTACTCTGCGCAAAGCGACACTCTCATCGCACCCCTCATCTTGCTCGACGACAGGCTGGCCGAGACGAGGCTCACCCAGGCCTACAACTGCGTCATCAAGATGTGCGTGATGCAGCAAGATCGTCCGTGGCCGTGCTTCAGCGACGAGCTTGTGCGCCTCTTCGGTCTGCGATCGCTCTTCCCAGTCGAGGATGGCTCGCTGCCGCCGGACCTCGACGGCGACGCGCAAGACAAAGTCGCTCTTGCGGTCGAAAAGCTGGAGAGCGTTCTGCCGTACCCGGTGGACGCATCTGCCTTCTCCGACAACGATGCGATGCGCAGCGCGATGCGCCTACTGAAGCCGCTTCAGAGGCAGGCACGCATGCTGCACGCTATGCTCGAAGAGCAGAGCCAGAGCCCTGCTGGCAGCGAAGCCGCCCGCGTCATCCTTGCAGGGCCGCTGCGCGACGCTGCCCTCAAGGTGGAGAAGGAGATCGGCCAGCTGCAGCAGCCGTCCCTGCCCGCCCTCTGCCTGCTTGCCGCCCGCTGGTCGAAGCCGCTTGCGTGCGCTCTCCCGATTCCCCTTGCCGAGCGCAGCGAGCACTCGGGCGTCTTTTCGCTCGCTGCGGCTGCCAACGCACCAGCTTCCGCCGACCGTTCCGACCTCGACAACGCCGCTCTCCCCGGCCATCTCTTGCATCTCTTCGCGGCCGCCGCCAACCGCGTGGACGAGAAGCTCGCGATGGCGGTGTGCCAGCTGATCAAGAGCTGCGACACACACTTCCCGCTCGTTACGCACATTCTGCACCCAGATGGGCAATCGTTTGGAGGAGGCTTTGCCCTCTGGGCTCTGTCGCGCAACATCTCGCGATTCCTCGCCTTGTCACCTCGTGCGCTCCGCGGCCCGCTGCTCGACCTGCTGTTCTCCGTGATCTGTGTCTCAATCACGGCCCGCGCGGGTCTTTCTGGGCTTCTGATCGACGCAGGCCTCACTGTCCTCCGTCCGCTCCTCGACGCAGCGGGGCACGTTTTCCTCACTGGGCAGCTCCGCAGCGACCTGAAAGGCGTCGAGGCCATACTCGTCACCCACCACGTCGTTCGCGACGGCCACGTCGTCAAGCACCGTAACGTCGGGCGCTTCGGCCACTTCTACCGCGACGGCAACAGCTACCACAACCGTCCCCTCGCAGACGAGCCGACCGACTTCTACAGCTACGTGCTTTCTGTGCAGACCAATCGCTGCGCGTGCTGCAGCCAGGCGCTCCCTCATTCCAACGAGCAGATCGGCACATCGCGCGCGTCACACGACTTTGTGTCTGTGCGCACTGATCACATTCGTGGCTGCGTGCTCTCTCCCACGACGACATTGGCGACTCGCTGCGCGCAAGCCCCGTTTGGCGCTCCATGCGATCCTGGCAAGGGCTGCCTTGGCGCGATTTGCGTGGGCCGCATCACGGACGACGAGGCTGATGCTTCCTGGCGTTTCGCATCGCATCCGTGCTATCAATTTTTGATGATGGGCGTCTTCACTCCGGACATCGCCGAGCTCATCGCGTACAACACGCATCTCATCCACGCCGACGAGCGAAAGGCGTACGGCAAGCGGGTGTGCTAGACTGGCAAGTCTCGCGCAGGTGAGTACGGTGCCGGCCTGTGGAAGTCGAGCCCCGCGCTGAACCTCCGCGACTTGGCAGGGCGGAAGGGAGGGCAAAGGTGGGAGCGATGGGAAAATCTGAAACTTTGCAGCGAGGTGACGCTTTGAGAGACCTGCTCGTGCCCCGGATCCGCGGCGCCCCGAGGCCGGCGGCCGTGCCAGGAGCGGATGTCTGCTACCGTCGCGGCAGTCGACTCGTGCAGCGCTGCGAAGTGGCGCTTGCGGCCAGCCGCTAGCGCACGAAGAGAGAAGCGACACGGGACGGCGCAGTCCGAGGGCGGGCGTAGCGATGTCCCTCCCGCCGTGCTGTCAGATCATCGTGCAGGGCGCCGGTGGCTGCGCTGCCGCTTCCTCCTTCCCCAGCCTTTCGTTGCGCCGCAGTCAACGCCCTCAGCACCACAGCCCAGCAGACGACGACCGAGTAGAGCGACGACGATGAGATGAGAAGGAGCGCAGCGAGCGTCGCAGCGTTGTTGGTGCGGCGCCGCGCAGTCAGAGGACTGTGTGTACGCCGTAGGAGCCGCTGCACATCCGTGGCTGGTCTTTTGCCCCTCAGGCCGCTCCGAGGTGGCCAGGAAGCTCGCGCCAACTCATGCTGCTGCCTCGGCGCGTCAAGCGTGGTGCCTTCCCGCGCCGGTGTGCGCCTGCGGCAGCGGACACCGCAGCAGCTACTAGCCTCGCTGCGCCGTGCAGACAGAGCTGTGAGCAGTGCGCTGGTGCTTCTGCATGCTGCGGCGCGGTGCCTGCGGAGGGCTGACGCTGCGACTGGAGCTGCACGGGCGCGTGTCGCCGACAGCGTACGCGCGCGCGTACCTGCTCCTCGCCCGCGTGGATGATGGCGCGGGCCTCCGTCTGGATGTGGCACTGCCGAAGGCTCCGCTGCGCTCGTGCAAGAGCAAGGTCATCAGCAGTCATCGCTGGCGACGTGCCGCAAGCGCTGCCAGCGTCCTCGCGATGTACGATGTGGGTGACGAGTAGAGTGACAGGGTGTGGTGTACAGGTGGCTCAAAGGGCCGGTGCGTGCGGGCTCAGGTATGTCATAAGGCGCCATCAGTCGTCGTGGCCATCCTCCTCCTCCTCCTCTTCTCCCTCATCCTCCTCCTCGGCGTCGTCGGCGTCCTGCATCTCCGCGCCCTCCTCGGGCGCCTCGCCGCCCTCGAAGCGCAGGTGGTGGCCGAGCCAGTCGATGCGCACGAGGCCGCACGCCGCGCCCGTGGCCAGCAGCAGGCCGCGGCCGGCGTTGGGACACCACGCCGACGCCGTGACGGCGACGCGGGGGTGCCAGCCGAGCGTGGGCGCGTCCTCGGAGTACGCGGGCTGCGGCGCGGTCAGCTTGCACCAAGTTTACGAAGGGCATGGCACTCACGCGAGGAAGCAGCTGGTCCTTCATGAGCAGCTCGCCCGTCGACCGATTAATGTCGAGGCAGTACACGGGCTGCGTCATCTGCGAGACGAGTCAGCGCTGGTCAGGATCTCTACGAGAGGCGACTCACCCGCGACGCGCGGCGGCGCTCCGTGGCATCGATGAGGATGCTAGAGACGTACACGGCGCCGTCGGTGCTCGTGCGGGCGTAGTAGACGTGGTTCGGCGTCGTCGCAAGGCTCTGCAGACCATCAGCAAGAGGTGCATGCAAGGCGCAGCGCCACTCACCAGCGCTCGCCCGGGCTGCGCAGTGAGCGAGTGGAACTGGCCGCGCGTGTCGGCGCGGTTGCCGACCAGGCCAATCGTCGTGCCCTCGTCGGGACGCTCGGCAAGGACGCCGCCGAGGTGCGCACTCCACGCCGTAATCTGCGGATGGGCTGTGCAGAGCGTGAGCAGCGGCCTAACACCTCACACACCTCTCACACCTCACACACCTCGAGTAAAGTTCTTCGCGTCGGTCATCCACGGGTCGTCAATGTCGCAACAAATCACCTGTCCGTCGAGCGAGGCCGTAGTGACGACGTGCGGCAGCTCGTCCTCCTGCGGCTCGCCGTCAAAGTCGAGCGGCGGCAGCATCTCCCACGCGAGCGAGAGGATGCCGGCGTCGTGCACCTCAAAGTAGTGCGACGGGAGCGCCGTGCGCTTGCCTGCGCGCAGCACGTCGCCGATGGGCCAGACGACGACGTGGCCGTTCATGCAGCCGGCGGCCAGACGCTCGCCGCCGCCCCAGCTGAGGCATGTCGCGGGCACCTCCAGCAGCACGACGGGCTCGAGCTTGACGGCGCGAGGCACGGTGCCGCCCGCCTTGAGGTCGTCGGGGTGCGGCACGGCGAAGACGGCAACGACGCCCGTCGAGAAGACGCCGGCCAGCACGCCCAGCCGCCTCGGCGTCGAGCCAGCGGCGCGGTGGTCGTGGCCAGCAGGGCACCAGCTGACCTGCGTGGCCGTGCCGAAGTCGTGGCAGAGCAGCAGCTCCTGCGTGGCAGCTCCGGCCGGGCCGGCGCTGACGCTCCAGATCTGCAGCGCCGCAGGAGCCGGCCGCGGTGCAGCTTCGCCCAGCATCGTGCGCGGGGCGACGGCGCTCGACGCCGACACGACGAGGTACTCCTTGGCTGAGCAGCAGGCGTCAGCGAGGAGCAGCACACGGGAGGCCACACTCACGTTCGGTGAAGGGCACAGGCGTGGGTCGAAAGTCCACGCCGTACACGTGTCCGCCTGCGTCGAGCGCGTGGCCGCCGGGATCCGACAGACCGAGCGAGTCTGCGGCGGTACGGTCAGCGACTCGCGCAGAGGCGGACCTCTTCGGAGCTCACCCAGACGAAGAGACTGGCCTCGCGCAATGGCAATCTTGCGGCGCTCAGCAGCCAGGCCCGCAGTGAGGTGGAGCACGTCCGACGTGGCTGCCGGCGGCGCCTCGACGAAGCGCACGGGATCCTGCTCGTCCAGGCGTTCGTTGACTTCGGGTGGGTGCAGCGGCTGTGCACTCGATGTGGATGCTAGCGGCGCGAGGTACGGCGCCGCCTCGCTGCATGGACCGTAAGCGATGGCCAGCGCACGGCGACGGCTGCACTCACGCCGGCTCGAGCAGCACCGGGGGCGCAACGTCCAGCTGAAAGGGCATGCCGATCTTGTCACTGCCCTCGGCCGTGCTGCCAGCGGCGTGCTGCTGCGCACGCTGCTTGCCCGGCCACCAGCCAACGTCGATGTCCTGGCCCGCCGTCATCATGGCGGCGGCGTGGTAGCGCTTCGTGCGCTCGACGGTCAACTCGAGAGCACGCATCTCGGTCTGCGGGCGCGCGCCGTCGCGCGGCCACTGGGACTCCAGCACGTGTGTGGCGCGCGGCGAGGCGTAGAGCGCGCCGACGAGCGCCGGCTGGCGCAGGTGGTAGCTGAAGCCGTCGGCGCCAAAGTACGGCACGCCGCGCGACGCCTGCGCGCCCTGTGCGGCGTCCTGCTTGCCCGACACCTCGGGCGTGGCGCGCCTGGCCGTGCGGCCCTTGCCCCTGGCGCCGGCGGGCTGCTTGCGCTTCGAGCTGCTGCCGGCCTGTGCGCCGGCGTCGCTCATCTCCTCGTCCTCCGAGGCGGCGTTGTCCTCCGAGGCGGGCTCGTCGTCCTCCTCCGCGGCGCTGGGCGCGCTGTGGCTGCGGCTGGCGGCAAAGTCGTCGGCGCTGTCGCTCTCGGCGTCGTCGGCGGCGGCGCGCAACAGGGCGACGCGGCGCGACTCGGGCGAGAGGCTCGCGCCGTCGCCGGCAAGGGCGGCGGCGAGCGACGAGCGTGCCTTGAGCGCGGCCGCGCGCGGCATGCTGGGTGATGCCTGAGCGACGATGGTGGTGGGACGGCAGGAGCGGCGCGGCGCGTCAAGGTGCCGCTGTGGAGGCGCGCGTCTCGCCTGGCTCGCCTCGCCGCGCCTTCTTCTCTCACCACCACCATCGCCGCGCGTACGCCTGCCACGCGATGCCCAAGGTCATCTCCCGCGTGCGTCGTGCAGCGTCGCCCAGCATCCACACCTACTAACACCCTCTGCAGTCGACGGTGAGCGCGAGTGCGCCGGGCGCGGCGCCGGCGTCGCCGCTGCGCGCCTGCTACTGCCTCTGCGGCGAGTTTGTCCTCGTCGTCGACGTGCCGCTGGCGGCGCTGCCCGTGCGCCCGCTCGACGGCGCCCTCGTGCTGCACTGCACGCCCACGCCCGACGGCGCCGGGCGCGTGCGCCCCGCGCGCACCTTCAAGCTCAACGCCACGCAGGGCAAGCTCGTGCTCGTGCGCCGCGCCGGCGGCGCGCGCGTCGAGAAGCAGTGGCGCTTCAACTGCACGCGCTGCGGCCTGCCCGTCGGCTACGAGACGACGCCGCCGCCGATGAAGGGCGGCCGCTTCACGCACATCCTCAAGGGCGCACTCAGGTGAGGCAGTGGCCACGCGCGGCGGGATAGAGCCGCACGCCAGGGGGAGCGGGTGCGACGGCAAGCGGGCCCTCGCGCCAGAGTGCGACGGCAAAAGGGGCCCTCACGCCGCCGCGCTGTGCCGCCTGCGATCGCATGGCGCTGCGGCTGACCCCACCTCTCTCCGCAGCGAGACGCAAGGGCGAGCGCCGCGCGACGCCCTCTTCGGCGAGGAGCTGCGGCCACGGCCCGCCGACGCCGCCGCTGCACCGCCGCCGGCCTAGGGCGCGCTCACACGGGGTTCACAAGTCACCAGGAGTACGAACAAGTCGCAGGCAATTACATTGTACAAAAGAGAGTGCCGAATCAGATCCACTCGATGCCCGAGTCGTGCGCCTCGTCGTCGTCCCACAGCCGCGCGTTCTTGTGCGCGGCGCGGCGGGCGAGCGCCGTGAGCACGTCGGTGAGGGCGTCGCGCGCGTCCTCGACGCCCGTGACTCGCTGCGCAGACGAGCCGTTGAGCAGCGGCGTGGCACAGCGGCTGCTGTCCTCCGACGCCGTCGAGTCGGCCGACGCACGCCGCCGCGCCGAGTAGGCGCCACGGCGGCGGCGCGAGCCGAGCGATGAGCCAGGCGCCGCAAGCGTCGCGAGCTGCACGCGCAGCGCCGTGGCGCGCTCGAGGAGCCCGTCGCGCTGCGGGTCGGAGAGGGAGCGAGAGACGCGCAGGCTGGAGAAGGAACGCAGGAAGAGCAGCCAGCGCAGCGTCGTGCAGGCGAGAATGTCGAGCGCGTCGGCAGAGGCGGCGGCGGGCTCGGCGCCCGAGGCGGCGGGCAGCAGCAGAGCGACGAGGGCCTGTGCGGCAGGCGACGAGGCGGCCTCGCCCGACTGACGCATGCCCTGCGCCACGTTGCGCGCCAGGGTCACGTTGCCGAGCATGAGCGACCAGGCGCCGAGCGTCGTGCGAGCGAGCGTCGGCGCGCCCAGGCTCGGCGGCGCCACGGCGACGAGGGCGGCGATGCGCTGCGTCATGGCCTCGCGCGACGCCTCGTCGGCGGCAACGTCGAGCTCGAGGTTGAAGCTGGACGTGTGGTTGAGAAAGTCGCGCGCCAGATCGGCCTCGTCGGCGCCGGCAGGGCACGAGGAGCGCACGACCGAGGCAAAGATGGCCGTCCAGATCTCGCCCGCCTCGGTGCAGTGCATGCGCGAGGCGATGGACAGCAGCGGCGAGAGCGCCGCGGCACGCACGGCAGAGGCGGCCGACGGCTTAAAGGTGGCAATGACGTCCGTCGGCGCAGGCGCCAGAGCGAGCGCCTCCTGCACGGTGAGGCGCAGCACCGGGTCGAGCCAGCGCTCCTCGGCCGAGGCGGCGTCGTCGGCGGCGATGAGACGCACGCGGCGGGCACGCTCCCAGCTTGCCGCAGCCCAGCGCTCGGCAAGGGTGTTGCCCGGCAGCGCACGCAGCAGCGCCAGGGCCAAGGTGGCGTGGGCGTGGGCTCGGGCAAGCGTGCCGCGCTCCAGCGCCGCCGAGACGCGCATCAGCGTGTAGAGGCGTGCCAGCAAGCTCGGCTGTGCGAGCGGGCCGAGCGACGTCTCGACCTCGAGCAGCCGCACCCACACGGCGCCCTCCTCGGGCGTCACGGGCGGGCCGACGGGCTTGAGGCCGACGGCGAGGCGCAGCACCTTGGCCGACTCGAGGATGAGACCGTAGCCCGAGCAGAGCACGTGCGTCGGCGCGACGACAAAGGCACGCAGCGCCGAGTTGACCTCGCGTGCATCGGGGTGCGAGCGGGCGAGCACCTCGAGCAGGGCCTGGTGGCGCTCGAGCCGCTCGGCATGCTCCGCGCCCGTGAGCTCAGGCGCTGCCGCCGCTGCGTCCTGCGAGCGCACAGCCGAGGCAAGCCTGCGCACGGCGGCCTTGCGACGGCGGAAGAGGCGCGAAAAGACCGGCCAGAGGAGCAGTGCGGCGATGGATGCAAACGCGACGATGCGCACGACGTCGAGGGCCAGCGCGCTCGTCGGTGCGGCGTCGAGGTGGTGCGGCTCGGCGTCGTCGAGGAAGCCGCTGCGGCGCACCAGCTGGTGGGCGGCACCCATCGCCCGGGCGGCAGGCTGCGAGGCAGCGTCGTCGGCCGAATCGCCAAAGAAGGCGACGGAGAGCACGGCGCCGGTGAGGACGCGCGACGGGCCGCTGCCGCCGCGCTTGCGGGCAATGGGCCGCACGGACTCGGTGCTGACGTCCTCGTCGTCCTCGTCCTCGTCGTCATCCTCATCGTCATCGTCGTCGAGCAGCTCGTCGTCCTCGGACTTGACGGCCTCGGCCTCGGCGACCTTCTGCATCTCGGCCTGCCACAGCTCCAGCAGCTCGTCGCCGCCCTCGAGCGACTTGACGAGCTGGCGCAGGCCCTCGGCCTCGCTGGTCAGGCGGATCTCGCGCTGCTTGAGCACGCGGATGTACGCCGTGGCCGTGCCGAGGATCGTCGCCTTGTTCAGCTTGCTCGCCGCCGGCACGCCGTCGACGAGCTCGGCCTGCGCACGGCCTCGCTTGCCGCGCCGGCCGCCGGGCAGCGGCTTGGGGTTGTGCAGCGCCGGCACGGCGGCGCGCAGTGCGGCGATGCGGTCGTTGATGTTGTTGCGGTAGCGCCGCTCGATGGCGTTGTGCGCCACCTTGCGCTGCGCCTTCTCCGACGACGCCGGGCGCGCGGCAGGTGCGGTGGACGAGCTGGCCGTGGCAGCTGCGGCGGGCTCGGCGGCTGTGGTGGTGGTCTGCTTCACAGCCGGTGCAGCAGCGGCGGCAGCAGCGGCAGCGGCGGCGGCGGCCTGGCGCTGCTTGATGCGCTGGATGGCGGCCTGCGCCGTGGCGTTGCTGCCGACCTCCATGTGCGGCAGGCCGGGCGCGTTGACGGACGGAGCGACGACGAACGCGGGTGCCGCCGCTGCCGCTGCCGCTGCCGTCTCGTCGGCACGCGAGCGCTTGCGAGACGCCGCCGACGTCGATGCCTTGCGGCTGGCGGCGGACACCGACGGCCGCGGCGCCTTGGCGGGCCGCTCGACGCTCTCGGGCGCGCTGCGCTTGCGCTCCGGCTCGGCGGCGGCGAGCTCGTCCTTGGGTGCAAAGCCGCCAAAGTCGAACTGGAACGGCGCGAGGAGCGCCGTGTCGATGCCGGCGACGTCGTACGCCATGTCGCCCACCGGCGCGTACACCGAGTGCGGCGGCGAGTCGCCGAGCGATGCGCCGCTGCTGTGTGCGCCGCTGCCGCCCGTGTGGCTGTGCATGCTGCTGGGGCTGAGGCCGGGCGTGCTGCGCTGCCCCATCGCCGAGCTGCCGGCGACGCTGAGGTGGCTCAGCGCGGCGGGGTCGAGCGTGCCGCCGCTGGGCCAGGCGCTGTCGAAGCCGTGCCCGAAGAGGAACGGCGCGTCGGCGCCAAAGGGCGTGTCGCTGCCGCCGCCCATGACAAAGTCGTGCAGCGCGTACGGGCTGTCGCCGCTGCCGCTGACGGGCGGCGAGGCGCCGTCGGAGAGCGGCTGCTGCGGCGGCGGCGGCGGCGGTGCGGCGCCATAGAGCATCATGTGGCGCAGGTAGGCCTCGTCGGCCGTGGGCCCGGCCCAGTAGGGGAACTGCTGCACGAGCTGCGGGTGCGGCGGCGGCGGGTGCTGCTGCTGCGGCATGTCGAAGTGGTGCTGCTGCTGCTGCTGCTGCTGCTGCTGCGATGGGTGCGGCTGCTGCGGCTGCGGCGGCTGCGGGGCGAAGCGCTGCTGCTGCTGCGCGTGCTGCGCCTGCTGCTGCTGCGCCGACGCGCCAAAGATGGCGCCGAGGTGCTGCTGTGCGGCGAGCATGTGGCGCTGCGAGAGCTGGGATGGTGGTTGGGACGGAGGAGCGGCGAAGGTGCCGTGGCTGGCGCGACGCTCCGGTGCGGTGAGCATGGTGAGGGTGCAGTGCACGCGCGCAGCGGTGGCGGCGACTGGCGCTCTGGGCTAGCTGGAGCGGTGCGGCGCAGGTGGCACGATGTGGGTTGAGGGAGCGGAGGGAAGCGGCATGCGCATGAGCGGCCGCCTCGCGCGGGCCCCTCGTGGTGCTTGCGGGCGCAGATCGGCGGCCGCGCTGGTCGCCGTCGCAGCGGGCCTGCGAGGGAGGATGGCCTGATGAGCGTGCCGCGGATGGCCTGATGGCGGCGCGCCCGGCGACCCGCGCAAGTGCTCCCACGCCGCCGTGCCGCATCCAGCTTGGCGGCGGTGTTACGTAAGCAAAGCCGCGCTCCCACGCACTGCGCCGCCCAAGCTCACCCCTCCGGCCTCCAACCCACACACCTCAGCACTGCGCTGGCTTGTGCCGCAGCGGTTGGGCTCGGAATTGAGCTGGCTCGCGGATCTTGGCTTCAGTGGCACTCGGCCTCCCTCAGTGCTTGACACGGGGCCACGCGTCGGTCAGAGGCGACCTCGCCTGGCAGCAGCTGCGCAGCTTGAGCTCGTGCCGGAGCCCATCCCCTCCGAGCGACGAAGCAGCGACAGCACGCAGCGCGCGTCGCACGTCTGCCGCCTGGACCCTGCAGGCCGTCTCGTCGCTTGACCTGGCCTCGCGCCTGCCTCGGCCTCACCGCCAGCGCGTGGTGGACGAGGTTGGGGAAGCATCTCGCTGTGTGTGTGGAGCAGCGCGGCTCGGCCGAGAGACGTGGCAGCGCCTATCACGCGGGCGCGGCAGCGGCAGGCACGGCGCCTCTGTGTCGCCGCGGCGCACTCTATGCGGGCGGCAGCGCATCGACGGCGATGAGAGGACACGGGCGGCGTGCCTGTCCCCGCACGATGATGCAGTGCCTGCAGCTGCCAGCAACCAGTGCTCCGCCAGCTCGGGGCGCGCTCCGCTCCGCGCAGGCGCGGTGACAGACACGCTCGGCGCGCCGCAGAGCCGGCAAAGCTTCAGCGAGCAGCCGCAGAGCGACAGGCTTGAGGTCGGGCTGCGCGGTGCAGCTGTCCGGATCTGCACTTGCAGCTGCGCTGGGTGCTACAGCTGGCGGGGCGCGGCGGCGGCAAGGGCGGCGGAGCGTCGCTTCGGCTCGCCTCGCGTGTGGTGTGCGGCTCGCCGGCGTGGTGCCGCTGACGCTCGCGGCTGCCGCGGCTGCTGCCGTCTGCCCGCCGCCCGCTGCCGCTGCGTGCCGCTTTCAGCAGGTCGCCCCCGCAACGCGGCGGCGATCGCACGCGCGGCCGGCGCACGGCGCATGCCTCATAAGCGGCGCTTGCTCGGCGCTCCACCGCCTTCCCCACACCCACCACCCCTCTTCACCCCACAACACACCCGCAAACATGTCCGACTTCAAGAGCCAGGCTCTCTTCGAGCAGATCACCGACGGCCTCAAGAACATGGACGACAAGGAGAAGAAGGACATCCAGAAGGTGCGTGCGCCGTCGAGGGTGCCGCGGCGCAGCACGGCACCGTGCAGCGCGGCAGCGGCCATGTGCGGCGGCGGGCGAGCGAGCGTCTACGCTGCCTGTCGCTCGCCGTCTACGCTGCCTGTCGCTTGCCGTCTACGCTGCCTGCTCGTCGCAGCCCGCGCTGGCGTGCGCACCAGCTCGCCGCAGCAGAGCATGGCGCACTGCCGTGACTGCGCTGCGCTCCCGCACTGCTCGCTGCGCCCTGCTCCGCCTGGCCCATGGCTCACACCTCATGCCCGCCTGCAGAAGACCAACGGCGTGTTCGAGATGCACATCAAGAACTCGGGCGGCAAGGAGCTCGTGTACACCATCGACCTCAAGAAGGTGAGCATGCGGCATCGCGCCTGCGACGGGCGGAGGTGGATGCTGCAGGCCTGCGTCGAGGCGTCGAGGCGTGCGTCGCCGCGAGAGCGAGACGTCCGCCTTCGCGGCAGGAGGCGCGCGTTTCCCGCATCGGGTCACACCACCTGTGCATACCCCCTGCCGAGCTTCTACTGACTCGCTCTGCTGCAGAACGCCGAGGCCTACGAGGGCAAGGCCAAGGGCAAGGCCGACGTGACGATCAACTGCGCCGACGACAGTGAGTTGGGCCCGGCGTGCAATGCCGTTGCACCTCTCCTGCCTGTGCTCACTCTGCGCGCCCAGCCTTCATGGACATGGCCGACGGCAAGCTCAACGGCCAGAAGGCCTTCATGTCGGGCAAGCTCAAGGTCAAGGGCAACATCATGCTCGCCACGAAGCTCGACGGCGTGCTCAAGGCGCAGAAGTCGAAGCTCTAGTCGTGCCGCTGCCTGGACTCTGTAGCTGCGGGCCTCACCCGGATTGCCAATATATCTCGTGTACACCTACTTCGAGCGTGAGCAGCGCATGGAGAGATCGGTACGGGGAGGCGCGGCAGGCGCCCTTGCGCAGGGTCAGCCACGGCACCACTGGGGAAGTGTGTGACTGGGTATTGCAGAGGTGCGGCCTGGCGCAGCGACTAGCACAGGAGAGGTATGGTAGATGGTGATACACGCACTGGGGGGCTGCGCCCTAGCGCAGCGTCTGCAGGATCGTCTGGCGCCGCGTCGCCTTGACGCGGCTGCGCCCGCCGCTGCGCTTCTCGAGCGCCGCCTGCGTCTTGCGCGCGTGCCACTCGCACAGGCGCCGCTCGCCGATGATGAAGAAGTCGTCGAGCGCCTCGGCACAGAACTCGCCGTCGTCGCCTTCGTACTGCAAAGGAGGGGTCAGCACGGCAGCCGCAGGCCTTGGACACAACACCACCACGCACCTGGCACGTCAGACAGCGCGGGTGGTAGCGCTCGCCGGCCTCGGTCTGCCGGCACTGGCCCTCGATGCCGTCGCCGCAGCCGTGGCAGAGCGTGCCGTTGAGCGTGTGGTAGTGGCGCGCGCAGTACGGCGCATTCTCAAAGACGTAGAACGTGCCGTCGGCAAAGACGGCGTCGCACTGGAAGCAGCAGAAGCACGCGCGGTGGAAGATGCCGCGCAGCGCGCCGTCCGAGCTCTTCACCGCCTGCCGCTCGACGGGCTTGGTGCACTTGCGGCACTTGGGCAGGTACAGCTCGGCATAGTCGGCCGCGCACAGCAGGCGGCCGTCGCGCTCGACGAACGGCGTCTTGCTCTTGCTCAGCGAGCACAGGCACACGCTGCACAGGCGCTGCAGCTTCTCCTTGCGCCGCCGCTGCTCGGAGGCCAGCGCGCCCGTGTCGAGCTGCAGCGCCGACGGCCGGCTGCGTGCGTCGGCGGCGCCGGTGCGCTCGCGCGAGCGCTCGCGCTGCCCGCCGCGCTTGACGGGCACGCTCGGCTCCTCGGCGACGAGCCCGGCCATCAGGTCCTCGATGCCTCCGAGGTCGATCTCGGGGCGCCGGCCGAGCATCGGCGAGCTCTTCGTCGGGCTCGTGCGCAGCTTCGACGCCGGCTCCCTGTCGCGCGCCTCGCGGTCGCTGAAGCGCCCGTAGCTCGAGCTCGGCGTCATGGCCGTGCCGCCGGGCGAGCGCGACGCCTTGGCGCCGTCGCGGCTCGTGCCGAGCAGCGAGCTGCACACCGACGAGACGGACGACGAGGCGCTGGGCGTGTCGCGCTTGTGGCTGCAGTCGGAGCTGCACGAGTCCGTGTCGAGCGGCAAGGGCGTCTTGGTCGGGCTGCGCGCGACGGCGCCGGTCTGCAGCCGCAGCGCAGCGGCGACAGCCGTGGCTGTGCGGCCCGCGCCGCCGTTGCGTGCGGCTTGTCGCTGCGCCTCAATGTGCCGCTTGCGGTCCGCCACGATGAGTGCTTGTGCTGCAGCTGCCGCGGCTGCCGCAGTGTCTTCCTCGTGCGGCGTTGCGAGCGGCGACGTGTTCGCTCGGCGGCGCTCCTCGACGGTGCGCGGCGAGGGAAGCTCGTCGCGCGAGCGCGAGCGCGAGGCGGCGCTGAAGTTCGCCTCCGGCAGCGCCGGACTGCGCGGGTCGGCCTTGGGCTCGAGCTTGGCGTAGCGGTCAAAGAAGGGCGAGCGGGAGCGCTCCTCCGTCGGGCTCTCGATGAGCGGCGTGTTGAGGCCGGAGCACGGCGGCAGCGGCGAGCTGAGGACAGAGCCCGGCGGCAGCGGCGAGCGCGGCGAGAGGGCGCCGTCGTCGAGTCTGGCGTGGCACGTGTGCGCCACGAGGTCCTCAAACGCCAGCGACTCGCCGCAGTCGGCGCACTTGGCCTTGGGCAGCGGCTCGTACGTCGTGGCGCGCACCATGGAGCGGCGGCCGCCCTGTGCGCCGCGCGGCACCGGCGGCGGCGAGGGCGGCCGCGGCGCCAGCAGCTTGCTGGCACGCAGGCCGTGGTTCTCGACGCCGTCGAGGCTGACGTCGAGCAGGTCGAGGCCGTCGCCGCCGTACTGCGTGTAGCGCGACGTCTTGGGCTTGCTGGCGCGCAGCGTCACGTCGGCCTCGTCGTCGCCGTCGAGCTCCTCGGCGCTGTCGGCCTCCTCAAAGTCGTCCTCGTAGATCGTCTCGCGCGGCGCACGCGAGGCGGCAATGCCCAGGCCGATGCCGAGGCTCTTGGAGGAGCACGAGCTGGGCACCGTGTCCGACGAGCCCGAGCGGTTGAGTGTGCGCGACGAGCCCGAGCTGCTCGACGAGTCGAGGCTGCCCGACGCCTGCGAGCGCCGCTCCGTGCCGCTCTCGCGCTCGCTGCTGTATGCCAGGTGTGCGCTCGACGTCGCGACGGAGTCGAGCGTGTCGGACCGCACCGGCGGCACACGGGCTGCGGCATGCGTGCCCGACTCGCGGTTCGCATCGTACGCCGCCACGGCCGCCGCGTTGCGAGCCCATGCGTCGTTGCTCGAGAGCACGGACCAGGACTCGTTGCGCTGCAGCGCCGCTGGCGACGGTGCCGGCGCCTCGGTGCGGCGCTGGCGCTCGTCCGCTGCCCGCCGCCGCTCGTCGCTCTCAGCTCGTTGCCGGCGCTCGGCGTCTTCGGCCCTTTGCCGGCGCTGATCGTCTTCGGTCCTTTGCCGGCGCTGATCGTCTTCGGCCCTTTGGCGGCGCTCCTCCTGCTCCTCTGTCCTCCGCCGCTCAGCGCGCTGCGCCTCGCGTCGCTGGCGCTCCGCCTCCTCGCGCTCCCATTCGTCGCGCGCGCGCTCCTCGTCGGCGCGGCGCTGCTCGGCGGCCTGCCACGCGGCGTGCTCCTCCCAGCGCATGCGTTCCTCCTCGTCGTACGCGCGCTTCTCCTCCTCGTAGCGCGCCAGCTCGCGCGCGTACTGGCGGCGCTCCCACTCGGCGTGCGCGGCGCGCTGGGCGTCGCGCTCGGCGTGGGCGCGTGCGGCGTCGGCGGCGCGGCGCTGCTTCTCGGCAAACTTGCGCGCGCCGAAGCCGGCGACGTTGCTGCCGCCCGGCTCGTCGACGACGGGCGACGCATGCGCGGAGGCGAGGTACGGCGAGGCGGCGGCGGCGGCGTGCGGGCTGGCGTAGGCGCCAACGGGCGTCCGCGCGTAGTGCGCAGACATGGCCGAGGGTGTGCGATGCGGCAAGGGTGGTGTTGGTGGCGGAGAGGACGGTGCCGCTCAGGCCGCGCTGTCGCTGCTGGACACGCCCGTGTGACCGGACAATCGGAGAAAAGGGCGCAGGCAGGCGGCCGTGCCGAACGGCGCAGGCAGGCGGCCGTGCCGAACGGCGGAGCCTTGCGGCAGGCGCCGATGGCGGCGCTGGGCGGACTGGTGCGTGGGGAAGGCGAGGAGCTGCGCTGCTTGGCGGCGCCAGTGCTCCGAGCGGCAGGCGCGGCAGGCACGGAACGGCGGCGGCACGCGGCGGCGCGAGCCCTAATCGGCCACACGCAATGCAGGCAGGCACCAGACAGACGGCCCTGATCGACGCTGCGCGGGTGCGGCGCAACGGAGGGCGAGGCCGGCCGAGCGGAGCGGGCAAGCAGCGGCGGCTGCGGCGCGGCGGCGTCGAGAGTCGGGAGGCCCGCGACGCGTGCACAGGCGCGCGAGAGCGGCAGCGACGGTGGCTTGTCCGCGTCGGCAGCCGGCGTCTACGCCTTGGAGCGCGACAGCCGCAGAGGCCGAGCGAGGCTTCAGCCTGAGCGAGCGACGAAGACGTCGGCGGGTGCGCCCGCCACGCGCACGCAAAAGCAAGGGGCTCGCGCGAGGAATGCGGCGCGTCGCAGCGCGCGGCGGCCGGCGGCAGCGGCGGAGCGCGACAGGAGGCACGCGCCGCGCGTCGCAGCGAGCGAGGTCGTGTGTGTCTTGTGTGCCTCTCGGGCAGGCGTGTGACCGCGTGGTGGGGGGCGCAGAGCACGGCGACGAGGAGCGAGTGGGGGATGGATGTGGCGGGAGCAAAGGTTTTGCTCGCTCGCAGCGACGCGGTACAGGGGGTGCATCCCTGAGGGCCAGATGCGGAGCACTCTGGGAGCAGAGGGCCGCTTGGCGGGACAGGCACAGCAGGGGGTCGGGCGACAGGGACGGCGCCGTGAGAGCAGCATGCAGCCGCAGCCGCCGCGCTGCTCCCTCGCCGTCGCCGTCGAAGTCTAGTCACTGCGCACACGCACGACGATGAGGAGCGCCCGCCCGCAGAAGCCGCGCAGGAGACATGCAGCACACGCAGCGGGCCGGGCGGGAAGCGCGAAGGTGCGAGGCCGCAGCTGTTCGGCTGGGAGCACGGCGCAAAGACGCTGCCCGCCCGACAGTCCGCCTGGCGTGCAGCGCGCAGCCCTCGCCTCGTCGGGGCGCTCACTCAACAAGAGGCGTAGCAACTCGGCGCTGCTTCCCGCTCATCTCATCATGCGCCCTCCCGCTCGTGTTCTGGTGCCCGGGCGGCGCTGCTCGGCCCGATCCCGAGCGCCGCTGCCCTCATGCGAGCGCAAGGACCGCCTTGCAGCGAGCGCCAGACGCAGCGCGGCGCGGCAGGCGCAGCGGCATCGCAGCACCCGAGTGCGCCGCACCGAGGCGCTGCCGCAGCCGCAGCACGCTGGCCGGCCCGCTGCAGCGAGGCGCTGGCGGGCGAGAGGGGGCCGCTCTGGCTGTGCCGCTGCGGGTGCGGGTGCTGCCGCTGCATGCTTGGGCTGCTGCGTGCTGCGGCAGGTGGACAAGCGCCGGCGTGGGAGAGGCCACGCGGTGGCGGCTGCAGAGATCTGCAAGATGCGCTGCCCGCTGCACCCGCGGGTCCGTCCGACGTGGTCTGGATGCTGCGGCTCTGCATGGCGCCTCTGAACGCTGGTGCGCTGCAAGCTGCGCTGCTCGGACTTCTCTGCTGCTCATGCGGGCGAAGGAAGCCTGCCAGCTCGTGGTGGTGCGTGCTTGCATGCACCTCGTGCAGCAAGTGGCAAGCATCTGCACGTCGCAGCGTCGTGGCTGCAGGCTGATCTCGCAGCTCGCAGCCGCTCGAGAGGCGCTTTGTGTGCTCTGCGAAGAACGTCTGCGCGCATGGCGTCTGCGCTGGCTCCGGACATTCAGCCTGCTGCGCATCTGCCCTCTGGCCGCACGCACGCCGCATGCTCGTATGCGCACCGACTAGTCCAGCAACACGGCCAGAAGCATGCTCACCGCCGCCAGTGTGGGCAAACAGGAGCGGCGACTTTGCCGGAGGGGGCGCTAGCCCCGGCGCGCATGGCGAAGCCAGACCGCACGGACGACGAGGTGCGGGCGCATGGCTCCAGACGCTCAGCACCGACTCTCGCCGCCTACTCTGAGCTCGCATGACGTGTGGGCAATTCCGACGGTGGCGGGCACGGCAAGGAGCACGGCACGATGGCGCGCTCGGGCCGCGTGGCACTGCGCCCATGCGCGCGCCCACGCTTCAGCCTGGGAATGATGAGGCAGCATCTCCACCACACGTCACTGTCGCGTGCTCGACTCTACTCCTGCGGAAGCAGCAAGTGCACGCTGCGAGCTCAGGGAGCGCCAAGCTACGCAGGGCGGAGTGCGACGTGGGAGCAAGTGCGGAGCGGCCGCAAAGCCACTCCCGAGAAACGCGAGAGGCGCACGCAAGTTCGCGCACGCTCTACTCGTGGGTCTGCTCGCGGCTCGCGTGAGACGATGCAGTGGCTTCGACACTCCGCTGCCTCCTCGTGGCCCACATGCCTATTGTTACATTCGCGGCACGACGCCAGCTACTGCCGGCCCTGCGCGGCGGCCTCCTTGCACAGCACGACGGCGCGCTCCAGCTCCTCCTTGCTCATCGCCAGGCGCACCACGGCATCGGCGCCGAACGCCGCCAGGCCCTGGTCGCCGCCGGCGCCCAGCTGGCCCATGCCGCCGCTCTGGCTCTGCTGCTGCGGCTGCGCTTGTGTTTGCGGCGCCTCGACGCGGCGCAGCAGGCCGTGTGAGGTGAACTCGTGCACCACCTGCGCCAGCGAGCCGGCACTCATGGCGATGAAGTTGCGCGCCGCCAGCGCGCCCAGCTCGGCGTACGAGAGCCCGTTGGCGTGCGTGCCGAGCTGCAGTGCCGCCACGCGCAGGAAGAGCTGCTGCGCCGACGACGTGACGCTCTTGAAGACGTGCAGCGCCGATGCTGCCGAGAGGTCCGGCGCGTTGGCTGCGACGAGGCCGCCGGCGCCAGCCACGCCCGGTGCAGACGCGCTTGCAGCGCCGCCGAGATGCAGCGTGCGAGGCAGGCCGGCGGTGCGCGCAGCCCGAGAGGAGATCTCGCGTGGCACGAACGTCGAGAGGCTCTCCCAGATCCAGTCTGGGCCGCCAAGGCCCGCCAGGGCACCCGCTCGCGCGTGCGAGACCGAGGCGAGCAGGCGCAGGCGCGGCGCCGCCGCCAGAATGGCGAGCACGGCCTGTGCTCTCGGTGCGAGCAGCGCCGGCGCGCCGGCATCGTGGACGAGCAGGAAGAGCGGCGGGCGCGCCTTTCTGCTCTCGCGGTCGTCGGCGTAGGCCTGGGCGATGGCTACTGCGCGCGCTTCGACGGTCGAGGCGTGTTCGTCGGCGGAGGCGCTGGCCTTGGGCAGACTGCCGGCAGCTTCGGCTGCAGAGAGCAGCTCGTCGAAGCGCACGAGAGCCTCGCCGCGCACGACGGCCACGGCGCCCTCGCCCTGCTCGGCCATGCGCGAGACGAAGCGCTCGAGCGCAGGCCGCGCGTCGCCGAGGCCGTGGTAGAGAATCGGAAAGCCAGCGGCTAGCAGGCCAAGCCAGCGCGGGTGTAGCGCGTCCCAGTGCGCGACGGGCAGGTGCGGCGGGCTCGGCGACAGCGACGAGAGGGCATGCAGCGCCGCAGGCTGCAGCGGCGGCAGCTTGGCCGAGAGAAGCTCGCGCGACGTCGCATCGCGGGCGCGCGAAGCGGCCGAGGGGGCGTGCGCGGCAAAGTACGCATCGGACGATGTTGGATGTACCATCGAGGCGTTTGCGCTGGGATCTGCCTCGGACGCCGCCAGTGAGCCGAGCAGCTGCGACGTGCTGGAGGCGACGCTCGTCTGCCGGCGCTTGTGCGCAGGCGACTCGGCGTCGTGCGACAGGCGGCGCTTACTCTTTGGCGTCGCCTTGCCGCGCGACGAAGCCTTGCTGGCCGGCGTGTCGGAGCCATTGGCGCCCTTGACCGGCCGTCCTCGGCGCTTCGGCGTCTGCACTGCCGCGTCCGGCTGCTCGAGGCCCGTACGGCCGGGCTCGGCGGATGGCTTGCGCGGAACCGAGGGGCCCGCCTCGTTGCGCACGTCGCCAGGCGGCTCCAGGCGCCGTGCGCCATCTGCATCTTCGCCGTTGCCCGCGGGCGGCTGCGGCGACCTGCTCGAGCGCCCCTCGTCCCACGCCAGATGCGCCTTCTCTGCTGCTGCTCGGCGTGAGCGCTGCGGCGCAATGTCGGCGCGTGCCAGCGACGCCGATGCCGCCGAGCCTGAGCGCGAGCGGCTGGCGCTGCGCTCCGAGCCGCTCGCACCGTCGCGCTCGCGCTCGTCGTCGGTCGGCAGCAGCTCGCTCTCCTCGCTGTCGTCCGACGGCACGAGCTCGGACTCCTGGCTGTCGTCGGACGGCACGAGCTCCGACTCCTGGCTGTCGTCGGGGTCGATCTCGGGCGGCGGCATGCTGGCGCCTGCGGCAGTGGTGCGCCGCTGTCAAGGTGCGAGAGGTGGCCGGGTGGCGGCGAGGTGCAAGTGTGTGAGAGAGGGGAAGAAGCAATGTCCTGCCCCGCCTCGGCCGCGAGCTCCACCTGCGCCTGTTCCCACGCAGCGACCCGTGCGAGAGCGCGCGATGCACGGGCCACGGCGGCGCTGTTAAGCGTGGCGCGCCTTGATGAAGCGCCCCTGACCTTGGAGCTGCTGCTCGGCCGTTGGACGCGAGGCGGCGCCTCCTTCCGCTTCACCACCACCGCAAGCACACGGCGCCGCACTCTGCTCTCGGCCAGGCATGGAGCACGCGAGTGCCCAGCCGGATAGTGCGCCGACGGCGGGCAGCAGCAGTCGTGCCTCACCGCACGCCGCTGCGCCGCGCGAGATCCCCGCGCGCAGCGCCAGCAGCAGCCGGCCGCGCCGCGCCGTCGCCGCCTCGGGCCGCTGGGCCAGCTCGTCGCCGGGCGCGGCGCAGGACCTCTTCTCCTCGCAGTCGCTGCCCGCCGCCGAGCGGCCGCGCTCGGCGCTGTGGCGCGTCGTCGAGGCGTCGGTGCGCGCCGCCGCCTCCATCAACCAGCGCCGCGCCGAGCGCGACGCCGACGAGGCTCGCATTCACGCCGACGAGCTCAGCGGCTGGGCACGCCTCGAGATCGTCGAGGCGCCGCTGGCGCGCACGCCTGCGGCTGCAGACCTCGGCAGCGCTGGGCAGTGGGACAGCCTCGCCGCGCTCTTCGACGAGCCCACGAGTCCGGCGCGCGGCCGAAGAGAGCCAAGCCGCGATGGCTCGGCCCTGTCGCCAATGCGGCATCGCATGGCAAGCCGCTCGGGCACGATGGCAGAAGCGCAAGACGGCTCCACCGGCAGCTCGTCCTCCGACAGTCGAATGGGCCGCGCTACGGGCCCGCCGGGCGCGCAGGCGGTCGCCGGGCCACGCGCATGGGCCCGCTTCCTCTCGCCAACGCGCGGCACGTCGCGCTCTGGCTCGCGAGACGTGATGCGCAGCCCGTCCAAGCGCTCGGACGGCCGCGCCGAGTCGGTTTCAGACGAGCCGGACAGCTACCTCAGCGCCGACCCCGAGCACATCCCGCGCGGCGAGGATCCACTTGCGTGGGGCGAGCACAAGCACCTGCTGGACGACAACAGCGAGGACGAGGAAGCGAGGCTCCTGAGCACCCTGAACACGGCACCAGCACGGCCTCGCAGCGGCTTGAAATGGTGGCTGCACGACTGGTACGAGCACATGGCCAATCCCAGCGCCGTGACGAAGGACGTCCGTGAGTGTCTCGGCGAAGGACTGCGCACCAGATGCTGACCTGTGCGCCCAGTCAAATGCTGCATTGCGTACCTTCTCGCCTCCTTGGTGAGCGGCGACCACCGTTACGCTTGATCAGCAGTGCTCATCATCTGGCAGTTCACGTACTCGCCGCTGCTCTCGCAGTGGATGGCCGACATTCTGCCGGACCGCGACGGCAAGACAATTCCGATTGTGCGTGCGCCGCAGCAGTCGCACCAACAGCGCTGACATCTTCCCGCAGAGCAACCTCTTCATGGTCGCAACAGTCGTCGTGTACTTCCACCCGGGCCGCTCGATCGGCTCCATGCTCGAGTCCGACATCTTTGCGCTCGCGGCCTTCGCCTACTCCGTCGGGATGGGCCTCGCCTCGATGCTCACGGCCGTGGCGCTGCACGAGGCCGGACTGCCGCTGCTGAGCAACATCGTCGTCGTGCTGCTCTTCATCGGCCTGGCCATGGCGCTTGTGGGCTATGCGCGTGCCAAGTTCGTGCGGCCGGCGTTCGCGTCGGCGTGCAGCCTCATCGGCGTCATCCTCTTCACAGTGTGCGTGCGGAGTACTTCGCAGCTCGGCACCGCTGACCTGTCCCCGCAGCGTCGTCAAGGAGGGCAGCGCATCGCTCGGGCAGTTCGAGACGGACAAGGTGTACGACGTCACGCTCGTCGTGATCATGGGCGTCATCGTGACCAACTCGGTGTGCCTCCTGCTCTGGCCGCAGAGCGCATGCACCAATCTCGAGTGAGCTGCGCGACAGGTGAAGCAGCCGTCGGCGCTGACGCTGCACAGGCGTGACATTCAGCGCAACCTCCAGGGCTTTGCGACGCTGCTGCGCGTCCTGACCAAGACATTCCTGCTCGACGATCCCTCACAGTTCAACATCCGCTCCGAGAACATCAAGCGCGCCAGCGACAATCTACACTCGTCCTTCACCAGCGTGAGTGGCGGTCGCGTGTCAGTGCTGCTCGTGCGCCTGACGCCCCTGTCCAGCTCAAGAAGAATCTGGCCGAGGCCAAGCTCGAGGCGCCGTTCGACTGGCGCCTGCGCGGCCAGATCGACAACTACGTGCGCGTCGTCGATGCCATGAATGGCCTGGCGCTGCACCTCGGTGGCCTGCGCAGCAGCTGCAGCCTGCAGCACGACATTATGGCTGCACAGCGCGAGGAGCGTGCCCAGGCGCAGGCTGCAGGACGGCACCTACCGCCGCATGAGCCAGGCACTGCCGTGGCAGGAGCGCTAAGCGGCCGACCGCTGACGATGCTCATCGACGAAGACGAGCTGCCGCTCGAGGCTGAGAGTGAGGAGCCCACCGAGCTCGAGCAGCGTATCAAGGCGTTCAATGCGTTCCTGGAAGGCGTGGGTCCTCACATGCGCAGCCTCGTAGTGAGTACAGGCGAGCTGCTCACGGACGGCTCTGGCTGACCTGCGCGACTAGTTCACCTGCGCGCGAAGCCTCAACGGCATGCGCGAGACGTTCAAGTCGTCGAAAGACAGCGAGCCTGGCGAGGACGCCGGCTTTGAGGCGCTTGCGCGCGACGTCAACTCTGCGCTCAAGCGTTTCCAGCACGAGCAGGACATCTCGACGAAGCGGTGCGTGCCCTGCCTAGCTTATGAGCTGCCGTCAGCTCACAGACCACCGCAGTCTCTATACGATCTACCCGCTGGCGGAGCGCGGACAGCCGTCCGAGTCGAGCCTCGGCGCAAGCCCGGGCTTCCAGGCCGATGAGGAGGTCTTCGTCATCTTCTACTTCCTCTTCCTGCTCGAGGAGTTCGCGCGCTCGCTATCGAGTCTGGTGCTCGAGATGGAGAAGATTCGCGTGCGGCGCATCGAGTCGGAGCGCTCGCCGGCGCGCTGGTGGTGGCTGCTGCAGCCGTGGCGCTTCTTGGGCAGCCCAGAGCGATCTCGACGCCGCCGAGCGCCGAAGAAGGGCCTGCTGCGGCGCTTCGGTACGTCACGCGTGATTTGCAAAAGGGCTTCGCTGACGCTGCAACGCCCAGCGGACGTCCTGTCCATCACCTCCGGACCGACGCCGCCGAACTGGCCTTCGCACAAGCGCCACCAGCCAAACACCGAGCAGACGCCGACTGCTCGCACGTTCAAGCAGCGTGCGGATCGTCTCGTCTGGCGGCTCGGTCAGTTCCTGCGCGAGCCCGATGTCAAGTTCGCGCTCAAGGCGGCGATCGGCTGCTGCCTGCTTGCAACGCCTGCCTTCGTCAGCTCGACGCGGCCGACATTCGTGCAGTACCAGGGCCAGTGGTGTCTCGTCACGTACATGGTAATCCTGCAGCCGACGATGGGCCAGTCGAACAACATCGCGTGAGTGCATCGTTGACGAGAGACCGGAGGTGCCTTGCTGACGTCGTCGTGCGTGTCGCAGCTTCCAGCAGATTCTCGGCACCGTCATTGGCGCCTCGATGGCGTACGCTGCCCGGCTCCTCTTCGACGACGACTGGGTGGCGCTGCCGCGTGAGTCGCCAGCTCGCCACGTCCGAGCCGCACTGACTCCTCGCACAGTCTTTGGCTTCCTCTGCAGCCTACCATGCTTCAACTACATCGTCAGCAAGCCGGCGCGCGCCTCTGCCGGCCGCTTCTCCATCGTCACCTACAACCTCGTCGCGCGTGAGTGGTGCACCACGTGCCGTCGCCTCGTCCGCTCACACTTCGCGCAGTCTACTCGTATACCCTGCGCGGCGAGGGCATGGACGTCGAGGAGCTCGCCATTCGCCGTGCCGTCGCCGTCGTCATCGGCGTCGTCTCAGCGTCGGTGATGAACCAGCTGGTGTGGCCATTCGAGGCGCGCCGCGAGCTCGCGCACGGGCTGTCCGAGCTGCTCTTCAACTTTTCCGCCCTCTACCAGCGCCTCGTGCTGGCGTACGGCTCGCAGCCGCCGCGCGAGGAGACGCAGCACGCCGCCGACGACGACAGCGACGTGGAGGAGCAGCGGCCGCTGCTCGAGAGCGCGCTGACGGGGCACGACGACATCGAGAAGATGGAGCTGCACCTGCAGGTGCAGCTCATCAAGCTCGAGGCGCTGCTGGCGCAGACGCGCAACGAGCCGCGTCTCAAGGGCCCCTTCCCCGTGGGCACGTACCGGCGCTACCTCGGCTGCTGCCAGAACATCCTCGACAAGCTGCATGCGATGCGCCGCGTCACGAGCCGGCGCGACTGGCACACGCGTGTGCGGCGCGACTTTGTCGTGCCCGTCGATGCGACGGGTGTGCGCCGCGAGATGGTGGGCAACGTGCTGCTCTTCTTCTATCTCCTCGGCAGCGGTGAGTGTGAAGAGGGGCCGCCGCGGAGCATCCACTGACTGTGTCGGCGCAGCGTTCAACCTCAAGACGCCGCTGCCGCCGTACCTCCCGCCGGCCGAGCGCTCGCGCCAGGCGCTGCTCGACGCCATCCGCGAGCTGCCCGCGGTGAAGCGGCGCGCCGTCCGCGGCAGCAGCGCGTACCTGCTGTACTTTAGCTGTGCGTACTGCTGAGGGTCAGCTGCGGCAGGCGCTGATCAGCTTCCCAGACGCGCTCTCGATGAAGGACCTCATCCACCAGCTCGAGGAGGTCAGTGCCTGCGCGTCGCCGCTCTGACACACTGCTGACCGCTTCACGACAGATCGGGCAGCTCACGCAGGGCGCATTTGGCGTGCTCGGCGGCTCGGTCGAGGCCTTCGAGGCGCAGTTCCGGCGCGGCGACGGCAGCGCGGCCACGACGCCATGGCAGACGCCGCGCGCATCCACACTCGTGCCCGACACAGAGTGAACACATGCAATGCCACTCCTTCCGCGAGACGTATTAGCGGAGCGGCACAGGATAAGTGAAGCAGCGCTCGGTAGTTGATGCACGCGCGCGCGCTTAGTAGATGTACGGGAAGATGCGGGACGGCACGATCTTGCAGTACTTGTCCCAGCTGCGAGAGTGTCAGCACAGCACACAGCGCGACTTCTCCGCGGCACTCACTCCTTGCCGTACTTCTCGCGGCACGCCTCGTCGTCGCGCATCTGCCGGTGCACGAGCAGCACGGTGAAGTAGCAGACGTACGTGTACGGAATCGGCGTGTCGAAGCCGCACGGCAGCGACCACGCCAGCGCCATGATGAGGTCGGCCATGTAGTTGGGGTGGCGGCTCATGCCCCACCAGCCAGACGTGAGCAGCTTGCGGCCAGACGCCGTCTCCATGAACTTGAGGTCTGCAGAGGGGTCAGTCTTTGTGCTGCTGGCTGGCTGCGCGCGACGACGCACTCTTCGGGTTGCGGCCGTTGCGGAAGTCGTTCTTCTCGCCGTTGGACGAGCGGAAGGCCCAGTAGCCAAAGTAGTTGAACGCCAGGATCGCGGCGGCGGCGGCGTAGCCGAGGTCCTTGGGCGCGAAGGCGAGGTAGCGCGCCTGCAGCGAGTAGACAAAGGGCACCCACGTGAGGTCGCCGACGGAGAGCATGAAGCCGAAGCCGTCGGTGGTGATGTCCATCTGCGTGAAGATGGCCGACTCGTTGTAGAGTGCATCGACGACGTACGTCGTGTGGAAGAGCACGACGAGCACCATCGAGTCGGTGATGCGCCCGAGCTCGACGTACTGCTTGCACGCGCAGCTGATGTCGAGCAGCGCCCAGAGGATGAGGCCCGGGCGCAGCTCGTTGAACGTCTTGATGTCGAAGATGCCGATGCGCGGGTTGAGCTCGCGGCCAATGAACCACTGCCGGGGGGTTATTGGAGGTCAGCGCGGCACAGGCACGATGCGCGCGGCGCACTCACGTCAAACAGCGCGTTGCCCGAGTTGCCGCCCTTGGCCAGCAGGCGGCCCTCCTTGAACGAGAGCGCATACACGTAGAAGGCCTGCGCCAGGCTGTTGGCCAGCGACGCCGTGATGAGTGCGGGCCAGTGGTCGTAGAAGAAGGTGAAGCCCTCGGCGCCGCGTGCGACGATGATGCCCGCCGTCACGGCAAAGGACGCGAGCAGCGTAGTGAAGGCTGCGCGACGCGTCAGTGTCACCGCAGCAGTCCACAGCCGTGCACCGCGGCAGCGCATCAAGAGCGCCACGCCACAGCAGTGCACCTGCCGCGCACTCACCGTTGATCTTGTACTCGAGCTTCTCGCCCGTGCGCAGCTCGCCGCCCTGCTCCCAGCGCGCGGGGATGAGCGCCCAGCAGGCGACGGCGAACGCGTACCAGCCAAAGTAGATGGCCCAGCCGGTGCCGTCGGTGAGGCTCTGCACGATGCCGCTGCCCATCGACTTGAACAGGAGGCCCGGGTGCGTGGGCAGCACGGCGCAGCCCACGAGCGGGTTGCAGAAGTAGTAGAAGGCATACGTGAAGAAGGGCACGGTGAGCGTCACGCCGAGCGCGCCGACGGGCCCGCCGAACTCGTAGTGCGTCGTGCGCGGCGCCAGCACGTCGGCGCCGTGCCGCTTCGCCAGCGTGCTGCTGGCGCCCGACTTGCGCGACGAGCGGCGCGGCGCCGGCGTCGGCGTGTCGGGCGTCGCCGCGGGCGACGAGGCGGCGGACGCGGAGCTCTTGGCTGCGGGCGTGCGGGACTGGCCGCTGGACATGGTTGGCAGGGGTGAGTATGGGCGAGCGGCGCGGTGCGGCGGCAGTGCGCGCGCTTAAGTAGCACTCACCGGGTCTGGACCATGGCGAGGCAGGTGTGAGGTGATGGTGGAGATGAGGCGATGCGCGCCGGATGGCCTGACTTGATGCGAGCGAAGGCGCGCGCGGAGGAGAGCGCGGCGCGTCATCGCCGTGCATGCTTATGCACCCGTGCGCGCCGCTGTCAACGCAGCCGCATCACTCTCTGGCACACTGAGAGCGCATGCTGCAGGACGACCGTGGCGCTGCGACACGTACAGCACTGTGGCCCAAGCGAGTCGAAAAAAGGGCGTTTTGGCGGCGCGCGGGGGCCTGAGGCGAGGCGGCAAAAAGGATGGCTAAAGTCAGGCGCGCCAAGAGCAAAAAGGAAGGTCGTACGCGGAATCGAACCACGGTCTTCAGAATGTCATGCATGTGCTGCATAGATTCGATCAGAATCTGACGTCGTAACCATTGGACCATACAACCGCCGATGAGGGATGGCTCCGTGGGAAGGTATCTGAAGCGTGCGAGCCCGCGTCGCGATCGAGGGGGTTCCGCGAGCGCCACCGCGTCGCGCTCTCGCCTCTGCCCGACGCCCTCTTGCGCAGACTGCTGCTGCGTCCCGGCAGTGCTGCTGCACCGCGATCTCCGCACGACCACCTGCACGCCGCGCGCGCCTTGCTGCTGCCGGCCTGTGCACGCTGTAGGGGGGGAGGCGGGCAGAAGCTGGTCTGGCCTCGTCGCGGCGGCCGCTCCTGACTGAGCATGATGCCCTCTCTCTCGGCGTGATGCGATTCGGCACCGCGGGCCCCGCCGGCCGCTCTGGGCTGCGGTGGTGCTGAGGGCTGCCCAGGCAGCAGGCAAGCAGCCCTGCACGTTGATGCGCCGCTGCCACTGCGCCGCTGCTGGTGTGCCTGCGCCGCGGCGCTTGGGAGGTGCCTCAACGCGCGACAACCCTGAGGCGGATGCGGCGACACTGCCGGCGTGCCTGGCGCACGCTTGCTTGGCCTGACGCTGCAGCTGGGTGCTGCCGCTCGTGCTGCTCACCGCTGCCGGCCTCAGCCTGCGCTTGCGTGGTGCTGCTGTCCGCCGCCTGCGCTTGCTGCCGCCGCCCGTCGCGCGCGGCGCGCGGCCCCGCGCCTCGTCGCCGTGTCGCTGTCGCGCTGCGGCTGCCATCGCCTCGCTCGTCGCTCCCTCTCTTGCTCCCTCTCTTCCCTCCGCGGCCTCTCCTTCTCTCTCGGCACTCTCCGCCTCCGCGCTCCGTCTCGCACTCGGCCTCTGCGCCGCCCCGTGTGCCGCCGGCCTCTCGTCTCTGCTCGCCTCGCGCCTCGTCCGCCCGCGCACCGCGACGCGTCGTACCCCCAACCCACTGCCCATCCGGCCTCGCCTCGCTTCCGTGACCCGCTGCCGTCCGCGCCGCCGCCACTCCACACTCCTTCGCGCCTCGTCGCACCCCCGGCACCATGTCCGGCAACCCCATCACCTCCGTGCCCGAGCCTGGTGCTTCGGGCTCGGCCGACCCGCTCGCCGGCATCATCACCCAGGTGCAGCCGGGCCAGGCGCCTGCTGCGCGCGCCGGCGGGCCTGCTCGCCCGACGCGTGTCGCCAAGGCCGGCGACGGCAAGAAGAAGAAGAAGAAGCAGAGCCCGCCGCCTGCGGCCGCCAGCAGCGACGCCGCTGCGGCGCCTCCCGCGGCCGCCGTCGCGGCGCCAGAAGCAGAGCCAGCAGCCGCAGCAACGCTGCCGGCAGACGCGGCAGATCCGGCGACGCAACACTCGCACGAGCCGTCCTCCACGCTCGTGGGCCACAGCACCGCGGCCACGGCGGCCGAGCCTGCCTCGCTCGAGGCCAGCAAGGCGCCCGTCGACGTGACGACGGAGAAGCAGGTCCTCACCGAGGCGGCACAGACGCTCGTCGAGCAGGACAAGGCGCAGGCAGCCGCGCCCGCACCGAGCACGGCCGCTGCGGCTGCTCCCGCCAAGCCTGCCGCGGTGGCAAGGGCAGCTGCGCCGGCCAAGCCAAAGAAGAAGAGCGGCCTGGCGCGCTTCTTTGCTGCCCTGACATGCTCCAGCGGCGCGCAGAAGACCGTCGATGCCGAGCGGGACGCCGCAGCGCCGTCTGAGAAGGCGCCGGCATCTACCAAGGCTGCGCCGGCGCCAGTGCTCGCTGCCGAGCCGGCGCCGGCAGCCAAGAGCGGCCTGCTTGGTGCGCCGGCGGCCGTGCCCGGCACGCCGAGCCGCAACAGCTCGCGGCGCGCATCGCTCGACCGCTCCGGGCCGAGCACGACGCCGGGCGGCGGCACCAAGCTGCCGCGCGAGGAGACGGGCGACGTCATGTCGGGCGCCGTCGTGCCGCCGGGCGCCAGCTTTGTGGCACGCGAGGGCGCCGATCTCACGCCGACGCCGAGCAAGCGTGGCCTGGCGCAGGGCGAGAGCGACGAAGAGGAGGAAGAGGACGAGGAGGATGAGATGGGCGACTACGACGACGACGAGGACCACCATGAGCAGCGACTCATCATGCAGGGCGGCATCGGCATCCCGCGCGACGAGGTGAGCCCGGCCGCTGCTGCTGCTGCTGGCTCTGCTGACACCCTGCGCGTAGAACGGAGTCGAGTGCCCGCTACTCGGCCCGATCATTGCCGAGGACACAGGGCGCAAGTGCCTGGTGCTCGACCTGGACGAGACGCTGGTGCACAGCAGCTTCAAGGTGCGTGCCTTTTCTGCCTCCGCACCCCGCTTCTCCTCACACTCCACGCGCAGATGATCCAGAATGCCGACTTCATCGTGCCCGTCGAGATCGAAGGCACGGTGCACAGCGTGTACGTGATCAAGCGGCCAGGCGTCGACGAGTTCATGCGGCGCATGGGCGAGCTGTACGAGGTTGTCGTGTTTACGGCGTCGCTGAGCAAGGTGAGCGGCGTGGCAAGCATGCCTGCTGTGTGCCGACTTGCTGACCCCTGCGCAGTACGCCGACCCGGTGCTCGACATTCTCGACATCCACCACGTCGTGCGGCACCGCCTCTTCCGCGAGTCGTGCTACAACCACCGCGGCAACTACGTCAAGGACCTCTCGCAGCTCGGGCGCGAGATTGCTGACTCGATCATCATCGACAACTCGCCCGCCTCGTACATCTTCCACCCCAAGAACGCCGTGCCCATCTCGTCGTGGTTCAACGACCCGCACGACACGGAGCTGACGGACCTCTGTCCCTTCCTCGCGGACCTTTGCGAGGTGGACGACGTGCGTGCCGTGCTCGACGGAGCGCTGTAGTGGGGTGGATGGCCCAGAACTGGACACGGCCCAGCTTGCTACGTGCACTCTCCTCTGCCCTATACCCTCTGCCCACCACAAGCTCTCGTCTCCGGCTCCGCCTGCCCTGGCCCCGCTGCACGCCTCTGCATCGTCGCTCTTCCCTTCTTCCGTTCGACAATCTCCCAGCACGTTCCGATCTCCTCCCTGCACTCGAGGCGGCATACTCCGCACTGTGCCCGCCTCGTCTCGTCTCGCCGCCTTTGCCTCGATCCCCGCGCCTCGCTGCCATCTGTCTCTCTCCCTACGCACCTCCTTCCCTCTCTCTTGCGCCCTCATCACTCGCACCGCGCGACCTGACGATCCACCCAATACCCGCACGACGCAGCCCCCATCCCATCTTGCCCGCTCGCTCCCTTTTCGTTGCACACCCACGCGGCTCTGGTTCATCGGCGCGCGTCTCCTCCGGTAGGCACGTGCTGGCGCCTCTGCTGCCTTCCCTTCTTCCTCCAACACCCCCGTCCCGCTCTGCCGCTGTTCTGCGCTCGTCCTCTGCACCATGCACGCCTGAATCCTAATCACATTCAGCCTGGGTCGTTGAGCCGCGCGGGCGTGCGCGTGACTGCAGTGGTAGCGAGCGAGAGGGGCGCAGAGCAGGAACGCGCCTCTGCAGACCGGTCGCCTCCAACACGGCGCCGATGTCTGCCTGTTTGTGGTGAGAAGAACGGCAGCGGTAGCTCCATCACGCTGCCGACATTGTGGCGCCAAAAGCCCAGCGCAAACACCCGGCTGGCTCGCTTCAGACCACGCTCCAGACCTGCACGGCTTGCAGCGCGCACACAGCCGAGCGCGCGCGGCTCCGCGCGCTTGCCGCCGCCGCCGGCATCGGGTTCGGGCCCGGATGCATGCATACAGGCCCCTCGTCGGCCTGTCAGCGTTCATGGAGTGTGGGAGCAGCATGCGCGAGGCGTGTCCCGACCGCAGCTCGAGGGGCGAGCAAGCCGGCGAGGGAGCGTCGATCCTCTCATGCGACGTCGGCTAGCGGGCAGGCGGCGCAAAGTAAGAGTGACGCAGCGAGCCAGGGGAGGGTGCGCTGCCGCTGCGGCAGAGGCGAGATGATTCTGCACCGGCGCCGCCGACGCCGACAAGCGCATGCATGCAGCCGCCAGCCCGTCACGGCGAGACAGCCGAGCTGCGGCGGACAGCGCTCTCAGCTCAAGAGAAGCGTCGAGAGGCGCTTCTAGCGCATGTGGCTCAACGACAGGTGCAGGTGCAGCGTGCATGCCGCCGCTCGAGTCTGAGTATGCCGGTCTGCGATCTCACCCTCTCGCCGCTCGTCACCTCGGGGCCCGAGCGCCCCCCAGAGCGCAGCGCAGAGCTCGAGAGCAGGGCTCCTTTGCGTCGAGCACGCCAAGCACGTGCAGGCCCGCTGTGACGGCCGGCGGGCACGGCTGCGGATCTGCGAGGCCCCTGCACTCCGCCGATGCACCCTTTTTGCGGGCTGCGTCTCGCTGCGAGAGAGCGCTCGTGCGGACGAGCGGCGGCATCGGGTGTGGCCGTGCGGCGTGGGGCGGAGCGGCGTGCGCACCGCGCAACCCCGAGGCCGCGCGGCTGCGCGTGCAGAGATCGACAAACAGCCAACACGACCGCGGCCGCCGCTCCGGATGAGGCACGCGCGGCGCTCCTCTGTGGCTCGCGCCGACGCTTCCCTTGTCCGTCTCGTGCGCCCCCCTGTGCCGCGAGAGTGCGCGTGGCTGGGCACTTTCCCCTGTCCGGCGTCATCCATGCGGTCGCAGAGGGTGCAGAGCCGCGGCGACCAGCAACGGGCGAGGAAAAGAAGGCGCCTCCCTCTCGTTGCTGCGGCGCTGGGCTGATCTCTGCGCGTGCGCCGCATCAGAGCAGGCGCTGCACGCTGATGTCCACGCTGCAGCAGCCCGCAGCGCGCAGGCTGGGATCGCGATGCGGCGCGGCTGAGCGGCTGCTGCGCTGCCTGCCGATTTCGGCTGAACGCTGGCGGCTGATGCTTGCCTGCGCGGCCCGCGCACGCAGCAGAGAGCGAACGGCGGCCGGCCAGCCGCACGCGCGTCGCCCGGCGCGGTGCTGCACCCTGGCGCTGTATCGCAGGCAGGCACCGCACCTCACCGAGGAGCTTGGCCGCTCTCGCGCTCTCTCGCTCTCTGCCGCGTCTGAGAGCTGCTGCCGCTCACTCTCGCTCGTCGTCTCTTTGCACCTCTGTCGCCTCCGCTGCGCGCCGCTCCGCTCTCCATCCTCCATCCCTGCTGCGTGCTCACTCACCCTCTCCGGTCTCTCCTCAAGCTCCAGCGTGGCCGTCGTGTCTCGCACTCTCACCTGCGTCGCCCTCACCGCGCCGTGCCAAGCCTCTCCGCGCCGCTCCAGCTCATCACTCTGCTCTGCCTTCGCCGTCTCCCCGCGCACTCCGCACTGCCGGCCTGTGCCCTGCGCCGCCTCTAGCAGCTCTTCTGCCAGCACGCCTCGCCTCGTCGCCGTCGCTGCGCGCGCCTCGTCGCTCGCACCGCAGCGACCGCTGCCAGTGCTCCGCGCACGCCGCGCATCCGCACACCGCGCCTGCGCCTTCGCAGCATCCCTGTGCTCGCCGCAGCGCCGCCGAGCCATGCCCGCACACGCCCTCATGGAGGCCGGCTCGTCCAACCTCGCCGCCGCACCCGCCGCCCTCGCTGCCCGCGCTCCGGCGCCCACGGCCGCGCCATTACGCCGGCACGCCAGCGACGTGCCGCGCGTGCGCGTGCGTGCCGATGAGTTCGCCGAGCGTGCAGCGCTGCTGGCCGAGCAGCAGCAGCAGGCTGGCAGTGCGGCGCCGCAAGAGGTCGTCGTCGGGCCTTTCTACGGCGGCCTGGCAGAGGCACAGCGCGTGCGGCGGCAGCTCGAGAGCGAGCCGGGCGCCGCACGGCGGCTGGCAGCCGAAGCACGGCAGGCAGGCAGCGAGCGCTCGCTGCCCGACAGCGAGAGTCCGCTGCGGCCGCGGGCGCGCGCCGTGCGGGCACAGCAGCTGGCCGACGAGGACCTGCTGGGCAAGCGGCTGGTGCCGGACGCCGAGTGGACGAAGCGGCAGACGGCAGAGGAGCAGCGCTGCTTCGTCGGCAACGACCAGCTGAGCTGCTTCCCGACGGCCGACACACGTGTGACGCAAGGGACGTGGAGCAGAGTGAGTACTGCCACATGAGCTGCGGTCCGGGTGGTGTTGCTGACGCCGTGCATGCGTGCAGCTCATCTGGAACTCCAACTATCCCGACTTCACCAACAACGGCGGCTTCGTCGACGTGTACCTCTTCCACGAAGACTCGGACGTCGTGGCGCGCTCGTGGACGTCGCTCGACAACGCGACGGGCCGCCTCTCGTTCCAGCCAAACGACCCGTACTGGGAGGGCCGCCCGCTGGCGGACAACTTCAACGGCACGAGCATCGCGTGGCCGTTCTACTTCGTCATTACGTATGCGGGCGAGGGGCTGGGCGGCTCGACGACGCGGCTGAGCACATGGACTGCCATTCGTGAGTGCTGCAGAGCGAGGTGCTGTGCGTGACCGTCCGCTGACGTCCTTGTCAGAAACGGCGCTGCCGACGGCGATCGCCATCGCACGGTCATCATCCTCCGCCTCACTGTCGTCGGCCGCGGCTGCGTCGTCCGAGTCCGCAGCGTCTGCGTCTGCATCTGCGGCAGCGGCCGCATCCAGCGCGGCGACGCTGACGGGCGCTGCAGCATCGTCGCTCTCCAGCTCCGAGGCGGCCGCCTCGTCGTCCTTCGCCTCGTCGATCACCGCCGCACTCGTCTCGTCGCTGCGGTCAGAAGGCCTGACCGGCACCGAGACGCTGCAGAGCACGGCCACGACGACGTTCGCCGACGGCCGCACCGCCACCATCACTGCCACGGCGCGCGCCAACGGCCAGCCCGTGGCGCCGCTCAACACCGGCGGTGGCGGCCTGCCGCGCTGGGCCATCGCGCTCATCGTCGTCTTTGGCTTCCTCGCACTGGTCGCCGCGCTCGTCGGCGGCTACTTCCTCATGGCTGCCGCGCGCCGCCGCCGGCGTCGCCAGACCAGCCACGCCGGCAGCGACGCGCCGATGATGGGCGGCGGCTCCTCAGTCGGCGCCAGCACCGACGGGCACGGCTTCGACGAGGGCGGCGGCATGCGCGAGGCCGGTCTTGCTGCAGGTGCCGGCGCAGCGGGCGCAGCAGCTGTTGCCGGAGCAGGATCACGGCGCAGCAACAACGAGGACTCGCACCCATTCACCTCCGACGAGGCCGCACGCATGGCCGACGCCTTCCGTGCCGCACTGCGCAAGCCCGACTTTGCGGCGTCGATGGCGCAGGGCAGCACGCCGCCCGAGGGCGACAGTCCCTCGGGCGAAGGCGGACGCGCGCTCCTCGCCGACGAGCTGCGCGCAGAGGGCCGCGAGGTGCAGAGCGTGGGCGACCGGCGCACGCCTACCGTCAGCGGCCAGTAGTCGCAAGCTCTCTGCTCTGGCCTTCTCGACCGTAGCATGCGGCCTGCCAGGCCTGCGTCCGGTCGAGGTCTGCTTCCATCTAGCCGCACCCGGGCTTTCATCGTTGTCCAGCGTCGTCGCGACGCGTCTGCCTGCGCCTTCTCACCTTTTCGCTCCGTGTCGGACACACACTCCCACTCTCGTTCGCCTTCGCCTCTTCCTGCACCCCTTACGTGACTCTCTGCCTTGCTCGCTCTCTCTTGTACAATCGCTTTCTGCCTTTTACCCCACCTTACTCTCTCCCTTCCCTGCGAGCCTCGGACCCGCTCAGGGCGTCGTTCTCTATCTCAGCAAATCATCCAGTCTCTATCTTGCGCGCGCGGGTGGTGAGAGTTGCTTGCGACGTACGGGTGCGCCGGGCTCCACATCAAATGACACACGGTCCATGACATGCAGCACAAGCGGTTGCAGGAGCTGCCCGTGCGCACGGGAGAGCATGTCTTCATCTTGCGCGGAGATCTTGCAGCTGCGGCGAAGCTCGGCCGACTTGGACGTCTTGGCTGCCTCGAAGCACTCGCCAAGCCGGGCGCTTGCTCTCGCCTTGGCGAGCGCTCCGGTACTGTACAGCAGCACGACGAGATCTCCCGTGTGCGTTGTTCTAGAAGGCGGCCGAGCGAGCGGGACACTTGGCGCACGCTATCAAGACGTGCCGAGCAGACACCACGGCGAGCCACAGCCAGCGTGGGCCCGCACGCTCGGCACGACGGCTTGGCCTGTGCCCGAGAGGGTGCTCGCTGTTCCCAGGCAAGCGAGATGCAGGGCTGGGCGCCGCGTTCTGCTTGTTGGCCTGCCTTCTCTGCGCTGACGTGCACCCTGCGCCGTGAGCAGGCGGAGCTGCTGGCCGGCCTCGCCGAGACGGGCGTCTCGAGCCGGCGCTGCAGGCCGAGCACCCTGCGCGCTGCATGTTGGTGCCGAGGCCGAGTGCTTTGGCAGCAACGCTCGGCGGTCGCTTCTTCATGCGGATGCCTGAGCGGCTGATGCCTGCGGCTGTCAGGGCGCAGTCCTGCTGATGCAGCAGGCCACCTGCTGCGAGCCTGCGCTGCCCGCGCTCTTGGCACGCGTCTGCCGAGCCTTTTCATCGACCGCCAGCCGGCGGACGCGGCACGTCCTCACGCAACCGCTGACATGGCGAGGCTTGGAGGGCGCAGCAGCGCACTCGAGGTCCCCAGCCATCACTGGACTCGACCGGCTCGAGGTGCCGCCGAGCAGAGGCATAGGAGACTGTCGGCCGAAACGGCGAGCGCCGAGCTCGGGGGGTTGCCCGCGTTGGAGCGATGCGGCGAAGGCGCCTTGGCGTGCCTGCTCCCACACTCGACTCTTACTCGCCCGCGGCGCCCTCTGGCGCGGTGAAGCGACGTCGCTCGTCGGCGCTGCTCCTCGCCCTCATAGGCACGCTTTCGGCCGGCTTGCGCTCTGCGCACCCAGATGGGTGAAGATCTCGCTCCAGGCTCGCCATCTTGCAGCGCGGGATATGCCCTAGCCTCGAAATAGCGCGCTTCGACGGTGCTGGGCGCTTGGCTGCTGCTCGCGCAGAGATGCGCGTGCCGAGCTCGCCTCCTTTCCAGCACGCTCGCAGCGCAGCAAGGGTGGCGTCAACGCCCAACGCCTCGCTGCCTGCGCTGGCCGGACAGGCAGACGTCGGGTCAGGCACAGCGCGAGAGCCGAAGCACCCTTGGCACCCCTTGAGTGCTGTGCTGGCCGCGCGAGAGGGGTGCGCTGCTGACATGCCCGGCGGCGGCGAGGGGCGCGGCGCGTGCGTGACAGCACCAGGTCGGCTGCGCTGCTGCTGCTGCTCCCGCGAGGCTCACAGCGGTCCGTCAGCAGCAGGCGGCCTCGGCAGCGGCAAAGGTCAACGTCGACACAAGCTCAGCTGGGCTTCTGCTGCGCCGGAGCGCTGGCTGCAGCAGCAGCAGGCTGAGGCGGGTTCTGTCCTGCACAGGTGCACGGCACATGCAGGTGCCGCACCCTTGGCGCAGCGCGCACGGCAGGCAGCCGGCGCCGGCGCCGCACGCGCGCAACGCAGCCAAGCGGCGCCAAGACGCGGCACGGCGCCTGTCGTGGGCGCCTGGCGCGCACGCCGGAGGCTTGGCTGGCCCAAGTTGCTGCTCCGCCGCGCCGCCCGCCTCGCGCTCCCGGCACCGAGCGAGGCCGGCAGCAGCAGGGGCACCGCAGGGCAGAGAGAGAGCGAGTCGGCAGCGCAGAGCCGCCTCAAATAGCCACGCCGCTCCCGGCCACGCCGCCGACGCCGCTGCTGCTCCCTCTTCTCTCCGCCATCACTGCCCCATCTGCTCTCTTTGCCCTGCTCGCTGCCTGAGCTGAACGCCACGCCTACTCTTGTTCGCATCATCTCGCTGCATCTGCCACGCCTTCTGCCTCCGCAAGCGCACCGCCCGCCATGGCCGTGTCGCCGGCGTCGCGCCTCCACGCGCTCGCCTCGCGCTCCCTCAACCGCCGCTGCTTCTTCGATGCCCAGGGGCGCCGCGTGTGCGAGGGCCTGCCGACGGGTGCCATCATCGCCATGGGTGAGTCGCAGCGCAGCGAGCGCTTGCACAGCGCCGCCCCTGACACGCCCACGCGCCAGTGCTGGCTGCCGTCATCATCCTGCCGCTGTGCATCGTGCTCTTCTGCCGCTCGCGCATCGCGCTCTGCTGCGGCGCTCGCCGCCAGGCCGGCGCCCGGCAGGGCCTGACCGGGCGGCGCGGCTCGGAGCGCTCCGACGGCGACGGCTGCGAGTCGGCGTGGGCGTCGCAGCAGGTCATCTCGTACCCGATCTCGGCGGCCTCGGCAGACGGCCACGCGGCGCCGCCGCCGTACGCTGCTCCGCCGCCGCGCTCCGGCGCCTCGCACTCGTCCTTCTCGCCGCCGTCGCCGCCGGCGCCCGTGCTGCGCGGCTGGCCCGCCGGGCTGCTCGCCGCCAGCACGCGGCCCGTGCCGCCTCCGTCTGTGTCGCAGCACCGCCGCACCAGCTCGACGGCCAAGTCGTCGCGCCGCGGCAGTGCCGTGCCCTCGACGTCGGCGGCCGCACCTGCCGCCGCCTCGCCACGCTCGCCCACGTCGGCGTCGCTGGCGCACATGCCGCGCTCGCTCGCCAGCCACTCGCCGCCGCTCGAGGCGCAGCGGCCCCTCGAGCACTCGCTGCCGTTCAGCGACTGCGACCCGCTGCCGCCGCCGGAGCGGGCCGCCGACGCACCTGCGCGCCGTGCGCAATAACACCACCACGATACCCCTGGGCGCATGGTCAATGCATTGTCACATTATATCGTTATGCTTGAGTGGAGGGTATGCTTGAGTGGTGACGTGGTGTAGCGATGTGGGTCGGGGCCGATCATTGACGGTCGGAGTGCTTGGGCGCTACCATTGCTGGCGCCGAGTGCTTGTGCTCGACGAGGCCCAGAAAGAGGCTGACGAGGATGTGCCGGAGCGGGCTGTAGCTCCACTCCAGGCCTTGGCTGCGCCTCTGTCGCTGCCGAACGTTGTGTGTGGGTTGAGCTCGGGCGTGCAGCTCGAAGGCGTGAAGTGCGCAAGGCCCGAGTCGGCGTGATGTGCTGCGGCGTGCTGAAGCGCCGGATTCGTTGCTGGCTGCGCTACGACTCTGGCAGGCACGCCCGCAGGCTCGATCTTGACGTCCTCCATCTCGTCGTCGATGAGCACGGCAGGTGTGCGATAGCTCATATCGGCCTGCTGCCGCATTGGCTGCGCATGCATGCTAGTCGATGTCGACGCCTCCTCGATCTGCAGGCTCCACTGCTGCAGCAGCTGCGTGACTGCTAGCTGGCTCTCCTGCGCCGTCGGCGCAAGCTGCGACGCGGCGCCGGGCCGGCCAAGCACCTCGTGGACGGCCAGCGTGCGCAGCCCTTCGACCTCGGCACGAGCTCGGCAGTTGACGTCCGACGAGAAGAGCAGCGCCGTGAGGCCCGTCTCGGCTTGAAGATGCACAGCCAGTGCGATGATGCGGTCGTCTGGGCTCTGTGAGGGAATGTGAGCCAACTGAAGGCGCGCGTCGAGGTGCCGCAGACGACTCACCATTGTGACAGGCAGCGCCATGCTTCGCTCGTGCTGACTCAATTGCACGTGCAGTGACCACGCCGACTGCGGCAGCGAGACGTCTTCGCCCGCCGGTCCACGCAGGCGCAGGTGCTTCTGCACCTGCACAGCCTGCAAGATCCATCGGGTGGCATCGCGGGCGGCGGCGCCGAGCGTCCGCCGTGAGCCGCCCGCGTCAGCCGGGCCGCGAGGCTCAGCTGAGCGCTTCAGGCCGTCCAGCTCTGCCAGCACAATCGATGGCACGATGAGCGTGAGAGGTGCCGGAGACGTGCCGCCCAGCACGGCCTGCACGTTCAGAGTGAGCGTGCGGACTTGCAGCTCCTGCACGAGCGCCAAGCTGGACACGAGCGTGTTGCTGCAAGGCGAGACGTGAGCAACGCGCGACAAAAGTGGCAGTCGTTCGTGCCAGGGCTCGACCAGCATCCTTCCTCCTGCGAAGACACTCCTAGGCACTCACGTGTCGATGACGACAATACTACGCCCCAGCGCTCTGACATCTGCCTCCAGCCGCTCGACCGGCTGCACTGCGCTACCAGCCGGCCCATCGATCTCGCCCTGCAGCGTCTGTGCAGCATCTGCGTCTGCTCCCTCGTCCATGCCAATCTCCTCTAGCCACACCTCGCTGCCCGGCGCTGCGCCGCGCTCGATTGTGACGCGCACCGGCAGCGCATCGGCCACGTATGGGCTGTAGAGGTCGGCGTACGAAGGCATACTGTTGAGCGGCGTGAACTCGAGGTGGAGAAGGCGACCGCTGACGTAACAGCACGGCGGCAGATCTCAGAAGCGAGACCGAACTGCGAGCTCTTGCAGGTCCTCGCTGCAGGTTCTCGCGGCACGCACGCGCCCAGCCTGCGACCTCGCACAGCAGCCTTGCGCCCAAACGGCGGTCTGCTCCCTCTGGCGGCCGTCGTGCCGCTCAGCGTCGCGTGATGAGAGACGATCTGTGTGTGCGGCGGTGCCTGTCGCAGCGAGTGCCGGTTCTCGCCGCGCACGGATCCCATGGGCTGCGACCGCGCGGGCGCCGCACGCGTTGCGTGTGTTGTGCTCGTGAGGCAGCGGCTGCCGGCGTCGATGCTCGGGACGCTCGGCAGACGAGAGGGAGCTGCGATGAGACGTGGCAGGCGCGGGTGGAAGCGCAGCGCAGGCGCAGGTGTGGTGGAGTGAAGTGAAGCTGCGTCGCTTGTCGCCCTCCACTCGCCAGGCCGCGAGGGCAGCGCTCGCGGTCGAGGTCGTGCCGCACGTGCAGCAGCGGGTTGAGCCTCGGCTGCACAGGAAGCGCCGCCCTTGGCCGGCAAATTCGCACCGCTGCCGCTTGCCGCAGCCCCACCATCATCCTATCCTCTGCTCGGCCGCAGCGCACGTCGACCAGCGCAGCCTGCTCTCACTGCGGGTCCCACGTCGTCGTTGCGCTGCATTGCCCGCCTGGCTGCCGCTGCGCCGTCTCTCCAGCTCTTCAGCCGCGTCTAATCATCTGCACTCCGCCCTCTTCCCTGTCGCGTGCCCGTTCATTCTCGTCGCTCTCCGCTCCGTATTTAATATCGCCTCGCAGCAATGTCTCGCACAGCGGCACCTCGTCGCCCGCCGCCGCCGCCGGCCGGACCGCCGCGCGTGGGCGTCTTCACCGAGAAGAGCCGGGGCCCGTACGTCGGTCAGTCAGGCCCGGCCGCTTGAGTCCGTGCCGCTTGCTGATGCGGCGGTCATAGGCTACCTGCCGGCGCCTGGCGACACTGTGCAGTGTGTGCCCAGCTCATTCTCGCCGCAGCAGCTCTGGGAGCGCTTCATCAGCCAGCGCAGGCCCGTGATCATTGATGGGCCGCTCGAGGATGCGGAGTGGAAGGGCGACAAGTGGGTGAGTGAGCGCGGCGAGACGCGACGCTGCGAGAGATTGTGCCTCTTGCCAGCTCGGCCGCTGAGTGGCTCACTCCTTTGCCAGACGGACTTGGCCCACCTGCGCCGCGTGGCCGGCCATTCGCAGGTCAAAATCGAGCCTGTGCACGCCAAGGGCCACTTTGGCACCTCTGCCGAGCGCGAGCAGGTGCCGTTCGAGCTCTTCCTCGACATGCTGTCGGACCCGGACATGGCCGGCCAGTTCTACCTTACCACGCAGTACGAGAGCGACGACGGCAGCGAGAAGGAGAGTGAGAGCGAGAGCGAGAGCGAGGCCGAGATGGCCGGCCCTCGCGTGGGCAGCTCTGCGACGCTGCAGTCGTCCGACGCAGAGCTTGGGGCGAGAGGCACGAAGCGCCGGCTGAGTAGCTCTCCCGCGGGCGCAGACAAGCGGCAAGCCGGTCCGACATCCGCAAATGTCCTGAAACGTGGGCGCAGCGCCACTCCTGATGGCAAGCCGGAGGCGCCTGCTGCTCGGCGCTCCTCTTCGCCTGCCGACTCGCAGGCGTCGCAGCATTCATCTACAAGCGCCCTGCGCGAGAGCGACGACCTGGATCCGGTCCTGCCGCCGCCGACGGCCGCTCTTGCCAAGGAGTTTCCGCTGCCGGCACCCAGCATCATGGGCGGCCTGGCGCTGCAGCAGTGCAACCTCTGGCTCGGCAACTGCACCCAGGGCAAGAGCTCCGGGCTGCATCACGACTTTCACGACAATCTGTACATGCTCGTGAGTGTGATGCGCCCGATGTCGAGAGGCTCGCTCATGACATGTGCCCTTGACAGCTCTCTGGACGCAAGCGGTTCCTGATCTGGCCGCCCGTCGCCCACCAATGGCTGCAGCCGCGTGGCCCCATCGAGGGCATGCGGCCAAACGGCCTGCTGCTCTACACTCCAGACGGCGAGCTGCCTGCCTGGCACCCGCGCAGCAACCGCTTTGCACTGCGTGGCGACGGTCTCACCGAGTTCGAGGCGGCCGAGTGGCGAGTGCGCGCTCGTGAGCGGGCGCTGCGCGAAGCCGACGAGCGTGCGGCTGCGCTCGCAGGAGAGGCTAGCAGGCCCGCCTCGCTGCGCAAGGGCAAGGGCAAGCAGACGCTGGAGCAGGTCGAGGCGATGGCTCAGCTCAAAGCCGCAGAGCTGGCGCGCCAGCACATCGTCCTGGAGGAGCGCGGCCTTGCCCTGAACGAGTCGGACTCTGAGGACGACTCGGACGAAGACGCGCTCGCCGCACGGCGCCGCAAAGCCAACGAGCCGCGACGCCCGCCGCTGGCTCTCATCCGCTCGGACCGCGACATTCCCCGCGCGAGCGATGACGAGAGCAGTGAGGAAGAGGAGTCCGAGCCGGAGGCCGGCTCGAGCGACGACGAAATGTCGGTGCCAGAGCTCGAGCCGATCGAGAAGGCCCACTACCTTCACCTCGCCGTGCCCTTCATCAAGCGCGCCATCGGCGAGGCGTCTCCCGGATCTCTCAAGCTGTCGCCGAGTCGCATGAAGGCTGATGGCTCAGCAATCGGCCGCGACGAGGACGACGACCCGTCAGAGGACGAGCTGGAAATGCGCCAGCTCAATTCGGTCTTCCTGGCGCCGCTGCTTCTGGCCGAGAAGGCCGCTGCACCGAGACATCTCAGCAAGCAGGAGGCGCTTGCCGCAGTCGAGGCTGGCCTCGAGCGCGCTGCCGTCGCCGCCATGGAGATGACGCTGGCGCAGCAGCTTGCGCAGCAGCAGAGGCGTGCTGGCGCCGGCGCGAGTCGCGATTCTGAGTCTGGCTCTGGCTCTGACGCTGACTCAGACGAAGAGAGCGACGAGCGCCAGGGCAGCGACTGGGAGATGGCCGACGAAGGCTGGCTGCAGTTCGACCGCATCGAGGAGGAGCGCCGGCGCAAGGAGGATGGCGAGTCGGGCTCCGAGCTCTTCGACTCTGACGAGGACGAGGACGAGTCAGACAATGACCTCGAGAACGACGAGCCTCAAGCAAAGGCCGCGCCGCGCCGCTCTCCGCCGCTGCGCATTCCCAAGGGCATGCTGCCGGGCGGCCTGCGCGGCCGGCTCAACGGCCAGGACAGCGACGACAGTGGCAGCGACTACGACGGGCCTATCTTCGACGAGATGGTGCTGGGCTTCGATGGCCCTGAAAGCGACGAAGACGAGGACGACGAGATGGAGGAAGAGAGTCGCGCCCAGGCCGAGCTGTGGGCGCACCTGCGCCAGCAGCTTGAGGATGCTCAGACGGAGGGCGACACGGCACGCGCCACACTCGTGCAGAAGGAGCTCAACACGCTCAACATCCAGCGCCGCCAGGCCGTGCTGCAGGGCGTGCACCATGACCGCCGCCGCGAGCTCTGGCGCGCCCGACAAGAGACGGCGCTCAACCGGCGCCTGCGCGGCGGTTTCGTCAGCGACAGCTACTGGGACTGGCTCTTCGAGAGCGGGCGCGATGGCACCGAGGGCGACGACTTCGCCGGATCGACGGGCTTCTCTGACGAGGCCGAGGATGACGAGGGCGAGGAGGGAGACATCGGCGTGTCTGGCAGCGAGTCGTCTGGCTCGGATGAGGACGAGGCGCTGCCGGCGCCTGCATCTGCGAAGAAGGCTCGCGGAGCGCCGGACGCGCAGCAGCAGCTCGACAAGGACGAGCCGAGCAGCTTCTCGCGCATCAGTCCGCAGGCGCTGCACCGCTACTTTGGCATCGCAGACGACCCGACGGACCCGTCGCGCGCTCCTGCGGCGCCCAAGGCCGGTGAGGCGCTGCCGGCGGCCATGTGTCCGCCGCCGCTCGTCGTCGACCTGCAGCCGGGGCAGATGCTCTACCTGCCGGCGTCGTGGTGGCACGAGGTGACGTCGTACGCGCTCGCCGACGATGGGCCGTCTGGCGCAGACGGCGAGTCGACGCAGCCTGTGCACATGGCCTTCAACTACTGGTGAGCCTGCGATAGTGCGACGCATGCGCTCTGGGCGACATCTGACCCCACGCTCGTTAGGTTCCACCCGCCCACGGCGCTCAAGCAGGGCTTCGCGCCGCTCTACGCCTCGTCCAAGCCCGCAGTTGCCGCGCCCAAGTCGGGCAAGGCAGCTGCCAGCGGCGCCGGTGCCAGTGGAGCCGGCCGGAATGAGCCGACTGGGCCGCTTGTCGGCACGCATGACCAGGTATGTGTGCTGCAGAACTGGACTGCGGCCAGCATGCTCATCTGTCTCGCGCCGCAGCCGTACCTCGACCCGGAGGTCTGGGGCGAGATTCGCCGCGCCATCAGTGCCAAGATCGCGACGGCCGTGGCGGGCGACGCAGCGCAGCGCCAGGCTGCTGCGCTGGCGGCAGACGAGAGCGACGACGAGTCGAGCGAGGAGGAGGACGACGGCGACGAGGAGGGCGATGCCGGCTCGGACGACTCTGGCCGCCCGTCGCCGCCGCTGCCGCCGGGCAAGCGCCGCCGCGTCTAGCCGCGTCGTCACGTCCCAGCTCAGCAGGTCCTCTTCGGCTGAGGGCGAGATCGCCGTGCTGTGCAGCAGGCGACGCTCCTCGAGGCGTTCCGAGCCGCCGGCTGTACCACACCACACCCTCAGGCGGCAGGCATGGGCGTGAGGCTGTGCTCGCGGTGCGCGCTCGGAGGCCGCGCCCAAGAACTTGTATGCGCGAAATCGCCCATTAGCCTGATTTCTGTATGCCCCTGAGGCTGATTTTGTAGCGCCCGCCGTGCCGCGAGTTTGGAGGTGCAGCGCCGGCAGCCGAGCGGTGGCGCGCGCCGCGCGTGTGTGTTCGCAGGCACCTCGCCTGCGTCCGCTCAGCTCAGGAGCAAGCGCCGCCGGCGCGCGCAGCACAGCGGAGCAGCGCCGCCGTGCGTGCGGCGTGCGTGCAGCAGCGAGACGCATCACATGCGCAGGCGGCGCCGACGGCCTCATCGCTCTGCGGCGGCGCGCTGGGCGTGTGGCCGGCGCTGCTGCCGCTGCTGCTGCTGCCTGCTGCGCTCACCTCGCTGCCCTCCATCCTGCCCGTCCCTCATCGCCCTCACACCCGCCCGCCGCACCGTCCCCGCAGCGCGCTCCTCCCACCCACCCTCGCACCACCCTCCGCACATCCAGCATGGTGCGTCGCATGCCGGCGCGCCGCCGCCGCCGCCGCTGCGGCCCGTGCTGGGCCGTGACGGCGGGCCCGCGCGGTGGCCGCCCGTCTGCCCACAGAGAGCGACCTGCTGCTCACACATGCTGCTGTCTGCGCCGCGCACCCTCCCACAGAGCTCCGGCGACAGCCTCCGGCGGAAACTCGTCATCGTCGGCGACGGTGCCTGCGGCAAGGTGCGTTGTCAGGCGCGCGCTGTCTTCCGCCAGCCCCTGTCGCTCTGTGCTGCACCAGCAGAGCCACACCTGCCGCAGCATGGAGCACGGCGGCAGCGAGGGGCGCCATGCGCCAGCCAGCGCTGACTCTGTGTCCTCCCTCTCTGTGCGCTCTTGCCGCCGCCAGACCTGCCTGCTCATTGTCTTCAGCCGCGGCACGTTCCCCGAGGTGAGTGCGACTGCCGTGCCGTTGAGATGATGCGATGCTGCTGCTGCGCAACGTGGTGCGGTGGGAAAGGTGTGCACCTGTGTGGCCGTTATGAGCTCGGACGGATGGCAGCGGCGTCAATTACGGCGCCAGCAAGGGCAGGAGCCAGCAAGGCAGAACGGCGGCTTGGGTCGCTGGCCTGGTCGATGCGAGGGCCTGCACGGCGCACACAAAGCTGCGCTGCCTCAGTCGTGCGCGCTTCAGCACGTCCTGAGCTCAAGGGCCAGCTCAGGAGCCGAAGTGCTCCCCTCTCGAGCGACGATAGCCGCGCTTGGCGACGGCAGCGACATTCGAGGCGCACCCTTGGCCCAAGCTCGGACCCTGGCTCTCGCTCTATGTGCGCGCGCTCACCCTACTTCACAGGTCTACGTCCCCACCGTCTTTGAGAACTACGTTGCCGACGTCGAGGTCGACGGCAAGCACGTCGAGCTGGCGCTCTGGGACACGGCCGGCCAGGAGGACTACGACCGGCTGCGCCCGCTCTCGTACCCGGACTCGCACGTGATTCTGATCTGCTTTGCCGTCGACTCGCCCGACTCGCTCGACAACGTGCAGGAGAAGGTGCGTGCGCTCGCGCGTCGTGCGATGCAGCTGTCGTGCCCCTCAGCCCCTGACTCCGTCTTGTCACGCGCAGTGGATCTCCGAGGTGCTGCACTTCTGCCAAAACCTGCCCATCATCCTCGTCGGCTGCAAGAAGGACCTGCGCCGCGACCCCAAGATCATCGACGAGCTGCGCAAGACGAGCCAGCGGCCCGTCAGCCCGGAGGAGGTGAGTCTGCGCGCGCGGTCGTGGCAGAGGTGGAGGGACGCTGCCTGTATCGCAGCATGCTGCACGGGGCAGACGCCAGACACCAAGCGTTGCGCATCGCGGCAACGTTGGCCATCGCCGCCTTCACACACCCAGATCTGACATTCTTCTCCTGCAGGGCATGGCCGTTGCTCAGAAGATCGGCGCCGCGCGCTACCTCGAGTGCAGTGCCAAGACGGGCGAGGGTGTGCGGGAGGTCTTCGAGCACGCCACGCGCGCCGCGCTGCTCTCCAAGCGCGGCGGCACCAAGAAGAGCAAGTGCGCCATCCTCTAAAGCGAGGATCGGTGCATTCTGGAGGGCGGCGCAGGGATGGCGGAACGGCGTGGAGGGCGGAGTGGATGTGTCGCTGCTGGCTCAGCACGTCGCGCTCTCATAGAAGGCGGCTCGACATTCGGGCAGGCGCGGCACAAGTGTGCGGGCGGCAGCGTCGTCGAAAGTGCGTGACGCACACGCCTGGACCATCGGTCTCGGTCTTCGTGAGACATGCAACGGCAAGCAGCGTCAGTTTCGCGGCGTCGACCAGCCACGGCGCACACGACGCGCCTGGATCAATGACGAACGGAGCCATCGCTGCGCGCGTCGCCTCGCTCGGCCTCGAGACGTGCTGCGCACGCAACCGTGTGTCGTCGGCTCGCCACTCTTGCCCGCTCGTCTCTCTCCACTCGCTTCCGCGCTGCAAACCTTTCACTCCTCCCTCGTGACCCTCTCTGGCCGCAAACCTACGTCGCACGTCTCGCTCCATGACCCAACGCCCACGCCCACGTCGCCGCCTCTATACGCCCTCTACATTCCAAGACACGATGTCCTCTCCGTCGTCGGTGTTGCCCCACTACCCCTCGTCTCTGACCCCCTCGCTCCCTCCTCGATCACCCCCACACCGCCTCGCTGTGTGCCCGCCCTCCCTCCACACTCCACACGTTCCGCTTCCCACACCTTTTCCTCTCTCTCTCTCTCGCGCGCGTTCTCCACTCTTCCGTCCGTTCGTCTTCCCCTCTCTGATGCATTGCGTTGAACTCGTGCGAGTGTGTGGCCGTGCTGGATGATAATTAGGGCGCTGATGATGTGTGTGTGTGGGGAAAGCAGAGCGAAAGCGAGCTAGAGACGAGCAGGTCTAGGTGGATAAGGACTAGAGGCCCTGTGCGGCGAGACTGCCGCGCACGAGCTCATAAGTGAGGAAGAGAGCCGCGTTGGCCGGGATGGCCCTGTGAGCGTCGCGCGAGGGCGGGTCAGCGTGGGCTACCACGTCTGCTTGGGATCTCGAGGCGCCACGCACCTCAGCAGCGTCGGTCCGACGCCACGGAAGAAGGCTCGCGGGCCTCCCTCCGCCCACACCGCGGCCGCCTCGGCGCGCAGCGTGCCTCGCACGCCCGGCTGCGCCGCCGAGGCCTGCACGCGCGTCTTGAGCACGTCGGCCCAGAATGTCGAGAGCCACGCCACGACGCCGGCGGCGGCGCCCGAGAGCGCCAGCTCGACGTTGGTGAGGCCGCCGTCGAGCGACGCCGGGCCGTGTCGTTGCGAGAGGAGCATGCGGTTCATCGCCTCGTACGACTGCAGCGGCATCAGACACAGCCTGAGAGGACGCGAGGTGGGAGACTCACCCAGAAGTACGGACCCTGCAGACGGAGGCAGTGGGTCAGCAGCACTCTCTAAAGGCAACGCATCATCTCGCACATAGCCAATCTGAGAGCAAAAGGCACGTCAGCTTCAGGCGCACAGGACGGCCGGCGCAGAGACTCACATCGCGCAGACATGTCACGCCGAAGCCACGGTACAGGCCTCTGATGCCGTGCTGCGTCCAGATGGCGCGCACGACCTGCAGCGTCGAGGGCCGCGCAGACGCCGAGACGCGTACGTCGAGCTGCTCGCGGATCTTGACGAGCTCGATGGGCGTCGTGATGAGGCTGAGCAGAAGGGAGCCAAAGGTAAGCGTCGAGCGGCGCTGCAGATGAGTCCCTAGACGCACGCTGTCACGAGACCGCTGGCTGCGCCGGCGATGAAGACTTCCGCCAGACTGGGCTGCCGCACATCTCCCAGCGCCAGCGCGCCTTCGGCACCGCTGCCCTGGAGCTGGACGCGCAATGCCAGGCCATAGACGGTGAAGAGACAGCTGTTCATGGCTGCGACGCCGAGGAGTGGACCAGTCACGCCCTTGTACAGGCCGACGAGCTGCGAGAGGTGATCAGCAGAGTACACACGAGGCCAAGAGCATGTCTGTCTCATACACACCTTCTCCTCGCGCACAATGACGCGAAAGGCATCGGTCGCCGAGCGATACACGGGCGAGTGCTGCGGCGCGCCATCGAGGGCCAGGCGGATGCTGCCGCTGCTGAGTGCCGGCTGTGTCTGCAGGCGCGTCTTGACCGTGTCGCTGTTGCGCTTGCCGGGTCAGTGGAGCAACGCGAGGCACAAAGCCTTGCATCCGACGCACAAGGGATGCCCAGCGAGCAGACTCGCCACGCCTGTGCCGAGCGCGCCTGGGTGAGCTCCGGCTCGGCAAACGGTCGTGCGCCGCACTCACCGCCTGCGGTGCCGGCGAGAAAGTCGACGAGCGCAGAAGGTGCTGTCCGAAGCACCGAGCACCGAGCTGTCAGTGTAGCATGAGAGCGGGCCGCTGCACCGGCGCTCACCCGCCTCGCTGCTGCCCATGGCTGAGGCGTGGCCGCGTGCGCCCGTCTGTGACCCGTTCCGTTGTGCAGCGACGCTCGACGGCGAGCCCGACTATGCAATCGTTAAGTTGGTGGTAGCACTAGTAGGATCGCTTGATGTGGTGTCGAGCAGAGACGCGGTGCGCTTCTTCTGGCGCGCCCCATCACGTCGGACCGCCAAACGGCCCAGCGCCGGCCGGCTGCCGAGGCGCGCCGCTGCGCCCTTGGCGCGCATGGGGTGCTGTGGAGGCACGCGAGCTGCAGCAGGTGCGGCCCGTGAGCACGCCCCTCTCTCTCTCCCTCTCACCTCACATCTGCACCTGCATCCATACCGCACGCTGCCGTGACCAGCCATTGAGACCCTGGAGCCTGCCAGGACGTCGCCTCGCCGCTGTCAAGCCCTGCATTCAGAGAGCGCCACCCCACCCCGCACGCCCTGTGGCATCACCGCACAGCCACACGACGGCCCGTCTGAGTGTCGACACCTCGCACCCGCCTCCTGTGCGCCAGCATGACGTCCTTCGGCGATGCGCTGCCTGTGAGTGTGGTCCATCACTCACCTTTGGGCCCCTGCACGCGCGCTGCTGCTGACCCTCGCCCATCCTCGACCGCAGGACCAGCTCTCGGAGCTGCTCGGCACGGCCGCCGCACAGCAGGGCCTGGCCACCGAGCTGGCCAACATGCTGGCCGAGCGCGCAGCTCTGGAGCGCGAGTATGCCGGACGCCTGCAGGCCATCACGCGCAAGGCGCGCGAGCGACGTGACCGCCGCGTGCTGGAGGCGGCGGTGGGGCCGGAGCCGAACCGCAGCGTGTCCGCAGAGGAGGCCAAGGACAGGTGAGTGCTCGTTTGGACGAACGGCCAGCACTGGGGGGCACGGGCGAGCGCGGAGCGCACGGTGTACGGGTGGTCGGGGAATCAGCAGGCTGATCGATGGACCAGCTCGCTGCAGAAGTACATCACCTTCGTCCTGCACACGAGCGACGGCGCGGCCAACAGATCAGCCACGCTCGCCGAGCAGCTGGACAGCGTGAGCAATGAGCTCGCAGCCGGAGCGAGGAAGCGCGAGGCGGTGGTGAAGAAGGTGCGTATGAGCGCCCTCACCGGCAGTCTGCCGCGGCCTTCTGAAGCACACTGCGTCTGCAGCACGGCGCGTTCGGCACAAAGGTGCTGGCCGAGCGCGATCGCTTCCACAGCGAGCGGACCAAGGCCAAGGCCAAGTACGACGAGTCATGCTCCGAGCTCGAGTCTGCACGCGCCAAGAAGGTCTCTGCCGAGGGCGATGGCAAGCATGTGGACCGCGCGACGAAGGCATGGAAGGAGGCGGAGGACACCATGGAGAGCGCCAAGGTGAGGCACGCATCGGGCTGCGACTCAGCTGCCCTCAGACTGATCATGCTGCACATTAGAACACATATCTCTGCGCCATTGCCGTCTCGAACCGCGCGAACTCGCACTTCTACAAAGCCACGCTGCCGGCTCTGCACGACGTGAGTATGACTTGCAGACCAGGCGCGACCGGCAGCTCATTCTGCCCTCAGAACTTGCAAGCTCTGTGGACTCTCTCCTCCGCTCGCCTCGTCTCCTCTCTTTCCACCGCATCCGCCCGCATGCTCGCGCACGAGAAGACATTAGCGAGCGGCGAGGAAGCGAGCATTGCTGCCGCGCAGAATGTCGATGCGCTGGCCGACCAGGAGTTCTACGTCAAGTTCAACCAAAGGCAGCACTGGAGCGAGCCGCCGCCGATCACGTACGAGCCGGCGCCGGGCTTTTACGATACAGAGGAGATGAAGGAGGGAGATGCTGCGCGGGTACAGCTGCAGAACCGCCTGCTCAAGGCTCGTGCCCGGGTGCGTTGCACCGTGTGAGCGCGGAAGAGCAAGAGCTGACACACCATTCGAGCAGATCGACGAGCTGGTGCCCATCATCGAAGCGAAGCGGCGAGAGGCCGAGGGCCTGGAGCGCCTGCGTGCCGCCTACGAGGGCGACTCTGCATTGGGCAACCCGGACGATGTGATGGACGTGAGCCGGCTCCATGCTCGGCATGCGGTGTGGTCGCTGACGTGGCGAGCCAACAGAACTTGCTTGATGCCCTGCGGGAGACGACTGCGCTGGAGCTGCAGGTGGCTGTCTGTGAAGCCGAGATCGAGGAGTGCGTGGGCGTCATTGGCGGTGCGTCGAGCCTGTGACACAGATTGCGGCGCGTCAGTGGTCTGATGCGCTATTCGCAGAGGACTCGTCAGACGCAAGACCACATCGCTTCACGCCGCACAACTTCACCATTCCGACGACGTGCGGCCTCTGCCAGAGCACCATGTGGGGCATCAGCGGACGCAATGCGCTCATCTGCAAGCGTGAGTGAAGCACCGCGAACAAGCGCGGCTCGAATGCTGACTTGCGACCTCTTGCCAGCGTGCGGCTACACCTGGTAAGCCTCGAGTTGTCGTTGCCTAGCCTCTGCCTGACTAACGCCCCATGTACAGCCACGCCAAGTGCGAAGCAAAAGTCCCGCCGAAGTGTCGTGCGGGCAACAAGCCAACGCATCGCCCGACCGGCTCCGTCTCGCTCGGACGCTCCTCGACGAGCGCCTCGACCCGCACAACTGGCAGCCGGCTCTCCATGCCTGCGCTCGCCAGCCCTGCTCGAGCAGCGCCGCCCGCACGCGCAGTGCCGCCGCCGCAAGCGGCTGCTCCGGCTGCAAGCGGCACGATGCTGTATGCATACGATGCGGCAAACGAGGGCGAGGTATCCGTGCAAGGTGAGCCTCGTCCCGCGCTTCTCTCAAGCACACTGACTGACAACGATGCACCACAGCTGGCGAGGCGGTAGAGGTGCTCGCCGACGACGACGGTGGCTGGCTGAGCGTGCGTACTGGCGCTGGCGACAGCGGTCTGGTGCCGACGTCGTACGTCGACCTCTCTGGCGCGCCTGCTGCGGTGCCGAGCACCGTGCCGGCCGCAGCGGCGACGCAGGCACAGGGCTGCGGCGAGTTTGTGGTGGCGCTCTTCGACTACAAGGCACAGGACGACGACGAGCTGGATCTCGTCGCTGGCGAGCTCGTGGAGCTGACGACGGCGGGCCTCACGTATGCCGATGGCTGGGCGCAGGGCATCAAGGTTGGCCGTGTGGGCGTCTTCCCGAAGACGTACGTGCGGCCGGACGATGAGGAATAGAAGCAGCACGCTGCGGCCTTTGCACATCCCGGCTGAGGAGGTCAGCGGGTAGGAAGCAGCCCTGAGAGCGCAAAGCAGTGCCTCCTTCGCTTGAGATCTCGCTCCCCGGCAGCAGCGCCTCGAGAGCGGACCCGCCGCGCCGGCGTCTTGCCGACGCAGAGCGCTGCATCCCGATGTGCGCCGATGTGGTGCCTGTCGCAAGGGCATGCCGACGTCCCCGCACAGCACATGCCCCCTCCCTCAGCAGTAGCACCTTGTCCACTCTGCTCGAGATGCAGGACCCGACGCAGGCTGAAGTACGGATGATCTGCGTGGTACCGTGCCAGCGGAGTTGCCGATATCGAGAGCCCACGCTGATCTCTCTGCTGCTGCTGGCCGGCCAAAGCAGCCGCGCGGTCAGGCACGGCCGCGACAACCTTGTGCTGGCGCCGTGGCTGCGCCTGCATCTGCACGTCATGCGGCGCCCACGCCGAGCTCGGCGGCGGCACATGGCCAGCAAGGCGCGCCGCCTGCGTGCACGGCCTCTATGCCGAGGAGGCAGCTGCACCTTCCGGTCCGGAGCGGCAGCCGAGCGCGAGGCTCTGGCGTCTGGCTCGAGACGCTCTGGCGGGGTGCGCTGCCGGCACCTCGACAGCACGCAGCGCAGCGCTCGAGTTGATGTGACGGCGGCATCTGCTGCAGCCCCACGCCCGCCAAGAGAGCGGAGCATGGCTGCCGGTGCGGCCGGCCGCGCTGCTCTCCTCCTCTCCGCACACACGCTCATCTCCCGCTCCACCCGCTGCTCCACCACACCCAGCAGCGCCATTCGCTGCTCTCTCCTCGCCGCGCCGTCCCGCGTCTGCGCCCTTCTGCACGGCCGTCGCATCGCCGCGCCTCCTCGTCGTACCTTCGCCGCCTTTCGCCCCTCGCCGCGCGCCAGCATGCCCGACTTTGTCGGCAGCATCGATGCCGGTGCGTCGCCGCTGCTGCTGCTGCTGCCGCTGCCGGCGCACTGAGTGATGCTCACCCCTGCGCCAGGCACCACGTCGGTGCGCTTCATGATCTTCAACGAGCGCGCCGAGGTGCAGGCCAGCCACGGCCTCGAGTTCACGCAGTTCTTCGAGCACCCCGGCTGGCAGGACCAGGATGCGCACGAGATCGTCGACAAGGTCAACGAGTGCATCGACGTGGCCGTGCGCCAGCTCGAGGAGAGCGGCAAGGGCAGCAAGAAGGACATCAAGGTCATCGGTAAGTCGCAGCTGGCAATGCCGCAGGCGCGCCGTGCTTGCGGAGGACGAGCAGGGCCAACAATGGCTTCAGTAGCGGCGCTGCTCCTCGAGGCCGCCTTCGACTGACGCTGCCGGCCCGCAGGCATCACAAACCAGCGCGAGACGACCGTCGTGTGGGACAAGAAGACGGGGCGGGCACTGACGCGCGCCATCGCCTGGCCCGACACGCGCACCACACACACGGTGCGCCAGCTGGCCGAGAAGAGCGACAAAGGCACGGACGCTGTGAAGCTCGAGACTGGCCTGCCGCTCTGTGCGTATCTGCTCGGGCAGGAGTCAGCAGCGTCGCTCTGAGCTCATCTGTTCGCCTGCACAGCGACCTACTTTGCGGCGCTCAAGCTGCGCTGGATGCTCGACAACATCCCAGAGGTCAAGAAGGCGCACGACGACAAGAACATGCTCTTCGGCACCGTCGACAGCTGGCTGCTCTACGTGCGTTGCTCTTGCTTTCTGTGCCCCGCCAAGGACAGCGCTCACTCCACCCGCCTGCAGAACCTGACGGGCCGCAAGGTGCACTACACCGACGCCTCGAACGCCTCGCGCACCATGTTCATGGACCTGCGCAAGCAGACGTGGGACCCCAAGCTGTGCGACTTCTTTGGCATCGACATGGACATTCTGCCCGAGATCAAGAGCTCGTCGGAGGTGTATGGCACGGTGGCAGAGGGAACGCTGCAGGGCGTTGAAATTGCGGGCCTGATCGGCGACCAGGTGAGTGCTGTATGGGCGTGACGGCAGAACGCTGCTGATGGCCGGCCGCACATCAGATGGGCGCACTCATCGGGCAGAAGGCGCTCACGCCCGGCGAGGCGAAGAACACCTACGGTGCGCAGCCTCTCACTGCTTCACGCTCTGCGCCCGCTGACCTCGCGTATTGCTGCCAGGCACGGGCGCGTTCCTGCTCTACAACACTGGCGACAAGGTCGTCGACAGCAAGAACGGGCTGCTCTCCACGATTGCCTACAAGGCCGGCCCCAACGCCGAGCCCGTGTACGCCCTCGAGGGCTCGATCGCTGTGTGCGGCTCGGCGATCAAGTGGCTGCGCGACAGCATTGGCCTCATCAAGGAGGCCGCCGAGGTTGGCGAGCTGGCGGAGGGCGTCGAGGACACGGGCGGCGTCTACTTCGTCACGGCGTTCAGCGGCCTGCTGTGCCCGTATTGGGACGACACGGCCTCGGGCATGATCATTGTGCGTGATGACTTGCGCCTGCTCGGCAGTGCGTGCAACTGACAATTCCTCTCAGGGCATGACCGGCTACACGGACAAGCGCCACATCGCGCGCGCTACCATCGAGGCGGCCTGCTACCAGACACAAGCCGTGCTGGCCGCGTGCGAGAAGGATTCGGGTGTGCCGCTGGCGTCGCTGCAGGTCGACGGCGGCATGACCAAGTGCGTGGTTGTGCGCCGTGTGGGCTGGCAGCTCAAGAGACTGACGGCCTTGTCTCGCAGCTCCGACATCATCATGCAGATCCAGGCCGACATCCTGGGCCTAACCGTCGAGCGGCCCGAGATGCGGGAGTGAGTTGTCTCTAAGCCCTCACCGCCTAGGCCGTGGCTGACGGCATCTTACGCTTGCACAGAACGACGGCGCTGGGCTCCGCACTGCTTGCAGGCGCCGCCAAGGGCCTCTTCGGCTGGGACCTCAGCAAGCCCGAGACGCTCAAGGACGTCAATGCGGCGGGCAAGCAGAAGTTCGAGCCGAGCATCTCTGCCGAGCGCCGCAAGGAGCTGCTGCACGGCTGGGAGCGCGCCGTGGAGCGCTGCAAGGCGTGGAACGAGAGCCCGTGAAGAAGAAGCCGAGGCCATACTTTCTCACACTCTCTCTGCTGCGGCATCTGCTCCGCATTCGTTCCGTGTCCGCGCGTGCCCCCACACGCGCCCGGGCAGCTCGTCATCCGGTCATCGAGGGAAGGGAAGGGAGGAATGAAGCATTGCAAGCACTGAGGATGTCGCGACGGCGCATCTACTTGGCCTGGCGAGCGCGCTTGAGCTCCAGCTGGCCGGTCTTCTTGTGGCTTTCCTGGATGGCGCGCTTGCGCTTCGACGTCTTGATCTCGTCTGCCTTCTCCTTCTCCTTGTTGCGCTCGGCGCGCCGCTCGGCCTGCTTGGCGCTGCGCTTGGCGCCCTTCTCCTTCTGCACGGCCTGCATCTGCTGCAGCAGCGCCGTCGCGGCCCGCTCGTCCTTCTCCATGACGACGGCGCGCTGGGACATGTAGCTCTTGTTCGCCGCCTGGAGAGAGAGAGCGTGAGTGTTGTGCTGTGGTGGCTGCGAGTGATGCTGGCCTCACCTTCTTGAGCACCTTGGTCTTCGACGCGTACGGCTGAGACACGACGCGTCAGCACCGATGAGGGCATGCACCATGGCGCTGGCACTCACTAGCGCAGCCTGCAGCTTGCGCGGCACCTTGAGGGCGTTGAACTTGCGGTTGAGCGGGCGCTCGGTGATGGGCTTGTAGATCGAGTCGACGTTGCGGCCGGGCGTCTTGATGCGCTCGTCGCGCCGCACGGCGCCCGTGAGGCGCATGCCGCGCCAGTCGCGCGTGCCGCCGTCGCCCGAGGGCGAGAGCAGCAGCGATGTGACGGGATTGTAGAACTTGCGCGGCAAGATGGCGTACCAGGCACGCAGAAAGACGATGTCTGCGAAGTGTGTGAGTGCCAGGTGACGCAGCGCAACGCCTCTCTCCCAAGCCGCACGCACCGCTCATGAGCACCTTGTCCTCAAACGTAGCGCGGAAGTGGCCCTCGGGCTTGGCGAGCGCCTTCTTGACCTGCCCGCGGATGCCCGAGACGGTCTTGATGTGCGCGCCCTCGAACTTGGCCACCTCGAGGCTGCTGTTGAACATGTCCTTGATGAAGGCCGTGTTCTTGAACACCTTTGCCGGCGTGCCCGTCAGCTTGAGCTTCTTGACGATGCGGTGCGCCGCGGCGCCGGCGTCGACGTCCAGCACAGTGCCCGTGGCGCTGATGCGGAAGCCCGGCGTGTCGGCGCCCAGCGTGTTGAAGGCGCAGAAGCCGGTATTGGGCCGCGAGGCGGGGCCCCAGAACGTGGCGAGGCAGTGCATGTGCTCCGGCGTATACTTGAGCATGCGGTTGCGCGTGCCATCGTCGAGACTGTAGATCGGCGTGCTCTGGAAGCGCCGCCAGCCCATGCTGAAGATGAGCGGGTCGTTGCACTTGAGGATGCGGTGGTGCCAGCGGTGGCGCTTGATGCGCACCTGCACGTAGCCCAGCTGCTCCTCGCTCGGCAGCAGGCCGCCGACGAGCAGCGGGTAGCGCGGGTCGAAGTGCTCGATGAGCTCGCACGGCACGTTGGACAGCTCGATGCGCACATAGGCGCCCGGCCGGAAGCCCTGCACCAGGTCGCGCGTCGCCTGGTCCTCGTCGGCAAAGGCCGCGCGGTTCGCTTCGGCCTGGCGCGCCAGCTCTGCCTTTTGCTCGTCGTACCAGTCGCCCGCAGCCGCATCGTCGGCGTCGTCGTACTGCTCGTCAAATTTGCGCTTCAGCGCCGCCTTCTTCGATGCCAGAGCATCAGCTCGGGCTGCGTCGCTCTCGGGCGCTGCGCCCTCGTCCTCATCACTGCTGCTCTCCCCCTCCTCGTCCTCAAAGCCCTTCCACTCGTCTCCGGCGGCTGCCGGCGCAGCCTGCTCCCCTTCGCCAGTGCCATTGCGCGCGGCGTCGCGCGCAGCGTCTGCCTCGGCTGCCTCGGCACCAGTGATGAAGAGGTGGCGGATGGAGTCGAGCGTCTCCTCGTCTTGCCAGCGCGCCAGCTCGGCAGGCTCAAAGAGCATCTTGCTCTCGTCTGGCACGAGTCCGGCACCCGGTGCGGCCAGTGCCTCCTCGCCGTCTTCGAGACGGTCGCCGTGCGCGAGCTGGAAGAAGTCGTCGTCGTCGTCGTCGGACGGGCGGTTGCCGGAGGGTCCGGCCTCGCCCAGGCCATAGATGTCGCCCGCGGCGATCTTCTCCGGCGACAGGTCCGTCTCGTAGATGAGGCGCATCAGGTCCGGCGCTCGCCGCGCACGGTTGGCGAGCACAGTCTCCTGCGCGCGCGCAGCCAGGTCGCGCTTCCACGGCGCCGCCATGTCGTCGTCGCCGTCCGAGAGGCCCATATCGGAGTCTGACTCGGCAAAGGGGATCATGCCCGACTCGGGCCTGTCCTCGTCCTCGGCGCCAAAGCCGACGCCCTCGCCGTCGTCGTCGGAGCCCAAGTCGTAGTCGTCGTCCTCCACGTCTCTGCCGTCGTCCTCATCCTCCTCTGCCTGGCGCACGTCATCAAACGCAGCCCGGCGCGCACGCTTGCCGCGCGCGGCAGCGCTTGTTCCTTGCGCCTCGGCTGCCAGCGGCGCGGCATCCTCGTCGAAGAGGCGCAGGTCGCCCTCGCGCGCGCGCTCGTCCAGCGTCGTCTTTGCGCCCTGTAGGCCGAGCACGAGACGTTCGCCCTCGTCGCGCTCCGCCGCCTCGTCCTCGTCCTCGCCCTCGCGCTTGCTGAAGTGGCCCGGCACGGAGATGTACACGGCGTCCTTGTCGAACATGACGCCGCCGACGTCGCTCATGGGCGCGTGGATGAGCTTGTGCTTGTCGCTCAGCTTGCGCCGCTTCTCGCTGTCCATGGTGGGCAGCGGACAGGGGTCGGAGAGCCGCTCGATGCTCGCAATGCTCAGATCGCCCACGCCGGGCACGTGCACGCGCGTGCCGGGCCGCAGGTTGGTGCCGCGCAGGTAGCCGTATACTGTCGTCGTGCGGTCGGCCTTGGGGTTCAGGCGCACCGTCTCGCGCGGCGTCAGGTCCTCAAGACGGTCGGCCAGCAGGTACGGGTGCGCGTTGCGGAAGACGAGCGGCCGGAACTTCATCACGGAGATGAAGCGGCTGAGATTGGCAATCTCCGTGTCCGGGTAGCGGCCATTCATGATGCCGCTGAGGTAGAAGAGCTTGGCGCCCTGGTAGATCTCCGTCCAGAAGCGCGACTTCAGCCGCTTCTTGGTGGCGCGCAGGATGTGCGACTTCTTGATGAGGTCGAGATGCGTGAGCACGCCCATGACCTTGGGGAAGCCGTGCGCCTGCAGCACGTTGAGGAACTCCATCGTCTCCATCTCAAAGCCGAAGCTGCCGTCGATCATAAGCAGCACGAGGTCGGCCACCTTGCCAATGTCGATCATCGAGTTGAGGTCGTTGTTGCACTCAATGAACGTGATGCGGCGCTTCTTGCCTGCGTGAGGGCGTCAGCGGTAAGGCCGGTGCGGCACGGAAGCGGATGTGCATGTACTTCACCACCTCGACAGCTGCTGCCGTGCTGCATCGCCGATGCCGCTGCACTGCCGCCGAGCACGCCCGGGTAGGCTGACTCGTCGATGCCGCTGCGGCCAGCACGCCACACACCGCGCTGCCCTGCCGCTGCACGGCCGACCGCGGCCCCGTCCCACCCGCACCTGCGCCGCACTACTCACCGCTGACAAGCGTCACCGGCCCCCGGATCTCCGTCAGTGTGTGCTTGGTGAAGCGGCGAATGAGCGAGCGCATGAGCGTGCTCTTGCCCACGCCCTCGGGCCCGACGATGGCGACAATGACGGGCGGCGCCTCGTCGTCGTGCGTGCGGTTCACGAGCGGCACGTGCAGGCGCTGCTGGTCGCGCTCGGCATTGCGGCGGATCTGCTTGTCGGCGGTGCGCGGGTTGGCCGAGACGAATGCCTGTGCGACGAGGAGGTGAGCAGGTGTGGGAGAGTGAGGTGCGCACAGTGGCACACTCACGCGCGGGTTCTGCCCGCCGGCGTGCTTGCCTGCCTTTGCGGCGGCGGTGGTGCCCTTGTCGGTGCGCGAGGCGCGGTGGGCGCGGTGCACCTGCGTGGCGTCGGCCATGCTGTGCGAGGGGGATGGGGTGCAGGAGGAGGAAGCATCAGAGCTCGCGGCACGGCACGGCCAGCCACTTTTTCGGCCCGTCTCGCACGGGAAGGAGAGGCGGGCGAGGCCAGCGCGTTCCCACGCCGCGGCGTGGGAGCGGGCGGCCTGGCGCGCGGCGTGGTGGAGGCGCCGGCCCCCCTCGCGGCGGCTGTTGGTTGGCTGGCTGCGCGCCTCCCTCCCAGTCCCGTACCACCACCTGCGCCTGCTCTGCAGCCCCTGCGTCTGCGACTCGCCATCATGCGGCCACTCGCCGCCGCACTCTGCCTCGCGCCTCTCCTCGCTGCGCCTCTCGCCGCCGCCGCTGCTGCAGCGGACGCCGCCTCGCTGCCGCCGCCGCCGCTGCGCATCGCTATCATCGGCGCCGGGCCGGGCGGCACCAGTGCCGCCTACTGGCTCGCGCGCGCGCAGCAGCAGCTCGATGCTGCCGCTCTGCTCTCCGCCGAGAGTCAGGCAGCTGGCGGCGGCCAGCGCACGGCCGTGCCGCTGCGCGACGCCTTCGACGTGACGGTATACGAGCGTGAGGAGCGTATCGGCGGACGGACCGCCATCGTGCATCCCCATGATGACGACTCGCTCGAGGCCATAGAGCTCGGAGCCAGCATCTTTGCGGATGTCAACTACAACCTGAAGCGCGCTGCCAAGGTGCGTCTCGCTGGCACAGGCGTACAAGGGCGAGGCTGACGCACCCGCGCGACAGCAATTCGGCCTGCCCACGGACGCGAAGCTGGGCGAGGACGATGCGACAGTGGGCATTTGGGACGGACAGCAGTTTCTGGTCGAGGTGAGTGCTGCAGTGCTGTGCTGTTGTGCTTGCCGTGTCCTGACTGCGCCATGTGCCAGGGCCTGGACGACTCGTGGTGGAACAGCGCACGCATGCTCTGGCGCTACGGTTATTCGCCCATGACGACGAAGAAGCTGTGAGTGCCTGCATATGCGCGTCGCCTGGAACACTTGGCTGATCGCCTTACCTGTGTGTGCAGCGTCACGAAGCTTGTCTCGCTCTTCGTCAGCATGTACGATGCAAAGTTCCTGCATGCGCCACGCGATGAGCACGCCAACGCTACGGCCAGTGGCTTCCCGTGGGCGACGATGGAGGAGCTGAGCAAGGCGGTGGGCTTCAAGGATCTCTCGAACCAGGTGGCGGGCGACTACTTTGCCAAGCAGGGCGTGACGAAGCTCTTTGTGAGTGTGCAGCGTGGCGACTGCGGCGTCTCGCTGATCATGCCTCGCGTAGACCGACGAGGTCATCGAGGCCGCCACGCTCGTCAACTACGGCCAGGACATCTACTCGATCCACGCCGTCGGCGGCGGCGTCTCGCTTGCGGCATCTGGCGCCACTGGCATCCGCGGCGGCAACTACAAGCTGTTTGAGGAGTTCCTGGGGCGCAGCGGTGCACGACTGCGCATGGGGCTAGGCGGCCAAGTCACTGGGCTCGTCAAGTTCGCCAGCGCCAGTGCCGCACTCGAGGCTGGGCACGTCCAAGCAAGCGATGTCTCGCAGATGCGCGACGAAGGCGTCAAGTGGTGGGTGGGCACCCGCAGCGGGGCAGGCGCGCTCTACGACCGAGTCCTCGTCGCCACGCCCTGGCACAACGCCGGCATCACGCTGATGAACACGCACGCGACGATCCCGACGCCGCCATACGTGCATCTGCACGTCACGCTGCTCGTGACGAATGCGAGCCAGCCGAACCCGCGATACTTTGGTCGCGGCGACCAGGACGTCGTGCCGACTAGCGTGCTGACGTCGCACGAGGCCCTGCGCGCTATGGCCAAGAAGAAGAAGGCGGGCAAGGAGAAGCCGGAGGCACTGCAGCGCCGCGCTCAAATACCCCTCATGCCCGCTGGCAAGCTCGGCTGGTGGCCCGGCGAAGGCAAGCACGAGCCCGTGCTTGAGGTGAGAGTGCAGATTCTCCGTCCAGATACCGCGCCGGGCTGACGGCTCCGTCGCAGTTCAACAGCCTCAGCTACCTCTCCAAGCTCGAGCCGCGCAACGCCAGTGTCTCTTCAAAAGATGAGCACGTCGTCAAGGTGCGTCGTCGCGAGCTCGCTGGCGTGCTCTGCATTGCAGTGCTGACGAGACCTGTGCCAGATCTTCTCGGCGGCAGCACTGAGCGATGCACAGCTGGAGCGCATCATGGGCACGGGCAACGTGCTCTGGGTGCGCCGGCAGGAGTGGGACGCCTACCCCGGTGCGTCTTTCCGGCGCTTGCACTCGCAGCGCCGCAGGCTGAGCTCGCCCCTCTCGCAGAGCTGCGTCCCACGGCCGAGTTCCCAAAGCTGCACGTCGATGACGGCCTGTTCTTCCTCAACGCCTTTGAGCGGTATGTGCCCTACACACCTCCGCCTCTGTCCGTCGACTCACACGCTCCTCCTACAGGCTGATCAGCACAATGGAGACAGCGACCGTCTCGTCGCGCAACGTCGTCGCCCACCTGCTCGAGCAGGAGCTGGGCTGGGACTTTGTGCACGGCGGCGCCAACTGCTCAGATGTGCCCAGCGACGTGCAGCAGCGCGCCGCTGCCGCAGCTGACCACGACGCGTGGAGCGGATGGGGCTGTCACTCGGGCTGAGGCTAGTCTGCCCGTCCCGCTCCTCAACGATTCTCTCTCGCGCCTCCTTTGCTTGTACTATGTCTGTCACCCACGCTTCCTAACGATGCCTTCTTTGCTCTGCGCACGCCCGCACTCTCTAGCATGCCGATCTGCATTCGTCATCGTGATGGTGAGGCGAGAGGGAGAGAAGGTCGGGGAGGGGAATGGCAGAGAGATCGGGCGAACGATTGTTCCGCTCGCAACATCGCTCACGGCCCGCCCACGGCCCGCCATGGCCCGTCACGGAGCAGCCACTCTCATAGCTGCTTAGTAGCCCCGCGAGCACTTTTCCTGCAGCAGGATGGCGCGTCAGCGATGACCAAGAGATTGTGACGTACGCAGCGCGGCACTTACGAGAACTGAGAGAGAGGCAAGCAGAGAAGAGAAGGTTGCTCGTGTCAGCGCGTTGTCTTCCATTGCTGCGAGCTCTCGTGCCCCTCGCCCGCCCAAGTGCAAGCGCGCGTTCATAAAGCGTGGCCGGCCCGACCCGATGCTGCTCTGTCATGTCGCCGGATCGCACGTGTAGCGATCGTCGACGACGATAGGAGGCAGCGAACGGGGGCAGCATCCGCCTTGCACGTCCACTGCACGCGCATGCGCATCGTGCGCTCAAATTGCCCTGTGTCGCCGCGTGCGCGCCCCGAGTTCCATCCGCCCCCTTCTTCACAGTCGCTGCCATCCGCACACCCTCTCAAGGCGCGTCCAGACCTGACCGAGGCCGTCGCGCTCGTGTTCGCGCGCGCGAGGCGCAGGCCGGCTGCACAGTCCGTTCTTGATCTCTGGCACAGCACAGCACTGGCGCATCGGTGGTGTGCCCTCTCCCTCTCTCGGTGCAGCTCCTCGTCCCTCCGCGCATCTGTTCCTCCCATCCACCAGCCCTCCCTTTCCGTGCTCAAACCCGTCTCCATGCGCGCGCAAGACTCACCGGCATCGTACGCGACCTCGTCAATGTCGGTCGCCTGCACCTCGACAGCAACGCCGACGAGGGCCTTGCGCAGCGCATCCTTGGACGAGGCGGCCAGCATCTTGGCCTTGATCTTTGCGTCATCCGGCGCCCTGCACGCGACGAGACGGGGTCAGCGATGCGGCGGTGGGTGAGGTGCGACACGGCGCTGGGCGATGTGCAAAGCATGCGGATGCAGGATGGGAGCACCGTAGCCGGTGCGATGTGCCAGAGGCGCTGCTGTGCCCGCACGACACACCCTGCCAGCATGCTGCGCCCGTATCCTTCATCGCCTTGCCATCCGCCATACATCCCACCGCCCTTCCTGCTGCACACCCGCACGCACCAGCTGATGAAGCAGATCTTGTTCCTCTTGCCCTCGTCGCCCTTTGTGAACTCAAAGTCGTACACGCCCCACACGCAGTCGTCCTTGGGCAGCTTCTCGAGGAAGGCGTCGTAGTCGGCGGCGGCGTCGTGCTGCGCGGGGGCCGTGTGCAGCACGACAATCTCCGTCTTGTCGGCGCTGAGGCCGTAGAGGATGTAGCGCAGCGACTTGCCGAGCTTGAGCTGCTGGTACGCGGCCAGACAGTCGGAGGAGACCTTGACGCCCGAGGACTGCGGAGGGAGTCAGCGCGGTGCAACGGCAAGCGATGCAGACGGATGCGCACGCACCATGCTGGGCAGATGTGTAGTGGAGCGAGGAGAGGGTGCGGGAGAGGGTGATGCGGAGCAGGAGGAAGCGAAGCTCGGCCGCGAGGAGCGCGATGGCTGATGCGCGATGCAGCGCCAGGGCCACCCAGCTCAGGCGCTCGGGCACAGCCCTGCAGCGCGACGTGTTGTCGGACAGCCACGCCACGCGCGCCGCAAGCGGCGGCGGTGCGGCCTCAGCTCGGCCAGGCGCGCGTCAGGGGCGCCGCGCCTGGGCCTGCGCCAGCGGGCGGATAGAGCTGCGCGTGCGACTCCGCACATGTGCGGCGCGCCGCGCAGCCTTGCCCCGCCTCCACTTCAACATCCTCGCCCTCGCAGCTCTCGTCAGCCTCCCTGGTCGTGTGCACTGCGCGAGTCACATAGGCATGCGTGCAATTCGTAGCGGGGTAATAAGAGGAACCAGACGCGGGCAGGCGTGTGACGCAAAAGAGAGACGTAGAAAGAGGCAAGGCGGCGCGCCGTGGGATCGCGAGGTGCGAAAGCAGGTGCTCGAAGATAGGAAGGTGGAAGAGAGGCAGCTGCTCGGACGCAGCATGCGCAAAGCGAGCGCTACCGCTACGTCCGGGAGCACCTCCTCTACTCGGCCTTCTTGGCCGCGCGGCGCGGCTGCGTGCGCTCGCCCTTTGCCGCCTCCTTGACCGGCTTGGCCGTCTTTGCCTTGCCCGCCTTTGCGCCCGCGCTCTTCTCCTTCGACGCCGAGCTCTTCTCCTTCTTCTCCTTCTCCGGCGCCTTCTCCTTGGCCGGCGCCTTCTTCTCCTTCGTCTCCTTCTCCTTGGGCTCCGCAGCGGGCGCGGCCTCCTTCTCCTTGCCCTCGCCCTTGCCCTCCTCGGCCGCGTCGCTCTTCTTGCCCTTCGACGCCGGCGCCTTCTTGCTGCCGACGGGCGCAGCGGGGTCCTTGCGCTCGCCGCTCTTCACGGCAGACTCCTTGGGCTTGGGCGCGCCCTAGCGTGAGGAGAAAGGAGTCAGCGGCAAGCATCGCAACTGCCCTCTCGTCGGGCCGGCGAGAAGCGGCAAGGCTTGAGTCGGGCTCGCTCGCTCGCTCGCGCAACTCACCTTGCTCGCCTCGTTCGGGTTGTCGCCGCTGTCCTCGTAGCCGCCGCCCTTTGCCTCGTACACCTTGGCCATCTCGGCCGCCTTGTACGCCGACCAGTTGCCCTTGCCGCCGCCCTTCTCCATCTGCTTCACCTCTGCGAGCAGCACACGAGAGCGTCAGTCAGGGGACAGCACGGGAAGCTGCTGCCGCCTTTGTGAGGCAACTGCGGGATCACGCACCCTCCTTGGCCTCCTCGCGCAGCTTCGGGTCCGTCGGCTTGCCCTTGGACGACGGCATGGCGGATTCTTTCCAGGCGAGGTTGCGAGAGCGAGAGCTGGGAGCGAAGCGAGTTCAAGGCTAGGAAGCGAGCAGCAGGCAAGAAGACGAAGATGAAGCAGTTGCAAAGAACGGGCGAGACAGGTATGGGATGCAGGTGGAGGGAAGGCAAGCCGCTGAGCCGCCGGGAGCTCGAGACGACAACACGGCGCCGGGCGGGGACGAGGCGCGCGGGCGCCCCGGGCCGCCATCCCATCCACCCCCCGACACGGCTCAGCTGCAGCCGCTCTCTCCAGCGGCCTCCCTCTCCGCCGCTTGCTGACCAAACTGCCGGATGCGCGCGCAGCGGGACGTTGGCGCGGCCCTTCGCCCACATCCAGGCAACACGCGTGCTCGACGCGACGCGGCTGCATCATCAGCGCGGCCTCTTCGCCTTCCCCGCTCGACCCTGCGGCGTCCGAATCCACCACGCGCGCGCCGCCTCGCCCTCCACCCGACTCGCATCAGAATGCGCCTCATTTGACAGCAGCAGCAGCCGCTCCGCACCCGTGTTCTCTGCGAAGAGCACCTTCAGCAAGGCTTCGTTGTTCTGGGTGCTGCCAGGTGCGCAACGGTGGCGCAGCGCTCGGCCTCCGCGACGCGCGGCCTCCGGCGCTCGAGCGCGCTACGTCACCTCGTCCGTCGTCACCCGCACGAGTGCCCTCGCTCTGACTCCGCCAGCGCTTCCGGCCGTCTTGAGAAGGCATCGCTCCTGCAGCCGCTGAGGCGGCAAGGGTGCATTTAGCATCGAGAGTCGGCAGCGGGCGTGACACGCAGCAGCAAGGCACCGAAGCGCAGCATGCGATGTCCAGATGGGGCAGGCGTGCGCCGCTCAACATCCACCTCGCACCTCCTGCCTCCTTTCCCCGCACTGCCGCGGCAGCAAACAGAGCGTGGCTGTCGCCCTGCTGCAGCTGATCCGCCATCTCTGACTGACGCCCTGCAGCTGAATCCCTCGTCCACGCGCGGTCTCCCGACAGGCGAGGGACCTGCTTGGCTCGCGCCGCGCGTCCAGTGTGCGCCGGCGTGGCGTGACCTCGCAGGCCGCCGCCGCCGTTCAGCAGCATAGTCACGCTTGCTTCCCTGGTCTCGGGGGCGCAGTCTCACACTCCTGTTCCGAGCAGGATCATGTGCACTGCGTCCTGCAAGCCTGCGTGTGTGCACCCATTCTTATTTGTCGCACTGCGGAGCCGACAGCGCGTCGTTGCGTAGGACGACCGAGCGGCGTGCCGCGCGACGTGGACTGTCAAGGCTGCACCTCGTCTCCAGAATCATCTGGAGCAGCCTGCGCGGCTCCGAGAGAACGAGGAGATGTGCGAGGAGGCTCTGCACTCCGACCGTCGGCACGTGGCGGAGCTGGGACGCTGTGCAGTCGAGTGCGTTTGGAAGTGGCTCAGCTCCTCTTCCCTAAGGATAACACAGCCTGCGGAGCGCCGGCCCAAGCGACGGTCCATTCTGATTGCTCGCCTTCTCGATTGGCTTGAGACGCTCACGTGGCGATTGGGCATGCCGGAGGTAGAACTCGGAGGGTCATCGGCGCACCAGCACACGGCGTTTGTGTGCTTGCAAGCCGCACCGCGGCCGCGTGGAGCCGCAGCCTTGGCGTGTGAAGAGAGAGATCGGCGCGGCGACGGGCCCGCGCTCGCACCGAGCGGCCGGCGGCCCGCAAGAGGCTCTCTGAACGCCCGTGGGCTGCGCTATGGCAGCGAGACAGGCGCCATGCCGGCCGATGGAGACCGATGGCTAGCCATTTGCGGCAGCCCGCGTGCGAGAGGCGTGAGGGTGGCATGAAGGCAGATCAGCTGCACCCTGATGCACTCCTGCTTGCCGAGGCTAAGGCTCGCAGCCGCAGCAGCAGGCCGCGCTAAGCCTTGCTGCCGCAACGGTGCTTTTGCCGAAACGCGAAAGGGAGCAGCCGAGTCTAGACACAAGGCGGCAGAGTCAGAGCGCAGCTGCAACCTGCGAGCCCAACGGCTCTTGTGGCTGCGCTACAGCCCGGTGCCGTGCAAGACGCACGAGGAGGCGCGAGAACAACCTCGGCGCAGCGGCTCAAGGCGGTTGAGCCGCTGTCGCACGCCCATGCTGCGTCTCTGCACGCTGCGGCTGCGTCGTGGACTCGTGGTGCTTTTGCCGCGTGGGCCCCCTCTCTCGTCTCGAGGGCTGCGCTGAGCAGCGTCGGAGAGGGGCACAGCGCGGCAGGGCAGCAGACGTGGCGCAAAGCCTCCGCGAGCCGCTCCGCTCTCCCGCTGCCTCCGCCCGGCGGCCGCTCGGCTGCTTCTCTCGCGCAGGTGAGTCTCGCAGACGAGCGTGCGCGCTGCAGAAGCGGCGCCGGGCCGCACGCAGCGCTCGGCATTTCGCACGCCGCCAAGCAAGATGGGAGGAAGGCGGAGTTGCGGGCGGGCGCATGTGCCCGACGGCATGCTCGAGGAGCGACGACGGCGCCCTCGACGGCGCGGTGCCGCGGGTCGCGGCGTTGATGCGGCATGCGGCTGCGGATGCGGGCCGAGTGCGAGTGCAGCAGCAGCAGACACGCCGCAGCGGCCGCGGCTGCAGCACCAGGCAGAGCGAGCGCACGAGGAACATCTCGAGGCTCGCTCCTCTCCCTCGGGCGGCAAGGCGGAGCCTATTTCGCTCCGCCGTGCAGCTGCTGCGCTGCCATGCCGTGGCTCTGCAGCCGACTCTCTCGCTTCACGGCGGCTGCGCGCTGCACACGCGCCGCCTCCGCGCTCCGCCGCCTCCGCACTTGATGCTGCGAGGTGTGCATCTGCGTGCGTTGCAGCGTGCAGCGCAGGCCGCTTGCATGCTGCAGCCCAGCGCTGTCAAAGCCTGAATGCTCACGGACGAAAGAGGGCGCGAGCCTGGACTGGCGTAGTGCGGTCTCAGCACAGATGCGGCGCGCCATGAGGAGGTGTTGGGCTCTCGGTGCTGCTGCGCGCGCGCTTGCCGCATCCGATGCGCGCTTTGGAGGCCGAGACACTCGCCGGCACGCACAGAGCGACGCAGCACGCCGGCAGGCACCGACGCCGCACCGTCCTGCTCCCGCTCGCTGCAGCTGCATCTCCCCCCCTCAGGTGCAGCCGCAGCGTCGTCGGAGCCGCAGAGCGGACGCACGTCCGGCCGTCCCAGGCGGCGGTCTTTTGTCGTCCAACCACCACACCGTACCGCTCCTCATTCCTCCACGCGCGCCGCGTCCAAGTCGCGTGCGCCCCTCTAGGCTTTCTCAGCGCGGGCGGGCGTCGTCGTGCAGCCATGGACGCCCTCGCGGCCGCCAGCCGCTCGAGCGCCCACGGCGCCCTGCCGCCGGCGCTGCTCGCCGCCCTGTCCGCGCCCGGCGGTGCCGGCGCCGAGGCGCTCGAGGCGCTCGACGCCTTCGTGCACGAGCTCTTCGTGCTGCGTCTGGGCGCCGACTTTTTCATCCAGGGCGTCGTGGCGCTTGCGCTCATTGGCGGCCTTATTCTTGGCGGCTGTGAGTGTGCCAGCACGCCGCTTGCCGCCGGTGCTGACCCGGGGCACATGTCTAGCATCCGTCATTCTCTACCGCATCTACCGCCAGAAGTTCTGGCTGTGGAAGGTGACGCGCCGCAGCGAGGGCATCTACATCATCCCCAACAGCCTCAACTGCTTCCTCATCTTCGAGGGCGCCTTTGGCATTCTCTGGATTGCGTTCAGCGTCGTGCAGTACATCGCGTATGGCCGGCGGTCCGATGAGGCACAGGGACACCTTGCGGTGTTCAACACTGTCGTCTGGCTGCCGCTGTGGATCGGGTGAGGCTCAGCTGCCGCGCCTGCTGTGGCACAAATGCTGACGCCCACCACAGCGCCTCGCTCGCCGGCTGGGGCTCGTTCTACACAGCTCCCGGCGCGCTGGACCGCGGACCACTGAGCAGCTCCAAGGTGGGGCGCTTCCTGCCGCGTCCGCTCATCGTCAACCTCGTCTGTCTCGGCACGCCCTTCCTGCTCGCCGCCTCCGTGGCTGCGCCCATGGCGCTGGCACAGCGCAGCCTCAACTCGAGCTTCGCCGCCTACCGCGCCTTTGCAGCGGACGTGCAGAGCGCCGTCGCCCAGGCGCCGCTGCCCTCGGACGCCGTCTCCGCCCTCGTGCGCCAAGCAAGCGGCGTGTGGGAGCAGCAGGTGCACGCCATCGACCTGCAGGGCATCACCTTTACCGTGTGGAGCGTCTGGGCGGGCCTCTTTCTCGTCTTCTACATTCCCGCAGGCGGCTACCTGCTCTATCTCGTCTGGCAGCAGATGCAACGCCAGGGGCGCATCGTGCGCGAGATGGAGGAGCGGCAGAAGGACGCGCTGCCCGCGGAGAAGCCCGCTGCTGCGGGTGCAGCCAATGCGCTGCAGAGGCCCGACAGCATCACTGTTCTCAGCCCGTCTGGCGACTCGCTGCTCTTTCAGCCGCTCAATGCTGCGCCGAACGTCGTTGCACCGGCATCACGACGCGGCAGCACGCCAAGCCAGCACACCGGCTCTCCGCCAGTGACGCCTCGCACGCTCGTCAATCCCGACACCATTGAGAAGGGCTCGCTCAAGTGCAGCTCCGGCAAGCAGGACAGCGACTTCTTCTTCCCTCCTCTGCGGCCTGATCTGCGTAAGCGAGCGACGCAGCGTGTCACCCAAGCGGGCACGCCTACAGCTCGCTACCGCTACCTGCGACGCTGCTTCATCAACCTGCTGCTGCTCTACGTCTCCATCACGCTCGGCGCATTGGCGTATCTCATCATTGCCTCTGTTCTAGGCGGACGACTCTCCGATTGCATCCGCAGTGGTCCAGACGCCATGACGCGCCTAGTGTACGGCGCCAGCTGTGCCGCTTCCTGGGTGGCCGTCGTGTTCGGCACGCTCTCCTTTGCCTCGATCTTCTCGCGCTTCTTCGATCCCTCGCACGAGGATGCCCAACGCACGCGCACGCCCTTTGCGGCGGCGGCGCGCTCGGGCAAGACGAACTCGGACATGCTGAGTCCGCACGAACGCACACGGCCGCTGCCGGCCGTGCCCGAGAGCGTGGGCGCCACGATGGACGCCGGCATGCTCAGCATGGGCGGCGGAGAGGAGCGCTCGACGAGCGACGTGCTCGACGGCATCAAGTTTCAGCTGCGGCCCGATGCGCAGGCGCCAGGCACACTGCTCATGCGTCCCGTGGATGGCGGCGCGGGTGGAAGCGCCGACGTGTCGCCGGAGTCGACACAGCTCGGCGTGGCACACGTCTTCCGACGAGGCGGACGACGCCAACGACGTCTGCAGGCGGAGCGAGCAGCGGCGCTCGATGCGGCGGGCACGACGAGCTTCCCGGAGGAAGTGTCGCAGACCGACTCGCAGCGCTCCTTCAAGGCCGGCAGGACGGTGTACTACCCGACGCCGTACGGACACATGCCGGCGCCCGCACGAGGCGAAGTGATGCCGCTGCCGCCAGAGCGATCGCCGCCGCCGACGGCCGCGGGTTCTGCTGCTCCACGCAGCGACGACGTGCAGCCCATCGAGGAGCTCCGGGAGTACGAGCTGCCCTCGCCGCCGCCGGCCGTGCGTGGCTGGGTGCACGAGTGGGGCTCTGCTTCTTCCTCTGCGGCAGGCGCACGACGAGCCAGTGTGGCGCATCACGCTCCTCCTCGCTCACCACCGCCAGCGCTCGCCGCATATCGCCGCCGCCCCAGCGCGCCGCTCCTCTGCGGCGCCGAGATGGGCTCCTCCATCCCTGCGGCCGCGGCGCGGCGCAGCAGTCTGCCGCAGCGCAGTCCGCCGCCCGGCGGCAGCCTGCCGCTGGTGCCCGGCGCCGTGCTGCCTCCCGCCGCCGAGGCGGTCGAGGAGGCGCCGCGAGGTACCCCGCCGGCGCCGCTGCTGCTCGACGGCTCGCGCCGCGTCGAGGCGGCGCGGCTGTCGCCGGGCATCTTCTTCTGAGCGCCTGCATGCATCTGCTTACCCTGTATCGTTGTGGCCTCCACTGTACTTCTATCCATTCATTCGCCGATGCCATGTTGCGTGCGAGCGTGGAGGTGGTGAGAGTGAGAGGGGCGAGTTGCTGGCAGGAAGCTCGGAGGGCCGGCGGCCGGTGGCCGAGTGCCGAAGCGGCGCCGGCCAGCGTGGCAGCCGCGGCCCGACTCGCCTCGCCGCCTGACTCGGCGCCGCTGCCCCGCTTCTGACTCTGACGTCGCTCCTTGCTTGCCCTCCACCACCACCCCTCTCTACTCATCATGTCCCGTCCCGCTCCGCCGCCCACCTCCGCCATCGACTGGGCCACGCTCGGCTTCACCGAGCGCCGCGTCGCCGGGCAGGTCGTGTGCACGTGGCGCGACGGCGCGTGGGGCGCGCCCACGTGGAGCTCCGAGCCCGAGCTCAAGATCCACGCCGCCGCCAGCTGCCTCAACTATGGCCAGCAGTGCTTCGAGGGCATCAAGGTGCGTCAGACATGGGGGCGCAGGAACGAGGGAGAGTGGGCAGCGCCGCGGCAGCGTGTCGCCGGCGAGACGGCCCTCGGCCATCGAGGTCCAGCGTGCGAAGCTCTGCGGTCTGGGGGCATCATCGGCACCGGCGGTGCTCTGCAACTTGCTGGGCATGCGAGAAGGGCGTCCCATGCTTCCTAGTCTCTGTCTTGCCTTGGCACGGCGCCCTGCTCGCTCTCGCGCCGTCTGCCGCAGCTCACGCTTCGCCCCTCGCCAGGCCTTCCGCACCAAGGCGGGCTCGGTGCACATCTTCCGCCCGCACGCCAACAGTGCGCGCATCAACCTCAGCGCACGCACGGCCAGCATGCCCACCATTCCGCAGCCGCTGTTCCTCGATGCGCTGCGCAAGGCCGTCGCCGGCAACCTGGAGTTTGTGCCGCCGTACGGCCCGTGAGTAGAAGGGAGCACATCAGGGCAATATCAGAGCTTCCGGGGGAGTGAGAGGCGGAAACGCTCCTTGAGCTGAACTGGTAGCCTGTTGTGCTGACTGCCTCGCTACTCGCAGCAACGCGTCTGCCGGCGCCCTGTACCTGCGCCCGCTGCTCATCGCCACGGGTCCCAGTCTCATCCTTGGCCCGCCGAAGGGTGCGTCTCGCACGGGTGTCGCTGCAGCGCAGAGATGCTGACAGAAGCGTGGCCTCGCAGAGTTCATGTTCGTCGTGTGGTGCACGCCCGTCGGCAGTCTGTGAGTCGTCTCGCCCGCGCCCAGCATCTGCGCGCCTGCTGATCACTCTGCGCTCTAGCTACGGCACCGGCGGCGCCTTGCCCGCAATCGATGCCTTCGTGCTCGACACCTTCGACCGTTCCGCGCCCAACGGCACCGGACACACCAAGCTGGGCGGCAACTACGCGCCCGTCTTTGGCCCCACCGCCGCCGCCAAGGCGCAGGGCTACCCCATCACGCTGCACCTCGACTCGGCGAACCACACGCACGTCGACGAGTTCAGCACCTCCAACGCCCTGGCGCTCGCCAGCAAGGACGGCAAGCAGACGCTCGTCGTGCCCGAGTCTCCGTCGATTCTGAGATCCGTCACCAAGCTGAGCGTGTGCGACTTGGCGCGGCGCATGGGCTGGACCGTGGAGCGCCGGCCGTTGGCGTTCGACGAGGTGAAGAGGGGCGACTTTGTCGAGTTCATGGCCGCCGGCACCGCCGCAGTAAGTCCTCCTCTCTCCCTCTTCCTCACTGCCGAGCTCACATCTCCTCGCATCAGGGCATCACGCCCGTCCGCAGCATTAGCTACAACACCAAGCAGCCGGTGCGCAAGGCGACGCCGTCGACCAACGACCCGGAGGCCGACGAGCAGGCGTGGCCCGAGTACGAGGATGCGCCGGACAACGAGGTGAAGCGCATTGCCTTTGGCGACGGCAAGACTGCGGGCGAGAACGCCGTGGCGCTTTGGAAGGAGCGTGAGTGCTTGAGAGAAGGCACGATGTGGACTGGAAGGCGTGGCTGACGCGACGGGTGATGATGCAGTTACGAGCTACCAGTGCGGCGACCTGCCGGATGAGTTTGGCTGGAACTGGCCCAAGGAGGGCATTGTGGCCGAGGATGCCATTCGTGCTTGAGAGAGCGCCGCGCGGCAGGTGCAGCTTGAGCAAAATACAATCTACATTGAACGGAGCAGGAGATCGCGCGGGGGGCTGAGGAGCACAGCTAGAGGATAGAGATGACGTGGCTCGAGTCTGAAGTGACGACAACGCGGAGAATCGTATGCGAGAGAGCGCAAAGGCAACGACGTCAGGGATCACCACATCCCAAGGCGGATCTGCTTCGCCCTGCTTCGCGCATAAGCGGCGCCATCGCCCAGCGCTGCTTTGAGTGCAGCCACGGGTCCAGACGGCGGCTCATACCGCACGCTCGTGGGTCCCGGAACGTCGAGGAAGCGCTCGACGGTGAGCACGGCGACGAGGCCGTCCTGCGAGATGTTGTGGTTGATGCCTGTTTCTCGGCGTCAGCGTGTGCCGTGACGATGGGCAGCAAGTAGCGACTCACGCGGCTCCTTTCCCGGCTCCAGCAGGCCCTCGACAAACTCGGTGCGCGCCTTCCAGTGCCACTGCTTCCACTTGCCGCCCTTCTCTGCGGCCTCGACGAGCAGGTTGCGCCCGAGGTTGTAGCCGTCGGGCACAATCATGTGGTGGTGCCGCAGATTGTACTCTTTCGACACGGCGAGGAACCAGGCACCCGTGTTGGCCAGCGTGCCGTTCTGCTTCCACACTGCGTCCCTCTTCGTCAGCCGGTCGCACGGGCGTCGCGATAGGGGAGAGAGGGGACGCACCGCGGAAGTGGTTGCCGCCATACAGGCTCTCCCAGCATGCGCCGACCCATCGCCCAGGTGCGCCAGGGAAGGCCTCCTGCCGATACTCGAAGAGCTCGGGCACCCAGCCATTGCCGTCGCCCAGGTTGGCGCTCTGCAGGCCGCCCATGTGCAGGTCGAGACACTCGAAGGAGAAGCCAATCGTTCTGCGCGAATGGGGGTGAGCTACGGCCAGAGCTGCGGAGGGAGAGAAATGTAGGGCAGACGTACCGCACGTAGTCGCGCAGTCCAGCGTCAGTCAGCACCGCCGGGTCGGACTTGGCAGAGATGATGGCGTTGATCGGCTCGCGCTTCGAGTTGCCCACCAGCTGTGCAAGCGGCGGAGTCATGTCAGCCATGCCGGCGCAACGCGAGAAGAGGAAGACGCGAGCTGCGGCAGAAGAGGCGAGGGCAAGGGGCATCTGTTCCCACTTCTGCTTGGCCCCGCCGGAAGCCCGACTGGAGCTTGCATGGCGAGCAAGGTGAGGCACTGCACCTTCCGAGGGCGGCGTCTCGATCAGGAGCCGACGCGGCATGGACCACCGACGAGTGCCATGCGCTTGGCGACATGACTAGCCCTATACTCCAGCAGTCTCTCGCACTGCACGATGCGCAAGCATGCAGCGTGCCGGCCTTTGCCGTGCCACGATGGCGCGATAAAACACAGCGCTGTGCCGCTTGACGGAGAGGCAAGACGCCGTGTCTCGGGCCTCTCCCACGTCTGCTGCTCGCCTGTCCTCCCGCCGTCGAGACGCCTTGATCCTCTCGCCCCTTTTCTTCGAGACGCTCGCCACTCACATCCAGCAAGCTGCCATTCCCCGGCCTCGGGTCCAGCCAGCCGTCCCTGCGGCCCATGCTGCCCAGGCCCTCTGCGTAGCTCAGGCGCTGCGCGGGCGCGCTGCGCCAGACGTGCGAGGCATCGAAGGCGTAGCTGTACCCCGCCGCCTGCTCGGCTGCGGTGAGCCGACGAGGTGCGTCGAGAGAGGAGGACGGCGTGGAGATGGACGCGGCGCAGGCGGCGCTGGCGAGCGCTACAAGACGGAGCAGGCGCTGCATGCTGGCAGTGCCCCTGGCGGCGCGGGTCTGCTACCCCTTTGAGGCAGAGGACTAGCCAAGAGTCTGTGGCCTGCTGGCGCACGTAGAGAGACGCGGGCTCGGTGTGGGCGGAGAGGCGGTGTGCGCCGGTGCTGGCTTCTGGACAGGCTGGCGCGGGCAGGCGAGGAAGTGGAGGTGCACGACGGAGCGAGGCAGACGGCACGAGCAGAGCGTGAGTGTGCCGAGGAGATTGCTGTGCAGATGGAGATGAGAGTGAGCGACGCAGGAAGCGTGTGTGAGAGACGAGGAGCGAGCGGTGAGGTGGAAGAGCGAAGCCAAGGCGCGAACGTGCGACTTGCTGATCTCGGGCCTCGCCCACGCCTCGTCAGCAGCACGGCACGGCACGCCGGCAGCGGCGGAGCAGCGGTGCGGGGGACTGGAGGCGCTCGCTCGCCGCGCCGATGCGCTTCAGGGCCGGCCGCCGCGGCTGCAGCTGCGCCCTCGCGCTGGCGCAAGAGGCGCGCGCGCCTCCTTCTCTGACGCCTCGCTGCCTCTGCCTTGGGCGGTGATGCTGATCCCTGCTGGCCGGCCGCGCCTTGCACTCTGACCCGTCCAATGCGCTTCTAGTTGGCTGCGGGGCTGAGTGAGCTCCATTTGCCCTGGAAGCGTCGGGTGCCTTTGGCCGAGAAGCGGCCGGCCGCCAGCACCAGCGCGCGCGCGTCGCCTCGCTGCTCTCCTGCTGCGCCTGCCACGCGCGCGCGTCTCGCTCTCTCGCACGGCGCACCCTTTCCTTCCTGCGCGCCGCGCGCGCGTCTTGCGGCGTCCAACACCCTGCGCTTCTTGCACTACCACCACCACCGCCGCACCAGTCACACTTCACACGCGCCGCCTTTCGCCTTTCTCCGCTCCCGCTGCTGCTCTTCCGGCCCGCGCATCGCCGCCACCTTCGACCCGCGATGCCGCCCGCTCTGCGGCAGCGCGAGCGTCTCGCCGCCGCCGCCTCTGCCGCCGAGGATGCCGCGCTCCTCGCCGGCTCCAGCGTCGGCAGTGGCGCGTCGGGCGCCGCAGGGCTCGGTGCACGTGCAGCGTCGGAGCAGTCGCTGCCGGCGCACGCCAGACATCGGCCGCGCGGCAGCAGCGTGGCCGTCGACTTTGAGGACAAGGATGCGCCGCAGCAGGGCCGCGTCGAGGGACAGGGCGAGACGGAGCTGAGCAGGAAGGACAAGGAGGCCATTGCGCTGCTCGTGGTGCTCTGTGAGTACAAGGCGGAGGCGTGGTGCGAAGGAGTGCAGAGGCAGGCGCTGCAAGGCTGCCGCAGGCTGGGGTGGCCCGGTGCGATCGAGCTGCGGAAGGAGCGGGCACTGGGAGACGACGAGTGAAAGCGCAGTAGAGCATTTGGGCAGGAGCGCCACTCAGCGCACCAGCTGGTGGCGTCTTGCTTGGTCCCAAAGGCGCTCTCCCCTTCCTCGTCGCCGCGAGCCTCGGCGACCTCCACTCCGTCTCTGACGTAGCCCTGCTGACGCCTCTCGCAGATCTCCTGCAAGGCATCCCCGTCGGCCTGGCGTTCGGCACGATGCCGTTTCTGCTCAAGGCACGCCTGAGCTACTCGGACATTGGCGTCTTCATGCTTGCCACGTATCCGTACTCGCTCAAGCTGCTGTGGAGCCCCGTGGTGGATTCGAACTGGGTTGGGAATCTGTGAGTGCTGCGAAGAGGAAGGAAGGGGAGAGGGCGGAGGATGTGAGGAGAACTAGGGGAATGGAGGCAAGGAGAAGACCAGAAGCGGCACGTGCGAGGAGAGGGAGGAGGGGCTTGAGTGGGCAGGCGCCAGAGGCAGGGAGGGGGACCTGTGCGCCGGCAATGCGAGGAGAGAGAGAAGCGACTGGGAGAGTGTCGCAGGAGAGAGAGGAGCAGAGTGACATACTTCGTGCGCCATGCGTCCTGCTGGCAGCTATGCGCAGGCGGCACGCACCTCGGACAGATCCTCAGGCCGTCTTGCCACGCCGACTGCATGGCTCCCGCTCACCGCGCCACTCTTGCCTCTGCACAGGCGCACGCCGCTCGGCACGCTCTCGCTCGGGCGGCGCAAGTCGTGGATCGTGCCGATTCAGACCATCGTCGGCGTCATGCTCTGGTTCCTCGGCTCCAACGTCGATCGCCTCCTGCTCGCCGTGAGTAAGAGTGCGCTGGCGTGAAGGGGCGCAGCTGGCAGTGCCGCATGCTTATGGGATGCTCTTGCAGCCGCACCCGGATGTGTACCTCATCACCACGCTCTTCTTCACCCTCGTCTTCTTTGCCGCTACACAAGGTGCGTCGATCGTTGCTCGTCACCTCATGTCTCTACTCACGCTGCATGTCTAGACATCGCCGTCGACGGCTGGGCGCTCACGCTGCTGTCGCAAGAGAACCTCAGCTATGCCAGCACGGCGCAGACCGTCGGCCTCAACACGGGCTACTTCTGCAGCTTCACCGTCTTTCTGGCGTTCAACTCGACTGAGTTTGGGTGCGTTTGCGCGCAACGTTTGCCTGCCTTGTCCGCATCTTCACCTTCTGACAGCTTGCACACAGCAACAAATACTTCCGCAGCGCGCCGCTCGACTACCCCATGCTCTCGCTGAGCGCCTACCTCAAGTTCTCGGCCATCGCCTACCTCGCCGTGACGGCGTGGCTGCTGTTTTTCAAGCAAGAGGATGCAGAGGCGACGGACAAGCCCGAGATGGACACCAAGAGCGTGTACGGCGTCATGTGGCGCATCTGCAAGCTCAAGCGTAAGTGGCGCAGCGGCCTAGCGACAGAGAGGCATGGCTGACGCTTGGCGGCACAACAGACGTGCAGGCCTTCATCCTCGTGCACTTTGTCGCCAAGATTGGCTTCCAGGCCAACGACGCCGTGACGAACCTCAAGCTCGTCGAGAAGGGCTTCGCCAAGGAAGACCTGGCGCTTGCCGTGCTCATCGACTTCCCGTTTCAGCTCGTGCTCGGCTACCTGGCCGCGCGCTGGTCCAAGGGCGCCAATGCGCTGCGCCCCTGGCTCATCGGCTACGTGGCGCGGCTCGGCTTTGCGCTCGTCGCCATGGCGCTGGTGCGCGGCGTGCCGACGCAGCCCATCGGCATGCCCTACTTCATCCTCATCATCAGCACCACGGTGCTCGGCAGCTTTGCCTCGACGGTGCAGTTCGTCGGCATCAGTGCCTTCCACACGCAGATTGCCGATCCGCTCATTGGCGGCACGTACATGACGCTGCTCAACACCGTCTCCAACCTTGGCGGCACCTGGCCGCGCTACTTTGTCCTCAAGGCAGTCGACTACTTCACGGTCTCGGCGTGCGGCGCACCGGGCGCGCATCACCCACGCAGCGCCGCGGCGGCCGCATGGACGGCCGACAAGCTGGCCGCGGCGAGCGGCGCACACGCAGTGATCGGACAGGAATGCGTCTCGGACGCCGGCAAGGCGGCATGTGCGGCCGTCGGCGGCGCATGCCACGTGCTGCGCGATGGCTACTACGCCACAAGCAGCATCTGCATTGCGCTCGGCGCAGTGCTGCTCGTCGTGTTCATCACGCCCGTCTGCCGCCGCCTGCAAGCGCTGCCGCCATCGGCATGGCGCGTGAGCCTCTCCAACACAAAAGGTCGCGTTGCCTGAGGCTCGCAAGCCAGCGCCACGCTTCCACCTGGCCTCCTCCTCCTCCATCTCATGCGCTGCATATTACACATCGAAAGGAGCGGCAAATGGAGGTCCCAGTTAGAAAGAGGCGGCGGGACGCGTGCACCAAGTCGTGAGAGAGGTCGTGGGATGAGTCGTAGAGGAGTCGTGTCGGACGTGCGAGGGAGACGGCCAGCCAGCGGCGAGCGGCGGCGGCGGCGGACGGGCGGGCGGGCGGCGACGGCGGCAAAGGTGAGGGCCACATCAGAAGAGGATCAGCGCAGCGGCAGACGCAAGCGTGGCGAGGATGAAGACGCCTGCGCCGGCGACTATCGGCGCCGGAGGCGCGTCGGAGGCGAAGATGGGCCCTGCGGCGTGGTCTGCAGGAGCGGCGCGCGCGTGGAGGGGCGTCAGCTGCATGTGCCAGGTGGAAGAGCAGGGAGCAGGCCGCACTTGTCTGATACTCTGCGCCGCTGCAAGGGAGGCGGAAGATCAGCCTGCGTCGCACAGCAGAGCGCAAGGCAGTGGGACCCACGTAGTGACGGCGCTGAACGTGGCGCTCGACATCGTCGGCGTAGCGTTGTTGGCGGCAGCCACTCCTCCGAGCAGGGCACTGCGCGACACGCCAGATCTCATCAGCAGCTGCGCCTGGGTGCCAGGCGCATCACGCAACGCGAGCTCACCTGCCCAGGCCACAGATGCTGCGCATGTTGGTGACAATGGTGCCCGCGCCCGTGCCTGCGGGGTCGGTGCCGAGCCACCAGCATTCTGCGGGCGCCGCAGGTCCAGTCAGCACGGGACGGCACGACTCTGAACGCTCTGCAACGGCACGCACGATTCGTCTTCTGGCTGTTTGTTTCGCACGACAGTGCGCGGGGTCAGGAGGGCTCGCGCGTCAGGAGCGTTTCCGTGAAGTCGGGACATGCTGGGAGCCGGACGCCACATAGCCTTCTCCTTCTCCTCGCACAACTCACAAGCAATCGCTGTGTCCGCCCAGTCAGAATCAGCATGATGCATGTCAGAGGCAGCGCACACGCGTACTTACACGCATTGTGGGTACACAGACTGGAACGTGTCGGTGCATGCGCACTGCAAAGGGGTGGGTCGGAGGTCGTGAGCACACGCCCTGCCTGAGAACGCCCTGCCGGAACAAGGGAGCGCCATGTGGCCGCTGCGAAACATGCCGCACCACATCCAGGCGAGACTCGAAGCTGCACGCTGCGCAGCATTGCTCTCTGGCACTGCTTGCGCTCCTCGGCGAGCCGCCGGAGGTGACTCTGAGCGAGCCCGAGGCTGCCGGTGCTCTTCGGGTCTCTGCACAAGCAGTGCCTCTCTGACCTCTCTGTTCACGGTGTGACTCTAGCAGCGGTCTGCCTCGCTGACCTCTCCACGCCCGCAACCTCTCCTTCAAGCATGACTCCCACTGTTCCTCCCACGCAGCCTACTCCTGCACGCGGCGCCCCAAGCCTCGCCTCCTTCTCCGCACGCGCCGTCTCTCTCTCGCACTCTGCTCCTACATCACGCAGCCCTCGTGCATGTCTCCATTCGCCCTCATCTCCCTCGCACGCACCTTGATGACGCTGATGTACGCCAGCGGACTGTTGAAGATGCTCGTGGCATTCTGGAACACGCTGCTCGCCGCCATGCAGCTGCTCAGGCCGGGGTAGCCCGCCTCGCACTTGGGGCAGCTGGCGATGTCGGCGGGAAAAGAGGGCGGCGGGTAGGAGGACAAGGGGTTGGGCGCCTGGTCGACGTTGCTCTGCCGCGGGTGCAGCGGGCGCGCGGCGAGCAGCAGCGGCGCATGTGTCGGCTGCGGCGCGGGTGCGGGCGAGGCGAGCACGAGTGTGGCGAGCGCGGCGAGCGAGAGGAGCGGCAGGAGACGCATTTGTCGCAGCGGGTCGTGATGGAAGGTCGTGAGAGGGCGTGACGGGGAGTGGTGGTGGTGAAGCAAGCGTCGCAGCTGCTCGCTGTGCTGCCCTCTGCTCGCCTCGCCTTGATGCAGCCGCCGGCTGCGCTCCTGGCATGCGCCGCCTGGGCCCCTGAGCGTGGTGCGTGCACCGCCCGGAACGCAATGGCTCCGCGCGCCGGCGGCCGTGTTGTGCTGTTCCCACGCCGCACGCCCCTGTCCGCTGCGTGCCGCTCGCTGCCTTGGCGCGCCGCACCGCCGCACCGCCGCGCGTCGAGCACGTGCGCCTTCTGCATGTCGCTCTGGCTGGCCCTTCAGCAAGCCTTGACTCTTCCGCAGCTCACAGCTGACACCGCAGCCTCAGCACGCACAGCTCACAATCGCCAGGCATGGCGGTGCCTTGATGTCGCCGCACCTGTCCTTGCGCTCACGCAGCAGAAAGGGCTCGACGACGCTGGACAACATTGCGCGGACTGCAGCCCAGCAGAAGCACCCTTGCGGCCGGCCGACGAGAGCGCATGCTGCTGCCTCGTCACTGCAGCTGACTGCTGCGGCTGGAGGCTGCGTCGGAGAGGCGAAGGCAACGAGATGGGTGCTGAAGCTGGTTGCTGGTCGCCAGCGCCGCATCGGCGATCGGCGCCCCAGAGGCGACGGCGGCGGCGGCGTCTTCGGCGTCCGGAGCCGTGACGCCGGCGTGCGCGCTAGCGTGATCTGCGCCAGATCTCCAGCCGCTCCGCACGCGGCGTGCTCGGTGGCGGCGTCATGCCGATGCAGCACCCAGCGCTCGCAGCGCGGCAGCAGCGACACCACCCTCACTCGGCAGCAGCAGACTTGCAGCCATGCCTCGGCCCCAAGCGGCAGCCAAGGGCGTCATGTGACGGCGACTCGGTGCGGGGCTTCCTCCAGGAGGCCAAGGCGCGAAGTCTCCGCGGCCGCCAGAGACGGGTCCACCTCCACTTTGGCAGCAACAAACGTGCGCCTCGACTGCCGACGCCGGCCTCCGGCCACCGTCCGGCATTGGCCTGCACTGGCCTCCGACTGCTGAGCTTGCTCCAGCCTCCTCCGAGCCTGGCCATGGCGTGACGGCTGCTGAGAGTGGAGGGTGCTCCTGGCGCTTATAAGCCAGCAGGCCTCCCGCTCGCGAGCGCGTCCCACCACCCACAGCCAGCACTTCGCACACGATGAAGCTCGCCTTCTCCTCCCTCTTCGCCCTCGCTGCCGCCGGCATTGCGGCCGCTGCTCCCACGGCGCCCGTGCGCGCCTCGACGCCCTCCAACGAGCTCGACTCGGTGTCCAACGCCAACTGCACGCGGCAGACGTACACCGTGAGTGCCGTGGCGCCCAGCCGCAGCACAGTGACACTGACGCCGCGTTCAGGTGACGTCCTCCAACGCCATGCGCACGCAGTTCAACGTCGAGGCCATGGGCAACCCGGCGGGCAACCAGACGCAGACGACGCAGCTCTTCCTCGAGTTCATCACCGACCAGAGCGGCTTCATGTCGCGCTACGTCACCGGCACGCAGGCGCAGACGCAGGACTTCAACATCAGCGGCGTCTTCTGCGAGCCGACGGGCCAGCGCAACGAGAATGCCGCGGTGCAGCTGCTGCTGCACGGCATCGGCTTTGACGGCAGCTAGTGAGTGGCGAGGAGGCAGATGACTGGACGGCCTGTGCTGACAGCCGCACCTCGCAGCTGGAACTTCCAGGGCCAGAACGTGTCCGAGGAGCAGTACTCCTACGTCTACAACGCCGCCGCTCGCGGTGCGTCACCTTGTAGAAAGGCTGCTCTGCAATCGCTCACCTCTGGTCTTACAGGCATCTCGACGTTCCGCTACGACCGCATCGGCACGGGCTCCTCCGAGGCGCCCTCGGACGTGTTCAACGTCGCACAGGCCGCGACCGAGGTGGGCATTCTCGAGGCGGTGGCCGAGAAGCTCAAGAACAGCACCGAGATCGGCGGCCGTGCGTGGAACCGCACGCTGCTCGTCGGCCACTCGTACGGCTCTGCCCAATCGCAGGCGCTCTCCGTAGCACGCCCCGAGCTCGTCGACGGCATCATCCTGCAGGGCTTCAGCGCCAACGCCACGGGACTGCCCTTCTACCTCGCCGCAACGGTATACACCGAGGCCTCGCAGGTCTTCCCTCGTGCTCTCGCCCGCTTGCCCCCGGGCTGGCTTGTCACCGCCACGCCCGCGTCGAACCAGCTGCCTTTCGTGTGGGCGCCGACCGCCGATGCCTCTGCCGTGGCGTTGGCGCGCAACACGGAGCAGGCCGTGACGCAAGGATCACTCTTCTCCATCGGCTCCATTGGCGGCCCCAGCAACTTCACCGGCCCCGTGGCCGTCGTGCTGGGCGACAAGGACTTCATCTTTGCGCTCAACGACATCCAGGGCCCCAACGGCACCAACAAGGCGCAGGCGGCCGCCAGCATGCTGTACGCACAGAGCTCCAACGCCACCGGCATCGTGCTGCCCGACGTCGGACACGCCGTCAACATCCACCGGGGCGCACAGCAGGCGTACACGCAGATGCTCGACTTTGCCGCTGTCAACGGCCTCGCTTAAGCGATCGTGTCCTTCTCATCTCCTCTCCGTGCCCCCCTGTATTACCTTACTCATCGCTCGTCTTCTCTAATAGCGCCTCGCACTCTGTCGAAGGCCGCAATTGCATCTCCTTGTGCTTCCTTGTCTGACGCCGTGGCGCGGCGAACGCTGCTGGTCTGGGAATATGTATAGCATTCGCGATCCGCTCCTCGTTCCTCACATCAGTACACATCTCGAGAGAAGGCCAGCGTGCGCAGCTCAAGCCGAGCCGGCCTGCAGCTTGGCGAGCTTGCCGATCTTCTTGGCCGCGGCGCCGCTCGTCGCCTTGCCTTTTGAGGCGGCCTTTGCTGGCTTGGCTGCCTTGGCCGCTGCGGCGGGTGCGTCGCCGGCCGTCTTGCTGGCCTTTGCCTTCTTCGCCGCCGCCTGCTGCACATCCTTCTCGGCGCTCGCCTTTGCCGGCTTGGCCGCCGCGGCCGCCTTGCTACTGCGTGCCTTGCCCTTCGCTGCGTCCGTCTTGGGCTTGGCTGCCGCCTTGGCCTTCTTGCCCTCCTGCTCAATCTCCACAATCTCCTCGTCCTCCTCGTCCTCGCTGCCCTCAAACGTCGCCTCCATGCCCGGCTCCTCGGCGCCATCCCACAGCTGGCCGAGCGAGCAGTTCCACACGGGCAGTGCAATGCTGCGCCCCGTCTTGAGCTCGACGCCCTGCACGTTGGTCCAGCCGCCGGGCACCTTGGAGACGACGGCCGGCAGGGCGGCAGAGACGTTCTCCAGCAGCTGGTCCGGCGTCAAGGTGCTCAGCGTGCCGATGCGGATCGAGCTGTGCAGCGCGCGTCAGACAGTGGCAGAGCGGCACACAAGAGGTGAGAGACTCACGCGCAGCTGCCCTTGTTGGCCATGTAGTACGTCGAGCGCAGCGCGCCGTCAATCTCCTTTCGCAACCGGTCGTTCTTGGTGTGGCGAATGTCGACAGGGAATGGCTGCCTGAGAGGGTGAAGGTGGATCAGGACCGCACAAGCAGAGGAGCGCAGACGAGCAAGGCAGCAGTGCTCCGCACTCCGCACCGCCCTGCAGCTGGCGCCTGCAAGCTGCGCCTCACTCCTCCGCACCACACTCACTTCTTGCTCTCGAGCCACTTCTTGCCCAGCAGCTTGGGCAGCATGCGCACAATGCGGTCGTCGGCGAGGACGACGTCGTGGCTGTTCATGAGCTGGCGGCGCGCCTCGAAGGGCGCAAACTTGCCGCGCAGCTTCTCGACGCCCACGACGCGCGTCACGCTCTTGATGCGCTGCTCCACCAGCAGGTCCTTGGTGGCGCGCTGCGGGTCGGCGACGAGGAGCAGCACGGCGGGCTCGGGAACGTGAGGCGGGTGAGGCACGGCGCTGAGGAATTGGCGAGTCAGCCTGGGTCGAAGTGGCAAGCGGAGCAAGACTCCGTACGGCAGCAGCGTCGCAGCAGGCTGCGCCAAAGTAGGAAACGGTGCACAAGCATGCCTTGCTCTGCGATGCAAGCTGCGCGGGGGCTTCTAGCGCCTCGACTCCCACTCCTCGCCATGGCCCCTGCCGCCTGCGGCTCCGTCTCTCACGCCGCCACGCTGCCACACGTGTCGACACTCACATGCGCACAGGCTTGACCTGCTTCGTCGCACTCAGACGCTTGACGGTGAGCTGCATCCACACGACGTCGTCTGCGCCCGCGCCGCCGTCGAGCGGCAGCTCGCTGGCAGCGGCGGCGCGGCGCTCGCCGGCCGCGGCAACGTGTGCGGCGAGGGCACGCAGCGCCTTGAGCGCCTGCGCGGGCGCCACGTGGCCGCCGATCAGCGAGGCGGAGCTGCCTGCGGCGGCGGCGGCGGCGGAGGTGGAGGCGGTGGGCGACATGGCTGAGTGGGCTGGAAGGGATGGGAGCGAGAAGGTGCCTGCGGCGCAGGAAGTTGCGGACGGGTTCGCCGCTCGCCGCGCCGCCGAGCGCGGCTCCCACGCACTCTGACTTTTTTGACGCGTCGAGCTTAGTCAGCCACGCGCGCGGAGGACGCCTGGCATGCCTCCAAAGGCGGCAGCGTGCAGCCTTGTGCCGCCAGCACAGGCGCCACTGGGGGCCGTTGAGCTACACATGGTTGCCTGTAGCGGATATAGAGAGGTCTTGGCTTGAAACGGAAGGACTGGTTGCGAAGAGGTAACAGGGGTTGGCGTGCGATGATGAGGCCACGCGGCCTGCGTCGCGTGGTGTGCGCGCGAGCAAACCCGCTGCTCTCGCGTCTGCTCCGCCTCTCGCTTCTCCTCTCCTATTACTCCGCACTGAGCGGCCAGCATTGATTCAGGGGCGAGCTATTTGTGGCCCTCATCATGCCTTCCAAACTCGCCCGGCGTGCCTTATGGGGATCATGCATCGGGGCGCTCGCCTCGTAAGAGAGACGCAGCAGCAGACGGCAGGGCACAGGGCGTCCATGCCCTCAACCCACGCGCCGCCGCGAGACGCGCCTCCAGCCGGCCGCTCGTCCATATGCCGCCTGCGGCCGCGCCCGGCGCATGCTCGTCACTTCGCTTGTTCTCTTTGGGCTGCGAATTTGCATTCGCGGCCTGCATTCGATAAGCTAGCGCCGTCGGCCAGGGCAGGCCGAGGGCGCAGCGGTCGGATGCGGCTAGCGGCGTGCCTTGCGAGAGGCTTGCGCCTCCGCGCCGGCCGTCCTTCATGTTTCTGGAGCACCGCCTCGAGCCCGCTGCTGCGGAAAAACTGGCTATCGCACCTCGTCAAGGAAGAAGAGCGCTCGTGCAGCAAGCAGACTAAGGAGCCACAAACGTATGAGGGCCGCAGCCATCAAGGCGTACAAAAGGGCAGCACTGCTCGCGCCTCCTGCTCTTCTCACCGCCCCCTCGCCTCGCCCCAGCACCTCCTCATGACCACCTTCGAGCACGCCGACTCGATCATCCCCGCGCAGACGGCGCGTGTGGGCGACGACGAGAGTCGTCCCGAGTCGCCCGTCGTCGAGAAGGCGCGTCCCAGCGCCGCGCACATCGACGAGCTGCCCGACTATGCACGCAAGCTGCGCCAGCCCAAGGGATGGGACCTCGCCATTCTCTCGTGGCAGGCCATCGGCGGTGCGTCTGCTCGTGCGCAGCTCTCATAGCAGTGCTGACGCCTCCTGCATCAACAGTCGTGTACGGCGACATCGGCACGTCGCCGCTGTACGTCATGAATGGCATCTTCCCGTCGGTGCGCACGTAGCAGCTTGCCCGCGGCGAAGACCCCAACGACGGCTGATTGTCATGTGCGCTGGCCAGACTGGGCCTCAGCCCAGCGCTGAGGATGTGCTTGGCGTCGTCTCGGCCATCTTGTGAGTGGCGCATGAGCCAGAACAGGCCGAACTCAACGCTCACGTCTCTTTCCAGCTGGGTCTGGACGCTCACGGTCCTGGTCAAGGTGAGTGCCAGTCGACGTGCTTATCGACCAAGGCTGATGCCCTCGCAGTACGGCCTCATCGTGATGCAGTTCGGCACCGGCGTCGGCGAGGGCGGTCCCTTTGCCGTGTACTGCTCGCTCTTCCCCAAGGCCGTCGACGAGCACGACGACCCGCACGGCGCTCGCGATCGCGCACTCACGACGTTCTGGACAAAGCGCTCCACTCGCGGCGGCGCCGGCTCCGAGAAGGCAGATCGCCGGGCTGCACTGCTGCATCGTGCTTGGGTCAAGCCTTTGCTTTGCGGCATCGCACTCGTGGGCAGCGCCATGACGGTGCGTCCATTCTGCTTGACCCGCACTGCAGTGGACTGAATTGCTCGCACACAGCTCGCCGACGGTCTCCTCACGCCTGCCATCTCGGTGCTCAGCGCCGCCGAGGGCATCGCCGTCGTCAAGCCCGACACCGCCTCGGCCGTCGTGCCCATCTCGATCGGCATCCTCCTCGCCCTTGGCATCGCGCAGTGGTTTGGCCTCAAGCGCATCAGCCACGCCTTCGCGCCTGCCGTCTTTCTCTGGCTCATGGCACTGCTCCTCACCGGCGCCGCCAACGTGCACACTCACCCGGGCATCTTCCGCGCCGTTGACCCGTCGCGTGCCGTGCTGTACTTCGTTCGCACGGGCAACTACGACGCCTTCGCCGGCATTGTGCTGGCTATCACGGGCGTGGAGGCGCTGTTCGCCAATCTCGAGAGCCTCTCGCGCGAGGCGGTGCGCATTCCGTTGCTGCTCCTCGTCTATCCCTCGCTCATGGTGAGTGAGCTCAGCACCGCTCGATGCTCGCATAGCTAACACAGCCTGTAGCTGGCGTACCTCGGACAAGGTGCACGGCTCATCGAGGACCCCTTGGTGATTGAGAACGTCTTCTACCGCTCGTGAGTGCCAACAGGCCTGCTTCGAACGACAGCGCTGACTCTTCGGCCGCAGTATTCCAGGCGACGCCGGAGGGTGAGCAGCCCATGCACGCGGCCGCTGCTGCCACTGACTCACGACTCGCAGGCCCATCTACTGGATCATGTTCGCCCTCGGACTCTTCGCGACGATCGTAGCGTCGCAAGCTTTGCTCTCCGCATCGTTCGCCATCACCCGTCAGCTATCGCACATGGGCTCGCTCCCGCCGCTGGCCTTCACCTACCCGGACGCCGACTTCGGCCAGCCCTTCTCCTCCGTCGTCAATGTAGTGCTGATCGCGGCCATCGTGGCCGTGATTGGCGTGGCGGAGCACTCGGCGAACCTGTCGACCGCGTATGGTGCGTCGAAGCCATCGCCCTTCATTCACTGCAAGCTGCTGACACGCACCCCCAGGCTTTGCGGTCGTGACGACAATGCTCATCACGACGCTGCTCGTTTCCGTGAGCATCGTCTTCGTCAAGCACCGCAGCTGGCTGCTCGCTTTGCTCTTCTTCGTCGCTTTTGGCTTCCTCGACGGACTGCTGTGGGGCGCGTGAGTATGCCGCGCATCGGTTGCAGGCCCACTGCTGATGCTCTCACATCCCCTAGCACGCTGCGCAAGATCCCACACGGCGCCTGGTTCAGCCTTGCCGTCGGCGGCGGGCTGGCGCTGTTCATGTGGTTCTGGACGTGGGCCACGAGCCTTGTCACGTCGTACGAGCTGCGCAACAGCAGTGTCTTGAGCTCTCTCCTCCGCAAGGACGACGACGAGACGACGCCTCCGACGATGCACCTGCTTCTCCCCGATGGCCAGACTCGCCGCCTCTCGCGCGCTCCGGCGATGGCCATCTTCTGGAAGCCGCACGGCGGCTCCGGCGTGCCTGCGTCGTTCGCTCACTTCCTCGCCCAGCTCGCCACCCTACCGACGCTCACCGTCTTCCTTTCGGTGCGCCACCTCGCCGTGCCCAGCGTGCCGCGCCACCAGCGGCTCGTCGTCTCGCGCGCCCGTGCTTGGCCGGGCATCTACGCTGCGACACTGCGCATCGGATGTGCAGACAAGGACTCTACGTCGCTGGCTGAGCTCAATGCCCTGCTCGCCGACGCGATCCGTCTCAACGACCTCTCCGACGACGAGATGCTGCTGCTCGACACTCCCGGCCCTCTGCGCGCCTCGCACATCTACCCGACCAGTCGTGCACAGTCCCAGCCGGTGCCTGGCTCCCGTCGTGCCCGCGCCGAGGCCGACGTCGGCGACGAGCACACCCCGCTGCTGCGCCGCAGCGCCGCCACGGTCCTCGACTACACGCGCATGCTGCTCATCGACGTCGTCTTTGTGCGCCTGCAGGCCCTCTTTGGCGCCGACAATGCGCCGCTTGGCAGCCGTGAGCCGGACGTGCTGCGCATCGCTGTGCCAGTGCGCTGCTAGACATCATACATGAGCCGCGTGACGAACCTCGAAATGGCCGAAATGGCCTCGAAATGACACCCTCATTCTAGCGCAACAGAGCCTACTGAAGCGAGAGGCGGCGATGCGGTGAGGTCTGCAAGCTGACTTGCTCCCTCTGCCTCTCTCACGTCGCGCGTCCTATCTCGGCACCGACGCCGCAGCCATCAGCGCCACATGCGCCACGCGCCGCCGACGTGCATGGTGCATGATTCAGGTCAAGAGACTCGGGCCAGCAGCAGAGGAGAGCCTCGCGGCCCGCTCGGCAGCGATGAGAGGAGAGCTTGGAGGACTGCACCTCTCACGGCGCCTGCAGCATCAGCAGCCGGTGCTTCCTGGTTCCCGACCGGCGTTCGGCGAAGATGTCTGGGGATCTCTCTCGGCGCCGGAGCCGAGCTGCATCGAGTGACGAGGGTGCCTCTGCTGCTCCCGAGCGGACGGGGCCAGCTCGGTGCTGCGGCAGGCATCCCTCTGCGGCTGGCCTCCTCTTGCTGTGGGAGCGGGAGCCGTTGCCGTGGTGAGAGCTTAATATAGCCCCTGACATGGCGTGCCTGCGTTCTGATGGCGGCGGCGGAGCGTGATATCGAGGGGCGGCGCGCGGCGCGCGAAGAGCGGCACGCCAGCTGCGTGCGCGTTCGGTTGCTCTGCTGGCGCGCGCGGCCGGCGGCTCGAGCTCGGTGCAGGTGAGCCCTGACTGAGCGCCTGCACCTGCATCGCTGGATGCAATCTCGAGCACGCGCCGCTTCTTCCTCCGCTCCTCATCACCACCACCCCCGCACCCCGCCTCGCCTCGCCGCAGCCGCATCAGACCGAGCCGCCATACACGCCCGGCTCCTCCTCTGAGCGCTGCTGTGCGCACGCAAGCATGTACTTCCCGCGCGCCGCCGCCGTGCCCGCGGGCCCGCCCTCTCCCGCGCTGTCGCCCGGCGGCTGGGCCGCACCCACGACGGCGCCCGCCTCCGTCACCGTGCACTACCACTACCTCGCCGGCCGCTACCGCGATCTCTCCAGCGAGCATGGCCTGGGCCTCGCGCGCCTCTCCTCCGTGCCCGAGGCCGGCGCCGCAGGCAGTGCCAGCGGCAGTGACGCTGGCTCGCTCAAGGCGGCCTCGCTGCGTTCCGACGCTGCCTCGCTGCGGCCGCGCGTCAACGTCGGCGGCATCTTTCTGGGCGCCAAGCGCCCGCAATCGACACATCCCGGCGCACTCGACATGCCCGGCGGCTCGCCGCACGAGCAGGCACAGCCGCCGCGCCGCAAGTCGAAGCGCGAGCATGCGCGCGAGCGCGTGCGCCAGGACGAGGTGCTGCGTCGCCGCATCGAGGGCGCACGCGATGTGGGCCGGCTCAAGTGGGAGGCCAAGGTGAGCGAAGTGCATCCGCGACTGGCGTGCGTCAGGCTCATCTCCCTTGCCCTAGTCCGCGCTGCACTCTGCCTCGCACTCGCTTGCCCTGCTGCTCCTCACGCGCGCGGCCACGCTGCACTCGCTCTCCTCTGCGCTGCAACTAGCCTCGCTGCACGCTTCAGGTGCCGCACGCGGTGGTGCTCCACTCGTGGTGCTGCTGCCGCGCGACCCGCTGCTGGCGCTGGCGTGGGTGTTCGAGGCAGCAGCGCTCTTCACGCAGCGCCTCGACTCGCGCTCGCGCCGCGCCGAGCCGCCGCGCGCCGACGACGGCCGCACGCGCGCTCAGTTGGCGGCGCTGCTCTCGACGCTGCTGCGTACGCCGCAGGCCGATCCGGTGCGCGCCAAGGACGCAAAGGTGATGCTGCCCAACGTGCCGCAGGGCTCATCGTCGAGCAGCAAGAAGCAGACGGAGCTGTGGACGGAGCTGCCGAACGTCCTCGGCGGCCTCTCAGGCGCACCAACGACGCCGCTCGAGTCGGCTGGGCCCGACGACGAGGAAGATCTGGCTCGTGCGGCCGCCACGGCGCGTGATCTGGCGCTCGTCCGGGCGATTGCGCTCACGCGCGCTACGCTGGCGCCGGGTGAGGGAGGCTGGGCTCAGGCGATGCGGCGAGAGTGGGAGGAGGTACGAGAGGCGATGGGCGGAGAGGAGTTCGAGTCGATCGTAGTGGCGGCCGAGGAGCTGTGCGCGCAGCTGGAGCGCAAGAAGCGCAAGGAGGCAGACATCCGCACCGCCAGCCAGGCCCTGGCACGCGCACTGGAGCAGAGCCTGCCCGAGGCGCACATCCCCGTCTCCGAGACGCGCACGATGCCCATGCCGCCCAGCAGTCCGCCTCGCAAGGGCTCTACGACGGCGCCGACTGGACGCGCGCGCCGGCGCTCCCTGGAGCTTGGCAATGCGCGGGCGCCGAAGCTGCTGTTCCCGCGCGGACCCGGCTCGGCGCCTGCGCAAGCGGCCTCCACCGTGGCGCTCGCGGACCCGGTGTCGAAGCCGGACTCGCCGCGCCGTGCGCTTGGCCGTACGATCAGCCTGCAGAATGGCCTGGTAGCTCGACCGCAGTCCACGATGCTCGAGGTGAAGCCCTCGTCCGGCCTGCGCGCCCGGCGGCCCAGCTCCGTGTGCTCCGACTCGCCGAGCCTGCTCTTTCCGCCGCACGATGACGAGGAAGAAGTCGAGCAGACACACCTGCGTCCGCCTGCCAATGGCCACAACGGCGGCGGCATGAGCCAGGCATCCAGCTCCAGCAGCCTCTGGTCAGCCGCCGGCGGCAACAGTGCTCGCGCGCCGAGCGGAGGTGTGCCTCGCCGCGTGGCAAGTCTGTACGGCATGCCGAGCGCAGGAGCAAGCACGGTGTCGACGTCTGGCGCCAACGTGGCAGACTACGGCGACGTCGGCGGCACCTTCGACCCGACGGCCACGCTGCGCGCCGCTCAGTCTCGCCGCAACCGCGTCATGTCCAGCGGCGCCAGCATCAGCACGGTGATGAGCGTGCTCTCGACGGCTCCGAGCATCGCAGAGAGCATGGCCTGGGAGCGCAACCAGCCGCTGCGCGACGAGGGCATGTCGGCCGCTACGGACACACTGCGCCGCCTTCGCACCGCCAGCACCTCTTCGCGAAGCAACCTGCACGCCTTGCTGGGACACGGCGACGGGCCTGCAGCGCCGCAGCTAGCCGAGCGTCTCGAGCGGACGATCGGGGCGTCGCCTGCGCGTCAACGACATGCCAGCCTCGGCGTGCGTCGTGCCCGCACGGGCAGCAACGCCAGCATGACGAGTCTTTCCTCGTTCGTCAGCACGACGAGTCGACAGGCAGCCAGCGGCGCACGTGCGCCTCTTGCGCCGGCTCTTGGACGGCCACTGACGAGCCATTTCGAGATCCGCCCGGCGATGAGCCGCGCCACGTCTGTCGGCAGCGGCGGCGACGCGCTCGGCTCGCTGCGGCGCTTCGGCGCGCCCAATGGTACCAGCAGCGGCAAGCGCTCGCCCCTGCCGCCGGCGCTGCGCGTAGACAGCAGTGCCGCATCCGAGGCGGCTTCTTCGCCGCGCGCCTCGGAGGCGACGTTGCGCTCGGCATCCGGCACGGCGACGCCGCGCTCCTTTGCCGGCGTCGACCCGACGCTCTCGCGCCCAACACCGGCGCGCAGCGAGAGCACCACGTCGCTCACGCCGCTCTCGCCGACGCCCGTCTCGCCGAGCCAGAGCTCGGCCGCCTCGCCCGTGCACACGCCCGGCGACGAGCTCGACGCTGCGCTCGCGTCGGCGGAGGAGCACAGCCGGCTCAAGACGGCCGCGAGCTGCAATGGCTGTGGGCGCAGCGTGGTGAATGCGCCAGTGTCGCGCTCGGGACAGGTGTGGTGCGGCCGCGAGTGCCGCGTGGCTGCAAAGGACAAGGGCAAGCAGCGCGCTGCTTGAGACGCTGGCGTCGGCGCGGCTGTGCATACGGATGGGCGGGTCTCGCGCAGGGATGGGAAGGTTTCGCATCACGATCTGTTGGTGCGCTGTCAATGTCATTGTTGCTTCCTTCCCTTGGTGTGACGACCAGGTTCCGCAGCATGATCGCATGGCTCGCCCTGAACCATGTTCGCCCTGGATGCAAAGGCGAGGCTGACATGGAGTCCTGCGACCCCCAGAAGGCGAAGTGTTGGGCTCGGCGGGCGCGTCAATTAACGCGTCGGGCGCACACAGGCGAAGTGCCTGAGCTCTGCTGCAGGCGCGCGCGGGCCTGCTCCACCTTTGCGCGCGGCGCAGCGCTCGCTCCTTCCTTCGCGCACCCATCATCCCCCTCCTCTGCGCCATGTCCGACGACGCCGACGACTTCAGCATCGTCGCTGCCGCCAAGGCTCCGCGTCGCAAGGGCGCCGCGGCCAGCGGCTCGTCTACCGCCGCCGCCGTCCGCCCCTCAGCCCTCTCGCCCGCCGACCAGGCCGAGCTGGCCGACCGCGACACTGAGATCCGCGAGGTCGAGGAGCACCTGGCGCGCCTGCGCCGCGAGCGCAATGCCTGGCTCGCTGCCGCGTCTGCCACTGCAGCGATCGGCGGCAGCAATGGCGCAGGCAGCAGCAAGAGCAACGGCGCGGCGGCAGCGGCGGCACAGGCCGTCGACTACTCGCGCCACGTCAGCTTCGAGTGGAGCGGCGAGCTGCTGCCGCGTGCGCGCCAGACATGGCCCGCCGTGCAGCAGTTCCGCTTCGACCAGCAGGCAGTGTGTAATGCGGCGCTCGACGGACGCGACACTGTCGTCGTCATGCCGACTGGTGTGTGGCGCTGTGCGGCTCTGGCAGAGCGATCGCTGACGAGGAACCTCGTGCAGGCGGTGGCAAGAGCCTGTGCTACCAGGTGAGTGCTAGCGTGTCGGCAGACGGCTAGCCGCACTGACGCATCGCATACAGCTGCCTGCGATCCTCGACAACGGCCTCACGCTGGTCATCTCCCCACTCATCTCGCTTTCGTACGACCAGTGCTTGCACCTGCGCGAGGCGGGCGTGTCGTGCGAGATGCTCTCGAGCATGGTGCCGCGCGAGGAGCAGACGGAGATCCTGCGGCGCGTCAAGAGCGCCGGCCGTCTGGCGCCGGGACAGCGCGAGATCAAGGTGCTCTTCGTCACGCCCGAGAAGGTTGCCAAGAGCAAGACGCTCGTGGCTGCGTGTCAGGGCGCATACGGCAACGGCCGTCTCTCGAGGGTCGTGATCGACGAGGCGCACTGCTGCAGGTGAGCTGCTCGATCGCCCACGACTTCCTCGTCTGACACCTCGGGCAGCCAAATGGGCCACGACTTCCGCCCGGACTACAAAGGAGTGCGTTGCGTGTGCCGCTCCACTCGAACATCTGCTGATTGTCCTCTGCCAACAGCTCAGCAAGCTGCGCCTGCTGTGGCCGAGCGTGCCGATCATGGCGCTGAGCGCCACGCTTGCGCCTACGGTGCTCGAGGACGTGCGCAAGATTCTCGGCCTCGCTCCCATGACGCCCTTCGCCTCGGCGGCGCCGCAGCGCACCGTATACTTCGGTGCGCCGCTGCACCGCCCGAACCTGCGCTACCGCGTCGTGCCGCGCAACACGAACGCCGAGAAGGCGGCGCAGGACATCGTCGACTGGATTGCGGCCGAGCATGGCGGACACAGCGGCATCGTGTACACGCTCTCGAAGAAAGACGCCGAGGTCATGGCCGAGAACCTGAGCAGCCTCAGCAAGGGCCGCATTCGCTCTGCCTGGTACCATGCCGGTGCGTTCGCCCTGGCCGCACGCGCTGCGATGAAATGCTAACATAGTCGCAGATCTGGAGGACGCGGACAAGATGCGCGTTCACCGCCGCTGGCGCTCGGGCGACATCCACGTTGTGTGCTCGACGGTGGCCTTTGGCATGGTGAGCTCAGCCGTAATGCTGTAGTGCCTTCGACGCTGAGTCGCTGCGCGCAGGGTATCGATCTGGGCACCGTGCGCTTCGTCATCCACGCGAGCCCGAGTGAGTTAGCATTACGCAAACGAGTCTCTGCACCACTCAATGAGCCGTTCCCGCGCAGGCAAGTCGCTCGACAGCTACCTGCAAGAGTCTGGACGCGCAGGCCGCGATGGCGGACAGTGAGTCAAGTCACGCAGCGGACGGTCGGACGACGCTGAACTCTCATCTTCCAGGGCCGACTGCGTGCTGTTCTACCGTCCGCAGGATGCATCGCGCGTCGCTGCTCTCACCACCAGCGACCGTGGAGGAGAGGAGAAGCGTGAGTGGCCGCGCCTGAGGCACGATGCCCCTCGTGCTGACCCACGTGTGCAGTCGCGTCGATGATCCAGTACGCGCAGAGCCACAAGTGCCGCAAGGTGCTGTTCCGCGAGGTGAGTCCGCCGAGCTGCAGCGCCTGACCTCGGCTTACCCCCCTGTCGCAGTACTTCCGCGATGCGTACGGCAACGGCGCGCCGTGTGGCACTTGCGACAACTGCACTATGCCACCCGAGGTCATCGATGTGACCTTCGAGAGCTGGCAGCTGCTGCGTACGCTGGAGGAGTGAGTTCTGCGCTGAGGTGGTCCGGGTACGCAGCTGACACGCGGACACAGGGTCCATGGCGAAGGCGGCCGTGTCACGCTGCCCGAACTTGTCAAGCTGGCGCGCGGCCTCGGCGGCGGACAGTACAACGTGCTCAGCGGCGGCGGAGGAGGCAAGCGCCGCAAGAGCAACTCGGGCCGTGGAGCTGCGCAGAGCGGCTTCTACAACGTGGATCAGTCGGGCGGCAAGCTGGCGCTGTCGAGCGATGTGCGTGTGTCTGGCGACGCGACGGCATCTTTTGGAGGCCACACTGACGCCGCTGCTACAGGACGCCGAGCGCCTCGCCACGCACCTCGTCACCCGCGCCTGGCTGTCGTGGGAGTACAACGCCACGGCCTACAGCGTCAACGTGTACGTCAAGCCGGGCCCCAACTCGGCACGCCTCACGCGTCTCGACGAGGAGGCGGTGCGCGCCGGCGAGGCGGGCACGCGCATCGAGTTTGCGCTCAACAAGAAGACCAAGCGCGCAAAGGCGGCGAATGGCAAGGGCAAAGCCAAGAAAGCGACCGGCAAGAAGAAGGCCTCGCCGTCGAAGGGCAAGCGCAAGCGCTCGTCTGCGTCCGACGAGTCTGCCTCCGACTCGGACTCGATCGACTCGGACGACGAGCGCGAGGCGCGCGACGCCGACGTCAGCGCCTGGTCGGAGCCTAGCCAGCCGAAGCCCAAGGCAGGCGCGTCGACGGGCGGGCGTCGTCTGGGCGGCAAGCTGAAGCGCAGCAGCCTCGTGCCGGCCAGCGAGGCCGACGACGACGAGTGGGAGGTCTTCCAGGCCAGCGAGGCGGCTTCGTCAAGTCGTGCTGTCGCTGCTAAGCACACTGGGACCTCTCTCGGAGGAGGAAAAGGACGCGCAGAGGCGCCGATTGAGATTGACTGAGGGGAGGGAGAAGCGAGCTAGTCACCACCCGAGATACCATACACACACACCCTTCACATCAAGCGCGCATAATGAGCAACCAACACCTGTCACCGCACACCACACACACCATGTACCTGTACCACGCCCAAATGCGACGCAACGAGCCAACTCGATCCTCTCTGAGCACGCCAGCGGCGGCGAGGGCTTGGCACGGGTCCTTGCGCTGCAGCAGATGCTCTCCGAATGCTCCCCTAGGCGCCACCACGTGCGCACGGCACGACGGTCCGAGACGGCCGAGCCGTCGGCTCCAGAAGGGCGAGTGGCTCACGCATGAGGGTGGGGTCTGCTTCGAAAGTGCATGCTGGCGCAGGATAAACTGCCTCATCCCCGCGTCTGCTGCGCTGCCGCTGCAATACCCAGCATGCCAAGCGCCAGTTGCGCAGCGGCGGAAGCCCAACTCTGGAAGCTCGCTGCACTCCGCAGTTGGCCGCTGCACCTCGAGATGCTCGCTGCGGCTCGCGGCATGGGGTGCATGGATGTGACGCTGCGGAGCTGCCGTCGGGTGCGGAAAATCGAGCACCCGCAGCCACGGTACCCGACGAGAGCAGTGCCTCCGCATCGAGTGCTCCCTTCGTTGCTTCGCCGCAGCATGCAAGCATGCAGCTGCGAAGCAGCCGTCGCTCCCGACTGCCTCGGGATGGAGCTCGAGACGCATCTCGCACGCCCAGCCTGCAGCTGGCCGCGTTGGACCGCCTCAAGAAGGGCGGAGCTACGAGCGCCTTGGCGTGCCTGACGCTCCTTCCCGCGCCGACGCGACGACGTGCAGGTACAGCAGGCGCAGATCAAGTCCGAGTGAGCGCAGCGGGGAGGCGGAGCTGCACGAGGGAATGCGGAGAGAGCCGCAGCCATCGCCCATGGCATCTCGCGCTCGCTTTCTGAGGACTGCATGCCGGTGCTGTCGATGCCGTGCAGGCCGACAGTTTCTTGCGCACGCCGCAAAGCTGGGGCCAGCCGCTGGGGAGCAGAGCAACGAGGGTGCAAGAGGCGCCGCGTGGCGCTGCGGCTGCTTTCCGTCGGCTGGCTCGAGACAGCATCGACGTGCAGCGAAGTCCATCGCGCCATCTCGGCACGCTGCGCCTCTGACGCTGGCTCGACAAGCGCCGCTGCAAGGGCAGCGCCTCACAGCAGCTGCAGATGCAGCTGCTCAGCTGACTGGAGGCAGACGTCTGGGGTGCAGCGCTGCAGCTGCGAGGACTTGGCACTCGTGGAGCAGATGGAGAGACGCGAGAGGCGTCTCGATGCGCACGCCCTCTCGGAACTGCGGTCCGCGCGCCCGGCCGTACGCCGTACCTTGCTCTCTGATGCGGGAGCGGACGGGCAAAGCAGCGCACACTCGCCCAGTGCCTGACCGCGCTACCCCGCAAGAGGTGCGTCACACGAGGACGCATGGCACCTCGCCCACCGACCGCCGAGGTCCGCCGGCATGCGGCGGTGCGGCGAGAGGCAGAGAAGAGATAGCACTGCCGCCGCTCCCGCTTCTCTCGTGCGACCTTCGCGCTTGGAGGGCGAGCAGGGCGCCAAGTGGTGCTTGTCGGTGCCTGCGGCCATCTGCATCGACACCTGCGAAGGGCAGGCGGCAGGAGAGGAGCGAGCCGCGCGCATGCCGCCTCGGTCACCGCGCTGCGCCGCGTATGCCGGTGGAGGCGGCGATGCGGCGGCACGGCGGCACGGCGGCGGCCTGCTGCGGCGTCTCGGCGCCTCGGGCCGCTTGCCCGCTGCATCCCTGCCGCACCTTCACGATGCAGCTGCTGCCGCATCCCCCCGCACCCCGCGTCGCTTTGCCCGTGCTCGAGCATCGACAGCGACGCACGGCCATCTTCCCGCTGCTCCGCCGCCGTCGTTGCGCCGCAGCGGCGCGGGCGCCGTGTACCCTTGGCGTGTGCGGTGCTGTCCGCGTTGGCCGTGCCGTGCCCCGAGGAGAGCGCCCGCTCCACTGCCGCTGCACCTGCGGCCCGCACCGCTGCCGCACCCCCGCAGTCCAGCCCAAGTCCGGGGCAGGCCACCCCGCACCCCGCCATTCGCCCCAGATAAGGCGCGCCTCTGCGACGATCGCCCGCTTCTCTCCCTCCCACCATCACCCCGCACTCGCTTCACCATGGCATCCGTCCCACCGCCCGTCGTGCACACGGAGCAGCCGGCATTCCTGCGCGCCGGCGCCGACGACAAGAAGCTCAGCCCCGTCGAGGCCGAGACGAAGAGCGCCCACGGCTCGGCCGACGACGGCGCCGAGACGGAGGCGGAGCGCAACATGACCGTCGCCGAGTATGCGGCGTCGCAGGGCGTCGACGAGAAGAAGCTGATGCGCAAGGTGGTGCGTGTGCGCGTGGGGCAGCCAGGGCAGGGCGCAGCGGCTGACACGTGCGACGACACAGGACATGCATCTCATCCCCTGGCTCTCGGTGCTGTACCTGCTCTCCTTCCTTGACCGGTGAGGTTTTGAGCCTCCACCGTGCGCTCTTGTGCATGCTCTGACCCAGAACGCAGCTCGGCCATTGGCAATGCGCGTCTCTTCGGCCTCGAGGCAAGCCTGGGCATGTCGAGCCGCGAGTTCGGCAGTGAGTCGCAGCTGCGCCATCGGCGAGGAGGCGGCGCTGACGTGCCCTCGCAGTCGCAACGAGTGTCTTCTTCTTCACATATGCCTTCTTCGAGGTGCCCAGCAACATCCTGCTCAAGCGCATGCGTCCCTCCGTCTGGTTCCCGCTCCTCACCGTGCGTGCCTTTCCGCTGCTTCTTCCCTCCCCGCCTGCTGACTCGCTCTGCAGTTCTTCGTTGGCGTGACGATGCTGGCGCAGGGCCTGGTGCACTCGTACGGCGGCCTTGTGGCTGCACGTGTGTGTCTCGGCATCGCCGAGGCCGGTCTCTTCCCCGGCGTCAACTACCTGCTGAGCGGCTACTACAAGCGCGGCGAGTTTGGCATTCGCGCAGCCGTCTTCTTCTCAGGTGAGCGGCCGCGCAGCAGGAGTGCTCTGGCCTCGACTGACACAGAAATTGCAGCGGCCACGGCCTCGGGTGCCTTTGGCGGCCTGCTCTCTGTCGCGCTGTCTCGCATGAACGGCATTGGCGGTGAGCAGGCGGGCGCAAGGGAACACCGCGCATCGTCCGCTCACGCGCGCCCTTGACTTGCAGGCTACGAAGGCTGGCGCTGGATCTTCATCATCATCGGCCTGGCGACGGTCGTCTCCTCGATCATCTCCATCTGGCTCTGCGAGGACTTTCCCGACACGGCCAAGTTCCTCACCGAGCCCGAGCGCCGCGTCATCATGCGCCGCCTGCGCGCCGAGCAGCCCAGTGTGGCGGGCGAGAAGTTCACGTGGGCGGCAGTGGGAAAGGGCTTTGTGGACTGGAAGACGTGGGTCGGATCGCTGATGTACATCGGCGTCGACGCTCCGCTGTACGCCTTCTCCGTCTTCACGCCGACGATCGTGCGCGCGCTGGGCTACTCGAGCATCAACGCCAACCTGCTCAGTGTGCCGATCTACGTGCTCGCGTGTAAGTGCCCTCTTCCCTGCCGGCTCGGACCCGTAGCTCATACGTCTGCTGCAGGTATCGTCACGGTCTTCGTCGGCCTGGCAGCGAACAAGTACAAGGACCGCCGCGCACAGCTGTCGCTCGGCTTCCTCTGCGTTGGCATCGGCGGCTACGTGGTGCTTGCCGCCTCCCGCCTGCCCGGCCTCTCGTACGGCGCCATCTTCTTTGCTGCGTGCGGCATCTACCCTCTGTGCGTGCTGTCCCTGGAGATTGAGACATGCGCTGTGGCTGACTTTGCGCCATCAGCATTCCCAACACGATTGCCCTCACCATCTCGAGCGTCGAGGGCTCGTACAAGCGCTCCGTCGTCAGCGGCTTCATCATCAGCATGGGCAATCTGCAGGGTGCGTCTGCCCGCTCACACTCCCTCCAACAAGCGCTGACTGTCTCCCCAGGCGCCGGCTCGACGAACGCCTACCCGCGCAACCAGGCGCCCTGGTACACGGCCGGGCACGGCGTGGTGATTATGTACCTGGGCGTCGGCCTCATCACGACGCTGCTCTACTACATCGGCGTCAAGCACGAAAATGCGCGGCGCGAGCGCGGCGCGTGCGACGAGACGATCCTCGACGACGCCAGCGCCGAGGGCGTGGAGCGGGCGCGCGTGGCGCGAGAGGAGGAGATGGCGGGCTACGGATTCTGGAAGCGCCTGCTTGCCAAGTGTGAGTGACGAAGCGTGGCGAAGCGGGAGGCCATGCTGACGAGCTCTTCCCACGACAGACCACGAGCAGTCTGGCGGCACCTATGCGACCGTCGAGGAGGCACGCCGGCTCAAGGGCGACGCCTACAGCGGCCACCGCTACTCGCTGTGAGGAGGCAACTTCGTGCATTTCCCTTCATCTCTCTTCTCCTGTCTCCCTCGCCTCTTTGCGCGCTTCTCGTCACTCGTACGTCTCCCGCATGCCCCCGGTCCCTGTTGTATCGCTGCGCAATCCCCCAGAGCGGGCGTCCAATAGAGCTTGTCGGCCAGAACGAGATGGCGTGTATCGCTCGGAGGGCTGCCCGCCACAGGCGCGGGACATGCGCTCCGCGGTACCTCGGCCCAAGCTCCGCTCCCCGCGCCCTTTCGTCTGTGGCGAGCGCGGGCGGCGGTGATTGCAACGCCGCGCCCCCCTGGCAGCAGACATGAGAGCGCCGTGCTTCGTTGGCCTCTGCCACGAGCCAGCGACGATGAGGCCGAGCCGGCCGCTGCCTGACGCTGCTGTGCGGCTCCGGCGGCTCGCCTTCGCCTCCCACGCGACTGCGGCCTCCAGCGCGGCAGACGCAGCACGCAGCGGCGAGCGCACGACCGGCGGAGCGCCAAGCTGAACGCCGCTGTCCTGCGGCCGCGGCGCTCGGCATCGGCCGTGCCTGGCTCGGCTCACACTCGACTTGCGCTTCGCCGCCGCTGCCGCTGCAACGGTGCGGGATGCTTCTGTCCCTGCTTGCTCCCGTGCACTTCAGCGCTCTCTGCCTGCTCAGGCTGCCGCTGCTGAAGATGAGCTGCTGCTGCCCTGCCTGCTGACTCTGACTGGAGCGCGGCGGCCCCTGCCATGGAAGCCGCCATGGGCCGGCCGTGGCCGAGGCGCGGCACCGGCAGCGAGCCACTCGCTCGGCACCTGCAGCGCATCGGCTGTCTGCGCATGCGCTGCTCGCCTGCCGTGCAGCTGCACCTGTCAGCAGCGCCGCCAAACGCGTCTTTTCTGCGCAGAGTGCGCATCTGCCGCGAATTTAGCTTCAGGGCCCGGCAGCAGAGCGACAGAGGGGCGACGGTGTGAGAGCGCTGCCTTGCTCTCTGCGCTGCCTCTCCGCTTCTGCGCCTCCTCTGCCTCTCTGCCGTGGTTCGCGCGCCTGCGCCTTCCCCGCACCCTTCCCCTCCTCCCTCTCCCTCTCCCTTCCCTCCGCGTGCGCGAGCCTCAAGCCCGCCATGAAGCTGCCCACGCGCCTCGCGCTCGTGTATGCGCCGCTGCTCCTCACGCTGGCCAGCTTCGTGCTGCAGGTCATCGTCAGCGTCGGCCTGCCGCGCATCCTCTCGGGTGAGTAGCGAGGCGACATGGCGATGAAGGGTCATTGCGTTAGATGAGCTTCGACCTGGGCCGCTCGCTCTGTCGCATGGATGATGCAGGACAATGCACTGACGCCCGTCACCTGCCGCAGTCGACTTCCTCCGCTTCGACCTCTCCTTCTACCAGTTCTCCATCTTTGGCATCTGGAGCATCTGCACCGGCACGCCCGCCGAGACGCTCTTCGACGGCACGGTGCTCACGCCCGCCGGCTTCAACTGCGCGCCCACCAGCCTCGGCTGGACGGCGAGCAACTACAGCAGCATCACAGACGAGTTCTTCAACGCCGGCCTGGCCAAGGCGGTGAGTGCGGTGCGAGAGAGGGAGCGTGGCGGGGCGGGGCCATAGGGCGATGCAGGGGGCGCACTGCGGGGCAGACGTGCGTCCCTCTGGGAGAGCATGCAGTGCAGTGTAGGCTGGGCTTGTGGCGTGCACGCCATGCTGCTGCTCGGCATCGCCACGCTCGCACTGGACATGGCCGCGCCACAGCGAGGCAGGCCTCAGTGTCGCATTGCTGCGCCTTGCAGATGGTCGCCTCGCATCATCACATGCCGCGCCACTTCGTCCGTCTCCTCCACTCTTCTCACTCCGTGCTGACACGCCATCCTCAGCTCGTGCTGCACCCCGTCGCCGCCGCACTCACCTTCCTGACGCTGCCCGCTCTGCTCTGGGCTCTGCGTCGTCCTCGCCGCCTGGCGCCTCTCGTCTCGCTCTTTTCGACCTTCATCACGCTCATTGCCTACATCATCGACCTTGCTCTCTTCGTTCCGGCGCACATGCGTCTCAACGGCTCCAACGCCCAAGAGACGCTGGGCCAGGCGGTGATGGACGTGCGCTACGGCGCCGCCTTCTGGCTCGCGCTCGTCGCCACCGTCTGCAGCGTGCTCGCTTCGCTCGGCGTGTGCGCCGCGCACCGCGTGCGCCGCCGCGAGGGCGACTGGACGTACGAGAGCCAGCAGATCATCACGAGCTCCGACCGCCCGCCGTCGCGCTCGCTCGTCGACGAGAAGGCCGGCCACAGTCGCGCCGCGAGCCGCTCGTCGACGGCCACGCCCGTCTCGGCCACCTCGGCCTCCAAGTCGGACGGCGAGGAGATCGACTACGGTCGCCGTGGCCGCCGTCGTGCCGAGCAGCACAAGCTCGATTAGGTGCTCCAGCGCCCATGCTGCCTCTGCTCTCTGCTCCCTCACGCTCTTTCACCGCGCCTGCACCGGCTGCCCGCCCCCCTTACTGTACCTGTACCTATTCACCCCTTTGCAACGACTCTTGCCATCAACACAGAGCGTGTCTCATGACTCGCTCGTCCACTCGACCGGTGACAGCGCGTCTCATTCAGCGCAAGGGGTCGAAGTCGTCCCAGGCGTTGTTGCCAGCAGCGCCGGCCTTGGGCGCCGAGCTGCCGGCGCGCGCCGTCGGCTGCAGCACGGCGCCGCCCCAGCCCGGCGGGCCCGAGAGCGCCGCGGGCGCCTTTGGCGGTGCCGCGGGCGCAGGAGCAGGCGCGAGGGAGCTGAAGCCCAGACTGGACGTCTGTGGCTGCAGCGGCGGCAGACTGCCAAAGCTGCTGGGCGCAAGTGCAGTGGAGCCAAAGCCGGAGGCCGGCTCGAGATTGAGGTTGTAGTTCGGGCCGCTGGTCGAGGCGGGTGCGGCGGGAGGTAGCGAGTTGCGGGGCGCAGGCGCCAGCGTGCTGCCGGCCCACCCGGGCGGTGCCGCCGAGGTGCTGCTGCCGCCGAGACTGCTCGAGCTGTACGCGGCCTGCAGCGATGGCCGTGGTGAAGACGACGGCGGAGGAGCCAGCGCCGAGCGCGTGGCCAAGGGTGGCGCAGCAAAGGCAGGAAGTGCAGCACTGGTTGCGGCTGGCCGGCCGAGTGTGCCGGTGTGCGAGGGCGTGAGGGCCGGAGTGACGGCAGCTGGCCGGCCGAGCGAGCCAGTATGCGAAGGGGTGAGGGCAGGCGTGACGGCTGCAGGCGTGTTCGACGTGCTCCCCTGTGTGCACCGTGGTGAGCGGTCGCCTGGCTGCGCCCAACGCATCACTCACCAAGTCGTCCCAGCCAAACGGATCCGCACTCGTGGCAGCGGCATCGCGCGGCACCTCAGCGCGCGCTGCTGAAGACGTCGGGCCGCCGCCGACGAGCGTGGCAAAGTCAATCTCGCCGCTCGAGCCGATACCCGTCACGCCACCACCAAGGCTGCCGCCTCCAGCCGCGCGGCCATTGGCGCCGGCGCCGACGTAGCTCTCCGTGTGCTCCTGCATGTTGCGCTGCTCGCGCAGATGTAGCATGTCTGCGAAAGCGGTCCTTTGAGCGATGTACACCGCGCAGGCCCAGGCTCTCACTCACGCTCCTTCTCGACTCGCTCGCCCATCTCGCGCACCGTCTTCATGAAGCGCTGAAACTGATCCGCGGTGAGCTGTGCGCCCATCGACATCGCCCAGAGCTGCGCGTGCGTGTGAGCTGTATTCCGGTCTGAGCGCCCGGCCTCGACCCACCTGCGGGATGATGGCCACGGCGAGCGTCTCGCGGTCGACCTTCTTCGCCATCGCCTCGTGCACGGCCAGGATGGCAATCTGGAGGCCGTCAATCATGCGCAAACAATGACACGCTCAGCACACTCACCATCACCGACGGCTCGCGCGTCTTGACGCGCGCAAGGATTGGCACCAGCTTCTCCGTGAGCGTGAACTTGTCGAGCACGCCGATCATCGAGTGGAAGCACATGAGCGTGCTGATCTTGCAGGAGAGCACCTTGGTCTTGCTGAACAGCTGTGGAGCGGCCGCATATCAGCGAGCGAGCAGCGATGACGCTCCGAGCGACCCTCACCTTTGCGATGTTCGGGAACAGCACCTCCTTGACGTGCGAGAACTCGAGGATCTCGCACAGGCGCGGCACGGTCTGCAGCGCGCGCTCCTGCACCATGACCTGCTCGGCCTCGAGCGCAGAGTACAGCAGCGGCGTCACCTCCTCGCGGAAGATCGGCGGCGTCGTCTTGGTCACGAACAGCTCAATCTGGTCGAGCAGGATGACTGCGGGCTTGTGTTAGCTATGTGCGTTGCGCAAGTCGCACAGCGCCACTCACGTTGGTTCTGCGGCGGGTCCTGCACGCTGAAGAGCGGCTTGAGACGCGGCAGCACGTTGCTGGTGAACTCGATCGAGCTCAGGTTCTGGCTGATGACGAAGACGTTCGGCAGGATGAAGGGCAGGAGCGTGCGGTCGTTCATCAGCTCGAGCAGCTGGCCAGAGAGCGTCAGCACGGAGTCTTCCTGCCGCGCCCTATTGCACTCACCGCAGGCAGCACCTTGCGGTGCTGCAGCCGGTGCGAGAACTGGTCCATGATCTTGAGCAGGCCCTTGAGGAACTGCACGCGCTCCTCCTTTGTGCGCCCGGCAAAGTTGTCGCGCTCCATGAACTTGAGCGTCCGCACCAGCACGTTGTTGAAGTACTGGCTGTTCTGAAACTCTGCCGCCGAGGGCCGCGCGCCGGGAAAGCGCGTGAGCAGCGTGCTGAGCAGTTCTAGCACGTCCTTGCCGAGCCGCGCCCACGCCGGGTCGCCGAGCTTGGTGCCGAGCTCCTCGGCGTTGGCGCGGATGTTCGTGATGGCGTTGCGGTTCCGGAACGGCGGGCTGCCGCGCGAGTGGATCGCGAACACCAGGCAGCCCAGCGAATACATGTCGTTGGCCGGCTCGAGGCGCTCGTCGAGCGCGTACTCGGGCGCCACGTAGTTGAAGTCGCGGCTCAGCTGCGGCGGCAGGGAGGGGTCGTAGTCGAGCGACCATGCAGGAGCAGCACTGTTGGCGCCAGCGAGTGGCGTGAGAAAGGAGAAGCCTGCGAGCTTCCAATCGCCCTGATCGCAGCACAGTCAGCAGCTGGCCTGCGAACAGGGCCGACAATCCAGCACTGCGCTCCGTCGCCACTTGTACGGCTCACGCTCTCATTCGCCCCCGTGGCTTCCACGCTTGCCCCACGCTGCCCGACTCACCTTGGCATTGATGAGCACCGCATCGGTGTTGAGGTTGCCATGCACCATCTTCGCAGTATGCAGGAACTCGAGCGCCCTCGCCACCTGCAGCACGCCCTTCTGTATCTCCACCTCATCGAGCTGCACGCCGTCTGCGGCGCGACCCGCGCTCTCTCCCGAGAGCAGCGCAGCTGAGAGTGGAGCAAGCACCGGCTCCGTGGCGAAGATGAGCTCGGAGCGCGTCTCCTCCAGGGGCTCAACGGTCTCGAGCACGCAGGGATGCCGTAGCCGTGTCAGAGAGGCGGCCTGTGGGAGCCGCCGATGTTAGCACTACAGCGGTGTCCGGCGAGCTCGCGATGCCTCCCCGGCGAGCTGATAGCCACACGCCTTCACGCCCAGGTATGCAGGGCGGCTGTAGCAGCGGCACGGCGGCTTGCGGGGCCCTGGCCTTGCTTGCGCTGCCTCGCGGCAGTAGCATCGCATGGCCTCGCCGCAGGATCCGCCCGGCTCCCTCGCTTGCCCGCAGCAGCTTCGCGTCCGACTCACCTCCTTCTTCAGCATCTCGGCCACAGCAACACGCTCCTGTCCTCTCGCCGTGAACGCATGGCTCCACACGCTGACCACGTCCCTGCCGCTGCCATTGCTGCTAGCGCTGGCTGCTGCTGAGCCCGAGGCGCCGGCGCCGGCCGCAGCTGCAGGCGCCGCCGATGCCTTGCGCGAGGCGCGCTGGATCTTCCACAGCCCCGCATGCACGGCTGGCACAGCATCGTCGATGGTGTACGTCGAGGCGATGTGCGTGCGCCCACTGTGGATGTGTGGTCAGCGGCAGAGGTGGACAGCAGCGGCACAGCAACGCACAAGTACGACGAGGCCTGCGAGAGGAAGGACGCCATGCTGAGCTCGGAGCGCGACGCAGCGCCGGCGCAAGGTTAGGCAGGCAGGCGCAGGGCGCAGCAGAGGGCAGCGGTGCCCGCGCTGAGAGGAGATGGAGCAGAGAAGGGCCTGCGCCGCTGCGAGCCGGCGAATGAGTCAGGAGCAGATGGTGTTCAGGAGGGCGAGTCGTCTGCGCGCGCTCGAGCATCAGCAGCCGCACAGAGGCTGCGCGCTTGTGGCGCCGCCGCGGAAGTGTTGCTCTCGCGGTCTGCTCTCACGCCACGCCGCCCGGCTGCTCCCACCGCCAGCAGCAGCACGCGAGCCGGCCTCGGCTTCCTGAGCGCTGCAGCTGCCAAATCCAACGTGAGGCGCTCGACACGCTGGATCTGGCAGAAGGGATACATGCTATTGCTGCACGGCATGGAGGCCCGCGCCGAGTGCCATGTCCTCGATGACGCGAGAGAATGAAGCCAGTCCGGAGTCTCTATGTGCCACGTCTCCACTGCTTTTTGCGCCGCAGCTCTACCACGACTCCCACTTCGTCGAGCCCATCGCAATGATGCGGTTGAACACCTCGTCGCGCCGCGGCAGGGCCGAGATGACAAACGTCTCGCCCTGCGTCGTCGTGATCTCCAGGCCGTCGGCGACGACGCTGTCCAGCGCCCAGCCAACGACGAGCTTGCCGGCAATGCCGAGGCCGCCCAGCTTGCGCACCGCGGCAATGTCGTCGATCTGGATCGAGAACAGCGGCGCCGGGCGTGCGTTCTGCGCCGTCTGCGCCAGCTTGCGGCTCGTCGTCGTCTCCTCGCCCGCGGGTGCCGCCTTCTTGGCAGCGTCGGCCGCAGCCTGCGCAGCGCGCGCGCCGGCGGGCAGCTTGCGCTCAAAGGAGATGCACGGCGTCGTGGCCGTCGTGCTGATGAGCAGCAGGCCACGCTTGCCGCGATGCCGCCCGTGGAAGGACGAGGGGCCATCGCCTTGTGCGTCGGGCCCCAGCTCGCGCTTCACGACGCCAACCTTGCGCTTCGCCGACTCGAAGCCGGCTGTCGCCTTGACACGGTTCGCGCCGAGGCCCGTCTCGACAGCACCGGCGGTTGCACCTGAAAGCAAGGGTTAGCCTGTTGCACTTGCGGACGCTCTCTGCAGTGCACTCACCCTTGAACAGGCGCATGATGCGACTGCGCTTCTTGGGCGTCTTCTCCTTCTCCTTCTCCTCCTCTTCCTGCTCAGCCTGGGCATCCTTGGCCTGCTTCTCCGCCGCGGCAGCACGCAGCTGCTCGCGGTACTCCTCGGGCAGGTTCGGGTCATCCGCCATGTCGAGACCCTCGCGCGCCGTGGCCTCGGGCGCCGCGTCCGGCGGCGGCGGCGGAGGCAGGGGCGACTTGTTGGCCTCGCCGAGGCGCAGCAGCGTCAGGGTCAGCTGGGCATTGGTGGGCACGCCCTTGAGGATCGAGTTGCGCAGCTCGAGGTAGCGCGGCCAGTCCGGCACGTTCTTGTCGAGCCACTTGCGCAGGTCCGACATGCGCACGCGGTCGAACAGCGGCTGCGCGAAGAAGGCAAAGCCGACGCCAGCCGTAGTGCCGCGGTAGACCATGTACGAGGAGATGAAGTAGGACGCCAGCACGATGGGCGCAATGATGCCGGCGAGAAAGACGCGTGCGTGGTGCTGTCTAAACGGCGCGGTCGGGGACAGGGCATTGCCGAAGCGTTCCCATGTGTCCTGCAGCAGGGGGTCAGCGTGAGCGATTCGCCCGTCAGTGATCGAGGCTCACAGCGATGTCCTGTGGAAGCGAGTCGTGTCAGCCTGGCACTGGCATCGCATGACCGCCGAGCTCACCTCGAGAATGTGCAGGAAGGGCTGCATCGACGCCCAGAGGCCCGCATCGACGGCCTCGGCGGTCGCAGCGTCCGTCTTCTCCGCGCCAGTGCCAGCAGCTGTCGTCTGCGCCGAGACGGCATGGCCAGTGACGGTGGACAGCGGCTCGGCCTTCTTGACGACGCCCTTCTCCTTCTCCTGTGCGTCGTGCTCATCCTCGCTGTCGTCGCTCAGCGCCTTGGTGTCATCGGTGCTCTTGGCGCCTCCGCCCACCGCAGTCGTGATGGCGAGCTTCGAGATGCTCTTGACGGCGTTCTGCGCCTCCATCTCGGCCGCCTCGCCCTTGTACGCCTCCTGCGCGCCGGTGAGCGACTCGGAGCCGAGATGGCCCGCCTGCGGCACGCGTGCCTCGCCCGTCTTGGCCGAGATGGCGGCGAGCGGCGCGTGCGGGAAGAGCACGGCGCGGGCACGCGGCGAGACGAGCAGCACCATGGTGAAGAGCAGGAACACGGGCACGACGATGTCCAGCACCCACGCCAGCGTGTACGTCGCCGCGAAGACGGAGCTGCGCCGGCGCTCATGCCACGAGCGCACGCGCGCGATGTGCTTGACAAAGGCGGCGAGGCCGAGGCCGATGGTGAGGTAGAGACGCTCGAGCGTCGCCTTGAGCTTCTCGGGCGTGAAGGGGTCCTGCGTGGGGTGTCAGTGACGTCCAGCCAGGCTGCCACGCATGCTGCGCACCTTGTCGGCGATGTTCAGGTCGATGCCGCCCTGCGGCGGCTCGTCGAGCTTCTTGACGTGCGCGACTTGCTGCAGGCGGGCGCCGTCAGCTCAAGATAAGCTCACACAGCTCGGCGGAGCAGCTTACGCCGTTGAAGCGGCGGATCAGCAGCCAGAGCTCCTCGTTCTTGATGCTCTTCACCACGCTGTAGGAACGCGCTCAGCACTGCAGCAGGCGGGCAACGCTGCGCTGCTCACGGGATAGGCACGCTTGGGTCCTCGCTCCAGCCGAGGTCATCAAGGCCCGGGTCGTCGGCGCGGTCCGGGTCGCCATCAGCCACAGCAGGTGCCTCATCATCTGCGCCGTCGATGTCCTTGACGTGCTCGGGCGTGACGTCTGCCTTTTCGACGTGGCTGCGCTTCACCTCGTGGTGCTCGCGGTGCGCCTGGGCGCTGGCGTCGCCCAGCACGGCGCCGACGAGCGTCGTCGTCTTGCTGTCGTGCGCCGCGGGCGGCGGCGCCGCGGTGCCGTCTGCGCCCAGCGCTGGCGCCGGCTGTTGCGCCTGCACGGGCGGCAGCTCGAGAGGCTGGCCCGGGGTGGTCATGTTGGTGCGAAGACGTCGTGGTGCGAGGCGAGCAGGACCGCACAAGATGGCGCGAGGGTCCACGTCTGATGCGGCGTGCAGCGTGCGGCCGAGGCTGCACCTGACGTCACCGCGCCGCCGCGAGAGCCCGACGAGCGAGCCTTCGCGCCGCCCGCCGCCGTGCGGCATCTCGAGCTCTGCTTGGCGCGGCGCGGTCTGGCATGGCTCTCGACACTTGCTGCGAACGACGCTTGCGGATCCGCGAGGTGTCGTTGCTGCGGCGACGGCGACGACACGGCTCATCGCGGCTGTCTAAGAGGGCCCGAGAGCACTTCACCCGGCAGAGGAGCAGCGGCCGTCACACCGAACCACTGTCGCCCCTCGCGCCATGGCCGGTTCCCGCGGCCGCGCGCGCGGCGGTGCCAAAGAGCAAGCGGCCGGTTGCGGCGCACAGGAGCAGCATCGAAGCGCCCCTCTCTGCCATGCCGGCCGCCGTGCTCTTCTCGTGGCGATCCAGGGGCACCGCCCTGCTGCACATCTGCGCTCTGCGTGCACTGTGAGCGCAGATGCCGTGAGGCGGCTTCCAGGGCGGAGGGCGAGCTGTCTGCGCTCTGGATGTGAGGCAGGATGCTGCATCCTGGTCTCGGCGCAAGGCGCTGCTTGCCGGCTCGCCGCACCCCGCAACGGCACACTGCTCCGCGCTTGCTGCGGCACTGCCACTGCGCTGCGTGTAGGCGCTCTCTCTCTCTGAGGCTGCTGTCTGTGGCTACCTACACGCTGGTGCTGCGACTCTCTCCGTTGTTGCCCGTGTCACCTGCCGCTGCGTGCTGCGCTCTGGATGCGGCGGCGGCACGCTGGTGCTGCGAGAGCTCGAGGCGGCGGCGGCGTGACGGGGCATGTCGCGCCGCGCTCGCGCCGCCGCGTTCCTGGCCGCTGGCCACCGCCGCGCGCCTTCGAGGGGGAGCCTGCTGGACGCTGCGCTGCCGCTCTCCTCCTCCGCATGGGGCAGCCGGAGCCCGCAGCCGGCACCCGGCGTGCGGGGAAGACGGAGCACTTTGTGCCTGCCATGCCCGACCGCCGTGGCGACGAGCTCGATCGGCAGCGCGGTTCCGGAGATATATAGCAGCTGCCGCCGCAGCGCACTGCTCCTTCCCTCTCCACCACCTCTCAAGTTCGCGCTCACAGCCGACGCCTTCTCTCTAGGCAGAGGCGCTTCAAGCCTCGTTCGCCCAGATCTGCCTTTTTGCCCTCAGCGCAGCTCTCTCTCTCTCGACCTTCTCCTCCAGAACAGCGCGCAGGGGGCAGATCTGCGGCTGGCAACGATGCTCCGCACCTCCATCTCCTCACCCGCTCGCAGCATCTCGCGCTGGCGTCTCAGCGTGCACGTGGCTCATCAGTCCCGCGCTTCGTGCTCGGCATCTCCAGCTGCCGCTGCTGCCCAAGCTCACCTCTCCGCACGCACCATGTCGCACGACAGCGCAGCCACGGAGGCCGCCCAGCTTGGCTGCTTCGAGCAGCCGGCTGAGCGAGCAGCAGGCGCATCTGACGCCCCCGCCGCCGCAGCGCCAGCAAGCGCCTCGCTCCTCTCTCAAGCGCTCACGAGCGTCGGCAGCGTCGCCCTGGCCGGGCTGGGCGCCCTCACTTTCGCGTCGCGCAGCTGGACGCAGGGGCTGCGCTCGCACGCCGAGGCGCTCGAAGAGACGCGCGACGAGATGGCGGACGACTGCGGCGACGAGGCGGAGTGGTACAAGAAGGAGCCGGCGCAGACTGCGGCACAGCTTTAGCGCCGAGCCCGTCGGCGCCCGAGTGCGCATCTCGGGTGCTGGTGAGCCTGGCCTCTTGCCGCGATGGTTGCCCGGTGGCTGACCTCGCCTCGATCGATCAGGCCAGCCGCATGACACTACAGCCCCATCCATCCGCATCCGTCTCTCCTGCATCCGACATGTCGTCTGCCTCTCTCTCCAGACGTGCACCTCATCAGCCTCTCTCTCAGGCCGTCTCCGATACGTCTCCTCACAACCCCCATCGCGCTCGATCTCACGTCTCACTCCTGTCTTCTCATACGCAACGCTTCCAATCATCCAGAGAACCTCAAGCATCGCCTCCACCCTCACCTGTAACCCTACATACCTCACCCATCAATCGTCTTCGCCTCCCGCGTCGTGCGCTGTGTTCATGCGAGGCTGATGAGGAAGAATCGTCGCATTGGCGGGGCGTAAAGGTAGTACAGGGCGCGTACAGTCGAGCGTGGCGGCTCAGACAAGCGAACGGAGAAGCACGGAGACACTGAGAACGGCAGGGCCGAGGCGGCGTGCCTTTTAGCCGACGTACGGCAGGCCCTTCTTGGCGTCGTAGTCGCTGAGCTCGAACTGCGCCAGCGCCTGGAACCAGCAGGCCTCCTCGGTGCCCGTCTGCTTCTGCGTGAAGACGGCGTCCTCCTCATCGATGAGCGTGGGCTGCGGGCAGAGGAACGATGAGCATCGAGCTGGCGGAGGATGCCGACGCGACGCACCTTGTTGCCCTCGCGAGCGCACGCGGCGTCGGCGAGCAGCATGACCTGGCAGTGGCGCTCGAGCGCGATGAAGCTGCGGCACAATCATCAGCGCCGCTCGGGAGGCGCAGCGCCGCGCGTTGACTCACCGGTGCGTCGCAGCCTCGATCGTCTTGCCGGCGGTCAGGATGCCGTGGTTGGCGAGAATGCAGGCCACGCCGTCGCCGAGCGCCTTGGCGATGTTCCGGCCCTCCTCGTCGTCGACGGCCACGCCGCCGAACGTCGAGTAGAGGCCGCACTTTTTGTAGAAGACGCTGCGGAGACGCAAGTCGAGTCAGCATTGCACCTATCAGCATTAGACGAAGCCGCGCACCAGCTGTCCTGGGTCGTGATCTCGACGGGCTTTTTGAGCGTCGAGAAGGTCTGCAGCAGAGCCGTCAGCGCGTGCTCTGGCGGTCGTGTTCTGCCGAGCGCACCTTGCCGTAGATGCTGTGCGAGTGCGCGGCAGCATCGATCTCCGGCCGCGCGGTGTGGATGGCGTGGTGGCTGCGAGACGTTGAGCTAGTGCAGCGTACGTCAGGCGACGTCTAGGACGCACATGGCAAAGGCGGCCTGAGGGCACAGCGTCAGCACCTGTCCGTCTACACTGTGCATCGCTTCCGCACGCACCTGGTTGTAGAGCTGCTTGCCCGGCTTGCCGCCCATGATGACCTTGCCGTCGTGGCCGATGAGCAGCAGGTCGCTCGTCTGGGTGAGCGAGAAGGGAATGCCAAAGCCGCTGAGATGGACGAGGTGAGCCTGGGCCCACGCACGATGCGTGCCAAGCTACGCACGCAGTCCAGAAGGCGTCGGTGATGATGGGGTCACTGAGAGACAAAGGGGTAAGACAGGTCGGCGAGACGCTCGCTGGTGCTCGATTGCGACTTACCGGTACGTCAGGTGGCCAGCGACGCCCTCCTCGAAGCTGCGCAGCACGCGTCAGGCCCCACACAGGCGGCAGTACCACACCTTCATGCTCACCCGAGGCGGCCAAAGACGCGGTAGCCAAGCGCCAGGCGTTCCTTGCGGTACTCGCGCTCCTCCTCTGGCGTGTCGAACTGGAGCGGCATGGTCTGAGCGGCAGTGCGGCCAGCCACGTCTGCGCCCTCGCCACAGCACCGGCGGCACACGCACCTTGGGCTGCTTGAGCATCTTGAGCTTGCTGCCGGCGTCGGCCTCGCCGTGCGCAGCCTCTCCGTCGGTCGGGCGTGGTGCCATGGTGAGTACGTGTGGTGTGGGTGCGTGGAAATGAGGGCGTGGTGGTTGGACGGCAAGCGCTGCTGCGGCTGCCTTCCCCGCACCTCGGGCCGGCGCGGCGCACGGGCCGAGCAGCGCCGGCCGGCCTCCTGCGCGGTTTCCCCGCAGCAGCGGTGGCGAGGCGGCCAACCTCGGCCGGCCAAACCGCACCCGCACGCCAGCCCCGAGCCGCACGCCCCCCAGGGTACAGCCTACGTCTCCAGGGGCAGGTCTAGAGATTGCATGTCGAGGCAGTGTGTACAATGCAGGCAGGTAATAGCGGGGCGCGACCGGTGACACGAGAGCAGGGCAGAGTCTAGAGAGCAAGGGCGAGGCCGGCGAGCAGCACAGCGCCCGCAGCTGTCCAGCCGAGGCCAGCGCCGGCCTTGCGCCAGGCCGAGTCGGTGTAGACGCGGACGTAGTCAAACTCCCAGCGGGCATCCTCGAATGCAGACGGGTTGTCTGAGGGCAGCACCCGTCAGTACAAGCGATGCCGCGCTGCGCGTTTTGCGACTCACTGCGCACGAAGCTCGAGCACGACTGCGGCCCACAGCCGCTCGACTGGAACGTCTCGCCGGCCCAGTCGCCGCAGAAGCTGAGGTTGATGATGATCTCGTGCTGCTCAAAGTACTGCGACATGTCGCAGCTGGCGCCGTTGTCAAAGTGCGCCGCCGGCTGGCCCCACTTGGCCAGATCCTCGGCGGTGGCGTTGGCGCCCGTGAGCACGTAGGGCGGCGCGGACCCGGCGGCCGCTGCCACTGCGGCGGGGAGCGCATCGACCGAGGTGTTCGACGGCCAGAAGTACACGCTGATGCCCTCGCCGCCGCTGCGTGTGTCGCGCTTCATCGCATACCAGCCACCGCCGCTGAGTCAAGGGTCAGCCTCTGTTGTGGCAGCGCTTGCTCGTGCGCCTCACTTCTGGTTGAAGTCCTTGCCGAAGCTGTTCGTCAGGCTGAAGCGCTCCGAGCATCCGGGCTGCGAGATGCAGTCGGTCTTGTCCGCGAAGCTGAGGCATCGAAGTCAGCAAGGTGCGGCGGACCGGCGAGCCCGGCGACGCTCACCCCGACGAGCGCGACGTGTTGCCCGCCGCGATGCTGCAGCCGGCCGTGGTGTGCAGGCTGGCGAGGTTCAGCGGCCCCTGGTCGTTGGCGCCCTCGATGATGTCGATCTCGCCGCCCGACGGCCAGTTCCTGCGTGTACATGTCCAGAATGCCGGCCATGTGCTAGATGGGCGTGTCAGCCAGTGAGCGTGCCGCATGCATCGCGCGCGCGCCCTCACCCGCAGCCCATCGGCATCCGCGCAATCTTCGCCACGAGCACGCCGTCGCCCATCGTGTTGACCGAGTGCAGGCGCACGCTCTTGCGTCCCGACTCCTTGAATTGCGGAATCGACGACGAGTCTGCACGCATGACGAATGCACCGTTCGAGGCGACGTAGGAGAGGTTGGACGAGCGCGCCTCGCTCTTCGACACATAGCTGCAGGCGCGAAGTCAGCAAACAGCTCGCCGGAGCCAGATCTCTGCCAGCGCCACACGCACTTGACATAGCCGTGCGTCGGGTCGGCGTAGTCCCACCACGTAAAGGCGTTGAAGAAGCCATTGCCGTAGATGTCGTCGCGCAGCGTCCAGTTGCCCGCGGCGACGCCGGGTGGCGCAGCGAGCGCCAGCAGCGCCGCCGCCGCCGTCCATGCCGAGGTGCGCATCGCGAGCTGGGCTTTGTTGGGTGAAGAGCTGGCGCGAGATGCGTCCGAGCTGCGAGTTGTGCGGGCGTCGTCGTGGTACTGACGGCGGTGTGTGCTGCGCTCGCCGACGACAAGACGGCCAGGGCCCGAGGGGAGATTTTCGGAGCCGGCCGATGTCAGGTCATGGTCGCCGCTGCAGCAGACTGTGCGCATGCGCCACCCGCCTGCGGTCCGACAGCCTGCGCCCAGCACGTCGCCGCGACGCGCCCAGCACGTCGCATGCCAAGCACCGCAAGCCGCCGCGCCGCGAGCGGAGGTCGGACGGCGTAGACACGCGCGAACATCCCGCGGCGCAGCGGCAGCGCCGGCGCCGTGCCGCCGCAGCCGTATCTTCTGCCGCTCTGCCGAGACGAGAGGCCGAAGAGAGACCTCGGCAGCGCTGAACCTGCCCTCTGCTGCTGCCGCCGTCCACATGCAGCCAACCTCCGGGACCCTCGGCACAAGCAGCGCATTGCATGTCGTGTGAGATCTGCAGCACCTCGCAGCAGCCGGCGCGCGGGCGACGACAGCAAAGGGCAGACGCTCGGACGCTGCCGGCCTCCGGCTGATCCGGAGCCAGCATCTGCAGGGTGCCGTGGGAGCGCCGCTCTGGCCGCCCCTCCCGTCCATCGCGAGCATGACGCCCGGCTCCGAGGCACAAGCGCGGCAACAGTTGACCTCTGCAGAGCGTGTCATGCGTGACAGCAGCAGGAGCTCAATCACCAGAGCAAAGCGCCGCGAGCGACTCCAGCTGCCCTGCGAGCCCTCTGGGCCGTCCTCGCACCTCGTCGACGAGCAGACGGCTGACGCAGGTGCAAACGCAGCAAGAGCTCGGCTCCTCGCAGCCGCGGCGGCGGCGGCCTCCACACCGCGCGCGGCCGCCGCGCACGTCCAGCCACACCTGCTCCGCGTCACGTGCTGCGCTTCAATGCTGCATCAAGACGCTGCGGCGGTGCGAGGTGTGCAGCGCGGGTTCGTACGTCCGAGACAAGCTGAGCACTGATGCAGACGCTGCGCCGAGTGGCTGTTGGCGAGCGAGCGAGCGGAGGCGCGTGAGGGGCTGCCCCGGATGGAGCGAGCCGCGCCCGAGTCCCGCAGCGAGGCGCGTAAGGTGGTGCCGTGGCAGCGGCTGGCGGCATCGGCTCGGCCGCGCGACCCTGCTCACCTCTCCCACATCCGCCTCCTCGTCCCGCACGCTTTCTCACTCGCGCGCTCTCAGCGCCACTACGGCGCACGGCCCCTGCTGCCAAGTTCGCGCTCTCCGCCGGCACCATGGAGTGGCGGTCCGCGAGCGGCGCCGACGGCGCGGCGCCCGACGCGCTCGTGAGCGTCGTGCCGCCGGCGCCGTCGCGCGCCTCGTCGCTGCTCGTCACACTCGTGCTGTGTCTGCTGGCCGCGCTCGTGCTGCGCACCGTGCTGCCGCGCCTGCCACGCCTTCTCTTCCGTGGCCGCCTGCGCGTGCGGCGCGCGGGCCTGCGAGGCGTGCGCGGCATCGAGTGGAGGCAGAACGGCTTTGTGCGCAAGCGCTCGGCCACGGGCACGGCGGTCGGCGCACGCGAGGACGACGGCCTCGTGGTGCGTGTGCAGCACGTCTATCTCGTCTTCCACGGCTGGCGCCGGCGGTCAGGCGGCAGCAGCGCCAGCGAGACGGCGACCGCACGCACAGCAGAGCCGGCGCTCCCCGACGGCGACAACCCGCGCCCTGCAGTCGCCGCTCCGACCGCTTGGATCACGATTCGCATTCAGGGCGTGGGTGTGCGACTCGCCAAAGCTGCCACCAGCGCAGAAGCGCACGCAGTACAGGCACGCGCGGCAGAGGCGCGCCGCCGAGAGATGGAGGAGGAGGCCCATCGCAGAGCCGAGGCTGCCGAGGCGCATCTGCAGCGCCTCATCGCTAGCACGCCGGATGCCTCGGCGCTGGCGAGCATGTCGGAAGATGCCGAGGGCGACACATCTCTAGAGTCGGTAGTTTCGCCGCCCAGTCCCTCGAGGGACACCGGCGACACGCGCCGCGCCCCTCCACCACGACCAGAGGACGCACATGGCCTCCCTCTGCGTGGCGCACTTCTCTTCGCCTTCTTCCTGCGGTATCGCGTCCTGCCGGTCGTGCGGATACAGTCGCTTCGTCTCGCACGAGCGCTCGTGTACGTCGTCGTCTCTGCGCTGCCAGCGCTGACCTCGTTCGTCGATGTCGAGCTGCAGCGTGCCGAGGTGTTCGTGCAGGACGCCGAGTCGGTCTTGCGCATCGGCCGCATGACCTTTCTGGTCAGCATGGCCGTCGCAGACGAGCCAGAGACTGGCGAGACTGGCGCGACAGACGAAACGTCGCGGCGATGCGCCAGCAGTGCCAGCTTTGCAGGCCGCGTCTCCGCCGCCTTCAAGGAGATGCCAGGCCGCCTGGGCTCCGGCGCAGCTGGCGCTGCGACGTACATCAAGGCCAACCTGCCGGCGGGCCGCGCCAGCCTGCAAGTACGCATGGAGGGGTTGCAGCTCTTCGAGGCAAACCACGAAGCGCCGCATGGCGAGCGGCCGAAGGCCCGCCTGCCCGAGTCGCGGCCATCCTCTCCTTCGCCGCAGGCCTGGCGCGGTCCCTCGTCCCGCATGGCGCGGCGGCCTACCTCTCCGCCCGAGACGCCGGTCCGCTCAGGGTCGACAATGTCGCCGCTGCTGCGCAGTGCATCATCGGCCACGCCGTCCTCTCCGCAGCTGCATGCTTCGCGCGCAGGCATCGATGCGGTGCCGGCTCAATGGCTGCCTTTCAGCGCCACTCCTCCGCAGGAGCCGCCGACGCTCAAGCGTTCACACAGCGCGTCTGGCATCGCTACCCTGTCGACGCAGCCGCTGAGTGGCTGGACGGATCGCTGGGCAGACTGGGCGCTCGAGCCCTTCCCCAGCTCCAGCTACTCCTCCGACACGGGCTGGGCGAAGGGCGAAGCGCGTGGACCGGTGCCTGAGGGCGCGCGTCTGCTGGCGCTTCCCGACGTCAGCGTGTTCGAGCTCGGCATTGCGCTCGATCCCAACCTCGCCATCGGCGCGCGCGAGACTGTGAGCTTGAGACTGCAGCTCGCCGCAGTGACTGTGGGCATGGACGCCGTCGCCCGTACTCTCAGCGTGCTGGAGCAGCGCAAGTCGATGCACCACGGCTTCGCGCCGACGAAGAAGGGCCTGGACGGGTGCGTACTGGCGAGTGGCCTGCCTGCTCCCTATCTGATTCATTCTGTTTGCAGCACGAGGTCACAGGTGTCGAAGCACTTCGCACAGCAGCGGCGTGAACCTGCGGCACGGATGCTGTACGCGCTCAGCTCTGTCTCCATCACCGTACCTAGCGCTCTCTTCCTGTCCGACATTCAGACAGCTTCCCTGGCGGTGACGCAGCAGGTGCGCGAGGGCGACAAGACGCTGCCGCGCTCGCTGCAGTTCCGCGCGACGCTGCGGCACCTCAGCTTGTCGCTCCGCACGAGCGATGCTGCCGACGCACGGCATCGTCACTGGCTGGGCTCGTGTGGCGTCAAGGGTAGGCGGGCAGAGCCGACCAACATGCCGTCAGTCTCGCGCAGCGCCATCGGCGGCCTCAAAAAGGGCATCCAGGACCGCTTCCGTTGGGCTGCGCTTCGGTCACGCGCGCGCTACGTCGAGCATCGGCAGGCATTCACGCTCGAGGCTGGCATGGAGAGCTTGGAGGCTCTCGTCGGCACGGAAGGTCGCTCAGTCGAGCTGGCGTCCGAGCTGCTCCTGCTGCGTGAGGCGAAGCTCTCTGCTCGCTCCACCTGGACACCGTTCGGCTTGCTCCCAACTCAGTGCCCGGTCGACTCGCCACTGGCCGCGCAGTACTTTGTCGGTGACCCAAACGAGCAAGTTGCCGTCATCGAAGCCTCGGTGCGGCAGGTGCATGGCGAGACGAGCCTGCAGCACGCAGCAGCGCTGGGCACCACTCTGGCGGCCCTGCTTGCAGAGCGGAAAAGCGCGCGTGCCAAGGTCGGCCTGCAGGATGAGCGTCCACCGAAGCCGCCAGGACCTGCGTTCCAGCCGCCGCGGCTCTTCTTGGGCGCTGCCGTTCACGACTGCTCCTACCACCTCAATCTCGGACCGCAGAAGCGCGCCGGCACCGACGCCCTCTTGGGCGAAGTCAGCCTCATTGCGAATGCCCCGCGACTGTCGCTCACGCTGCAGACCGCGTACCAAGACGCATACGTCGGGAGGACCGAGAATGAGCGGCGACACGCCTGGAAGACCTACTCGAGGGCCGCGAAAGACAAGACAGACAGCCCGCCGACTCTCCGGCCGCCTCTCGCGCGCATGCACTCGTCCAGCTCGACCGTCTCGGCCGCGTCCCACGAGGCAATTCCGCCGCCCGCTCCGCCGAAGGAAGGCATGACGATGGACGAGGCCCTGGCTCAGATGCGCGAGCTGCAGCAGCAGTCTCACGCAAGTGGCGAGAGAGGGCCGCCGCTGCACGCGCGTCCGAACTCCTCGGCGTCTGACCGACGTGCGGCTGCGTCGGCGAGGGACCGCCGCGGCAAGCACCCCACGCCACGAGCGATCAGCGGGCCGCCTGAAGCCAATCTGCGCTACACGTTCGACGCACGGGTGGCCTGTGAGCCCATCGAGGCGTTCTTTGCCGTGACGGGCGATGACAACTCGTCTCGGCGACGCAACGACACGCCGACGGCTGGCCGCCACCTGCCGCGCTTGGGCATGACGCGCCATCACTTGCTGCTCGTCAGCGCCATCGAGTCGAAGATCAACGGCCACGTGCCGGGGTTTCAGGACTGCATGGACACGGTGGAGCTGGCTCCGAAAAGGGCCGCCGCAGACGTGGTCGTGTCTCTGCAGGAGCTCGACATCGACATGTGGCACCCTGCTGCTCTCGGCGCGACTCGAGGCCTCGTGCGGGTGCTGTCCGACGCGGCAGCCCTGGCTAGCCGGCTTCGCACCGCTGGCACAGCGCTGCAGTCGTCCGATTCTGCCGCATCGCCAGCGCCCGCCGTCAAGCCGCTGATCGACAGGGTCCCGGCCACCGACTGCAGCCTGTACGCGTCCGTCGGCGCGATCATCATGCACGTCGGCGGCAGCGATGTCAACTGCGACCCGCACATGTCGCGCGGCGTGGGCTTTGAGGCCAAGCGTGTGGTCTTTGAGGCGGTCTCGACGAAGTACGATGCGCGGCGTGCGCCCGACATCAGCGCTGGCTGGGGCTCGCGTACGGCGCTCGAGCTGCCGGAAGAGCTCATGCTCAGTGCACATGCCCTCGCTTCGCGGCACAGCAAGGCGGCGGCGGCAAAGCTCAGCCTCTTCGAGATCGGCCTGTTCCCTATCCTCGATGCAGAGCAGGCGCTGCAGCAGCACATGGACGGAGGCACCGGGCGGACGCGGCGCGGCATGCACAGGGAGTCCTCGTCTGAGGCTACTGCGGCACTCATGGCGTCGCCCTCGATCTTCGCGCCGGCCGTGTGGGAGTTCCAGAAGACGCGGCCTCAGCAGACGAAGAAGAAGCCGACGCACACCAAGTTCCGGCAGCAAGACCGCTCCAACTTCATCTTCTGGATGCCCTTCTCGGCCACCAAGGCCTTCTTGCGACCGCCTGGCGCCGTGAGCGGCAAAGTCGGCAAGCGCGCTGATGAGATCACGGTCACGTCGGAGGGCACGCCGCTGCTCGCCCTGAAGATCGAGCTACTGCACACGTACTGCATCCTGAACGCGCTCGCTGCCCTCAAGGGCCTCGTGCCGCAGCGTCGCGAGCCGGCAGAGCGGGAACATGAGGGCAAGGCGGCAGAGCCCTCCCCGCCGACAGCGTACCGGCCGTCCTTCAGCGTCGCCATCGACGTGCAAGAGATCCACATGAGCATCCGTCTGCCGAGCGAGGTCAACCTCTTTATGCAGCTCAGGCGCCTCGACCTGCGCCTAGTCGACCGCGACAATCTGTCGCTCGCTCTGGAGCAGGTCATGGCCGCTGTCGAGACCCCGCAGCGGCCGTCCAAGGGCCTGTGGGAGGAGGCCGTCCGCTTCCGCGACTGGAAGTTTCAGGTGCACCTGCCCGACCGGCACACCGGACGCAAGCTCGAAGTGGCGGTGAACGGCGATGGCCTGCGCATGCGCATCCCCTTCGGCTATCCGGTGCATCCGATCATCGACAATGCTGCCGTGGCGTTCAAGACAACCAAGCAGCTGGTCGCGCAGTTCGTCAAGGGCTCCAAGGAGTCGGTCATCTTTCCTGTGCCCGAGGACCCGAAGCATCTGCCGAAGATCTCCGTGAACGTGCGCATCTTCGTCATCGAGGCGCAGGACGACCCCATCGAAGTGCGCCTGAACAGCATCTGGCGCGCCGGCGGCGACGAGAACCAGGCTCGCATGGAGCGCGACGTGGCCTTCGCCGACAAGGTCAACTCGATGCGCGAGAGTGCCGAAGACGATGCCGCCTCGTTTCTGTCCCACGCGGCCGGAAGCGTCCGGACGACCGCGACGGCGAGCACGAGCGGAGCTGCCAGCGGACCGGCGACAAGCATGCATAGCCCGTCGAGCGCCAGCTTGCCAGCTGATCTGCCTCAGCGTACCAGCTCGGACTCGGAGCACGCCGAGCACGATCCGGCTGCGGTCAACCAGCACTTCCAGCAGCGCACGAGCGCAGCCGTCAAGAAGGCACGCGAGCAGCTCGACGCCTTCAATGCCTCGAGCTGGATCCGCCGCTCGAAGAACGCGTACCTCGAGATGAGCCGTCGTGAGGAAGCAGCGGCCCGGCGCATCTACGGCCGCTACCCGACACAGCGCGTGTCCAGCGAGCTGCCGATCAAGATGATCACCCCGGCGCGCGCTCCGCCGCTCTTCCGCTCGAGCATGAGCAAGCTGGCCCTCGACATTGGGCCTCCGTCCTTCGCGCAAGACAAGCTCCGCGACTTCATCCATGAGCAGGGCAACGGCGTGCCGCGCGACCTCGGCTACTCTTTGCTCGTGCCGATGCACCTGCGCTGGCGCATGGCCGAGTGGCGCATCCAGCTGCGCGACTACCCCATGCCGCTGCTCCACATTCCGCCGATGCATCGCGACCAGCCAGACGACCTGCGCTCGTGGGATCTGGAGGGCGACGTCGTGCTCGCCGAGCACTGCGGCGGCCGCGAGTCGATTCGCCACGTGCCGGCTGTGGTGGTGCCGGCGGCGACGGGCCTGGCCGACGCCAAGGAGTACGGCATCTCCGTGCCGAAGATGGCCATGCCGGTCAAGTTCTACGGCTCGCCGACCATCAGGATCAACACGTCGTACCCGACGCGCGCGACGTGGGGCCAGTCGATGCAGCCGGCCATCCACGACATGACGCGCGTGCTCGACACGGTCACCAGCCCGCCGCACGATCCGTCTGCTAAGCTCGGCTTCTGGGACAAGGTGAGCTGCAGAGGCGAATGGGCTTGAGTGCGCAGCTGACCGGTGCTCTTGCAGCTTCCGCTGGTGGTTCACGGCCGATTTGGCATTCAGTTCGTCGGCGACGGCGAGCTGCACCTCTACCTCGTAAGTGCCGCGATGATCTAAGAGTCTGGCCGCTGACGCATGCGCGTCTCACAGAAAGGCAGCCGCGACCCGTACTCCATCCTGGGCCACGGCTCCGGCTGGGTCATGTGCTGGCGCGGCAACGTCGACGTGCGCCTCAACCAGCAGAACCCGGACCAGGAGGTGTTCCAGATCCTGTCCCACCAGTTCCTGCTGGCCATCCCAGACCTGCGCGACTACATCGACCAGGCCGCCACGGGTGTCACGGACAAGCGGCAGGACCCGGACGAGTCCGACCGCCGGTCCGGCAACGCGACGCTGCTGTCCGCGGGCCATCGCTACACCGAGGAGATCGACTTCCGCAAGATCGTGCTGCGGCTGACGAACGGCGTGCGCTGGGGCATCGGCATCAAGTGCGAGCGCACCTGTACCGACGAGACGTGCAAGCGCACGCCGCGCTGCTCCGGCCCGGCCTTCTACCGCGAGTGCCGCTTCTTCGACGCCAAGCCGCACTGGGAGGTGCACACGCGGACGAAAGAGTACCTGGACACGCTGCCCGAGAGCGAGAGGGTGCGTCTCTTGCTGCCTAATGTTTCTGCTATACTGACGCCTCGGCACCGCAGGGTGACTCGTTCGCTGGCTACCGCACCGACCACATCCACTTCTCGCTTTCCATCTTCTCCCGCCCAGACGGGCTGCAGGACTACACCGTCCGGCCGTCAAGCAGCTCGACGGCCGGCGACTCGTCGGCCAACAACTTCTACTTCACGCCGCTGGCGTGGGAGAACTTCTGGGCGTGGATGCGCCTGTTCAACGGCGCCATGAGTCTGCCCATCCGCCAGGGCCCGCTGTTCCCCGAGGCGCAGGTGCAGTCGCCCAAGTTCGGCCGCCACCTCGCCACGCTCAAGTACCGCTTCGACCTTGCTCCGCTGTTCATCTCGCACGTGTATCCGCAGGACATTCGCGCCGACTGGGCACCGGGACGCACCACGCTCATCGGCGTCAAGGCGCGCGTCGGCACCTTCCACCTCGACATGCACCAGCGCCAGCAGGAGATGCTCAAGGACCGGCCCGAGTTCGGCGACAGCAAGAAGAAGGTGTTCCACAAGCCGTTCTACGAGGCCGAGATGGACCTGGACAAGATCGACCTGCGCACGCTCTGCGCGCAGTTCACGGAGCCAGACAAGCGCCTCTTCCCGTCGGATGAGGACCCCGTCAGTGCGGCAGCTGAAGGCGAGAGGGACATCTTCGCCGGCGACTGCACGCTCTCTGACCGCGACCTCGAGTGGCTCGACATCCGCGACTTCATCGAGGTCGACTGGAAGCCGCCGGAGTCCGGCGAGGATCCGAAGGTCAAGCTGGCGCAGGCCATGGTCTGCCCGCACTTCAACTACCATCGCCGGCTCGAGTCGCAGCGCGAGCGCTCGCACCGCACAGCCAGCCAGGCCAGCCAGTCGAAGCAGAGCAGGCGCGCGACAGAGCAGCAGCAGGAGGAGATCCTGCGGCTGGAGTTCACCAAGTTCGGGCGCGAAGACTCGCACACGTGCCTGGTGGGCCAAGGCCCGCACTCGTTCGACGTGCAACAGGCTCTGGGCGACGAGCGCATCAGTCAGCTGCATGCCGAGCTCGACAAGCTCTGCGGCGCCGATCGCGACCATGAGGCTGCTGCTAGCCTGCGGAAGAAGATTCAGCTCATCACCACCTACCTCTCTGCGCTGAAGCACGAGCACCGAGTGCCGGACAGTCGCGAGCCTCCGACGGCCTTTCCCGTGACAAAGGGTAGCGCGGGCCACGGCTCGGACAAGCTGGCCATGCCACACATGTACGCGGACTGGGAGTCGTTCAACAACCGCCATCTTGTGCACAACCCGACGATCTTCTTCAGCAACACAACGCGAGACGTGCTGCTCAAGTACTACCTCAGCTCGCGCCAGCGTCGCGGTGTGGTGCACCATCTCACCGCTCGCGCCGTGCGCTACATCCGCGAGCTGTCGGCGCGGCACGAAGGCGAGGATCACGAGGACGAGAGCAAGAGCCACGCAGATGAGGACGCAGATGAAGCCTCAGATGCGAAGCGCCACGGCAGCACCTCGAGCCGCGGATCTCGCCGTCGGCGACAGCAGAGTCGCAAGCGGACACGCGACACTGACGGCGCCACACCTGTCGAGGAGAAGAAAGCCATCGATCTGCTGCAGGGACTGCTGACGCAGACGGCTAACCAAGTGATGGTCGAGAGCCCCACCGAGGACGGTCCGGATTCGTCACTTCTCGATGATGACATCGACGCGAGCGAGGGCATCTCGGATCAATTCGACGTGCGGCGGAGCACAATCTGCGTGCTGATCAAGCCGCAGATCGTGCTCCGCAGCGAGATGGACGAGCGCTCCACGATCGTGCTCACGGCAACACGCACCCGCCTGCGCAACTTCTCCGTCATCGACCCGCGGTCGGAGGAGGACTCGGTCAACGAGCGCGTGCTGCACCGCAACTACTTCACGCTCGACGGCCTCCAGGCCTTCCACCCGAGCGACAGCTGCACCTTCCTCGCCACGGCCAACGAGCGGTCCGGCTTTGTCTATGTGCCGCTCGAGACGCTCGTCGACTTCAGAGTGAGTGTGCAGCGACGCTGTGCAGAGGCCCGGCTCACATCATGGCGTCGCAGTACGAGACGAACGACTTCGATCGCGTGGTGCCGCACACTGACGCGAGCGTGCGCTACGACAAGTTCAACAAGCTGCGTCTCAACGACTCGTCCCGTCCCGTCGCGGCAGACGAGACCGGCAGCAATCCTGCCATCGACCACCTCGTGCACCACATGGACCTTGCCCGCCTGCGCTGCCCACGCTTCGGCGTCGTGGCTGATGCGAGCCACTTCGCCGCCATCTACAACGTGGTCACCGACCTGCTGCTCTATCGCGATCCCGCGTACCGCGAGCACTCGAAGCGACTCGAGACAATGCTCTTCAGCCACGACTTCAGCGACACGTCGGGCCTGTCCGAGGTGGTCGCTGGCCTGCAGTACCGCATCCGCCACGCGCGCGAGCTGCACGCGCAGTATCTCATGCACTTTGAGCACCTCAACGAGCACGGCCGACTCGATCTGCTCGCGCTCAAGGCGGAGATGCAGGACATGCTCGACGAGCTCAACCTCATCATGGAGGCGATTGCAACCTCCGAGGAGCACTCCTCCGGCTCAGACAAGGACAAGAAGTCGGCGCTGCGCGTCGAGGCCGTGGCCCAAGACATCACCTGGAGCATGATGGGCGCCGACGAGGGCGAGCTGCTTGCGAAACTGTCGGTCAAGGGTGCCAGCTTCACCTGGCTGAACAAGGTCAGTCGCGAGCTGTTCACAAGCTCTGCCTGCTGCTGACCCTGATGACGCGCAGACCGACAACTCGGCGGCCAACACGCTGTCGATCGCCGACCTCTCGGCTGTCAACGTGCATCCCGACGCCTTCTTCGCCGAGATCTTGTCCAAGTACAAGAAGGGCGCCGCGGCAAACCACGCAATGGCGCAGCGCGGGCGATTCCTCGACGCAATGTGGTCAGTCATGGCACCCGTCGGTGGCATCTCGATCGTGGATCAGTTCGACTTCAAGCTGCACCCGATGCGCCTGCAGCTGGAGAGCAAGGTCGGCTCCCAGCTCATGGAGTACATCTTCGGCTCGAAGCGGGAACGTGAGCGTCGCAATCAAAAGCAGAAGGCGGACGAAGACGAGTCTCGCTCGCCGGACGCGACCGACTCAGCCAAGACGGCAACGTCTGCGAAGAGCAAGCGGACCCGCGGCGGGCGTCTGACGCGGCTCTTCCGGTCCGGACACGGCAACGAGCGTAGCGAGGCCAGCGAAGAGGCTCGCGTCAGTCCGCCGACTGCGTCCGTCCGTGGCTCAACGGAACTGGTCGGAGACCGACCGCGACGTCCCAGCAGCACTCGCTCGGCGAGCTACACGAATGGCAGCGGGCGTGACTCGTCACGCTCGCGCCCAGCGACGCCGCAAGGCGCCGGATCTCGCCCAGACTCGGACGAGGAGTCTGATCCCGACAGCCACATGGCGATCGTGAGCCGTAACGCAGCGGAGATGCGGCAGCGCGCGGCGTCGAACCGCACGTTTGTGCTCGTCAAGATCTCCGACACGATCTTCAACCTCTCGTACAAGGGCGAGAAGGAGAAGAGCATCACGAATGTCTACGACCTTGTCTTCCACTCGCCGAACATCGAGTACCGCAACCGCACGTGGGCGTACGTCGACCTGGCGAACCACTTCAAGCGCGACATCATCCGCGCCGCGTGGGGCCAGAAGACGAGCATTCTGCGCGGCGTGCTCAATCACCGGCCGCGGCGCACCTCGCTGCGCGCACATCTGCCTGCGCGCATCGCCTCGGGCGCCGGCCTCAGCGTGCGCGTGGAGCCGCCGACGCCGACGAGCAGCATGCTACTCTCGCGCGACGACGAGCCGGACACGCCCGAGTCGCCGCAGTCGATGCTGAGCGATCTCGAGGAGGATGGCTCGTCGGACGAAGAGGCCGAGCAGGAGCGCGAGGTGCCCGAGAGCGATGCCGACGAGCCGCACTCGGGCAACACGACGGCCTCTCGCGCATCCACTGCCAGTCCCGGCCGCTTCTCTCGCTTCATCACGAAGCGCCTCCGGCCGCGCTCGGGCTCGGGCTCGAGTGGCGCCACGCACGAGACGGTGCGCATGGATCGCGACGACTCGCACTCGTCAGATCCCGACGGCTCGTCTCCCGGCCTGCGCAGTCCCGGCGAGGAGGCGCGGCGCATGCTGCGGCCCACCGACACGTTTGCGTTCAGCGAGCACGGCGCCTCCCTGCCGCCGCGTGGCAGCTCGCGCCAGTCATCGCCGGCGCCCCGAGCGGGCAGCCTAGGCGACCGCCGCGCCAGCAGCCCACTCTCCTTTCTCATGAGCCGACGACCAAGCAGCCCGCTGGGCCGCGAGGGCGACGGACCCGGCGACTCCGAGGACGCCGATGGCTCCCTCGCTGCCGCGGCCGCCGAGCGCACGCGCGCCCTCTTCGGCCTCGGCCGCCGCTCCTCCTCGCCCGCGCCCACTCCGTCGTGACAGCGCCATGCGGGCATATCTGCGGACTTCACACTCATCTGTACTTGTATCTGCAACGAACGTATTGTTAATCCGAGGCGAGGCGGAGCAGTGTGATGTACAGGAGATGTGCAGCAAGAGGCCAGCCCGTCCGCGGGGCCGGCCGTCAAGAAGTTGCGAGGAGTAGCGATGCGCACAGAGACGCCTTGATTGGGCTAGCTGAAGCAGTTCAGCCCGGCCCAGAAGCCGCGCTTCCTGCCGACGTCGGTGTGCTTCTCGGCGTGCGCCGCCGAGCCCTTGGTAGCGTTGTACTGGAACACGCTGTGCTCCGAGATCCTGCGCGCCTGGAGGGCCTGCGACGTCTTGGCAGCTGCAGCCTTGTCCTTGCTGCCGTGCGAGTCGGGGAGCTGGCTGGGCAGGCGCAGCTCGCGCTCGTGCATCGGAGAGGGCGGCAGCGACGGCACGCCCTGGCGCGGACTCTTGAGGGAGGCGCGGCATGATGTCGGCGGCGTGGTAGGGGGTGTGCTAGGCACGCGATGCAGCGTGCGCCGGCCGATGCTGCGCGGCGAGTCGTCGGCGGAGGAGAGGGTGAGGTTGATCGACTTTGGCGAGCCCGTCGGCGTGAGCGAGTAGCCCGTGATCTGCTCTTGCTCTTGCAGGATCGACGTCGGCGAGGGCATCGCAGGCAGAAGGGGGTTGTGTGCGTGGTGTGCCTGCCGCACGGAAGGAGAAGGCGTGGCGTGGTAGGTGATGCTTGGCTGAGGGGTGACGAGCGGCGAGCTATGTATCGAGGAGCTCTGCTTGGCCTTGGTTGGCTCTTCCGACGTCTTGCTAGACCGCCGAGCCTTGGGAGGCGGCAGGTCGAAGTAGTCGTCCTTGACCTCGATGCCCTCGGGCGTAAACATGGGCATGCTGTGTGCCGTGCTGCTGGAGAAGCGCGGCGAGACGGGGAGGTACAGCACGGCCTCTGGCGCCGCGCGGTCGCTGTGCGAGGCGTACTCCACGCCAGAGAGCGCCAGACCGTGCTCGCCGTCGTGCAGTGCCGGTGTGCGCGGATAGATGTGGGCGGGGAGCTCGGAGCTGCGCTTCTGCGCCGGCATGTGGAAGCGCAGCGCCTTGGACTCGGAGGCCTGCGCGACGTGCTTCCTGCCGCGCGGCTGTGCGGGCGCGATGTCGAGGCGCAGGCCTTCGGCGGGCGAGACGTCGGCGGCGCTGTCCTCGGGCAGCACATCGACGGGCGCATCGACGAAGCCGTCGCGCGGGCGCGAGAGGTCAAGGCTCTTGGTGCGCGCCATGGCGGCTTGCTGTGTCGGCTGCGGCGTACGCTTGGGCGACCGACTGGCGGGACTGCGCTGAGCCTGAGCTCGACGCTCGGCATCCTGGGCGCGCAGCTCGAAGCGGCTCGGTGCCGGCAGCCCACTGAGCTCGGCGGCGATGCGGCCGAAGGTCGGAGGTGGCGCTGCGCCGTCACCGCCGCGCTCGGGCGTCGTGCTGGGGCGCTTGCGCGTGCGCGTGTGCAGGCAGCGCTCGCCCACGGCGTGGCTGCTGCTGGCGTCCCATGCGTGCTTGCTGCACGTCTTGCAGCGGAACGGCGAGTCGGCGGCCGTGCGTGCCGAGGGCGAGACGAGCACGGGCGACGCAGGGATGTGGTGCGGCACCGCGGGGACCGGAGGCAGCGGCGTGCTGGGCGACTCGCTTGGTGGCTGCGAGACGAGCGAGAGACGCCGCTGTCGCTGCGCCGACACGGCGGCCAGCGAGGCGGTGAGCGTGTCGACGGAGGCCTGCCGGCTCAGCGCCTGTGCCTGCGCCGCGGCGGCGGCGGCAAACGACGACGAGACGCTGTCCGTCTCGATGCCGCCGTCGGACGTGTGCGGGCGGCGCGTGGCGCGGCGAGCGCGGCGCGAGGCCGAGGGCGAGCGCGAGAGAGGCGGAGCGAGCTGCGACGAGGGCCGCGAGTGCAGCGACGAGGGCACAAACGGCGGCGTCACGGCCCGGCTGGTGATGATCGTCGGCAGCGCGCCGCTCACGTCGACGCCGAGGTCGGACGACAACATTGCTGGACAAGGGGGCAGGTTGAGAGATGGCAGCGTCGAGGGCGACGACCGGCGGGGCTGTGGGCACTCTTATACGAGCTGCGCCTGCCCAGGTGTCGCATGATGGCATGCGGCGCGGCGCCGACGACAAGCGACAGGCCGTCGCACGGCTGCACCTGGCTCGGCGGTCGGTGCGGCTGCTTGCGGCGTGTGTAGGTGTGCCTCTGCGCTCGGCGTCGGAGCCGGAGCGTGCGTGGCCCGCCCGCCGAGACGCAGCCGTCCCAGTCCAGACCGTCAGAGCAAGGCACGGCCTTTCGTGGCGGTCTCACCTGGCGGCGTGTTGAGCCGCAGCCGCAGGTGCAGCGCCTGCGCGGCGCAGAGAGCGCCGTCGCGTTGCGGCATCGCCGCAAGCGGCGCGGGCGAGACAGCGGAGCTTAGAGGCGCGCCGAGCACTGCTCTCCTGCCTGCGGTGTGGCTGCTCCCACGCCTGCGCGCGCCTCAATTCTCCGAGCCGCCCTCGCTCGCCTCCGCCTGTGGCTCCTCCTCCTCGCCGGCCCTTGCTCGGTCTGCCCGCCTCCGGCACCGCAACACCGTGCCTTGCTCTGACAGTGGCTAGTGCACGACGATCGTAGCCTGCTCGGAGCTTTAGCAGTGACGCGGCAGGCTGAGATGTGGCTAAGAGCTGCTACGTGGCTGGCGCGGCAGGGCGCGAGATCGCCGGGGTGGAGGCCAAGGCCATGCTCTGAGCATCGTGCATGCCACTGCGGGGGCTGTGAGGCAGACAGCGACGAGGGAATGGGCTCAATATGTCGCCTGATGCACTCTTTCTGAGCCGAGCGACATCAGGTACGGCCATCTCTATCTGTCGGCCGCACGAGCTCTAAGCAGGCCCGCGTTGCAGCGCATCGACCGTGAGCATCGTCCACCTCTTGCGCGTAGGAAGCGTCCAAAGACGTTCTTCCGCCGCCGCCCTTCTCGGCCCCCAGATTCCGACGTCGTTCTGCATCATGCGCATGGTCCTTGCAGATCTCACGGAAGCACAGGTGAGTTCTAATGCAGACACTCGGCCGCAGTTGGCGCAGAGAGAGGGGAGTGGCAGCGTGGCGCCCTCCCCGCCTGCGGCGTGGCGCGCGCCAGGCATGAGGCGTCGTCCGCGCCGCGCCGCATGCGTCCACCAACGCGCGTCGCGTGAGGAGCGCCGTGGCTGCAGAGCTCGCTCGGGCCAGAGCTTCGCTTCGCAGACGAGCAAACGCATCAAGGCTTCATGCACAGGTGAAGGATGCAGGGTGTGCTTCTCGATCTCCAACACCAAACATCCGCCCTTCCGCGCGGAAATCGGACGGCCAGTGCCGCAGGAACGAGATGTGCGCTCGGCGCTGGCGAGCGGGCCGAGCGCAGCATGCAGGGTCTGCGCTCGCTCTATTCCGCGGCTTGGACACCTGATCGCAACAAGATGGTCGGGCCAGAGCAGCCGCAGTGAGCGTATGGTCGCCGTCACCAGGCGACGCATCTGGGAGAGGCAGCGCACGGAGGCGCTGCGCGGCGTCGCTCCGAGCCGGAGTGGCCGGGCGAGGAGAGCGTGGGAGCAGCATGGAGGCGATGACGCGCGCGCCTGCGCCTCGCTGCCTCTGGCCGATTTTTGGCTTTTTGGCGCCGGCCGCCCTGCGCCCACCGCAGCGCGCGCCAGCCGCTGGCCGTCGGGAGCAGCATCTCATGCGCCGGCCCCACACGCCGCTCTGCTCACCAGCCGGCCAAGACGAGCAGCCGCCGGCAACAGCGGTCGCGACAGATGCTGAATGGAGGAGGAGACTTCACGACCGATGGACAGGGCGGGGAGAGAGGGGCGGTGCCAGGGCGCTGGGCATCGAAATTGTATTTCCCAATACAAAAACAGGGGCGCGCGCTTGCTCCTGTTGTTGCCACGCCACCGCTGCGCTGCCGGCGCGCGCCTACGGCGTCTTGGCCTCGCGCTGGCTGATGTTGCACCCGCCGCGGCTGGCTGCGCTGCGTCTGTCTTGTGCAGCTGCCGGCTCTCAGCCTTGTCTCTGCATCTCTCCCACCACCACCCTCACCGCACACCCCCACCTGCGCCCGCCATGTCCTCACCCACCGGCTCCTCGTCCGGCTCGAGCTCCTACTCCTCCAGCTCCTCCTCGTCCGCACGGCGCGGCTCGGCGCCCGCGTCGGCGTTCCTTGCGCCGCGCTTCTGGAGCCAGCCGCAGTTCGACATGCCGCCGCCGCGCCGCACCAGCTTCGGCACGTCGCTCGCCGGCGGCAACGGCCGCCTGGCGGCGCTGAGCGCACTCAGCATGCAGCCGCGCTCGCCGGGCCCGGCGCCCGTGCTCGCCAAGCCGCCGGCGCGTGAGGCGACGAGCTCGGCACCGCCGACGCCCGTGCAGCAGACGCAGCCCGTCGTGCAACAACAGCAGAAGCAGCAACCACAGCAACAGCCACAGCAGCAGCGGAAACAGAACATCTGCTTCCTGCCCGGCCCGGACGGGCTGTGCGTCGAGAGCCGACGGCGGCGCGGCAGCGATGCCTGAGCGCGCGGCGTGAGGGGCGGCGACGGCGATGGTGCACCATCTTAGGAAAGGGGCGGCCATTGCGAGCGCTCGACGACGATTAGATGGCGCTCGCACCTCCTCGCACAACCGCGAGCACGTTCGCATCGAGCGCCTCGTCCGCCCGCATCTCGCATCACTCATGCACGCCGCGCGCGCCCCGATCCCGGGCATCGCCGCCGTCCGCGTCCCTCCACCCCGCCGGCCGCCCACGCACGGGCCGCGCTGCGCTCTCCTCCAGCCTCTCTCCGTTCTCTCTGATCGCCTCTTCGACCCGCTCTTCTCATCTTCACGACCTCACACACTTCCACTTCCACGAGGCCGCTACCTCGCATTCAAAGGCGCGACACGCGCGATGATGCAACGCGCTGCATGCGCGCCCGATCTTATCTCCCGGCGCGCCCGGGCCAGCTTGGGGCGCTTCTCCGACCTGCGCCGCTGCGCCGGCGATGCCGCACCGCGCTCGTCCAGCGAGATCCGTCTGCTCGATCGGCCAGTGTCGGCTTCCGACTGGCATGCTCCGACGAAGTCGGGCCAGAGCTCTGTGAAGCTCGTCGCTGCCGGCGCCCTTTGACACGCATTGGCGGCCTTATCGGCCGCCGCGCCGCCTCGGCGAGCCCGTACCGGCAAGCCTCTGATGCTCGTGACACGCCTGCAAGTCTCCTCGCACGTCTTTGAGCTCGTCTCTTGCGCCTCATTCTCGACGTCGGGCAGCTGCGCATCGCAGTTCGCACTGCCAGCAGGCCCGAACTCGTCGCGCCGTCCTTCTCTCGCCGCATACTCAGGTCTTCGCCTTCTCCTGCGTCGATCTCAGCCTTTCTCCACCCCCATCCCTTTCGCTGTTTCACTCCAGTCTCCGATCCCACTTCCACTCATCTGTACCACCATCGTTCCCTCTCCATCCGCCGGTAGCCCACTCTCGACAGCGCGCCCTAATCGTGATCTCTTCTTCTTCTGCCCCTCGCGCGCACGGGGTAAGCAGCCTTGGATGCAGGTAAATCAGGATTGCGAGGCAGCGAGAGAAGTACATTGTATGAGAGGAGTGAGGGAATGAGAGTGTGAGGCGAGAGAGGGAGCAGGGCGAGCCAAAGGAGTGTGGAGTGAGGGGCGGACCAGCTCGGCGCAGCCAGCTCGTGGCATGGCAGCGGACCACGGCCGTCGGCTCGGCAGTCGACGCGGTTGCGCAGAGATTCCAGCCTCCAGCGCTGGCACGGCCCTTGCGCTTTTCTCCTTTCCTTCGTTCCGCCTCCTAGAGAGCATCGTCCCTTCCTTGCCGGAGCACCGCCGCCACCGCGCGCGCACGCACCGCCTATGCCTTCTTCTCCAACCGCGCCTGTGCCCGCTCGATGAGGTCGATGCCCACGAGCACCTTTGCAGCCTTCCAGAACTGGAGGGCGTTGAAGAGCTGCTTCGCCGCGCATATCGGGAACGTCAGGGCGCCGGCGATCTGCGGCCACGTGGCGTTGCGGATGACGGCAAAGAGCAGTGCGGCCCAGCCCTTGGGATCTTGCACGGCCGCCGTGGTGAGGGCGTTTGCAGTGTGCACGGGCAGCGCGGCAATGAGCCACTCGGGCTGCAGGCCCAGCGGCGTGGGGTAGAAGTCCATGAGGTAGAGACAGACGAAGAAGAGCTCGTTGCCGGCACAGTAGAAGAAGAGCCAGCGCTGCGAGTAGTAGTGCTGCAGCAGGCGCGAGACGTCCGACTTGACCACCTTGTGCGACGTCGAGCCCGTGATGAGCGAGCTGAGCAGTAGGGATCAACGATGCTGCACGCGATAGAAAGGTGCAAGCCGGCGGCGGCGCGGCACCCCAGCAGACCATCGCAGAGCCAGGCGCTCTCTGCGCACATCTTCGGCACTTGCAGCCCAACCAGCAGCCGACCGTGTGGCTCTCTGCGCGCAATGTACGCTCTCGCAGCGCTCCACTGCACGCGTGTACGCCCCTTTCTTGTGCCTGCGCCCACACTCACCTGTACATGTGGATGTAGTGGCTCGAGAAGTCGAGCGTGATAAGCGCCTGGAAGATGAGTGCACAGCGCGGGTAGGCCGTGACGAGGAAGCAGAGCAGGCAGGACGTCGTGCACCTGTTCTCCGTGTCAGCACGCGCGTAGCCCTCTCCTAGCTTCACGCACCGACGACACTCACCGATCAGTGACCATGTCCAGTACGGCGCCGAACTTTGTGCTCTGGCCCAACCGCCGTGCCGCGACGCCGTCGGCCGCATCCAGCAGGCACGAGACGCCGTACAGAAAGGTGCAGTACTTGGGATTTGACTTCATGTAGATGAGCGAGAGCGCCGCGAGGATGATGCGCGCGTAGCCTGTAGGCCGGCAAGAGGGGTCAGTGGCTGGAGGTCCGGCGATAAAAAGGAACTGCAGTGCGGCAGGCTGAGGGACACCTGACGTGTCGCGACGACTAGCAGGACGGCTCGCAGAAGCACGACTCTTCGCACTCGCCTGACCCGATCTCCGGCATGCAGCGCGCCCATCGATACTTCTTCCACCTCGCGCAGGCTCGCATTGCTCTCCTCGCGCCGCGACCACGACATCCATCTCCAGAGGAGTAGCACGCCCAGTCCAGCCCTCGCACCTACTCCGACGCTGCCGCATCGTCTGCTCTCCCGTCCCCCCCGGCGCCTCTCGCGCACGGCCTCTGCGCTGTGCCGCGTGATCTGCCTGCGCCGCCACTCTTCTGCACGCTCCCTCCACACATGCAGCTCTGCCAGGCGCGCTGCTCACCGATGAGGTTGGGCACGAAGAGAAAGATGTTCTCCTGTGCGCGGTTGGCCTCCTGCGTGGCGCGGCTGGTGCTGCTGAGCTGGCGCGTCATGACGGGCGCATCCTCGTCCGAGACGGCAGGCGGCGGCGCGGCCTTGGCCGTCGGCGCCGGGTTGGCGCGCGTGGAGCGCGACATGACTGCTGCTGCGTGCGGCGTGCGGCGCGAGAGAAGAGCGCGCAGAGACGGCGACGAGGGACTGGCGACCGGAAATGAGAGACGGAGACGGAGAAAGCGACGGCGGCGGTGGGGAAGGAAGCGAGAAGGCGAGCCGGCGCCGGCTCCGGTGCAGCGGAGCGCGGCGTTAGATCTTGCCCCACCTCGCGGCCCGCGCGAGGCAGCCGGCCTGCACAGAGGCGCGCAAGCAGCAGCAGCGCCGCGCGGAGCCACGCAGCCGGAACGGGCGAGTGACGCACATGCTCGGCCGACTGCGCGGGCGCCGAGTTGGGCCGCGGCTGGAAAGTGGACGACGTGGCAGCGTCCCTTGCTCCAAAAGTGCGCTTTGCGATGCCCCTGGACGGCGCCTTCTGGGAGCTTGAGACTGCGCCTGAGGCTTGTGCATCTGCAGCAGTGGCTCCAAGCACACGCTGCTGGCTCCTCGAGCTGCAAGAGTGGAGGGCGCTCAGACGGGGTGGCTGCTTAGTCACGCTCACTCGCGCGCCTTGGCGATTCTTCTCGCATGCGTCGGTGCGGTGACGCGGGGCGCAGGCGCGCGAGGGGCGCGACCGTGCGCCGAGCGGAGAGCGGGCTTGCCAACGTGTTCCTTCCTCTCGCCTCGCCTGGCTCAGAGCCCATCCTTCGCCACCACCAACTCCATCGCCGGCACACCCCACCTTGCATCGTGCCTGGCCTACAGCCCCGACTGTCCTTTCGTTACTCTTCCCTCAGCGCACAGCGCGCCGCCCGCGCCCATCATGTCCTTCACGCCGCCGCCCGCGCCCTGGACCTTCGCCGCCGGCGAGGTGCTGGCCTCGCTGCGCGTGCAGCCCGAGCAGGGGCTCAACGAGGCCGACGTCGAGGAGCGCAGACGCGCCGTCGGCGAGAATGGTGAGTTGGCTGGGCTGCGTGGAGGGGAGCGACCGCATGGCAGCGCGCCTTGTTGCGCTGGCAGCGAGAGCGAGGCCGGAGCCCACGTTGATGTGCCCTTCCGTGCATCCACTTACATCTCCACGCACAGTGCTGCCCTCGGACCCGCCGACGCCGCTCTACATGCTCATTCTGGCGCAGTTCCAAGACCAGCTCGTCATCATCCTCCTCGCCTCGGCGTGCGTCAGCTTTGTGCTGGCGCTCCTCGAGCGCGAGGCCGACTCGAGCCTGCTCGGCGCCCTCGTCGAGCCGGGCGTCATCTTCCTGATCCTCGCCGCCAACGCGACTGTTGGTGTGGTGCAGGAGAGAAACGCAGACATGGCTATTGATGTGAGTCGTGTGCGATGCGAGAAGGCTGCGAGATGCGGCCTGGATGTGCCTTGCTGGCCAAAGTGGAGGCGGGGCGTGAGGCGCGCTTTCTGCACAGCTAAGGCGCTTGCGTCGTACTCAGCGGGTGGCGCAGCTGAGCCGGCCCTGCTCGAGTGCCGAGAGCACTTGCGCTTTTGAGCGCAAGCTGGACGCCTTGATGGGCAGGACCGCCCAGCTGCTGCGCGCAACTGCGGCCTTCCCCACCGCAGGGAGCAGGGACACAGCAGAGCGCGAGGCAATTCTCGTGGCGCTGGTGCACCTCGCTGGCTCGGAATGCTGATGCTCGCTCGTGCACTCAGGCGCTCAAGGAGTATTCTCCTGACTCGGCCACTGTCATCCGCGGCGGAGCGTCGGTGCGCGTGCGCGCCGCCGAGCTCGTGCCGGGCGACATCATCTCCGTCACTGTGGGCGCCAAGATTCCCGCCGATGCGCGTCTCGTCTCGGTCCAGTCGTCTGCGTTCCGCGTGGACCAGGCGATCCTCACGGGCGAGTCGCAGAGCGTCAACAAGAGCCTGGCCGTCGTGAGCGACGAGCGCGCGGTGCGGCAAGACATGACGAACATGCTCTTCAGCGGCACGACGATCACCAACGGCACGGCGCTTGCCGTCGTGACGGCCACGGGGTCGCACACGGCCATCGGCGACATTCACGCCGCCATCAGCAACGAGGAGGACGAGAAGACGCCGCTGAAGCAGAAGCTCGACGAGTTTGGCGACACGCTCGCAAAGGTCATCTCCATCATCTGCATCCTCGTCTGGCTCATCAACATCCGCCACTTCACCGACCCGTCGCACGGCGGCGCCTTCAAGGGCGCCATCTACTACTTCAAGATCGCCGTTGCGTTGGCCGTCGCTGCCATTCCCGAAGGCCTCGCTGCCGTCATCACGGCGTGCCTGGCCCTCGGCACGCGCAAGATGGCCAAGCGCAACGCCATTGTGCGCCACCTGCCGAGCGTCGAGACGCTGGGCAGCACCAACGTCATCTGCTCCGACAAGACGGGCACGCTCACGACGAACCAGATGAGCGTGACACGCTTTGCCGTGCTGGGCGCGCAGGGCGAGACGGTCGCGTACAAGGTCGAGGGCACGAGCTTCTCGCCCGTCGGCGCCATCACGGCCGGCGGCAAGGCGCAGGAGGGCCTCAACAAGCGCGGCGGTGCCGTGCACGCCCTCGCCCAGGTCGCGGCTGTGTGCAACGACTCGAGCATCGTGCGCGAGAAGGGCTCGTTCGCTGCCGTGGGCCAGCCCACCGAGGCGGCGCTGAAGGTGCTCGTCGAGAAGCTCGGCTCGCACGATGCTGCGCTCACTGCGCGCGCAGCTGAGCTTCCGCTCGAGGCGCGCGCCAGCAGCATCTGCGATGCCTACGCGCAGGAGCTGCCGCGCGTGCTCACGCTCGAGTTTGGGCGCGAGCGCAAGAGCATGTCGACGCTTGTGCGCCGCGAGGACGGCAAGGGTGCGCTGCTCGTCAAGGGCGCGCCCGAGGCCGTCATTGCGCGCTGCAGCACTGCGCTCCTGGCGTCGGGCGAGGAGATTGAGATCGACGAGCTGACGCGCCAGGCGCTCGACGCCACTGTCGCTGGCTACGCCTCGCAGGGCCTGCGCGTCCTCGCGCTCGCAACTGTCGAGGGCGCCACGCTGGACACTTCCAAGTACGCCTCCGACTCCGCGGCCGACTACGAGCGCTTCGAGCAGAAGATGCGCTTCGTCGGCCTCGTCGGCATGCTCGACCCTCCGCGTCCCGAGGTCGCCAGCGCCATTGCGCGCTGCCGCGCCGCGGGCATCCGCGTCATTGTGATCACCGGCGACAACAAGGCCACGGCCGAGACGATCTGCCGGCAGATTGGCATCTTCGAGGAGAAGGAGGCCCTGGAGGGCAAGTCGTTCACTGGCCGCGAGTTCGATGACCTCGACGAGGCAGGCAAGAAGCGCGCCGTCCTGCGCGCCAGCCTCTTCTCGCGCACGGAGCCGAGCCACAAGAGCCAGCTCGTCGAGCTGCTCCAGAAGCAGGGTCTCGTGGTCGCGATGACCGGCGATGGAGGTGAGTGGGCTGTAGCGAGTCCCCGCAGCGTGTTCGCTCACACACGTTTCCAGTCAACGACGCGCCGGCGCTGAAACGCGCCGACATCGGCATCGCCATGGGCACGGGCACCGACGTGGCCAAGCTGGCGGCCGACATGGTGCTTGCCGACGACAACTTTGCCACTATCGAGGCGGCCGTCGAGGAGGGCCGTGCCATCTACAACAACACGCTCGCCTTCATCCGCTACCTCATTTCGAGCAACATCGGCGAGGTTGTCTCCATCTTCCTCACCGTGCTCTGCGGCATGCCCGAGGCGCTCATTCCCGTGCAGCTGCTCTGGGTCAACCTTGTCACCGACGGCCTGCCTGCCACCGCTCTTGGCTTCAACCCGCCGGACGCTGGCATCATGTCGGTGCCGCCGCGTCGCCGCAGCGACCCGCTTGTCACGCTTGCCGGCTTCGCTCGCTGGTGCGCCGTCGGCATCTACATTGGCGCCGCCACCTGCGGCGGCTACGCATGGTGGTTCATGTACTACCCCGGCGGCCCGCAGATCTCGTGGCACGAGCTCACGCACTTCCACCAATGCGCCTCGTTCGAGAAGGGCTGCGGCATCTTCGACGACGCACGCGCGGCCTCGACGATCTCGCTCAGCATCCTCGTCGTGATTGAGATGCTCAACGCCGTCAATGCGCTCTCGGACGCCGATTCGCTCTTCACCACCAGCCCCTTCTCGAACCCGTACCTCATCGGCGCCATCGTGCTCAGCCTGGGCCTGCACTACACCATCTGCGTCGTGCCGATGTTCCAGGACCTCTTCCACGTCACGTCGCTCAACCGCGTCGAGCTGCAGGGTGCGTCTTGCTTGCACGCCATGCGCCGCCGCGCCATGCTGACCCCCTTCGCCACAGCCGTACTCTACGGCAGTCTGCCCGTGCTGCTCATCGAGGAGGTGTGCAAGTTCATCACGCGCTGGGCCACGGCCGCCGAGCGCAAGCAGCGGCGCGAGGCCGAGCTGGCCGAGAAGTAGGCGTGCACGTCGAAGGATCTGCTGCAGCCGCAGCAACGCCGCCGCACGACGGCTGGAAAATAGACACGGACCTGCTCGGGTCACACCTGCACTCCCTCATATGTATATAACGCGCGCCACAGCTCTCTCTGCCGGTAGAGGACCAAAATACACATGCGCATATCATCATGACCCGGCTTCTCCTCTCTGCTGACCCTTGGGGCGTTGCCTGCGAGCATGAGGGAGTGCTGGTCGCGGCTCGCTTGTCGCTCGGTCGAGCTCGTTGCGCACCGCAAGGAGCGCTCGCCTTCGGCCGTCTTGTCCGCGGCCCTTCTCTCCGCGGTGCCGTCGGTCACCAAGAGCAGGCGCACTTTGCAAGGTGAGTGAAGCCACCGATGCACCATGAGGCTGGCCGGCAATCTCACCTCCTCGCGGCTCGCACACAGCGCACCCCTGAGCGCGAAGGTGCGAATCTTCAGGCGGCCTCGGCACGCGCGGTGTCTTTGCACCGCCATCCCATTCTCGCCACGTTCTCTTTTTGCACTCGCTGCCGCATTCGACCTCGCCGGGACACTGCTGCAGCTTGCAACAAGTCCACACACACAGCTCCCAGGTCTTGAGGGAAGGACCGCGTTTTCCGCCCAGACGCACCCTCCTCGTCATCCACTCTGCGTGCGAGCGCGGCTTCTTCCTCCGCTCTAATCGCGCGGCCCGCTGCTCCCGAGGGGCCAAGAGGGAACGATGACGCCAGCGCTTTGCGGCCGCGCTCTCCTCGCGGCGCGTGTAGTCGGAGCGCGTTCAGAGGGCACCTATACAGGCGGCCTGTGTGGTCTGTCGAGCGCAACGCAGCTTCGACGTCTGCCATCTGCTTCTCACCACGCGGTCACGCGCGGCGCAGCGACGCCCAATGCTCCTGTCTCAACGCCCGGCGGCGGCGCAACGAGCATCCACCCTGCTGCTGCACGCCCATGCGGTGCCGGCGGCATCTTTTGTCAGCGGCATGACAAGGTGCTTCTCGGATCCGCAAGAGACGGCACCGAGGGCGCTGGCGCAGCGGCGCGGGCGCAGCGCCTCGCCGCGGGGTGTTGTTGCTGGCCAGCGCATCAGATCGCTCTTGCCGCGGAGGCATTTCTGGGCAGCTGCCGGGCCGGGCACTTGGGCAGAGGCCACCCAAGGACACTCTGATAGGATAAACTGCGGCTTAGCTCTGCAGATGAAGTGTGGCCTAGAATTGGAAGCACGGCTACGCCCCTGCTCGCAGACTCGCACGCGGGCCGTGTGTCTAAGCAGCCTCTCAGGGGGCGGCGCCGCGTGCAGCGCACTCGTCAGGGGGCCGCCGTCGCGTGCCCGCGCGACGCTCGCAGCAGCATGCCATCAGCAGCCGCCAGGCTCCCACGTGGTGCGCGGCTCTGCACACAACACCTCGGCGACGTCGCTGCAAGCCTGCCAGGTGCCGGGCAGCAGGGTGGTTGCCGCACCACCGCCGGCCCGCTGCCAGCAGAACGCCGTTCTCGCACCGCGACAGGAGTGCGTGCCGGCCACTGCCGGGTCGTGAGACCTCCGCGCAGGCAATCAGCATCAACAGGCAGGCGGTCAGTCTGGTGAGTGGCGGGCAGGCCAGCAGCACAGGCGCGTCAGCTCCTCTCGCCCACATGGCGCGCCAACCTCTCACCCCATCTCGCGTGCTCTCTGCGCCGACAGGCGTTCAAGCACCCTGTCGCCTCGGTGTTCATCACCACCATCTCCCACCTGGTCCACGCTCCTTCTCCCTCGTCAAGCATCCTCCCCCTCGGACTCGGAACGGAGTCCTTCACCGCACTCTCGCACCGTCGTCGTCTCAGCCTCGCTGTCCACTGACCGTACCGCGAGCGCCAACGCTTCTCGCACGCTCGACCGCCGACGTTGCCCAGCATGGACGCCGCCGGGCCCGAGATGATCGTGAGCATCAAGGACTGGCCACCAGCGCAGATCGACTTGTGGTTCAGCATCCAGCACCAGGTGCGTGCCGCCGCGGACGCCGGTCTGCCCTCTGCTCACGGTCTCCGCCACAGGTCCAGGTGCTGATGCTCGTGACGATTTCGGCCATGGCCGTCATCGGCTGGGAGCACATCCAGCACTTCCCCGCCGAGCTGCGCACGTGGAAGCTGCTGCTGCAGGGCAAGATCCTGCCCGCGCGCCTGGCCGTGCTGCTCGTGCGCTACGCCTGTGCCGCCTCCATGGCGGTGACGATGATCTTCTTCTTCTCCAACGTCAAGCCCGACATGTGCCAGCCGCTCTTTACGGCCATCTATGCGCTCGTGGGTAGCCAGATGGAAGATCGCAGGCTCAGGATACTGACACCTGGCGTCGCAGTACGTCGTCATCTGGGCCGCAGCTGCATCCATCTTCCTCATGCGTCTCGCCATCCTGTACAACGGCGACCGAGCAGTCATGACGGCATACTACGTGGTGCGTCTCGCTCTGGCTGTCACTTGGCACCCGTGCTCACCTGCCTGTGTCCCAGCTGTGGCTCTGCTGCGGCGGCGTGTGGATCTACACCGTGACCGGGCTGAAAGGCTACCCGGTGCCGTACGTCAATCGCACGCCCTGGGGTTCCGTCTGTCAACCCGGCCGCTTTCCGCGGTGGGGCGCTGCAGCATGGGGCGCCTCTGTGCTCTTCGACGGCTGCGTGAGTGACTGCCCCTTCGTTCACCAGAGACCAGCCCACTGACGCAGCGCAACAGGTGCTGCTCGGCACGTGGCTGCGTCTGGCTCGTCTTGGCAGTGCAAAGGGCAGCGTAGCTCGCTCGGCCCGCTCGCGTCGCTGGCGTAAGTCTCGCTGGCACTCGTGTGTTTCATCTTGCGCTGACACATAGCGAAGTCTGGGCGAGCAACCTGGCCTACTTCGGCGCCAGCACCTGCTTCAACCTGGGCTGTCTGATCACAGAGGTGCGCAGCTTCGCTGGCATCCTTCGCTGACAGCCCGATGCTGACCACAAATCCGCAGCTGAGCGTCTCGAGCGTCGTTTACACGCACCTCATGTCGCCCATCGCCTTTGCGGTGCACACCATCATCGCCTCGCGCCTCGTGCTCGCGTCCAAGGGCTGGGCGCATGGCGGCGTCAACGACGAGGACGACCTGATGGGCGCCGGCGACCCAGGGGTCAACAGCTTCCACGCACGCAAGAAGCGCCGCACCACGACGGGCCTTGATGCCATCTCGTACACGTGAGTCGGTCGTGAACGTCGCACCACTGCACGCGACTGACAGAGCCGTAGCATCGACGAGACCGTCGTCATGTCGCCAGCGCTCACCGGCGACGGCTTGTTCATGGAGCAACAGCAGCGCAGCCGGCGTCGCTCTCCGCCGTCCGAGCGTCTGTACGGTCTGGGCCGCCACGACCTCGCTTCGGACGAAGGCCACGAGCTCGAGCTGGGCCACGTTCCGACCAGCCCGCACCGGCGACACTACGCAGACGCGGACGAAGACATTGAGCAGGCATCCGACAGCGGCTCGCCGCGGCACTCGCGCCGCGAGCATGCGGCGTTCGACTCGGAGCCCAACCTCTCGCCGTACCTGCCGCGCTTCCCGAGCGCCGTCGCGCGCCGCGAGACCAAGAGCAACAGCAACAGCTGGACCGACGAGAAGGATGAGAGCCGCAGCATCGACGCCGGCGCCGACAGCTTCGTCATGGAGAAGCCGGCCTCGGAGATCTCAACGCCAGCCGAAGACCCGCAGACGTTTGCGGCTCCACCGAACGGCTCGTCCAACGACGCGCGCAGCAGCACGACGCTCGGCTCTGGCTCCGTCGAGATCCTGCGGCTGAGCAGGTGATGCGTGCGTCGCCTCGCCATCCAGCGACGGCATCCACGCCGCCACCACGGTGCTTGAGCGCCCTCCCGGCCTGCACGGCCCCACATTCGTTAGCTCCCACAGCCACCCTCTCTCACCTCCTCTCCTCCTGTCCCGTCTGCACTGCTCCATCTGCCCTCTGTATGGTGTCTTTCTCTGCTCTGTCTTGCCCTTATCGGCGTCACCCCCAGCTGTGCGCGCGCGCGGCCGCCGTCTAGGGCGCCACACCAAGCCACTGTCCACACGGATCTTCTCTCTCTTTCGCCCCCTCTGGCCACGATCCTTGCCCGTGGGTCGGATCGCACTTGCGCCTGCCTCTGCACACCCTGTACCGGCGTTGGTGCCACCCGACCGGCCCACGCCCGGGCAACCCCAGCTGCAAGCCATGCGTCACCTCTCTCACCGTTGACTTGCGTCTCTCTGTGCCCGGCGCCTCGCGATGTCGCACGCATGAATTGTCTCACGATCCGCACTGCCGCCCGCTCAGTCGATGCTGACGTCCCCGAGAACCTTGGCAAGCTTGTCGTCCCACTTGTGCTGCTTGAACTGGGTGACGACTGCGGCGGAGCATGTCAGCCACCAGCTCCTGCTCGCGCTTCGGCCAGCACTCACTGCGCCCCAGCAGCTCCGTCGTCGACACGCCCGGCGTGCGGAGCGTCGGCAGGAAGCGGCCCTGGTCCTTGCAGAAGCCGTAGATGTCGGTGCTGCCGCCGTCCTTGCTCGCATACGGCGCCTCGTCATGCGCCACATAGTCGATGCGCAGGCGGTCGATGAGGTCCTGGTCAATGACCCACGGCGCATCCTCCAGCACCTCGTCGACCCAGCGGCAGTTGCGCACGCTGGCGTAGCGCTCGGCAGAAGAGAGCACGGGCTCGTTCTTGTGCTGCGCGCACGACTGCGACGAGACGACGCCGACGATGAGGTGCACGCAGGGGAAGAAGAGCTTGGCCTGGCGCAGCTGCAGCGAGTGGCTGCGTGAAAGGGGCTCAGCGGTGCACCACATGAGGCGAGCAATGCGACTCACGCGTAGTGGAAGAGGTCGTACACGCCGTCGGCGTAGATGCGCACGGGCCGATCCGGGTTGCGCCCGCCGTCCGGCGGCAGGTTGATCTTGTATTGCCGCAGCGGGTCGGGCTGGTGGATGGCTTTGTGGATGTACTCTCGGATGGTCTCATTGGTCGCAATCGGCACGGGCACCTCGGAGTGCGGCGTCTCGGCGCGCGCCGAGCGCGGCAGCGTGCCCTGCGCCACGAGCGTGCCGCTGGGCCCCAGGTACGAATGTGAAGGCGTGTCGGGCGGCGCCGTGCCGTAGCTCAGGCTGGCCGAGGCGCCGGCAGGACTGTGGCCGGCTGCCTGCGCACCGGAGCCGTGGTGGCCGCCGGCGTTGGTCTGCGGCGTGCGGGCCGCGTACTCCACATCGCCGTCGTACGGGCTCGCCGCCGTCTCGCCGCGTGCTGCGTCTGACTCGCTCGCCTGTCCCTCCTCTTCCTGTCCACCGCTCGCCAGCGAGGCCGCGCGCTGCGCCGCATCGCCCGCGCGCGGCGTGGCAGCGGGCCCGACGCTCTGCGCAAAGCTCGGCGCCGGCAGGCTCTTGAGCTCGAGCGTCGGGCTCCGCGACGCAGAGACGGAGCCGGGCTCGGGTCCGTCGCCGGTGCTGCCGGCACTGCTGCTGCCGCTCTTGGGGCGCGAGCTGACCTTGCGCGCCGCGGCCGGCTCGGGCGCGGCAAAGGCGCGCGGCGCATCGCTGCTGCCGCCGCTGCTGCTGCTCAGTGCGGCCGTGGCCCGCTCCAGCGTCTGGCTCACCGCGTCCTTGCCGGCCGGCTGACTGGGCCGGCGCGGCGCAGCGCCCGTGCGTGGCGGAGAGGCACTGCCGGGCGTCTTGTCGCCGATGCTGGCGGCGTTGACGAGTGTCGAGGCGCCTGCCGACGGCCGGCGCGGGTTGGAGTCGACGAGGGCGCGGTCGCGTGCCGACGTCGGCAGCGCCGAGGCGTTGCTCGGCCGCGAGAGGGTGCGCAGCGACGAGGCGCTGTCCGATGCGCCGGAGATGTCGTCGTTGTCCTCCTGTGAGCAGCGAGTCAGTCATGCGGATAGGGCGAGGGCAGCAGGCACGTGTGTCGCGTGCACTGGCCGAGCAGCAGGGCTGCCTTGCCGCTGTCGCGTGCACGAGGCGCCTGGCGACGGTGCCTGCTTCACACTGCACACCACACACGCACCTCGCTGGCATCGCGGCTGCTGTGGTCTGCGCCGTCAAAGGCCTCGTCGCCGGCGCGGCCGCCGTTGGGGCCCGGAGCAGCGGCGGCGGCGTGGCCGGGCTTCTTCTTGCGCAGGTGCGCCGGCACCGAGTGCGGGCGCTGTGCGGCCATGGTGTGCGCGGCGGAGTGCGCAGGTGTGTGAGGAAAAGGCGAGGTGCGCACAGGTGAAGATGCTGGCTGATGGGCGGATGATGGTTGGGACGATGAGGAGTGGAGGCAGCGCTCGGAGAGCAGCAGCAGAAATGCGCGCCGGATTCGCTGCAGCGGCGAGGCGCGCGCCGCGGCTCTTGGCGCGCGACTGCCGCTCAGCGAGTCGCTGTCCCGCTCAGCCGGCTCAGCAGCATCCTTGACGCATCGTGCAGTTCCCACCTCTCTAGAGATTGCCACTCCACAGCTGAGGCTTCCCCGCGCCTGTGTCGTACCTGCCACGAGCCGTGGACCCGGACAGCGGGGGCAAGAGGGTGCAGGCGACATCGAGGGGCCCGGGCTGCCCCGTGCGCTCATGACGCGCGCCAAAGGCGTGCACGTGCTCACCCCTCTCCCGCCCGAGAGAGAGAGGCCACGCCGGCTCACAGCTGCTTCTCCCTCGCTGCGCCGACTGCGGCTGTTGCCTCTCGCACCCCATAATCCACCAGACGAGCCTCTCGTGGGTCTTCAGAGCACCGGTGTCCGCAGGACCCTGACTCGCGGCGCCACGCCGTGCCAGGCCCCTGTCTCACGCGCGCGCCGCGCTGCACGACGGCTCGCCCCTCGAGGCTGGCGTCACGCGCAACGTCTTCAGCCTTCAGCACCTCTCTCAGCCGCGAGTGAAGGAGCGCCCTCTCGCTCGGGCCAGCTCGACCGAGGCTCCGAGGGAAGCGGTGCTTTGAGGGCCAGCAGGCAGGTGGAGCTCCAACTCGGCGGGCGCGTGCTCGCCGAGCAAGCCGCGCGCCGCAGCGCCGCCAACGTCATGCTTCTCGGCGCTGTCTGGAGCAGAGATGCCAGCGCCGCAGAAGCCACTTCAGAATCGCCCGCTCTGTGTCGGCATTTGCTCGGCCTTCATTTGCAGAAAAGCTCGCTGATGCTGCCGCTCTGCATGGCTGCGCAGCTGCAGAATGTGGGGTGTGCTCGCGGGCGGGGTCGAGGCGGCGGGTGCGGCGTGGCTGCGGCGCAATGCGCATTGCGCAGCGCCTTGCTCTCGCCGTGGCGGGCCAAGGAGGCGCCGTGCTGGCTTGTTTGGAGGCAGTCGTGCAGAGCTCGGCAGCAGCGGCAGCAGCGAGCTCAGCGTCAGCGCAGGGCACGCAAGCTGCAGTGAAGGCTATCTGATAGCCACCGTGCCGGCCGTGCGCTGCGTGCTGCGGCGGCGGACTCGAGCGGGCCGGCGGGAGCTTGAAGGCCGAAGGGAGCCAGAAGCAGCAGCGGCAGCAGCTCCGCTCTCGCAGCACGAGCTCGATGTCCGCTTCTCGGGACGCTTGCGGCTGTGCGCTGCGTGCTTGGGCTGGCCCGACGGAGCGCCGACTCGCCCGAGAGAAGGCGCCAGCTTGCAGAGCCCCGCACGACGCTGCAGCTCGCCCGAGCTTGCACATCGCGCCGCCAGCGTAGCTCGCCGAGCTCGCCCCAACGAAAAGGCGCAGCAGCGCACCTCTTGTGCCGGAGCTCACCCTTTTGTGAGCTGCTCGACACAAATGGTCATTCGAGCGTGCCGAGTCAGGGCCAGATCTCGTCACTTGGCGGCCGAGAGGGTGTCTGTGCCCCGCTCGCAGCACTCGACTCGGCCGGCGCGGGCGGTGTGCTGGCGCGCGCGGCGGGAGGATCTGCGGCAGCGCGCCTCCACGCACGCACGCCGTCAACGTCTAGGCGCTGCTGGAGTCTTGCCTTTGCGGGCCGGGCAAGGCGACGTGGCAAGTGCGGCACTTGCGAGGGTGCAGCAGCAGGTGCAGATGCTGCGAGCACAAGCGGTTCGCTATCGCTGCTGCAATGGCGAGCTTGCTGAGCTGCCTGGCGGTGCGGGTATGGCCGCACGGCTGGCTGCCTGCCCCGGGTGCGCCTCCGGCATGTGCGTGGCAGGCGCCGGCGTGCGGCGCGCACGGCGCAGCAGCATGACGCCCTCGCCCGTGCCTCGCGCGCCTCGCCTCGCCTCGCTGGCCCGCTTCGCATGTGTTCCACCTTGGCCCCACTCGCACTCGCAGCCGGCGTGCTCCCTGCCGTCACACCTCCGTCTCGTCCGCACCCGTCTCGCTCTCTCGCCTTCTCGCTCGTCATCCGTCTCGGCCCGCTCTCCGCCTCGCAGCCTCGCTCCTCATCACACCCGCCCGTGCCGCGCCCTTCACCGCTCTCGTTCCCGCCTGCCGCACCCCATACACGCGCGCCTATCGCCAACCTCTCGCACCCGCCCTACTACCTGCGCCGCCTCTAATCCACATGCACCGCTCTTGATCCGCCACTGCTCTCCAACTGCTGCTCGCCTGCCACAGCCCACCGCCGCTCGCCGCCTGGCTCGTGCACGCTCCTCGCCGCGTCCAAACACTCCGCCGCCTCGCCTCGCCGCTCCGGCAACCGCATCTCTGCACCAGCCAGGCTCTACACATCTGCTGGGCAGGTGGCCAGTCGCGCAGTCGCCACGAGCTAGGCGCTGCCGCCGCACTCAGCACCTCGCCCACCTCCTTCGCGCGCTCCCTCCTCTGCATGGCCCTCGACGCTGCCCACGTGCCAGCCGCTCCTTCACGCTCGTGAGGCCAGAGCCGGGTGCACGTCTCCGCCGCCGCTGCCATGGGCCGCTCCGAGCGTGCCGGCCGCTGGCGCTCCAAGACCGCCTCCTTCGATGCCGCGTACGGCGCACAGCCGCCGGGCAGTGCCGTGGGCCGCGCCATTCCTGGCGCCGTGTCGGCGGACATGGCCCAGCAGCGCGGCCTGGCCGGCGGCAGTGCGTCGAGCCCGCCGACGCACCACAGCGCCTGGGGCTGGAAGGAGCCCGGCCGCAAGAAGGACAGCGACAACTGGCGTGCCCATCCGCCGCCGTCGGCCGTGCTGGGCGCTGGTGCGGCTGGCAGCAGCTCGCTCGGCGGTGCCGCTGCGGCCGGCGGCTCGGTGCTGAGCGGCAGCCTGCCCGTGCACGCCACCTTTGCCGACCACAGCGCGCTGGCAGCGTCGGCGCAGGCCATTCCTGCCTCCTCGGCGCGGGCCCGTCTGCTGCGCACCGGCGCCCTCTTCGCCGGCAGCAGCGACTTCACAGGGCCCGCGGCGCCGCTCAACCCACTGCAGATCCGCAACGACGCCACGCCGCTCGACGTGCGCAAGCGCCCGCTCGTGCACCCGAGCAACTCGCCGCGCTTCGGCGGCGAGAACTGGGCACTGACGCCGACGAGCTCGCTGCCCAGCCTGCCGGGCACGCCGCAGCGCACGCCCGGGCAGGCTCGGCCGCACGCCAGCACGCCGGCAGACGGCTCGCCAGTGCCGCGTGCGGCCGTGTCGGGCTTTGGCGTGCTGTCTGGCGCCCCCGGCTCCAGCTCGCGCGAGCTCGTCGCCGCTCGAGCAGTGCTGAACAAGCGTCACGATGAGACTGGCTCGAGCGGCGTCCCGCAGCCTCCGGCCCAGGCGGCCACAGTGCCGTCCAGCCCGTCCAAGGCGGCACCAGCGACGCAGCACGGCCTCGCGCCGCCGCAAGCGCGCAACCTGGCCATCGCGACGGGCTCGCCGAAGCGCTCGCCTCTCTCTCTCGCAGCCACATCTACACCCATGCTGCCACCCGCAGTGCCGCGTGCCGGGCGCGCCTTGCAACCTCTCAGCCCCGGCCCGTCGCCGCGCCTTGCCCACCGCAGCATCTCTCCGCCAGCAGACTCGGCCTCAAATGGCTACATCGCCTCGATGCTCACGCCGAGTGCGCTGACGACGGGCAACGTGCACTCACTGCTGCGGCGCGATTCCGTCGCCTCGCTCGCTTCGTCACACGGCGGTCCGGGCACCCACTCGCTGGCGCACTCGCGCCGAGCGTCGCAGATCTTCAGCAGCGCGGCGTCCGCCGCATCGCCGTCGAACGCGAGCATCATGTCTGGCGCCGCGCCGTCTCGCAGGCCTTACCGACCGCCACACCTGCGCAACCGCGAGTCGGGCCAGAACCTGCTGCCGGGCGTGGCGCACTACGACCGCGTGCGCACGCCGAGCCTGCGTGGCATCTCGCGCTCGCCGGACCCGAGTGTGGCAGCGTCGAGCCGCGCAGGTAGCCGGCCGCCGAGCACGGCGCCGTTCAGCCCGGCGGCCGTCGAGGTGGCGGAGATGGCGCGCCTCGGGCTCGCAGGCCGGCGCCGGCTCAGCAGTCTGGGCAGCTTCCACACGCTCAGCGATGTGGAGGCCATGGCGCCGCCGACGCTGCACGAGGGCCGCGAGGCATCGCCCGAGGACTACTTCACCGAGCACTCGCGCGCGTCAAGTGCAGACAGAGACAGTGCGCCGCCCGACCTGAGCTCGTCGAACGCCGACAGCTCGCTAGACAGCCGCACGCTGATGGCCAAGCTCGCCAGCACATGGGCGCGTCGCTCGTTCGCGCCGTCTTCGAACGGCGGCGACGACATTGCCGAGCTGAGCGCCGAGCTCGACGATGTGGATCTCAGCGTCGAGGACATGATGGCTGGGCCGCAGAGCCTGACGGACGGCTTCTGCATCTCGCGGCAGGCGAGTCACCTGACGGATGCGCGGCCCGTTGATATCTTCGAGGTGGGCGACCGCCTAGGTCCGGGCATGATGCACGACGGCCTGCGCATCCGCATCGCCCAGACGAGCGACGGCTTCCGCGAGCAGCCGGGCGACACGAACGGCAAGCAGCTCGAGGTGATTAGCAAGCTGGGCGAGGGCAGCTACGCCGTCGTGTATCTTGTGCGCGAGGTCGACCCGAAGCCTGGCGGCGCGTCCGCCTCGCCCGAGGTCGCAGCCGCCAACGGCGTCAACATGACGCAGGCGCGCGCCGAGAGCTCCTCGTCGCCGCCGACGCCGTCGGCGCTAGACGACCACGAGATCTACAGCCGCACGCTGCGCGCTAGCGACGTGGCCATGGGCGACCGCACCATCTCGTCGGTCGCCGACTCGAGCGGCTCGCTGAGCGAGAGCGACCTGCAGCCGCCGCGCGAGTTTGCGCTCAAGTGTCTCTGCAAGCGCGACCTGTCTGATGAGATGCTCGAGGTGCAGCGCCTAGAGGTGAGTCCGACGGGCAACAGGCCCTTGCACCGATGCTCACCCTTCACCACAGGCCACCATTCATCAGTCAATCCCGCGGCACCCGCACATCGTGACGCTGTACCGCACGTACGAGACGGAGGACTGGCTCTTCCTCATTCTCGAGTACTGCCCGGGCCAGGACCTCTACTACTGGCTCGAGCAGGCGCACGACACGGAGAACCTCGGCAGCGGCCTCTCGCCCGGCTACACCGACTCCAACAGCGATGCGTCACCGGGCTATGCCGACTCTGAAGGGGACACGAGCGCCACATTCTACATCAAGGGCGACCAGACGGTGGGCGATCTCACCGCGGGCGCCGCGCGCGATTCGACGCCGCCATCGCCCTCGCTGCTTGCCTCGACGGCCGGCGCGGCGCTGCTCTCGCGCAAGCGGCTGCGTCTCGTGAGCCGCATGTTCCAGCAGATGTGCGACGCCGTGCAGTTCTGCCACGACCGCGGCATCTCGCACCGCGACCTCAAGCCGGAGAACTTCATCGTCGAGGACCGGCGCGAGGCGATGGCCGACGACTCTGCGGACAGTCTAGACCGCTCGCGCGGCAGCGCAGGCCGACCGGGCACGGCCACGCGCCGCTCGTCGTCGTTCAGCATGACGCGCGAGAGCATGCGCGAGTTCGAGAGCCGCATCACCGTCAAGCTCACCGACTTTGGCCTCGCCGTGGCGCAGGACGAGTGCGTCGACTTTGACTGCGGCAGCAAGCCATACATGGCCTACGAGTGCCGCAACAACGTCGCGGACTGGTACGACCCGCGCCAGGCCGACATCTGGAGTCTCGGCGTCGTGCTCCTCAATTTGCTCTTCCATCGCAGCCCCTTTGCGGAGCCGTGCGCCGAGGCCTGCGACTCGTTCGCTGCCTTCTCGTACGATCCGGTGCGCTTCCTCACGCAGGCGTTCGATGGCCTCTCCGTCGAGGCTGCAGAGTTCCTCGCCGACAACGTTCTGTGCGACGTCACCAACCCGCGCAGCGACGGCTCGCCCCGCCGTCGTGTCACAGCCAGCGAGCTGGGCATGTGGGCTGCCGACCTGCCGCGCCTGCTGAGCACCAAGGACGGGCAGCCGAGGCCCTCGCGCGGCGCAGACACCGACATCACCTCGCCCATTGTCTACTCGCGCACGCCGTCAAGCTCGACGCTGCCGTCGCTCTTCGGGTCGCCGCTGGCGTTTGGCCCGGGACAGCACACGATCCACGAGAGCATGGAACTCGAGCACGACGACTTGCCGAACTATCCCTCGCTCTTCCCCGAATACGCCAACGGCGAGGCCACGAGAGATGAGCCGCGCCGCGATCGCTCGGTCGGGTCACTCAGTCCCAACGTCGAGGGCACGCCAGACATCTTGCCGTCGCCGACGTTCTCGCCTCCGACGCGCACCCTTCCGCTGAGCGGAGGCTCGGCGCCGCGCTCGCGCGCTGCCTCGAGGGTGCCGAGCACTGGACCAGAGCCCGACGTAGAGCGCAGCGCCGAGGCAGTGCCGGCAGTCACTGCTGCTGCCCACGCCAGTCGGCACAGCCCGCAGAGCTCGGAGGACTCGGACGTGCTCGCCAACGCCACGCCGAGGGATGCTTCTTCGCCGACCAGAGAGACTGCTTCCGACGCCGACGAGCACGGCGGCGGCGCCAGCGGCGACACCGATGTGCCGCCGGCACACGAGTCTGAGGCGCCTCGGCCCATCGGTCACTCGAAGCGCCGCAAGCGTGGCGCTCGCAAGGGCCGCAATGCCGCCAACAAGCAGGACAAGACGCTGCTGCGCCGCTCGCAGTCCGCCGAGGTGCTGCCTTCGGCAGACTTGCCTGCTGCTCCGCTCGGACTTGCCAGCTCCAGCGTGCCTGACCCGCGCGACGACATCCTCGCGCAGCTTGCGCAGGCGTCGCAGGATCTCGCGCGCGATCTCAGCCGCGTGTCGAAGTACAAGACTGGCGGTGCGATGCGTAGTGGCCTATCTGTCTCGCAGCCGCACACTCCCGCGTCGTTTGGCAACACCTTTCCGCGCAGCCCTATTGCCGTGCCGCAAAGGACTTTGGCGCGCTACAGCCACGAAGAGTCGGGCGCCGGTGACGAGGGCGCCAGCTATGGCAGCCAGAGCAGCCGCGAGTACACGAGCTGGCTCGACCGCGAGCGCCCGTCGGCAGCGCAGAGCGTCGCGAACCACCGCTACGCGGACCAAGCAGCGACCACGACGCCAGTGCCGTGGAAGGCGCAGCTAACGACGGCGCCGACCTCGGTGACCAACGCCACGCCTGCCATCTACACCAAGTGGGACCCGGCGCGACGCGACCGCGTGCCGGGCACGACAGGCACCACCGACACCAACTCGATGCCTGCGTGGCGCGAGCGCAGCCGCATGTTGCCTCACGCGGACACCACGCCGAGCGACCCCGCCCTGTCGTCGGCCCAGCACGCCGTGGCGCGCCCTGCGGCGGCCAAGGCCAGTCTGCTCAGCATGGCGCACTCGCTCTCGGCCAAGAAGGAGCGCGCGAACATCGCTGCGGGTGTCGCCGTTCCTGCCGCCCAAGACCATGTGCCGGCCGCGAGTCTCATGCCGCCGCCGCCGGTGCAGAAGAGCGGCGTATCGCGCTTCTTCTCGGTGCGCAGCCGAAGCTAGCCGGCTGCCCTATCCCATCATACACCCTTCACCCCTCTTCAATCACTCCTCATCCACTCCTCCATCCCGCCATGCTCGACCTCTCATCCCTGCGCCCACGGCATGTGCTTGTATCCGCTGCAACTAAATTCACGAACGATTTGACGAAGCAGCAGTATGCACAAGGACGGATGAGTAGGGCAAGCAGGACGGCAGGGCGATCCGCGCAGGGAGACACAGAGACAGTGGTGATGGAGTAGAGAGATAGAACACGGCGGATGAACGAGTGGGGTAAGGCCGCAGCCAGCAGAGGTGGGCGCCTTGTTGGACGGGAAAGATGCACAAGCCGGGCAAGGTCAGAGAGAGAGAGAGAGGAAGCGGCCGGAATGTGCAGCTCATTGCTTGAGCATCGGCGCGCGGAACGACATCACGCTCGGCGGGCGGCGCAGCGAGTAGTCGGTGTTTGTCGAGACACTCGTCTCGGCGTCGGAGGAGATGCTGAGCGTGCTCGGCTTGCGGTGCAGGCCCTTGGACGACGGCGAGGCGCTGATCTCATCGCGACGTGCCAGTACGGCCGAGGCGCTCGCGACACGGCTGCCGCTCGTCGGCGTGCGGCCGGGAGTGCCGCCCAGGCGGGGAGGCGTGCCCATGCCACCCGGACTGCAAGACTCGCCACGGAAGTCGCGGATGGCAGCGCGCTGCTGCTCGAGCGCCTTGATCTTCGCACGCACGGAGGGCACGACGACGGCGCTGCCACGCAACGTCATGGTGCTGCCCGAGCGCTGCAGGCGTTCGGCGTCGCCGGGCGTGTTGCGTGCAGTGCGGTCGCCGCTCTCGGCAATGCCTGACTTGCGCGGCGTCTCGGGCCCGCTGCGCTGAGTGAGCTTCGCAGTGATGACCTGCGGCTCGTCGCCGAGCGACAAGCCGAGTCCGGTCATCGGCGCGTCGGTGTCGGCGACCACGACGCCAGGCAGCTCTGCACAGGCGCTCTCCGGCGTGCGCAGCTCGGACGCACTCGATGCCGGCGACGAAGCGTCGGAGCTCGAGCCAGTTGGCGACTTGGAGCCGTTGCTGCCCTGGCGCGGCGAGCGACGGTTGCGGCCGCCGCGCGAGCGGCTCTTGCTCTTTGGCTTCTCGGGCTGCGGCTTCTCGGGCTGAGGCTTGTCGATGGGAGCCGCGCTAGGCTTCGGCTTTGCAGCCTGCTGTGGCTGCTGCTGACCGCGAGCGGTAGGGGGAGCGACGACTTGAGACGCGGACACCTTTGCACGCAATGCAATGGGCGCTGTGCTTGCTGCGGCTGCCGGCTGCGGTACCACGCTTGGCTTCGCCTTGAGGGGCGCGCTGCTGGTGGCAAAGGTGAAGCTTGACTTGGACTTGAGAGCCGACTTCGGCGGCGATGCTGCCGCCTTGGACGGCGACGGCGGCCGCGGAAGCGAAGGCCGAGTGGCACCCTGAGTCGAGTTGACGCGAACGCGGACGGCTGGCGACGACGTGGTGGGCTGGACCGCCACAGCTGCACGCAGTGACACAGCCGGAGACGAGGCGGAAGCCGTGGGTGCCATCGCCATCTTGGCGGGCGAGCGGGCGATTGGCGTCGCCGCATCCTCTGCACTCTCCTCGATCTCCGGAAGAGCACGCTCCGAGCGCGTCGTGGACTGCGAGTCCTCCAGGCGCGCAGCGGACTCGTACTCGGCGTACTCGTCCTGCTCGCTGGACGGAGCGGCGCGCTGCGATGCCTCTGCTGCAGCCTGCTCCATCTGCGCCTGCTCGAGCGCCTCCTGCTCCTTCTGGAGCTGGAGCTGCTGCGAAGCCTGTCTCTCGCGTCGCTGCTGCTCAATGGCCTCGCGTGCCTTGAGGCGCTCCTCTTCCTCGTCGTACTCATCCTCCTCACGCACGGCATCCTCGCGGATGCTGTCGTCCTCGCGAGCCGTGGCATCAGAGTCGAAGGACAGGTCGCCCTCGTCCATGTTGGTGGCGAACAGGGCAGAGTGGTGCTGCGGCACCGAGTCGAACTCGGGCGAGCCCTCGCTGAGACGCGCCGAGCCAATGACAAAGTCGACTTCGTCCACACTGTCGTCGTTGAGGCCCAGCGTGCGGTCGCCCGCGTCGCCGTCGTCAGAGTTGTCGTCGGCGTCGTCGAGGGCCACCGAGCGGACCTGCACATACGGCACCGTACCCACGCCTGGGATGTTCGCGTAGCTCTCGTGGTGCTCGTAGGGCATGCACGACGGGTGCACAGGACCCACACCGCGCGAGATGCTGCTGCCCGACGACGACGAGGCAGCCTGAGGCGTGAGGTCACCATACGGCGAGGACGACGCATTTGACTCGGAGCCCTCGGGCACATCGATGCCGAGGCCCATCGGGCTCGGCTCGCCGGACGAGAGGCCGCCGCGACGAGCGGTAGCGCTGCGGATGGCGTGGTTGATGAAGTCGAGCGACTTTTGGTGCTGCAGCCGGCGAGCAGGGTTGGCATCTGGCTGCAAGTACTGCTGCTGGTGCTGCTGCTCGCCGAGCGGCGGCAGAGGCAGCCGCGAGCGGGCAGCACCCGTGGCGTGCTCGATCTTGCCCGGACTGCGCAGTGCTTCCATCGAGCGCACACGCTCGATCATCGGCACCTCGGACTGCGTCGCAGATGAGGCCTGGCTCCAGGTGCGCGCCATCGACGGCGCCTCAGAGAGCGCAGCGCCAGCAGCAGTCGGCTTGAGCGGCGGCGGGTCGAGCGAGACAAAGTTGACGACGCGCAGCGGCAGCTCGACGGAGACGTCTGCAGACAGAGAGCTGCTGACGGAGACCTTGATCGAGTACATCACCTCGACGTGGCGACCGCGCGACACGCTCAGCGCATCCGACTGGTGTGAGGTCTTCGTTTAGCAAGCGGATCGAGGACGGAGACGCTTTCACTTACGGGCAGGCGCATGTAGTGCGAAAAGTCGACGGAGCAGTTGCTCTCCACGCCCGTCCACCAGCCGCGCGCAGTGACGACGCCCTTGCCGCCGGCCTTCTGGCCGAGCTCGAGCGTCTCCTCGCTGATCTTCTTGCGGCTCGTCGACGTCGTGCAGGCATCAGGGTCGATGTACGCGCCCGATGCCTCGTCTGACTGGGCTGTGCCCATGTCGAACTCGGGGCGAGGCCGGTACAGCGTGACGGTCCGCACGAGCGCGAGGGTGATGTTCTTGACCTGAGTGGAGATGTGAGCGCTGCAGCGGATCCGACGACGCTTCTGCTGCTCACCTTCTTGCTCGTGTCGTTCTTGATCGCCACGTTGACATGCACGCGCTGGCCAGCAACCCAGGTGCCGCGGTGCAGGCTGGCACTGAGGTGCACCTTGCCCGAACCGCCGAGGAAGAGGCCCTTGCTGGCGCGCGCCTGGATCGGCTTCGGCGCCGTCGACAGCACCACAGCCGGGTTGAGGTATGGGAAGAGCTCGACATGGCGGTAGAAGTGCGCAATCGAGCGGTTGGAGCCGTCGGCGCTCTTCAGCTTGACCGAGCTGGCGGAGGGATGAAGCGTCAGTCGCAGTACAGGGCAAGTCAGGCTCTTGGCAGTGTGCTCACCCAATGACGATGTAGCGAACGACTGCGTGCTTGCCGCGGAAGCTGCCCTTTGCGCCCTTGCCGATCGGCAGCTCGAGCGCGAAGGGAATCAGGTGGTTGCCCTCGGCACCGAGAGAGTAGCCCTCGGAGTCCGGCGGCGACGCGAAGCAAGGCAGAGGCGCACGGCCCTCAGCCTGGGGCGAGCACATGTCCGGGCTGCCAGCGAGCACGTAGGCCTCAGACGGGCCGCCGCTGGAGCGGTCGCCGTCGATGACGGTGGCGTGGTGGTAGAAGATGTGGCGCGTGTCGTCGTTGAGCAGCTCCTCGAAGCCGACGACGCGGATCTTGGGCTGCGCCAGCATCAGGCCGCCGTTCTTGTCCGACGTGCGGCGCAGCTTGATCTCGAGACGCCCACGGAGCATGCCGCCCTCGACGACCAGGTCGCTCTCGAGCACCACGTCGACCTCGACGCGCGCCTTGCCGGAGCGCCCGTGCTCGAGCACAGCCGGCGGCGCAGAGGCAGGGCCCACGGCATTCGAGCGCGAGAGGCCGCGCGAAGAGCCGAGCGACGCCTCGGAGGCAGCCGAAGTGCCGACTGACGAGGCCGACGAGGAAGAAACGACGGACGCCGCCTTGCCAGCGCGAGTCGCTCCGGGGTCGAGCAGGCGGTTGAGCTCGCGCGTACGGCGTGCCGGGTTGCCAGCCTGCGAGAGCAGCGTGCCCGAGCGCTCGAGAGACACTCCAGCCGCCGAGCTGGCACTGCGTGGGCGGCCCATGGACGCAGCGCTGTCCGAGCGCATGCGCGACGGCGCACGCACGCCCGTGCCCACGTTGCTGATGCTGTCGCCCGGGCCGACCTCCGTGCCGGCCGTAGTCGTGCCCGAGATGCTCTGGCGGCGCGAGTGGCCCTGATCGTCGGAGCCGATGATGCTCTCTTCCTCGGCGGTGCGCACACGGCCGGGAATGATTGCCTCGCCGAGCTGGAAGCGCGACTCGAGCGAGTCGAGGCTGACCATGGCCTCGCCGCGCTCAGCGCCCTCGAGGCCGCGGAAGCCACGCACGCTGCGCATGCCGCCGATACCGCGAGTGACGGCCTCGGCCGGGGCGCCGGCGTTGTGCGGACCGATGGACTGTGCCGCATCGGGGCCGGACATCATGTGCGCACGCGGCAGGCCGCCGCTCTGGCTACGCTGGCGGGTCTTGGAGCTGGCTTCTGAAGACGCCACACTCGTGCCGGCGCGCGACAGGCGCCCGTCGGCGTCGAGGTAGGCCGTCTCGACGCCATCGGCGCCGTAGAAGCTGCCGACGCGCAGCACTGGCTGGGCAGAGACGGGCCGTGGCCGCGACTGCTGGCTGTGCGTGGCAGACGGCGCCGAGTAGCTCGAGATGCCTGTGACCTGGCTCTCCGTTGGTGATGGATGGAACTCCGGCGCCGTGGCACGCAGAGCTGGGCCGTCAAAGGCACGCGAGCTCTGCGGGTCGGCGGAGCCCTGGTCTGCGGTGCTGGCCGTCTCAGGCACCTCGACGTAGCCGCCGAAGCCGTCGGGCACGCGGCGTGTCGTCGCCGGCGCCGGCGCCTCTTCGTTGGCGTCGAGGGTGCGGGCACGCACGCGAGGCCCACGCTGCGTGCGCGAGACGCTGCGTGGGATCTCGCTAGTGCGGCCGAGGCCGCTGCCGGCCGACTGGCCGCCGCTGCTCTTGTACGCCGAGCTGAGCGACACCTGCGACTGGCTGCGGCTCATCGATGGCGCGTCGACGGCCGACTGCACGGGAAAGCGCATCGTGCTGCTGCGGCTCAGGATCGGCTGGCTGGCCTGCTTGCGGATCGTCTGTGCCCGGCGCGCCACGCCGCCGCGCCCGTTGCTGCTGCCGCTGGACGAGTAGGACGTCGGCTGCTGGCCGCCCTGCATGGCCGCCACGGCGGCGCCGAGGCGCTCCGTGCGGCCCTGGCCGTGCGCATCGCGGCCGTCGAGCGTGCTGAGCGAGAGCAGGCTGGCCGTGTCGGCGTCGGAGCGCGGGCTCACGTCGCTCTCCGTGTCGGCGCCGAGGATGCCCGGCAGGCCGCTGGCGATGCGCACGCGCCGGTCGACGCTGCTGGCGGGGCGCCGCGGCAGGCCGCCGCGCTCGCTGCCGCTGCTGCTCGCGGCCGAGGAGAGCGACGAGTAGGACGGGTTCGCCCGGGGCCGCTGCCGCTGCGGCTGCGGTGCCTTCTGGTGCACCGGCGGCTCGGGCGAGAAGGAGATGCCGAGGCCAGACATGCCGAGGCCTGACATGTGCTGTCGAGCGCACTGGGGTTGATGAGTAGGGTGCCTAGTTTGTGGGAGGGTAAGTTGAGGATGGAGGTCGAGAGGGCAGGGAGGTGTGGAGGATCAGAGAGAGTCGGAGAGAGGCCTCGACACCACCAGGGACGCTCGCTGGCCCTCGCCGCCGCCGCTGCTGCGCAGCTTCAACATCCAGGTCGTGAGGCTGTGCTTGCGGCTTGGCTGCGGCGTGCGGCGGCAGCGATGCACGGCACCGCTGACGCTGCGACGGCTCGGCGGCCGGGCGCGGAGCGGAGCGGTAGGCAGGCTGCCTCATCGGTGGATGGCGAGCAGAGGCAGCGGCCGGCGCGTCGGGCGCGCCATGTCACCCCAGCGGCCCATGGCGCGCGCCGCCGCGCCGCGCTGCCGCCGCACCGTCGCCATCGCGCTGGCTGCGCTTTGGACAGCACGGCACCTCACTCGCACGGCAGCTGCGGCTGCTACTGGTGTCTGACAGCGTGGCGCCGTCGCCGGCATGTTGATGCTGCGGCGACTGCCGTATCAGGCCGGCCGCATGACAGATGATCGCTGCCAGCGGAGGCGTGGGACAGCATCAGCAGCGCCGAGGAGCTTATTTTCACAGCGTGCCTCCGCCGGAGAGCGAAAAGCAGCGACACAGCGAGCACAAGCATGAAGAGCCATCGAGCGACAGGCCCAAGCCATGGAGGAACATCAGACATCCGAGGCCGTGCGACAGAGGCCGGCAGGGAAGACGACGCGGCAGAGGAGGCGCCATGGACTGGCAGGGCGCATCCTCTCGTGCCCCACACTACAGGACAGCGCTTCACTCTGCGCTCGACAGCGGATGGAGGAGCGACAACTAGACTCGCAGATGGCCTTCGATGGGAGGCTCCCCGAGAGCCGAGCTGGAGCTTCGGCGGAGAAGGCGGCTGCGAGGAGGCCCAGCCGGCGATGCTCTCGGCACGGGTCCGACGTTCGCTGCGGCGCGGGGGATCGCCGTGCTGCAGCCGCGGCGGGCCCTTGTTCCCACGCCGCCGCGCCGCCAAAATAGCCCACCCGTCGCGACGGCGCCAGAAGCCGCTCTCGTTCTGCCGAACGGCCGTCCGCCATGTGATCCGCTCGCCTTGGCTCCGGCCGCGGCAGATGGCGAGCTTCACGCACCTTGAATCATCGATTGGATGAGGGTCACGGACGTTCCCAGGCGTTGATGCCGGCCGCGCTGCGGCGGACCCTCGCGGCTGCCACCACCATGCGGCCGCGCGGCATGAAGCATGACCCGGCATGCGGCATGTCTCGCAGCACCTCGAGCGCATCCATACGCAGCTGCGCTGGGTGCTGCTGCATCTGCAGGGCCCTCTCTGTCGGGCAGCGGTGCGGCTCGCTCGCGCAGCACAGGCGAGATGCAGACGCAGACGGCAGCGGCAGCAGTCGTGTGATGCCGTCCGGCATCGCGCATGAAGCATCATGCGGCATGCCCTCGCGGCTGGGGTCGGGAGAGGGGGCTGCGGATCGCAAGCGCGGTGCTCCCTCACGACAGCATGCAGCGCCCAGCAGCATCAGCGATGGCGGCACAGCGCTGCGTGCCGACGCGGCAGACGGGACAGAGCGGAGGACTAGTAGACTGTTCCATGCAGAGCCGGGCATCGGGCGAGACGTTGGAGGGACGCCGTGCGCGCTCGTCATCCTCTTCATGCTTCACGCACCGCTGCCGGGTATCTTGTCGCCCGAGGCTCCCACACGCTGCGCTCCGCCGTTCCCTTGGAGCACCGGCTGCCGGCGAGCACAGACAGGTGCCTTTGCCGGAGCACCGCGGGGCGAGCGACGGCCCGCAGCGCCGCGAGAGCGTGGGTGCGGCTGATCTCTTGTGACGCCAGGGGCGGCGGCGGACCTGCAAAGGGCGCATCGCGCATGGGGCGCACCGCGCGGGCGTGGCAGAGCGGGCCTTTGTGAGGCGCAGAGGGAGCGGCAAGGCGAGGCACAGGTGTGGCGAGGGGCAGCGACGCTGCCGCAGCGGCCGTGCTGCTCGCGTGCCTGGGGCCTGTCGGGCTGCGCGCCGAGCCGCGCGCCGTGGCGGAGCCTCACAGCGGCGGGCGCCGTGCCTGCCGCTGCTGTGGGCGCGGCGCTGCTCGCGTGCCTGCGCTGCCCGCGGCCGCGTTCCGGCGCTGCTGGCGCGCGTCGGCGCTGCGACGTCTCCCGCTTCGACGTCCTCTCCTCACCACCTCGACCTCGCACTCTCTCTTACGCCTCTTACGCGCCAGCACAGGCACCCCGCTGCCTCTGTCTGCGCTGCCACCGCGCTCCGCCGCGCCTTGCGCACTTCCGCCGCCGGCCGTGCCTCGCGGACGCGCCCGCGCTCCGGCTCGCAGGCCGCACCACTCGTCGGGAGCAGCAGCAGCAGCGTCGCAGCGCTGGCCCGCATCTGCTAGAGCAGCTGCAGCAGCGCCGGCCTCGCAGCCGCCGCAGCTGCGTACCGCAGCAGTATGGCTGGTCCGTCTGGCGCCCATGCGGCAGGCGCGCCGTTGGACGCCGTCGTCGTGTCGCCGAGCGAAGCCGGTGCCGCCGCTGCAGGCTACTTTCCCAGTGCGGGCGACGCTCCGGCACCGGCACCAGCGTCGTCGGCCGTCGCGCAGGCTCGGCACACGCATGCGCCGCAGTTCGCCTCGCCGCTGCGCTCTGCCTACCAGCCGTCGCCGTCGCCGCCCTCGTCGTCGGGCTCGTCGCTCGCACCCACGCTGGCGGCGCGCAACGCCATCCACCGCACCACGTCCTACGACCCGCCGCGCGAGTCGCTCGACGCCGGCGCCGCCGCCGGCCCGCGCTCTGACAGTCCGTCGACGCGGCGCCTCAGCGAGCCGCACCCCAACGCCTCGCAGCCGGCCGTGCGCGCCACGCCCTTTGCCGACGCATGGCACACGCCCGAGCGCAGCACCACGCCGGCGCTCGATGCCGGCAGCGTGCCGCGGCGCAGCCTCAGCCGCGCCGGCAGCTCCAATGGCGTCGACGGCGACGCGTACGGCCTGCCGCAGTACACGACGCCCGGCGGCTATGCCTCGAGCGTCGACGGCGACTTCTACTCTGCGCCGCCGTCGCGCCTCATCTCGCGCACTCCCACGCCCGTGCTCGGCCTCGGCAGCGTGGCGGCCGTGTCGGAGAGCGAAGAGTACGCCAGCTCCGACTCGTCCGAGAGCTTCGGCCGGCCAGCGGGCGCGGCGAGCGGGCTGGGCGCCTTCTTTGGCTGGGGCACGCGCAGCAGCGGCATGGGCCGCAGCAGCAAGGGCTCGTACCATGCCCTCTCGCGGCACTCGGTCAAGTCGTCGGGCGACCTCGGCAAGTGGGACGGCATGCCGAGCACGCCCATGATGGAGGCTGGCTCGAGCAAGAAGGGCCGCTGGGCCGCACGGTCGCGCGGCGGAGACAGCGCCGATGATCGCCTGGCAGACCGACACTTGGGCGGCGACAGTCTGCCGCTGCGCACGCGCATCGGCGGCGCGGGGCGGCGGCGGAGGTCTCCACGCGGCGGCTGGCCAAACCCGCTGCGCCTCGTCTCGACGCTGCTGGTGCGCACCTTCCGCACCTTCTTCGGGCCGATTCACCCGGCAACAATCATGGTCGCGCTGGCGCTCATCGCCGCGTTCGTCACGAGCGTGACGATGCTCATCATCTACATCCTCAACCCGGACAAGGAGCCGCTGCCGTGGCGCACGTACTGCGCGGCGCAGATGCCCTTTCCGCACATATTTGCCGACCGGCTGGCGCCCGTCGATGTCCTCGTCGGCGTGCTGACCGTCGACAACAAGTACGAGCGGCGCAACATGATTCGCTCCACGTACGCCTCGCACACGCTGCCGCTGGGGCCCGACGGCCGGCCGATGGCAAACGTGCAGGTCAAGTTCATCCTCGGCAAGGTGCGCAAGGCGCACGCGCGGCGCGTCGCCCTCGAGATGGAGGCGTACAACGACATCGTCGTGCTGGACATGGACGAGAACATGAGTGCTCGCAAGACGCTCACGTTCCTCAAGTGGGCCGCGCAGAACGCCACGATGCCCTTTGTGCGGCCGAGCGCGCCGCTCAGTGCCGCACCCGAGACGCCGGGCCATGTATCGGCACAGCTGCCGGACAAGGCGCGCCGCTCGGACAATGTGGCGTGGAAGAAGGTCGACTATGTCGTCAAGGCCGACGACGACTCCTTCATCGTGCTGAGCGAGCTCGAGCGGCATCTGCGCGTGGCGCCGCGCAAGATGACGTACTGGGGCTGTGAGTGGCTGCGGCGCGCACGACACGCCGCTCTCGACTGACGCCTCGCTGCAGATCTCGTCAAAGAGTGGTTCATGGGCGGCGAGGCGTACGCGCTGTCGATGGACCTGGTCGAGTGGCTCGCGCACTCGCCCGAGGTCGAGCGCACGGCCAAGGGCAAGGAGGACACGCGCACGCCGCAGTGGATTGCGATGCACCCGAACCGCAGCTCCGTCAGCTGGATCTCGGAGCACTGCTGGATCTACGACCACCCCAAGGCGGGCACGCCGTACTCGCACGGCTTCCTCTTCCCCGACTACGTCGAGCGCATCAAGGCTGAGGCGCGCGTCGGACTCAGCGAGCAGGAGGTGATGTGGCGCGGCGGCGAGCGGCGCAGCCACAGCTACAGCACCGTCAGCCGCTGGCACCACGCCTACGTGGCGCCGCGCGATCACCTGACCGCCGAGGAGGAGATCGAGGCGCTCGTCGAGGGCGGCGGCCGCTGGGCCGGCACGTGGGTGCGCGGCGCCGCTGGCGAGGGCAGCAGCAGCGAGACCGAGACGTGGCTGCCGTGGTCCGACATCGTCTACGAGAGCGACGACGAGCGGCTGCGCGTCTCGGGCGATTCGCGCGCTGGCGGCCAGGGCATCTTTGCCTCGGACGTCAGCATCGACCAGCTCACCGGGTTGCCTCTGCTCGGCCCGCCGCTCGGCACCAACACGAGCAGGGGCGCGCCTGCTCCGGCCACACGGCGACGGCGAAGCGCTCAAGTCGCACCGCCGCCTTCGCTCGAGCGCGACCAGGTGGCTCCGCGCGACCCGAGCTGGCTGATCGGCAGTCCGCCTGCCGCGCCCGCAATCGACGGCGACGAGCGGCTCGACGAGAACGCGAGCGGCGGCATCTTCAACCATCTGCCCATTCTGCCCGACCTTGCCAAGCTCGGCCGCGCACTGCAAGTCGAGGCTGCACCTCTCGAGCCAAGTGCCGTCGAGCAGGCGGCGCAGCGGGCCATGGCGGCGGACCGTGAGGCCGAGAAGCTGCGTCTGCTGCCGCGCCCCACGCACAAGGACGGCGACGGCACGGCCGAGGCGCTGCGTGCGCGCCGCTACCTCGGGCGCCCGCACGGCGGCACCGTCGTGGTGCACTATCTCAAGAAGAGCGAGTGGTGGCTCGAGACGGCCATGGTCTTCCTCGGCCGCGGCGCCATGTGGCAGTCGGACATTGGCGGCGCGGCGCGCGAGTACCGCCAGTACGGCAGCCCGCTGGTGCGCCACGACGGCTACATCAGCGAGGGCCGCAGCCAGCCACGGCCGGACCAGGGCGTCAACGTCGCCGAGGGCGACGAGCGCTGGACGGCCATCGCTGGCAAGAAGGAGCGGCCGCCAGCCGACAAGCCGAGCACCGAGTCGACGTCGACCATCTAGATCTGCCGCTGCTACCTGCCTCTCCTATCATCTCTTATCCCCAACAGCACCTCCTGCACGGCTCGCTTGCGCCTGCACGCTCGCTCCCAGTCACTTTCCGTCTGCCATGCCTCTCGTCACGCTCTTCATGCTGCCACCTGCCCCTGCTGCACACAGCCAATCCCTCGGCATCTTTGTCCTCCACACACCTCGCTGCGTTCCGTCTCCCTCTCGGTCACTCGGGCATGACCTCCGGATTACTCTGCCAAAGCATCACATTGCGTCGTCAACGTAGCGGCAGGGCCCGAGTGTCGTCGAGTCGTTGCGATCCCCTCGACCAGGTCAGATGGCGCTGAGCATGCCCTCGATGGCCGCGCGCAGCTCTGCGGCACGAGGCGCGTCAGCGGTGCGAAGGAGGAGAGGCGAGGCGGCGAACTCACGCAGCTCGCCGCCGCGCTGCTTCGAGTGGTCCGCGAGCTCCTTGCGCAGCTCGGCCTGGCGCTTCTGGAAGTCCTTCTCGAGGCCTGCGACCTTGTCGGCCTGCAGCTGTCCTGCAGATGCAGTCTGCGTGAGCGGTGGAGTAAGGCCGAGCAGCCCTAGGCAAGACTGACGCAGCATGGCGGCGCGCGTGGTCCAGTCTGCGCGACCTTTGGCACGCTCCTTGTACAGCTCGCTGACGTCCTCGGTATCAGCCTCTGTGTCAGGCTCAGCCTCCGGCCAAGCTCACCGGCGCCTCTCGCTGAGCGCCTCGATGCGCGCCAGCGCCTTCTCCATCTGTGCCAGCACGTCGTGTGTCGTGTCCTGCGCCACGCGCGTCGAGTCGCGTACTGCACTTTCGACCGCTGCGCACGAGTCACTGCGGAGCCGGGCTCAGGGGCGTGGCTAGACGAGCTGAGGGCTCTTGCGTACCTCATGCCCGGAGCAAGGACAGCCAGGCCCTCGGTCAGCACTGCTCGCCGGCGTGTCAGCCCGGCGTCCAGCAGCGTTGCAGCGTCGCGGCGCACTCACGCTTCATCTCCGCATACACGCCGTCGAGACTGCTCTGCTGCTTGATGGCGTTGAACGCATCGACTGAGTCTGCTCTGCCTCAGCTGGGCTCTGCGATGCGCCTCAGCGAGGCGACGCACCCTTCATGCTCTTCAACAGCTCGCGCTCCGTCTCCTCCTTGGCGCCGCCGTCAGGCTCGCGTCGTGCTCTGACGATGCTTGGATCAGCAGGATGCCGGGCACTCTCGCTCCTGCTCTGTGCTTACTCACGGAACATCAGAACGGTCACTCGCGCGGCTGTCCGAGCCCAAGCTCTCCTCGTCGGTGGGCCACGTCTGGCTCAGCGGTCCGCGCATGCGGCCGGCTTGCGAGTGCGGGAGGCGCTCCAGCGGCGAGTGCTGCCGAGCGCCTCCCTCGAGAGGTGCAGCGCGGCTGCGGCGCACGGCCGAGCTCGAGCTGCGCTCGTGGCGTTCGCCGTCGTTGTCCTGCACGCCGCCTGCGGCACGAGGGCGTGAGGACAGTCGTTGATGCTCGGTACGCACAGCTGAGGATGCATGCGTAAGAGGCAGCTCTTTCCAGTGCAGCGAGTCGATGGCTCACCCCCATGCGGCGACGACGCGCTGCCAGGCGCCGCAACACGCTCGATGCCGAGCGCGGCGTTGAGCGCCTCGCGAGGACGCAGTGCAGCGCTGGTGGTAGACCTGACCTTCCTGCCGCTACGGTCGCCACCCTGGCGGACAGTATGAGTCTTGAGCGTGTCCATTGCGAGGCAGCAGGTCGGCAGGGGTTCCGAGCAAGGTCGTTGGTGCGGACGGACGCCGTTGACGAGGAGACCGCTCGCAGAACGGGTCGATGTCGCCGCGTAAGGCTCGCACTACGTTGGCAGTCTCGTGCGGTGCCAAAGGTATCGAAGCCAAGCACGGCGAGCGTGTGGGATGTGGAGAGAAAGCAAGAGGCAGCGACGTTGACGCACTGTTCATAGCGCTATAGGAGAGCAGCTCGTGACAGGCGGCAGGACGCGGCGCGGTGACGCCGGTCAGGGGCTTGCCCGAATGCGTGTGCAGCTCTCACACCGAGCCAGGACTGCATGCTGCGCCTGGTCGGCTCTCGAGATGTAAGCTGCATGGAGTTGTAGCTGGTCATCGGCCTGCGAGCACATGCTGTTGCGTGGCGCCTCTTGCTTCGCCGCAGCTGGGCGTGAAGGATCGGCACGTCGCGCGTCGAGGGAAGCGCCCCTGGGGACCGACGCGCCAGCTCGCCTCTCGTCGTCTGATCTGTCAGCGAAGCCTGCCAGCGCACATGTGTCGAGTTGATGCAGCAGAGCACCGCCATTTGGACATCGGCGTCAAACCCTGTCCTTGTCAGCAAGCAGCGAAGCGAACGACGGGCTTCTCAGCCTCGGGAGAGGGTCGTGCCAGGGCAGCAGCTGCACGTGACTGCGGGGCGCGCCAGCGCAAGAGAGGCAGGCACGCACGCTGCGGAGCCGCGGCCGTGCGTCCGGCTCGGCGTCGCGCTGCTGCGCCAACGCGCCTGGCTTGGCCTGATAGGCGCGCTTGCAGCAGGCTCGCTCTGCTCCCACCTTCCCGACCTCCTGCTCGCCCATCTCTCCCGCCATGCTTGCCTTCGCTCCCCGTCTCGCCGTCCGTTCGCTGCCGCGTGCCGTGCCCGCGCTCCGCGTGGCGCCCGCGGCGCGCCGCACGCTCCTCACGTCGGCGGTGCGCCGCGGCGTCTCGACGCGCTACACGGCCGAGCACGAGTGGGTGCGCTTCGACGACGCCAGCAACGTCGGCACCATCGGCATCACCGACTATGCGCAGAACTCGCTCGGCGACGTCGTCTTTGTCGAGCTGCCCGCCGAGGGCTCGCAGGTCAAGATGGGCGGTGAGTGCGGCGCGGAGAGCGATGGGGCAGCATACTGGCGGCGCGGCAGAGCCGTGGCAGGCGCTGCAGGCGCTGGGTGAGACGTAGCGTACCACAGCACTGCTGTCTGGCAGTGCATAAAGCTGTGGCACGGCGGGATGCAGCAGTATGTCTGGGCAGGGCATGCTGCAGCACTGCATCGCAGCGCCTGGACCCGCCGCACAGCACACCGCCCTGGGCCGCAGTCTCAGCCGTCTGACGCCTCTCTCTGCGCGACGCCAGAGCAAATCGGCTCCGTCGAGTCCGTCAAGGCCGCCTCGGACATCTACAGCCCCGTGTCGGGCGTCGTCGAGAGCGTGAACACGGAGCTCGGCGACCAGCCGGGCCTGCTCAACAAGAGCCCGCTCGAGAACGGTGAGTAAGGGCAGCATGCTGGGGTGCGCCATAGGGGGCAAGGGGCAGGAGCGTGGCCGGAAAGGTTGAAGTGTGACTGGTAGAAAGAGAGCGCGCTGCTCGTGCGAGAGCGGCGAGAAGCGCAACGCAGCAGCTGGCCGAATGCGCTGGCTCCGCGCTCGGCCGCTGTCGCCGGGGGCATGCGCCTCGGACGAGCAGCAGCTGCGTCGTGGCGCTCTCTGTGGCAGAGCCGCGATGCCTCGTCAGCGCTTTCCCCGAGCATGTTTGTCCGAGTAAGCCCTGGATGTATCAAAGATGCCTTCCAGACGCTCGGGGATGACCTGCCGCCGCCGAGGAAGAGAAGCAGGGCTTCTGCGCGCCCTGTTTGCGCTCGGAAGCATCAGACGGGCCCGCTCGTTGCGTCCGAGAGAGTCAGAGCTTGCTCGATCCGCCTGCTCGAGGCGTCAGTCCCAGAGTCTCGCCCGTCATAGCAGGCGGAGCGAGCAAGCTGTGACACTCTCGGACGCAACGAGCCGGAGCAAGCGCGCCTCGCTCGCCTCTCCTGCTGCCTTGCCCGCCTGACACGCAAGCTGACGCGCTCCTCCTCTCTCTCTCCCTCAGGCTGGCTGTGCCAGATCAAGCTGGCCAACCCGTCCGAGTTCACGACGCTGCTCGACGAGGCGGCGTACAAGGCGCTGTGCGAGGATGCCTAGGCGCTCGACGTAGCCACCGATGCCAGGTCGCTGAATAGTATTAATGTGCCCATAGCTCCATCCAGCGAGCCGCGATCTGGCTTTCTGGGCAACAGCCTCTGTGAAGCACGTGCGGCTAACAGCGGCCTGGTCTGCAGAGCACCGCTCTTGCTGTCCTGCCTCTCGGTCCTGCGGCCGCGGCTCGCAGCCCTCTCTTGCCCTCTCTCGCAACCTGCATCGCGGTGCTCTGCGAAGCCGGCGCAGCACGAGCGCCATCGCGGCCTCGTCCTGTTGCGCGAGCCACGCTCGGAGGCAGCAGATGTGTCGCCTGAGTAGCTTTGAGCGCTCCGAGCGGCCGGACAACGCTGGACCCTGTCGCTCGTCGCCGCTCGTCGCTCGTAGGCCACACGGAGGAGGGCAGCGGCGGCTTTGCCGAAGGGCAGCGCCACGGTTTTCTGATGCTCATGCTCTTGGCCAGCAGCAGGGTCCGCCTCGAGCGGCCGGCAGAGAGCGTGCCCTGCACCTGCACCGAGCCAAGCCGCGCGGGCCTGCATGCTCCCGCGCCGGACCGGCCGTCGTCGGCCCGAGGGACAGACGCGCATGGCACCTCGGGATGGCGGCGCCAGGGTCGCGCTTGAATGCTGCGCCGCTGCTGCGGCGCAGCGAGACAAGCATGGCAGCTGCTCCTGCTCGGTGCATGCGCTGCCGCCGCTGAAGCGAACGGACCGCCGCGCCCGGCGCGGCCCTCGCTGCTCGGACAGGGCTCGGCCAGGACGCCGCCGCGGCGGGCGCGGGAAGGTGTGGCTTGCGGCGGGAGCGGTGCGCGTGGGAACGGCGCGCGCATCTTGCTTCTCGCCCCTCGTCCGCTGCCCCACTTCACGCGCCGCCTTCGCACAGCAGGCCCGCTCCCGATGCACCAGATGCAGAGGCAGTGCACGCTCAGCCGCCCGCAGCGCCGGCTTGCGGCACTCGCAGCCTGAGATGGCCTGACTGTGGCGCGGCGGACCCCATCGGCGGCAGCATGCAGCCCTTCGCCACGCTGGAGCGGCCGCGACGGCACTGCGGCGACGGCCGGGCGCTAAGCCGCCGCACCGCGAGGCCCGCCGTCCGCCAGGCGCAGAGCGGCAGCCACTTGCCCAGCGGCATCCGCACTCCGCCATGTGCTCCCAGCTCTTGAACACAACGCGCGTGCGGCGCCGCAGCCAGCCGGCTGCCAGCACGAGATGCACCCCGTGCAAACTGAAAGCACACGTTGCCCGCCGTCTGCACGCACAGGCCACCGCAGCCACCGCGGCCACTCGTCGTGCCCTGCTGTCATGCGCAGGGCGCCGGCCTCCCGCTGCCGAGGCAGCCCTGCACCCCGAGTGCTGCTGCTGCGGGCCCGCGCTCCTTCTCGGCCCGAGCGCGTGCGAAGAAAGGCGAGGCCGGAGCAGCGACGACGCAGCGAGCGCGCCTCGAGGCGGCCCAGGCAGCGGGCGCTGTGTGTTGCCAACGAGGGCAGGCAGGCTCACGTCTATAAGAAGCGCGCTGCCGACGCACCCATGCCCACTCGCCACCGCACTTCGCTCTTCTCGCTCAAGACACACCTCACCATGCGCTTCGCCCTCTCCACCGCCGTCGTGGCCGCCGTGTACGCCAACAGCGCCCTCGCCGCGCCGCTCGACGAGCACAGCGCCGGCCTCATGGCGCGCCAGAGTGGGCCCTCGTCGCAGTTCCTGCCCTCGTCGGCGGCGCTGCGCAGCTCGTGGACGCTGCAGGGCTGTGCGCCCGACCGCTACCCCGACGGCCGTGCCATCATGCAGTGGTACAAGGAGGTGGGCACCATCGACGAGTGCCTGCAGTACTGCGACAGCGTCGGCGCGGCGTACTGCGGCGCGGGTGAGTGCAGCCGCCAGCTGCCGTCTGCGCATGCACTGACGCCTCTGCCGCGCAGAGTACGGCTACCAGTGCTTCGGCGGCAACGCGCTCGCGACGGGCATCAACGTGCCCGCCTCGCAGCTGACGACGAGCAACGACGGCGGCTGCAGCACGCCGGCGCGCAGCAGTAGCGCGCAGCGCTTCGGCGGCCCCAATGCGCTGCAGGTGTACAAGAGCAACAGCCGCCCCGTGGCCACGAGCCCGTCGCCCGTCGGCAACAGCACGTTCCAGGGCTGCTTCAGCGACAACACCAATGCGCGCCTGCTGCCTCAGAACAACTACGGCCGCACGGCCAACACCATCGAGTCGTGCATCGCCACGTGCACGAACCAGGGCTACGACCTGGCCGGCCTCGAGGTAGGTGCCGAGGTGGGCAGCTCAGCTGTGCAGGGCTGACTTCAATCTTTCAACAGTACCGCAGCGAGTGCCACTGCGGCGACAGCACCAAGGTCAACATCGCCTCGGCGCAGGCGGCCGCCTCGGACTGCCAGGCGACGTGCACGGGCAATGCCGGGCAGATCTGCGGCGGCGCCGGCCGGCTGTCGATCTACAAGCGCCCTGCCTCGGCGGGCCCGGCGCCCGTCGACTCGTCGAAGAACCCGACGCCCATCACCGTCGGCGGCAGCAAGTACGTCTACCAGGGCTGCTTCAAGGACCGCAGCGACCAGCAGGGCCGCGCCCTCAGCAACTACTACGGCCTCAGCGCCAACGACAACGTCAAGTGCGTGACGAACTGCAAGAACGCCGGCTTCAAGTACGCCGCCACGGAGTGAGTGACGCGCGCACCTCGACGGCAAGAGAGGCGCGCACCAGAGCTGAGCCTTGTCCTCCAGGTTCGGCACCGAGTGCCGCTGCGGCAACACGCTGCGCTACAACGTGCAGCAGGGCGCCGTGTGCGACAAGGCGTGCCCGGGCAACTCGACGCAGGTGTGCGGCGGCAAGTGAGTTGCCTGCCCGATCAGCGCCGCTAGGATGTGCATGTGGCTGACTTCCTCTTGCCGCTGCAGCAACTACTCGATGAGCCTGTACATGCTCACCGCCTGAGGCAGCGCATGTGCTCCGCAGCAGCTGCTTCCCTGACCCCTCCGTCCCGTCACCTACTTCTCGTACCCCTTGGCCCAGTTGCCTAGCTCCCTTTCCAGAAAACCTCTCTCGGCAGCCTGTGCCTGATGAGCGCCTCACGACCCGCAGAAGAAATGACAGCCCCCTTTGGCGCCTTCCGAACTGATCGTCTTCATCACTTGCTGACGCTACCCCGCTCGACGCTTGCTGCCCTTGATGCCGAGCAGTGCATGTGCCTGTTCGAGCGCAGCACACGCTCCCGGGCTCGCCAGCAGCCCTGCCCGAGCCGTACAAGGTGTGGGCCACGTGTGCTGCAACCCACCGGCATTGATCTCGCGTTGGCGAACGCCGACCCCCTGCCCTCTTCGCAGCAGAGTGGTGCCACGGCAACCGGCGAAAGCGCCGCATGAGAGCGAGGCTCGCGGCGACGCCACATCTGCACGGGCAAGCCTGGCTGGCAGCCTCGGACGCCGCTCGGCCCGATCTCACTCGGCCCGACGTGCTGTGACCTTGACCTGTTGGCGTGCGCCGCACGCACGGCAGCACAGGAGAGGGCAAAAGACGGGAAGGACCCTTGGCAGGGCCCTGCAGCTGCGCATGACGGCCGCGGCGCGCCGAGCGCGCGGTGCAGCGTGTCTTGAGCTCCCCGCCTGCCATTGGCCAAGCTCCCGCTCCCGCGCTTGTGACATGCGCAGCGTCCCGCGCGTCCCGCAGCGGCACCCAGAGGCATGCCCTCTCCCTCGACGGCCGAGCGCCCGCACCCTCACACTGCCTCGCGGCACATTTGGCCTTCCGCGTGTCGCCTCTCCATGCCGAGGGGCGTAGAGAGCACCGTGCTCGCAGGCACATAAAAGGCACGCCTCTGGCGGCGCCGGCAGTCAGCACCAAGCTCTGCCAGCCAAATGTTCTCCTCCATCGCCCGCCTCGCCCTCCTCACGAGCGCCATCGGCGCCGCCGCCGTGCTCGCCGTGCCCTTTGCTGCGGCTGCCGCGACGCACACGCTCGTGGCGCGCGCCACGGCCGAGTTCCTGCCGGCGAGCGGCGAGCTGCAGGGCACGTGGGAGCTGCAGGGCTGCTCGCCCGACCCGTACCGCCTCAACCCCGTCATCTGGGGGTCGAGCTTCCAGGAGGTCGACACCATCGATGAATGTCTGACGACGTGCGACTCGGCGGGTGCGCACTACTGCGGCCTCGGTGAGTCTCCAACTGCCACGGCATCTGCCATTGGCCGCTCACGGAGCGTCACGCGCAGGCAACGGCTTCGAGTGCTATGCCAGCAACTTTCTGCGGCACAAGCAGCCCATCTTCCCGGCCGCGCAGCTTTCGCCCACGTCCGATGGCGGATGCAGCTCGCTGGCGCGCGGCAGCAACACCCAGCGCGGCGGCGGCGTCAACTTCCTCCAGGTGTACACGAGCAAGCAGCGGCCGCTACCCTCGACGAAGCCGCGCGTCAATAGCTACAACTTTGACGGCTGCTACTCGGACGACGAGAACAGCCGTCTCCTGCCGACGCAGATCAGCTCGATCGACTTCTACGGTATGACGCTCGACGCGTGCACCGCCGCGTGCTCGGCGCAGGGCATGGATCAGGCCGGAGTGTCGGTGAGCTTCAAAGGCCGCCACGACGTGGGATCTCGATGCGGCCAAGCTGACGCACTCTCTTTCTCGCGATGCAAGGGCCGCCACGAGTGCTTCTGCGGCAAGACGTCGGAGCGCGACGTGGCCAAGGAGGTGCGGAAGTGGGCGCCCGAGGACTGCTTCGACACGTGCTCGGGCGACGGCGGCTCCTTCTGCGGCACCTACTACCCGCGCCGCATCTCCGTCTACCGCCAGGGCGCCGCGCCACCCACGCCGCCGCCGGCGCCGGCGCCGACGAACCCCAGGAACCCCGATGTGATGTTCAAGAACGTCAAGTACGCGTATGACGGATGCTACGCGACGAGCCTCTTCTCCTTCTTCACCTTTACGTATGCGACGGACCGCAAGAACAGCAACGAGCGCTGCGTCGCCTCGTGTGCCGCGCGCGGCTTCACGTACGCCGCCACGACCAAGTGAGGGGTCGGAGCACAGATGTCGCAAACCGATTGTTTCCTGACACGCCCGTTTCACAGCGGCAACGTCTGCCGCTGCGGCAATGCGCTGGCGAACCGCAAGGCCGACGCGGCGGCATGCAATCGCGCGTGTCCCGACGCCTCGTCGCAGACCTGCGGCGGCCGGTGAGTTTGCAGGGGCGAAGAGGTGGCTGAGTGCTCGCAGGACTGACACCGTCTCTGCTATAGCCTGGCACTCAGCGTCTACAAGCGTGCCTAGTGCGCGGCCGCAGCCCGCGCACGAGTTTAGCTTGCCCTGAACCTGCGACGTGAGCCCTCGACCTCGCGACGCCTGTTGAGCTTTGGAATGTGTGCTTCTGTGTGTCAGACGTGCCCCGTGAGGCAACGATAGGCGACCACCTGTGATCGCACGTGACACATAGTGAAAGTGCGGACGCAGGCGTGCCGTCGTGAGGGGAGCTGCGCTGGTGTTGGGGCGGAGGCAGGCGACGCGCACACGACGCACCCTCCGACGCGCGCACTAGGCCGCCGGAACGCGCGCTGGAAGCGCGAAGGCTTCTGCGCCTCTCATGCGCCGCTGCCACACCGATGCCGGGTGCGGCGGCACCGCCGCCGCCGGTCCTGCCGAGGCCATCTGCACCCGCAGGAGACTAGAATGACGCCGCTCGAGAAGCAGCAAGATGCTGCGCGTGGCCGCTGGCAGCTCGGCTGCATCCTTGCCGCGACGGTGGGATCGCCCCTGTCGGCTGTCACGGAGAGGAGCTTGCGGTGCCTGTCGATCGCTCTCGGTCTGCTAGCGTGCGCCATGCCGTGCCGAGGCTGCGCTGCGAGTCTGCGCGCTGAAGGCTGCTCATGGGCATCAGCGACGATGCCATACTTTGAAGCCAGCAGCGTCCTCGTGCGCATGGCGTGCGTTGGACTTCACAACGCCGCACGTGCCCCCCTCTCCTGGCCTCCGGGGCATGCAGCGCCGCGCCTCCACACGAGGGCGCTCCTGCACCTGTCGCGGGCACAGCAAAGCTGCACGCCGTAGCTCGACGCCTGGCCTGGCAAGGCACGCCGCGCAAGATGGAGCGTGGCTGGCGGTCGGAGAAGGCGCTCTTGCTGCACCCTGCCGCGGCCTTTTGACGGCTGGCCTGTCGGGATGGCGGACCCTCTCCTTTGCGTCTGCGATCGTGCCGCGGCGCCTGCGCGTCACGGTGCGGCGCGCCTCCCGCGGCACGCAGAGACAGCCACGCAGCGTCGCGGGCACGCGACCCGCGCCGCGGCGGGGCGAGGAGGTGCAGCGACGTGCAGGAGCGCAGCCGGCGGCGCTCGGAAGCTGCCGCCGTGCCGCCGCCGTGTGTACCTCTGCTGCGCGGCGCTGACCGCGGCCCGGCTTCGGCCTCAGCCTCAGCAGCGATCCATCGCCCGCCGCCAGCATCTCTCCTCTCCTCTCACCACCACCTCCTCACCGCATCCGCCGGCCCCCGCGCGGCCACCCGCTTCCTCTCGCCATCCGCGGCGTCTGGGCATGAGCGCCTGCGCAGCCGCCGGCGGCGGCGGCGCCAGGGCCACCGCCGCGCGCGCCGATGCGGGCGCCGGGCCCTCGCGCTCCGCCAGCGGCACGCATCCCCCCGCCGCCGCCAGCCGCACCGCCGAGCCCGTCGCCGCGCGCCGCCGCCGTCCGCGCCGCCTGCTGCGTGCCAGCGTCGCCGCCCTCGCGCTCGCCTCCGCCGTCGCGCCGCCCGTCTTTTTGCTGCCGCTCGCCGCCTCCTCGCTCGTCGCCGCCGCCGCCATCCCGCCGCGCGCGACAGATCCGTGGCGCCCTGATGGCGGCGCAGCGCAGCAGCGCGCTCGCTCTGCCTGGCGCCTCGCGTCAGACGGCCAGTGGCGGCGGCGCGACGAGCTCGATGCCGACGCCTCGCTCGATCCTGACGCCGACGACATCCCAGAGGAGCTGCTGGCGCATCCGCCCGTGCTGCGGCAGCCCGACGACGCCGATGCCGACGAGCAGGAGCCGCACGACCGGCCACAGGCGTCGACGCAGACGTTCAGTGCGCCGCAGTCGCGCCGCAAGGCGCGCCCCAGCAGCGGCGCGGCGTACCTGCACGACCTGCACTACACGAGCATCACGCCCTTCCACGCGGCGGCCGTGGGGCCCGCGCAGCGCACGCATCGCTCGCTCGGCCTCTTTCCGCGCAGCTACGCCTTCCGCCAGCGCACCTCGCCCGCGCGCGGCATCACCACGTCCGAGGCGGCGGCGCTGCAGGGCGCGGCGCCGCAGCTCGCCGTGCCGGCCGACGTGTCGCACGACAGCCTGCTGCGCCACGGCTGGTCGCGCTGGCAGCTCGACGACGACGTGCGCCTCTCGGTGCCCGACGACGGGCGCCGGCCGCGCCGCGAGAGCGCCGTCAAGTGGGCAAAGGAGCTGTGGGGCAAGCCGTGGTGGCGCTGGACGCCCGGCCAGGGCTACGTGTACGGCCGCTTCAAGGACCTCGATGCCTACACGCATGGGCCCGGCATTGCGCTCGCGCAGCTGGCGCCGCCGCTGCACCGCGCCAAGACTCCGTGAGTAGTGCGAGGGGGGGGGGGCGGAGTTGGGGGAGGGGCGATGGGGGGGCCGATGGATGAGGCGGCTCTTTGAGGATTGGCGCGCAGTGCGTCTCGTGCCGGGCGGCCTCTGCTCGATGTCGCTGCTGCGTCCCGGCATCGTAGCATGTCAGCCGGGATCGTTATAGCTGGCTTGAGCGCGCCGCGCATGAGCCTGGGGGGGGGCGGAGGGTGAGGGGGAGGGTGGGGGGGGGGGGGGGGGGGGGGGGGGGGGGGGGGGGGGGGGGGGGGGGGGGGGGGGGGGGGGGGGGGGGGGCAGAGAGGGGGCTGCGCACAGTGAATGCGGGGCAGAGTATGCGTGCCTCGAGTGGCGCTGTGGTCTTGGGAACACGTGTACAAGCAAGAGGATGCGACATGCTGCGCGGCCGCAAGAGCGGCAGAGCGTCCTGCCGGCTGCGGGCTTAGAAGGGGACGTGTGCCATGCGCTGCTGCGCAAAGGCCCCGAGCTGACGCCTTGGCTGCAGACGTCTTCCTCTGATCCCCAATTCGTCCAAGCGAGAACTCGCGTGGATGGTGGCGTACTTCATCGCCGTGCTGGCGTGCGTCGTGATCCTCCTCGAGCTGCGCGCCGCGCGCCGCACGCAGGCAAAGGGCAAGAGCCTGATGCGCAGCGCTTCGCACTCGCGCCGCGACAGCCGGCCGATCCAGACGCAGCAGCGCACCAAGGCGACGATGCTGCGCGACTTTTGCCGCGCAGCGCTGCGCCGTGCCGACCAGGGCGTCGGCGGCGACACCAAGCATCCGCGCGCGCCGCTCCGGGTGCGCATCGATGGGCCGAGCCAGCACGAGGCTCTTCCGCAGCTCGGCTCCTCGACAATCGAGCTGCTCGAGCGCGGCACGCTGTCCAGTGGCGCAGCCTCCTCCGCAGCGCCGTCCACGTCGCCAACATCGGGGCGCACGCCGCCGCGGGCAAAGGCGAAGAAGTCGGCGAGCGGCATCTTCGCCTCGCCGCCGCGCGGCGGCAAGGAGTCGCCGGAGCCCGACGACGAGAATGTCCTGACCATCGTCTCGGACACGGGCATGTCGAGCAGCCCCGAGACGCAAAAGGGCTGGGCCTCGTACGACAGCTTCGCCACGGGCGCCGCGCTCACGCCGCGGCCCGACCTGCTGCGGCGCACGAGCGACACCCATGCGGCGTCGCCCCGCTCTGACTGTGAGTATAGAGCGACAAGAGGTGCGATGGCGGCACTGACGCCGTGCTCATCAGCTTCTTTGCGCTCTGCGTCTGGCTCTGTGATGCGCGCTTTCCGCTCGCGACCGGCCTTCATCGGCGCCGAGTCGACCCTGGCTCGCGTCTGAGCATCCGTCTTCTCCCCCGCGTCTCCGCCTCGACGCCGTCATACCTCATACCCGCTGCCTTGCGCCGCACAGACAGCCGCCGCAGCGTTCTGTCAGCCTCCCGCATGGCCGCCTCCTAGACCACTAATGAAAGATCGTCGCCCTCAAATGTCGCTGTTGCCCACCGGGCCTGCCGCGTGATTCGGGATGTGAGAAGGGCATGGATGCAGATGGCAGGACTTAGGCACGCCCCGAATGAGGCCTCGGCCGCTCTGAGCATGGCCTGAGCGTCGCTTTTGCTCGTTGCATTTCGTCCGAAAGCATGGCCCCCGCAACGCCGCGGCTCTACCAAAGACGTGCCGCGGCGAGTCTGCCGGCGCCCGCTTGGAGGTGCGACCCACATCTCATTGGCGCGCTGCGGCAGGATGTCATGCCAAGGACGCACCAAAGCGGACGCCTTTCAGCACCGGAGTGCAGATGCGGGGCCGTGCGACGCCAGCGCAGAGTCTTGCCGAGTCCGCTCATGGGCGCGCGGCTGTAGACCGAGGCGCGGCGTGACTGGCTCGCGGTGGGAGCCGAGTGACAGGGACGCCTAAGCGCAGAGTAAGCTCCGGCGTCTGCAAGGGCTGCACTGCGCTCCTTCTTGCATCCACATCTCGCCTGCAGCTGTGGGGGCGACGGCGGTGGGGCTGGACGGCGTCACTGCCGCAATCGGGCGAACGGACGCGGGCGCGGGGACAACTGCTGAGGCGGAGAGGCTAGCCGCATGAGCGCTCCCACGCGGCTCTACTCCTGCATCTCACAACGTGGGACGCCACGTGTGAGAGGTGGGCGAGGCTGCGCTCGAGCAGGCGGCAGTGCGCAGGCGATGCGTCAGCAGTGGGACGAGCGGACGCCGGTCGCCGAGGGCGTGATGAGGCGGCCTCTGCGTCGCCGTTGATGAGCCCAAGCGTGTGGGCCCCGATGGCGCTCCCTGACGACCGCAGCCCCGAGTCGGATAACCTGCTCCTCATCACGCTAGCCGTCGCTGCGGTGCCGGCACGCTGCGGCGGACGGGTGCCGAGGCATGGCGGAAGCTGCCGCCTGCGCGGCTGCATGCCACGCCGAGCCGAGCGGTAGACGCGCGTCCAACCTGCGCTCGGCCGCCGCAGCGCAGGAGCGCAGCGCGTCAGACTCGAGAGCGCCGTGTCCACCTTGAAAGCATGAAGGAGCCTTCTGCACGCCAACCATGCTCGCCTGGATCGCCGCAGCCTTGGCGAGCTCTCGCGGCCAGGAAAGGCAGGCGCGAGGGGTGCGCCGGCGCGGCGTGAGCTGTGCGGCCCTCGCTGGTGCAGCGCGAGGGTGCCGAGAGCGGCCCAGCGAGGATGCGGCGGAGTGCGGCTGTGGCAGTGCCACGGGAGCGGGAGCGTGCAAGAGTGGCGCTGTGCTGCAAACTTTGCGCCGCCTGCAGGCAAGCCATGGCGGCAGCGCAGCGTCGGCGCCGGCACGGGTCCAGCGGCAGTCCAACACCTTGGACCCCGGCGGTGCCGCCGTCCTGCATCTCGCCGAGCCGCAGGGCCGCGCTGCCGCGCCTCCGGAGCGCAGCGGCGGCACGAGCACGCAGCTGCCGGCGGCGGGCAGCGTGCGCTACGTCTGCCGTGCGTAGCGTGCCGACGGACGCGCCAGGCGTACAGCCGCAGAGGCGCCGTGCTCGCCGAGGCAGCTGCGGCGCATGTGGCCCGCACCGGCGCAACCGCCCCGCAGCCCATCTCACGCCAGCGACGGGCTCGTGGGCGCCGCTTGGGCCCCTCGGCTTGCTCTGTGACGTGCAGCGAGCGGTGCCGAGCCATGCAGCGCTGCAGCAGCGGGAAGACTCGTCGGCGACGGGAGCATGCTGTGCCGCTGGCCTGCGTGCGGCGTGCTGCGGTGCTGCCTCTGCGGCCCGGCCTCGGCGTCTGCGCCTTCCCGCCGCAGCGGAGTTGCAAGCGGGGAGCGTGCGGCCCACGGGTGCGCTCGCCTCGTCTCTGAGCGCACGCTCCGTGCCGGCTGGCGCAGATTGCGAGCGTCCAGAGCAGATGGCTCTCTCACGCCGAGCTGCAGCGGGAGCGGTGCCAAGCGCTCCTGCGACGAGCGAGGGCGCAAGCCTCAGCCGTGTTCGCGGCGCTTTCTTTCTTTTCTCGCCAGGGCCGCGGCCGAGCGCAGCGGCAGCACGGAGCGAGCCTGCCGAGGCTCGGCAGAGATGAGCTCGCTGCGGGCGCTGCTGGACAGCGCCGAGGGAGGCATCACAAGCATGAGCGGAGCGGCGCAGGCGCGGCGCTAGCAGCAGGGACAGGGATGGCGCCAGCAGGCCGCCGCGACGCCGGCGCGTCGTCGTCCAACACCGGCGTGCCGGGCACAACGGCCGCTCCCTGGCCCGCAGTGCGCGGCCCTACGGCGCCGCAGCCAGCCAAGAGGCCGCACCTGCCGCTCCGCTGCACCTGCGCGGCCGGCCCTGCCGCTGCCCGCCGCCTCCGCCGGCCCTTGCCTCCGCACCATCTCCCTCTTAACCCCTCTGCACGCTTCTGGCCGGTCCAGATTCCTGCTTTTCCCTGTCTCCTGCAATCGCCCTGGTGCCACGATTGCCCCATCCTCCTAGACGTCTCTCCACTACGATGCGGTCATTCGCCCGGCTCGCCAGCCTCGTGCTGGCTGCGCTCGCCGCCGTCAATGCCTCGCCGGTCGTGATCCGCGCCGACGGCAACGGCACGCTCTCGGAGGAGTTCCCCGTCGAGGCGCGCGACGTCATCATCGACCTGCACTCGCGCCAGAACCCGTCGTGGAACTACAACACGCAGAAGATCCGCGGCGTGAACATCGGCGGCTGGCTCGTGGCCGAGCCGTGGATCACGCCGGACCTGTTCGACAACACCGGCGACAACCGCGTCGTCGACGAGTACACGTTTGGCCAGTACGTCGGCAACGCGCGCAGCCGCCTGCAGGCGCACTGGGCGTCGTTCATCACAGAGAACGACTTCCGGCTGATTGCGTCGTATGGCCTCAACCGTGAGTCGATACTGCCCGCCTGTGCGGCTGCATGGCACTGATGCCCTGCTCAGACGTGCGCATCCCCATTGGCTACTGGGCCTTTGAGACGAGCGCCGGCGAGCCATACGTGCGCGCCGACCAGCTCGACTACCTGCGCAAGGGTGTCGGATGGTGAGTCCGCCGCAGGGCACATCAGTGTCACACACTGACACGCCTTGCAGGGCGGCTAAGTACGGGCTGCGCGTGTTCATCGACCTGCACGGCGCGCCGGGCAGCCAGAACGGCTTTGACAACTCGGGCAAGAAGGGCAACGCCGACTGGTTCTTCAACGACGGCGCCCGCACGCGCGCCAAGAACGCATGCATCGCGCTGGCGCAGATGTTTGCCAACACGCCCGCCGTCACGTCGATCCAGCTGCTCAACGAGCCGCTGACGACCAACGGCGCCGGCCGCAAGGACTTCACCGACGCCTACTGGCAGGACGCATACTACGGCGTGCGCTACGCCAACGGCAACACGCCCACGAACTACGTCGTCGGCATCCACGACGGCTTCAATGGCGTCGGCGCGTACCGTGGCTTCATGCAGCCGCCGAACTTCCAGGCCGTCATGATCGACACGCACATCTACACGATGTTCGACAACGGCGTCATTGGCCAGTCGCAGGACCAGCGCCTGCGCGGCCTCTGCGCGAACCGCCAGTCGCTCGCGGCCTCGCAGAAGAACCTGTGGACGGTCGTTGGCGAGTGGACGCCGGCTTTCACTGACTGCGCCAAGGTGAGCAGAGCGAAGCAGAGCGAAGCAGAGCGAAGCAGAGCGAAGGTGTGAGGACGAATGGATGAGGGTGAAGGGTCGAGTAGCCAGCGAACAGGAGCGAGCGAGCGGGAGCACGGCCTCCGAGCGCACGCGTATCTTGCACCCCCCATGCTGACGTCTTGCCTTGATCAGTACCTGAACGGTCGTGGCGTGGGTGCCAGATACGACGGCACCTACCCGGGCTCGACGTACCGCGGTCGCTGCGACGGCACGAAGACGGGCGACGGCAGCCAGGTGCGTAGAGAGTGCATGTACGCGTCCAGGACGTACTGACGCGTCGTCGAAGTGGTCCGCGACCTACAAGAGCTATCTCAAGCGCATGTTCGACACGCAGCGAGACATCTACGAGCGGAGCAGTTCAGGGTGGATCGCCTGGACGTATAAGGCTCCGCAAGCAGCAGACTGGTCGTACTCCAGACTCGTTCAGTTGGGCGTAGTGACCACCAATCTCGTCAGCGACTTTGCGCGTCTCCTCGTGCTCCTTTGCTGACACTCTTTTGCGCAGAATGATCGCGGTAACGTCTACTGCTAGTGGCCGCAATATGGAGGCTGTACGCTGCCTGCCGGCCGAGCTGGAAGAGAACGCGTGCAACAAGAGGAGGAGGGTCGGGGGCCTCCGACCGTCGCGCGCTCCGCACGGCTTGCCGTCGACTTTGCCGTCACAATCTTCGCCCCGCTCGCTGTACCTGACAGTTCGCAGCTATGTGCTCATAGGTCGTGCTCAATTAGATTGCTTTCCACCCTCGCAGAACTTGCGCAGCGTCGGATGCAGCCCCGGCGCGCGTGACACGCGAGGCGGAGGACGCGCGTGACACGTCAAGCGGAGGATGCGCGCTTGCGGTGCCAGGGAACCCTCGCGCCACACTGCAGGCCTGGCTCACACCGCGCAGATTAGCGCTAGCTGAAGTGTAGAGACTCGAGTGGGTACAGCATGGCGCTACGCTGCGCAGGGGTGCTTCGACACCCAGCCACGGCCACACGAGATGACGTGCAGGTGACCGCGTCCCGGCGGGCCGTGCGAGCGCGCCGTGCGGCGGTGCTCCTAAAGCGCTCTGCCGCGCCGACTCCAGCTTCACTCCCGACCCTCACACTCTTTCGCCTGCGCTGCTGTGTCGTCATCGCATTCTCTTCACCTCGCTTCAAGGCCGTCTCATCTACACTCTGGTCCCGCACACCGTGGCCCGCAAGCGCGCATCTTGGTGAGCAGCTTGACGCACCGACGGGCAGCGCATCGCGCGCGGCCTGAGCATACATGCTCATGCGCAGCCTCGCTTCGTCAGTGCCGTCACCGCGTCGCCTTCGTCTGCAGCTCTTGACGCAATGCCGCCTTCTGCTGCAGTTCCGCACTCGAACGCCTCGTTTCGCGCGTATCTGCGCAGCGACGGCACCATCGAGCCCCCGTTTGGAGGATCAAGCTGGAAGGCGGTAGCGGAAGCGCTTTGGACTCAGCTCGCGGCGATGAAGGACCACCTCGGCATGGACGAAGAGGCGGGTGAGTGGCCTCGGGGCGTGCAGACTACGCGAACGGAGCTGATCCGGCATCCTATGAACGCAGGCACGCTCGCGCGCGTCGAGACGGCATCCAGCTCTGATCTCGATGGCCAGAATGCTGCGGCGCTGCCGCCTATCGCTGCTGCTCGCGATTCGGATGCAGCCAACGCCGCCGAGTGTGGCCTCGACGACGAGACGCTCGCATTCATTCGTCGCAACGTCGATGGCTTGGACTGCGTTCTCTGCGAGCTCCTCGGCGACACCTGGGAGCGCTGGTGGCGGCGCTGCGGCGCCCTCGGCAACCACGGCCGCAGCCTTGCCTTCGCCGAATCAATGACTCCTCCTGACTGGACGCACATCCTGGCCGCTACGGGCAACTTCTACAGTGAGGTCGGTCGCCTGATCGACTCGGTCGAGCGCGGCGAGGTGGAGGACTGGAAGGTCGCGATGGTGTAGGACTACGCGGCTGAGTCGGAGGAGTACTACGTGCCCCCGCCCGAGAACCTGGCGCGCGAGGCGGCTGCGGCGTGCAATGGTGGAACGAGCGAGTGAGGGGATGTGAATCAGCGGAGCGGCAGGAGGGAGCGCGTAGCGGGGCGAGAGGATGAGAAGGGCAATGCGGGGAAGCAGCAAGAAACATCATCAGGTCCGAGCAATCACACGTGTTACCATTGCGAGTGAGGTGTGGGCACTGGATGAAGCGCATGGTGTGATGTGCGTACTGCGGTGAGGAGACTGAACCTTGTCGTTCTCGGCGAGCGTAGCCGCGGCAACATCTGCTGCTGCTCCTGAACGCATGCGCAACCGTCTGTGCATGTGCACGCCCAGGTGCTGCATCCGCCTTGCTCTCGCCCCGCGCTGCATGTCTGCTCACGCACGCAGAAGGATCTCCAAAGCAGGCTGCGCTACGCAACGTTGCATCGTCGACGTGGTGCCGCTTCAGAGAAGTCTTCATTGGGTGACATTGCAATGGCCCCCACCTCACTGCTGCAGCGTCTGCACCGTTGCGATGACGCCGCTGCCAACACAAACGTCGCCATCGTACAGCGCACACACCTGGCCGGGCGCCACAGCCAGCACAGGCGTCGGGAAGCACACGTGCACGCCGTCGCCGGCGGGCAGCACCTCGCACGCCACCTCGTCGCCGCGGTGGCGCACCTGTGCCAGCAGCGTGCCTGTGCGTGGCGGGCCGAGCCACGTCATGCGCTCGATGCGCAGCGAGCGGGCGTACAGCGCTGCGTGGTCGCTGAGGGTCTGGCGTCAGCATCTGCACGGCATGTGGCCCTGGCGGCTGCACTCACCCGCCTGCTACGACGTGCACGGCATTCGAGGCCGCATCCTTACGCGCCACGAACCAGGCCGATGGCGCACCGGGCACGCGAGCTCGCTGGCCGACTGTCAGGCTGTGCAGACCGGCGTGTGTGCCGACTTGCTTGCCTGCCGGGTCGAGGATGGGGCCAGGCACGGGCGTGAGGTACGACGCTGCGTGGGCGCGTCAGTGCAAGCTCCACGTAGGCTTCTTGCACGACTCACCGAGGAACGCGCCGAACGCTCCGCCACTGACGGCCGGCGGCACGTTGCGAGGCAGCGGCTGTCTCACAGCAGCAGCAGCGTCGGCCGGGCGCGGACGCTCGCCGACGAAGCACAGGCCCATGCTCTCCTCCTTCTCGGCGGCAGGCAGAAGGTACCGCCGAGCAATGTCGCGCACCTCGGTCTTGAGCAGGTCGGATAGCGGGAAATGCGCCTGAGCAGAGGTCAGCGGGTCCGTAAGGGGCAAGGAAGCTGTGACGTCTCACCTGCGCCAGCCGCTCGGGCGAGACGGAGCTGAGAAAGTAGCTCTGGTCCTTGTTCCTGTCGCGAGCGCGCGAGAGCTGCGCCTGCCATGCGCCATCGGCTTGCCGCCATGAGACGCGAGCGTAGTGACCTGGAAGAGGCGTGCGTGAGCAGATCGTCTCTGACGTGCAGCGTCAGACTGACCGGTAACGAGCCACGTCTTCGCGGGTCGACGTCCGAATGCATCGGGCGCTGTCGCAGCCGGTGCCGGCAGCACACGATCCATCAAGGCGCCGAACTTGATCTCGCTAAAGAACGAAAGATCAGCGTTGCGCTTGGGTGATGCAGCATAAGCCAACGCACCGATTGCAGCCGACGTCTGGGTTCGGCGTCTCGCCACGCTCCCATGCCTCGAGCGCCGGCTGAAACACGGAGAGCCAGTAGTCTTTGGACAGATCGAGCTGCAAGAGAGGTGTCAGTGCAACAAGTCGCCACAGAGTCAGGAATGACTGACAAGTTCCGCCGAGTCTCTTCCCAGGCCGAGCGCCGCACACGTCTGCTGCACGCCCTCCCAGTCCTTCATCCACGTGCATCCCGTGGCGCCTCCAGCGCCCGGCTCAAACGTGCCGCTCTCGTCGAGCTCGTTCCAGTTGCGCATGAAGAGCGGGCGCGGCACCAGCCCTTGCTGCAGCGCCAACAGCGCCGCAACGGACGAGTCGACGCCGCCGGACATTGCCAGCACGGCGGCGTCTCCCGGACGTGGACCCGGCGCAGAGGAGAGATCGAAGAGCGGCGGCAGTGGCTGCGACGGCGCAGGAGAGGCCTCGCTCGGGCCGCCGCCACTGCTGCTGCTGCTGGCTCGCGTGCTACGCCAGCATTGCCCTATCCTGACTTGTGGCCGCGCAGCGAGACGCCACCACGCCGTCGCGCCTGTGCGAGCGCCGCGTCCGATGGCTGCCATCTTGCTGCGTGGGTTGATGAGGAGTGGCGCGAAGAAGGCACGAGCGCGAAGTTTAGCACAGCCTCTGTCAGCAGCGCGCATCACGTGATTGGACCCTGAGCAGCCAAGAGCGAGCGCTGCCGCAGCACAGTGAGACTTCGCACAGGTGTACAGATGCGTCTGATGATGAGGCATGGCATCATGCTGCGGCTCAGTGTCCGAGACTGCATCTGCTGATCAGCAAGCTGGCGCAGACGGGTCCTCGGGTGCGCCTCGGTGGCCGAGTGCACGCTGCTCCCACGCTGTCGGCCTGCGCTCCGGCACAACCGCGGCGGCGGCCCCGCTTGGCGGCCAAGGCGGGGCTCCGCGTCTGGCGGCCGTGCGCGCGCCTGGTCCGCTTGTTGCTTCGCCTCGGCCCGAGCTGCCACGCCGGCGCCGGGCACGGCCATGCCTGCCTCTGCTCCACATCCACCATGCTGCCCACGTCGCGCCTCCTGCACACGGCCCTGCGCGACCGCGCAAAGACGGTCGGCTTCATCGGCCTCGGCGTGCGTTGCCGCCCTAGCAAGAGTGCCTCGCACACTGTGCTGACCCCTGCCGCAGGCCATGGGCCGCGAGATGGCGTCGAACCTGCTCTCGCGCACCTTCGAGGCCAGCAGCGACGCGGCGACGACGATCGTCGTGCACGACACCTTCGACGACGCCACGACGCGCTTCCTCAGCGCACACGCCAGCCTGTACCCGGGGCGCAGCATCGTGCCCGCCAGCAGTCCCGCCGGGTGCGTGCGGCGCGTGCCGGCGCCCGCGCGGCACTGACGCCCCGCCCACAGCGTCGCGAGCCTGGCAGGGACCATCGTGACCATGGTGCCGTCGTCGCCGCGTGAGTCCGCCCAGTGCGCTAGCATACCCGGCGCTCACTATCCGCAGAGGTGGAGGAGGTGTACCGCTCCGAGACGGGCATCCTGGCTGGACTCAAGGACCTCGGCGACCCGTCGAACCCGGCCAACAGCACGTTGTGCATCGACTGCACCACGCTCGACCCCGCCGTGTCCGCGTCGGTGGCGCGCGACGTCAAGGCCGCCGGCGGCGGCAAGGACGGCGCCGAGGGCGCGTGGGACATGATCGATGCGCCCGTGTCTGGCGGTGAGTGCGGCTCTGCCAGCAGCAGGGCACACCACTGACTGGCACAGGCGTGGTGGGCGCCCGCGCCGCGACGCTCTCCTTCATGGTCGGCTCGGACTCGCACCAGTCGTTTGCGCGCGCCAAGCCGACGCTCGACATGATGGGCAGCCGCGCGATCCACTGCGGCAAGAACAGCAACGGGCTGGTCGCCAAGATTGCCAACAACCTGCTGCTCGGCATCTCGATGCTCGGCGTCAGCGAGGCGATGCTGCTCGGCACGGCGCACGGGCTCAGCCCGCAGGTGCTGGCGCACATCATCAACACGTCGACGGGCCGCTGCTGGGCGAGCGAGGTGAACAACCCGGCGCCGGGCGCGCTCAAGGGCACCGCGCACAGCCCGCCGGCGGAGCGCGGCTACGAGGGCGGCTTTGCGGCGCGCCTGCAGAGCAAGGACCTCGGCCTCGCCATGGAGGCGGCCAAGCAGCTCGGCGTGCCCGTGCCCGTCGGCAACCTCGCCGCGACGATCTACCAGGCGCTGGCGTCCTCGCCAGACTTCAAGGACAAGGACTTCTCGTGCGCCATGCTCGCGCTGCAACGGGCGCTGGGCCGTGACGAGTTCAAGTAGGGAATGGCACACCTGCTCAAGCCCTAGGACAACTGCTCAGACGTGGGAGAGGATGCACATTGACGGTGGTGGTACAGTTGAGTCGTTAGGCTTGGTGTGGTGGTGTCTCGTTCTGCCCGCAGGCAGATGGGTCGCGCCGGTGCGGCGCACATTACTCGTCCTCGTCGTCCATCGCGTCGTCGAGCTCCTCGGCGCGGATGAGCTCTTCAAAGGCGGCCATCTGCAGGCGCGCCGTGCCCTTGTCGCGCGTCGCCGGCGCCTCGAGCGCCTGGTGCAGCGCCGCATAGGAGAGGCACAGCGACGGGCCCTCGAGGCGGCGCGCGGCCGGCCGGTCGGCGCCCGACGACTGGCGCTTGCCCGGCTGCCACTTGCGGATCTTGCTGCGGAGCATGGGTCAGCGGTGCGTCGTGGCTGAAGTGAAGGCACACTCACGCCTCGGAGATGCCGTACACGGCCTTGAGGTGGTTGCGCAGCACGATGCAGGTGCCCATGACCAGCGCGGCGCGTGCGGTGCTGAACATGGGCCACTTGGGCGCGCGCGTGGCCGGCGCCGGCCCGGCCTGGCTCGCATCGTTCGACTCGTCCTGCGGGCTCGTGTCAGCAAAGTCCGGCCGCGCGACCTGCTGCTGGCTCACCATCTTGTCCAGCATCGAGTCCTGCTCCGGCGCAGCGGCCTCTTCGTCGCTCTGCTCGCCCTCGTCGTCGCTGTCGCCCGCATCGGCGGCCAGCTCGTCCTCGACGTACTGCAGCACCATCATGCCCGTGACGCCGAGCATAGTGCGCAGCTGCGCCAGCACGACAAACACCTCCTCGAGCGTCTTGTACTCGAGCACCGCAAGATTGTCGGCGATGTAGCGCGCAAACGTGACGTGCAGCTCCGTGCACTTGCCCGACGCCGTGTTGACGTCGAGGCCGCGCGTGATCGCCTTGAGAAAGTCGAGGCGCGTGTTGCGCTTGTCGCGCACGAGCGTGTACCAGTGCCGCAGCAGCGCCGTCGGCGCTCCGCTCGTCGCCGCAGTGCGGTAGCCTGAGAGGGAGTCAGCATGAGCCTCGCAGGTCTCCACTTCGCGATGCTCACCGCGGACCGGGCCCGTGCAGACGACCCGCTGAAAGTCAAACGACGCGCGCGTGAAGTCGAGGTAGCGCGCTGCCAGGATCGAGGCGTGCTTCGACGCAAGGTAGTCGTGTAGGTAGAGCGCCTTGGACGCGATCGTCTCGTCGGCCACGGTTTCGAGCGCGATCAGCGTCGGCACGCACTGCAGCGGGTGCGAGAGGCCCTGCTGCACGGTAAACTTGAGAATCTCCATCGCGGCGCGCTGCAGGAACGCATGCTCGATCTCGCGCGAGGCACGCAGGATCAGGTCGAGGTACGACTGGATCAGCGCGGCACTGACGCCCGAGTCGGCAAACGTCTCGGTGTTGCCGACGAGCTCGCTCATGTCGACCTTCTTCTGCGGCGACGGCGCCGCCTTGACGGCAATCGTCGTGCCGGGCTTGCGCTTCATCACCTCGGGCGCGGCGCGCTTCTGCTCCGTTGCGAGCAGCTCGAGGATGATCTTAAGGACAAGCTCGCGCTCCGGCACGCTGCCCTTCGACAGCGTTCGCTGGATGACAGTCGCCATGCGCGGGCGCTGCGTGAATGATGGGTAGGCGCGGAAGATGAAGCCCAGGCTGCGCATCGCAGTGTCGCCGAACGTCGGCGTCGGTGCCAGCTCGTACAGGCCGAGCATGAGCATGAAGACGTCCTCGCTGATCGAGCTCTGCATCGGGTGTTAGCGCGGGGCCTGGATGACCGCAGGAAGTGCAGCTCACCTGCGTGATCGCATTCAAGGACGCAGCGTGGTCGGGATGCTGGCTGCGCATCTTGTCAAAGTCGGCGTGCTCGCAGAGCAGCGCCAGCATCGACATGAGCACACGCGGAGCCGTCTCCTCCTTGGTGCTCATCGGCGCGCTCGTGGCGTCGCCGAGCCGCTTGCGCAGCCTACGCAGGCTGTCTGTGCACGAAAAGACGTGAGCGCCCTGCTGTTCGAAGCCGCGCGATCGACTCACTCATGCAGAACGTGAGCGTCTTGATCAGCAGCGGGAAGCGGTGAGTCGACGTGTTGATAACCGTGCAGTAGCACGCAATGAGCTCCTGGAGCACTGGCGCTGCCGGGCGGTTCGGCGGCTTGCTGACCAGCGGCGTGAGGGCGCGCTCGAGAGCCTCTGCGAACGTCGACGCCGTCTTGGGCAGCGACGGCAGAGAGGCGCGGAAGATCTTGAGCAGCAGCTCGAGAATGAGATAGTCGTCGCTCTGCGGGCAGGCATGAGTTGTCTGCGCACGCTCGCAGGTCGCAGCACTCACCGTCTGCGCGCCCTTGAGAAAGGGCAGCAGCGCCTTGGCCTTGGCGATGGAGATCACCGACGGGTTCGTCGAGACGAGCAGATACACGGTACGGATGCGGTCGACGAGCGACGACGAGGGCAGGTCCTGCGCGTCGACGAGACTGTCGATCATCGCGTCGCTGAGGTTGCGCAGGCGGCCGAGGAGCACGGGCATCTCTGCAGGCTCGCAGCGCTGCATGACGCGCTCCAGCACCGCCTCGAGCGGCGACGGGCGCTCGCGAATGGCATTGGCCACGGCAATGAGCGTCGACACCTTGTCCTCGATCTTGGCCTCGGCGAGCTGCACCGCCAGCACGTCGTCGTCGATGTCCATGTCGTCTGCTGCGTCGTCCTTGCTGTCCAGGACCGACGTCTTGGCCGGCCGGCCGACCTTGTTCTCCGTCGGCGCCGCGAGGTCGAGCCACATGGCCCCGATCGTGCCCACGGCGAGGTCTTGCATGCCCACGTCCTCGTCGAAGACGCAGCGCACGATGCGCACGCACGCGTCGACGCGCGTCGCCTCCGACTTGGTCAGCGCGTAGGCGTTCGCGAGGAAGCGCAGCGCGCGCTTGCGCACGGCGAGGCCGGAGTCGTTGATGCGCTCGCTGAGCAGCGTATAGAGCTGCTCGAGGCGCTCGGGCGCGCGCAGGGCGAAGCGGGCGAGCAGGCCGAGCGTCGTCTCGCGCACACTTGCGCTCTCGTCGGACAGGCGTGTCTCGACCGCCTCACGGGCCACAGCGCTGTCGAGCAGTGCCTCGTCGACGGTGCTGACGCGGCCGAGCCCACGCAGTGCGCGCGTGCGGTTGCCGACCGCCTGTCCGTCGAGCGAGAGAAGCAGCTGGCTCAGCAGGAAGTCGTACGTGACCATGAACGCGCTCGAAGACACGAGCTCCTCCGCCACACCCGTCACGATGCGGTAGTCGTCCTCGGAGCGCATCTCGAAGACGTTGGCAGACGTCGTGCCGCCCTTCTGCGCTGCCCTGCGAGCCGCTTGAGAGAGCGACCGGCCGAGCGCGGCAACGAAGCTCTTGAGCTGTTCCGCCTGGCCGGCCGTGTTGGCGTCGTCTTCCTCTAGCGCGTCGAGCGCCGAGATTGTGCGCACAAGTGCCGCGGCCAGCTCGCAGCCCCACTGTGACGCCAGGAAGTCGCTGGCCGTCTCGGCCGTCTGGTCGTCCTTCTCGGACGCGTCGAGGTGCTCGAGAATGGACTTGTACGCCACGTTGAATGCATCGAGGCGGGTGAGGTCGCGATGCATCTCGATGTCGAGAATCGCATGCGTTGACACCTGCGAGAGCTTAGGCGCATCGACGCCGTTGAGCTCCTTGGCGCTGCCGAGACGCAGGTGCATGCAGCGAAGCTGGCCCTCGCGCAGCCGCGCTGCGATGGGTCCAAGGTGCTCGAGAGCGACGCCGCGTGCATCGGGCGACGACTTGGGGTCCTCAAGAGTGCTCGCGAAGGCACGGCAGAGCTCCGTCAGCAGCAGCGCGGCGGCAGGCCACTCTGGCAGGAATAGTGTGGCCAAGAGGTCGCCGACGAGGTTGTCCACAATCGCCACGTAGCTGTTCTCGGCCGAGGCCTTGACAACCTTGCCGCCGGCGCTGACACTGAAGGGCACGGAGTCAGAGGATGGCGTCGCTGCAGCCGCGAGCCGACTCACCGCTGCATCAAGTACGAAGCAATGTCCCGCGACGCGACCTTCGGGCCCTCCAGCGAGCGCGCCCAGCCCGCCAGCTCAAAGCTGGACTCGTCCTCTGCATCACCGTCTGCGACGTCGCGCTGAGTCTCGCCCGCTGCATCGGCGGTGCCGTATACTGCGCCTGCCCTGGCAACGGCAGCGCCGTCCGACGATGCCTGAACGAGCTGCAGCAGCAGCGCCGTGACCGAGTGAATGTGCCGGCCGGTGCGCAGGCTGTACTGCCGGCGATTCTTCTTCATGTCGGGCAGCTTGATGAGATTCGTGAGGATCTCCTCGATGATCCAGTTGCGCAGATCGGCGTGCCGCGCGAAGATACTGCGCAGCAGATTGAGGCACGGCAGACGGAGGCTCTTCATCGCCGCAGTGCCGCCGCCGAGAGCACTGATCGCAATGCGGCCGCGCGCCGCAGCCTTGGCGGCGTCCGTCTTGCCCTCGCTTGCACCGCCGGGATCCGGCTCGTTGACGAAGAAGGGCTGCACGGCCGCGTACACCGCGCTGATCACGATGGCCTCGGAGAGCGTCACCGAGCGAAGGTTGACGAGCCGCTGCACCTGGCGCAGCGCATCGCCAGTCTCGCGGAACATGCGGGCAAGCGCGTCTGAGCAAGCACGCGTGCCTTGCGAGCGCCGCGCGTCCTCCTCGCGCTGAACAGCCTTGGCCTTGGCTGCGGAGGGCCGGCCGCGGCCTCGCTTGGTCACAGGTGCGAGATCCTGTACCAGGCGCTCGAGCAGCGGATGCACGCCCATGGCGCCGCCGCACGCTTCGACAAACGGCAGTATGACGCGGTCGAGCGCGAGCTTGATGGACTCGACGCACGGGCGGATGAGGTCTTCTGAGATGAGGTGCTTCGGCAGATCCTCGCCCGAGAGAATGGCGAGGCAGCACTCGGCCGCGAGCACGCTGTACGTCACCAGGTTCATGCGCACACTCAGCGAGAGCTGCTGCACGTCCGGATTCTCTTCCAGCGGCGGCGTGTTCAGGCCGTCGTCTCCTGGGCTGGCCTTAGAGGCAGCCTGCTCTGCCGCCTGCTCCTCTTTCTCGACGTCCGACTTGTCGACGTCTGACTCTCGGCCGTCCTCGTCCTCGGGCTCGCCGCTCTTGCGCGGCGAGCGCGAGCGTGAACGCGACGCAGAGGTAGACGCACGCTGAGCTGCCCTGCGCGCAGCTGCCGCCGACTTGGCCTTGCTGGGCTTCTTGGCCGGAGCAGCGCTCGTGGCAGCTGCGGCAGCCGGAGGCAGCACTTCGACGCTTTCGGCCGTGCGGATGCCGCGCTCGATGATGCGCAGGAGACGTGCAAGGCGCTGCGGGTCGATGTCGGCGAGCCGCAACGGCGCTCCAGGCACGATCTTCTCCGGCGAGGCATTCGCAGCCGTGCCTCGTGCGATGCCGACGGGCGCGCTGGCACGGGCGCTCTGCGCAGCTGCGCGCAGAATGTCGCGCAGCACGCTGCTTTTAGGCACAGCGACGCCGCCGAGAACGTCGAAGTACTGCTCGCACACGCCCGGCAGCACAACCTGCGATCCTGCGCCGCTCAGCTCGTCACGGTCAGGCAGCGTATCGTCGGCCTCGAAGAGGTCGTCCATGAGGTCGACCAGCCGTTGCGTCGGCGCTGCAGGGAAAAGTGAGCTCAGGCGAATGCACAGCGCGCACTGGACTCACCTCGGCGTGCGCTATTCTTCACCACACCTCCACTGATGCGGATCAGCGTGCCACCAAGACGCCTGACACGACTGTTCGCCGGCGTCTGCGCGCCCGAGCTCTGCGTCGGAATGAGCTCGATCTCATCGTCTTCATACTCGCTGCCCTCGGCGTCCTGGCTGTCCCAATCCTCATCGTCCAGCAGCGGCATGCTGCTCTGCGCTGCCGGCCGCGTGCTGGGCAACGTCGGCCGGCTGCTCGGCCCGGAGACGGGGCCCGAATAGAGCGTGCTCGGCGCAGGCGACGGGTCGAACTGCACGCGCGGCGTGATGGGCGTGGTGGATGCGAAACGCGCGCGACTCGGCTGCGACAGCACGGGCACCTCGACATACATCGTCATCTTGGACGGCGTGAGGGGCAGCGGCTCGGCGCGCGCAGGCGGCAAGGTCGGCGTGCGGCGCTGCAGCTTGGCCGGCGACGTGGACTGAGGTGCGGCCGCGAGCTCTGGATGCGAGCGCTTGCGACGCATAGGACTGCCGTCGTGCGCCGGCTGTGCTCGCGGCGCCTTGATTGGCGAGGGATTGCCGCTGACGATGCTGGAGCCCGAAGGCGAGTCAAAGCCGTTGTTCGGACTGGCCGTGACATAGCCGCTGTGCACCGACGCTGGACTCTCGAACTGCGCGGGATGAGGCGCAACGGGCGTGCGCTGTCCTGCGCTGGTGCCTGCAAAGATGCGAGGCGCCATGGACAGCGCTGCCGTGCCGAGACCCGCCTGGTGCTGCGGCACAGGCGCCGACATGGCTGGCAACGAGCTGTAGTGTTCGCGCCGAGGCGGTGCAGCCGAGTGCTGCGGCAGCGGAGACGGCTGTGCCGGCCAGTTCTGTGCGATGTGGTACGCACTGCTAGCCGAATGCTCGCTGCCGGACGAGCCCGAGCGCGACGCGGCTGCGCGAGGGTACGGCTGCGGCACTATGCCGGGACTGCGATGCACGGGAATGTCCAGTGCGTGCGAGAGCGACGAGCGAAAGGAGCTGCCCGGACTGCTCTGCGACGAGGCCGAGCGCGGCGGCTGCGCGCTGTACGGCGGCGAGTGGTGCGGCTGCGGCTGCGACTGCGAGTACGGCGCAGGCAGAGCAGGCGGGGCGCGCGCCTTCTGGAGGTCGATGGGCGACTGCTGGTAGAACGGCTTGTAGTTCGAGGGATACGAGTCGTACGCTGAGGCAGTCGTCGGTGGCGGCGCAATGGCAGCGCTTAGCGCCGAGACTGGGGCACGACCACCTGTGCGACCCGTCGTCAGAGGACTGCCGGGGCGACGCAACTCGAGCGCGTACATGCACCTCGAGCGCGTACATGCACCTCGAGCGCATACATGCACTGCTTACTCACCTGACTGACTGCGCACGGCAGCTGGATGAGGCCCACGCAGGTGCTCGTCACCTGCGCCCCCACGAATGCTTCCAGAGCTGCTGCTGGGCTGAGCGGCCCACGAGCTCGGCGCCGAGAGATGCTGCCTAGGCGCGTGGCCGACGGAGTAAGGCTGCGAATGTGCCTGCGGCTGCGACTGCGACATGAGCTGCGCCGGGTGCGGCGCGGCGTATGGTCCAGGCAGCGGGATCACGGGCGAGTGGTGCTGCCGGTAGTCGTGGCCGGGATATGGGCCGGGGAACAGCGGCTGGCTGGGGTAGCCCTGCGGCGCAGCGTGATGAGGCGGCGCCGAGTGCCGTGGCTGCGGCGGCTGCGGCGGCGACTGCTGCTGCTGCTGCGAGAAGGCATACATGCCCGCATCGTACGGCAGACGACCCCAGTCGCCGCTGCCGCCTGCTGCACTGCTGCTGCTGCCGCCGCCCATGGCGCTGCCGAGCGAGCTGCCGGCCTGCTGCTGTGGCCAGGACGGATGGGCGGCGCGCTGAGGCGCCATCGACGAGCCGCTGCTCGACTGCTGCTGTGCGCTTGCCGGCAGTCCGGGCTGAGCAGCGAACACAGACGGCAGCGGCGCACCTCGCGACGGCCCGGCGGCCGACGGCGGCCCGCTCGGCGGCCAGGCGCCGTAGTGCGGGTACTGCGGGTCGCCCATGGCCGGTCGCGCCTGGCGAGACGACTCTCGCTCTAGCAGGCAGCAGAGAAGTGTGGCGGGTGCGACGCTGCGGCCATGAACAGCAGAGCAGTGTAGCGGGCGAAGTGCAGACGGACTGGAGAGTGAGGGTGGGGATGCGGTGGCTGAGAGACAAGGAATGCTGCGTGGCACGGCCGAGCAGGACAAAAGTGAGCCGCTCGAGGTCGAGCGCCGCCCCGAGCGAGATGCTCAAGCCGCGGCTCCTGCTGCCGCGCCGGCCGGCCAGCACAGCGGCGCGCACGAGAGCGGCGCCGACGCGCGCCACTTAACGCGCTCACGCGCGCGTCGCCAGGCGCGTCTCTGGCGCCGGCTCTGCTCCTCAGCTCGTCGGCGAAACAGGCGCAGAGAGGCACGTCAAAACGCTGGATGCTGCATCATCGAGCTCTGGACGCTGTCAAGGTTGTGCAGGGCTGAGGAAGGCGGTGCAATGCTGGCCCGCGCCCGCCCGTAGGAGCACGGCGAGCCGCGCCGCCGAGCCTCTCCCACTGACCACGGCAGAGCGATGCAGCAGGGGAAACAGCACAGCGTCCGTCGCAATACAGGCATGGTGGAGGCAAACGCAGCCTTCTCGCCGACCGCCCGCCGCCGACGGGCGGGGGCGGCGAGCAGCAGCAGCGGGTGTAAGTGTTGGTCGCTGGGCTTGCGGCCGCGGCGGCGCACGTGCGCGGTGATGTGCCTCGGCGCAGGCCGGAGCCGAGGCCGCGCCAGCTGCAGGCACGCCAGCACGGCGGCGGGGCACGCACGGAGTCGCGGGCGCGCCTTCCGCCAGGTTCCTCGCGCTGCCCGCCCGCCGGCCGGCCGTCTGTGCGCCGCCGGCGTGTTGCCAGCGCCGCCGCCATCGCAGCGCCCGCCGAGCTCCGTGCAGGTGGGTGGCTCTGCGCGGCGGGCGCCTCTCTGCCCGCTACCACCACCCTCTCGCACTCTTGCCCACCCGCACCATGTCGTCCACCACGCTCAACTCCAAGGTCCCGTCGCTCTCCAAGGCGCAGGCCGTGCCGCCGTCGTGGAAGGACCTCGGCAAGCTCGCCAACGACACGCTCACCAAGGACATGTGAGTGTGCTGCTCCACTTGCGGCACAGCGGCCGCCTGGACGGCGTGCTGCGCCTCACCGCGCCTGCACTGCCGGGCCGTGCCGATCCTGCACTGCTGCACCGCTCTTGCACTGTCCGCACCCTCTCGCACACTCTCTGACACCCTCCTGCAGCCCCGTCCACGGCTCGACCCTCGAGGTCAAGACCAAGGCGCCCAACGGCGTGCAGTTCCGCGTGCTCGGCGCGCGCGACGCCAAGAGCGGCAACATCAACGGCGACCTCGAGATCAAGCTCGCCGACAAGAAGCGCGGCCTCACGCTCACGCAGTCGTGGCTCACCAGCAATGTGCTGCGCAACCACGTCGAGTGCGTAGCATGCGCGCCGCACTCCCATGCCGCACACAACTGACCCGCGCACCAGGCTCGAGAACCAGATCGCCACGGGCCTCAAGCTCGAGCTCATCTCGACGCTCATCCCCGAGAAGCAGAGCAAGAACGCCATGTTCGCCGCCAGCTACAAGATGCCCGGCCTGCACACGCGCTCGCACATCGACCTCTTCAAGGTAAGCATGCGGGCCCGTGTCTCCGACGGCCCGGCGCCCGAGTGGATTGCGCGCGACTTTGCCGCGCGCCAGACGCGCGCCCAGGAGGCGGCTGAGCGGCGCCAGGCGCGCGAGGGCGAGAGCGGCGCACCGCGCGCACGTCCGGTGATCCCGGCGCCGCTGCCGCCGTTTCCGTCGTCGTCGGGCAGTGCTGCAGCGGCGGCGCTGGCAGACCTGAGCGCGCTGCCACCGCTGCCGCCAAGTCCGCCGGCGCCGCCCGCAGGCGCGGACAAGGCGACTGGAGGCATGTCCGCTGGCCCGTCTTGGAGTGCGCGCGCGCCGCGAGAGCCGCGCGAGCTGCGTCCGTTCGTGCCGCCGCCGTTCCTGTCGGTGCGCGCGAATGCGCGCACGCGCTTCAGCGACGAGGGCCTCGGGCCGGTGCGCTGGAAGGTCACGCTCGTGGCGCAGGGCATGCTTGAGGCGGGCGTGAGCGGCGAGGCAAAGGCGGCACCTGTGAGTGCGCGGCGCTGGGGTGCTGCCGCGCGCGTGTGTCCAGGTGCTGCAGGATGTCGAAGCGCGTGCTGTGTGCTGTCTCGTCCACGACGTGTCTCGACAAGCGCTGACGCGCTCCTCCTCGTCCAGGGCCCGACCGTGACTGCCGACGCCGTGGTTGGCCGTGACGGCTTCCTGCTCGGCTCGGAGGCGTCGTACGACGTGCGCGACGGCAAGGTGCAGCGGTACAACCTCGCCGCCGGCTTCTCGGCTCCCGAGTACGCCGTCACGCTGCACGGCCTCGGCAACCTGAGCACGTACAGCGCCAGCTACTACCACCGCGTCAACTCGGACATCGAGACGTCGGCGCGCGCCACGTACGACTCCAAGGCCCCGGCCAGCAACGTCAACCTCGAGGTCGGCACGAAGACGTGAGTGTGCTGCCGACGTGTGTGCGAGACCACGGCTGACGCAGCGCGCACTCAGCTACCTGGACAACGCCGCCTTCGTCAAGGCCAAGATCAACAACGCCGGCATCCTGTGCCTCGGCTACACGCAGGCCCTGCGCCCGGGCGTCAAGGCCTCGCTCGGCCTCGCGCTCGACACCGTCAAGCTCTCCGACGCCGGCGGTGCCAACGCCCACAAGGCCGGCTTCAGCCTCGTCTTCGAGGCCTAAGCGGCACTGCTTGGCCATGCGCCGGGCCCTCGTGCCATGCGCCACCGCCCGATGGACCCGCCCCGGCATCGTGCGTGTGCGCGTCTGTGCGAGGACCTGCCTCTGAACGAGACACTAGACCAACGCTGCTCGCTTCTTCCTGCCGTCGCTCTGCCGTCGCACGCAGGCGCGCTGTCTGAATCAAATGAATTGCACACATCGGTGACGAGCAGGAGGAAAGATGGCTGGGGAAGCGTTGGGACAGAGGCTGAAGGTCGTGGTCGTCAGGCCTGCGACTCGCGCGCCAGGCGGTCGCGCAGCCGGTCAGCCCTGTTGCGCGGCGCAGCGCCGAGCTGCGTCGGCACGTTGAGCTGCAGAGCGAGGGAGAGAGGTCAGCGCGCACGCGCGACAGGGGCGAATGGTGCACAGACGCGCGACGTACCATGTCGAGATAGCTGCGCGCCAGCTCGGCGGCCCACTCGCCCTGCGGCAGCTCGTCGTCGCCCTCTTCCTCGTCGCTCTGATCGCCCGGCGGCGGCGGCGGCGGCGGCGGCGCCTCGTCGTACTCGTCGCCCGTCGCTTCGCCGTCTGCGGCGCGCTTGCGCTTCTTTGCCGCCTTGCGCTCCTCGCGCCGGCGCACCACAGCAGCACGCGCCCGCTGGATGCCCGCCTGCGCCGCACCCGCATTCACGGCGCCTTGCAGGTGGTGCGTGGCGGCGGCGAGGATGGCGTCGTCGCGCGGACGCTCGAACGGCGGCAGGAAGGGCGCGCCGGGCGGCCGCGCGATGCCAGAGCTGCCGCTCGAGGGCGGCGGCAGCGAGAGCGAGGAGAGCTGCAGGATAAGCAGGCCGGCGTAGAGATGCAGCGCCGGCTCGACGCGGTACGGGAAGCGATTCACGCTCCTGCAAAGACGCCTCAGCAGTGCAGCGAGGGGCAGCACGCACACACGACTCACAGCTCAATCTCCTCGAGCGCCTCGCGGCCCTTGCCCGCCTGGATCATCAGCGGCACAAGCTCGAGCATGAGCTTGGCGCGCTGCGGATGAGGCGAGGCAGCGTCAGCATGCGGCGTTGCGCTGCTCACGCAGCGCACTCACCAGGCTGCCGCGCCGGCGCATCAGGCCGCGCAGGTATGCGATGCGTGCCTGCACGGCGGCGTCGCTGCCGCTGCCGCTGCCTTGCGCCTGGCCCTCTGCGACGGCCTGCTGCTGCGCATGCAGGCCCGCGACGTCGAGGCCCAGGCGCCAGAGGTCCTGCGTCTTCCACTCCCATGCGAGCATGAGGATGCGCAGTGCCCGCGCCGCCCTAGCAGCATCCCGGCGCGCCAGGCTGAGCAGCAGCACGTCGTGGGTGCGCTGCAGCACGCGGCTGCGCTGCGGCAGCGCCTGGCGCGTGGCGTCGGGGCGCGCGGCGGCGGCGGCGGCGGCCAGCGCGGCGGGCAGGCTGGGCGCGAGCGGGATGGGCGCGTGCGGCTCTGCGATGAGCAGCTCGGCGCCGGGCAGCGCACTGCTGCGCCGCCGCCCGTACGTCTCGAGCGGGCGCGCGGGTGCGTGGTGGAAGAAGAGCGCGGCCGATGCATGTGTGGCGGCACTGCCGCGCAGGTGCGCCGGCCGCGGCTTGGAGCGCATCGCGGGGCCGGCGCAGTGGGGGATGGGCAGGGGTGTGGAGGCGCTGAGGATGGACGCGAGGCCCAAATTTCTCTCCGCGTCACGCGACGCCGCAGCAGCGACACGACACGCCCGGCGGCTGCGTGGCCTGCTCGTCGCACGGCCAGCCCTGGCAGGCAAGATGCTCACGCTGAGAGCAGCACAATCGAGCGCATGATCGCCCGTATGGCCGCTCGCGGGAGGAGTAGCACAGGCGTGCCATCGGGCTCGGTGCGCGGCGCCGGCGTTGCTCATCGCGCGCTGGCCGAGCGTCGCGCGGCCCGATGGCTCGGCCATGTGGGCCGCGCCGCTTGGCAGCGCCAGACGCATGAGGCAGGTCCCTGTGCATGGTGCCAAGCGTCTGGCGCTGCTGCTGCCGCATGCCGAAGCAGCACACATCAGCGGCGCCTCTCCAGCCACCTTGCCGGCGCGGGGTCGTTGCGGTGCGGGATGGGCGGAGGCGCGGCGGGCAGATTGCCGAGCGGCTCCGAGCGCTCGGTGGCACGTGAGGACGCGAAGGATCTCCAGGGCCACCTTTGCGGCAAGGCAAGGCACCGCTTGCAGCACGTCTCGCTTCGGCGGCGTGCTCGAATGCTGCAGGTGTGCCGGCGATTACCAACAGCATGCGGGTGCAGCGCAAGTGCCGAGTGGGCGGCGGCGCTGCGTGACGTCTGCGGCCGTCACGGTCGAACCGGCGCGGCGTGGAGGAGGCGGCGCGGCGGCTCGGCGCTGACGCCGGCCGGAGATCTCTCCTCCGCGCGCTCGGCGAGCTTCTCATGCGCTGCCGCTGCCGCTGCCACGCTGCCACCTCCTCTCTCCGCGGCGGGGCATCTCCGCACCCGCACTGCCCGGCTGTCCTGCGGTACCCTGTGCCGGTGCTGCTGGGCTGCCGCTCTGCACATGCTGCAGCTGCCCCGCCTGTGTCATCCGGCAGCAGAGAATGCCGCTCCTTCTCCACGGCGGCGCTGCCGTGGGCGCATCGCTCGTCACTCGCCGAGGAGCCGCGTCCGCTGCGCGCGCTGCCAGCACGGCCCAGCGCCTACATAAGGGCGCCCCGGAGATCATCGCCACGCGCCGCTCCCTCTCCCACTCTCCACACACACACACCCACACACCACTCTTACCCCTTTACTACTTGCCCGCCATGCCGTCGCTCCCCACCTCCTTCAAGCTCAACAACGGCCTCAGCATCCCCAGCGTCGGCCTCGGCACGTGGCAGAGCCCCAAGGGCCAGGTGCGCGACGCCGTGTGCGCCGCGCTCAAGGCCGGCTACCGCCACATCGACTGCGCCTGGGGCTACCAGAACGAGGGCGAGGTCGGCGAGGGCATCCGCCTCAGCGGCGTGCCGCGCGAGGAGATCTGGATCACCAGCAAGGTACGCAGCCAGCGCGCGCATGGCGCGCCATGGCAGCGCGAGCCATGGCGCGCCAGTGCGCGCGCGCAAACCTTCTGCTCATCATCCACTGACACCTGCCTTCCTCTGCGCGCGCTCAGCTCTTCGAGTTCCACCACAAGGTACGCACGCGCGCGCTCGCCGTCTGTGCGCGCGCATCGCATGCTGACCCATGCCTCTCCACAGCACGTGCGCCAGGCCGTCGAGGACACGCTCCAGAAGCTCGGCGTCGAGTACCTCGACCTCTACCTCATGCACGTGAGCATTGCGCGCGCGCATACAGTCACCACACACGCCCCGTGCTGACGCCCTCTTCTGCAGTGGAACGTCGCCCTTGAGCCCGACGTGCCGGCCGACGGCTCGCTGCCGCGCGCGCCCAAGCGCAAGGAGAACGGCAAGCCCATCGTCGACCGCGAGCTGTCGGACAACCCGCTGCCGTGCTGGCGCGACCTCGAGGCCCTCGTCGACGCCGGCCTCGTCAAGTCGATTGGCGTGAGCAACTTCAACATCCGGCGGCTGCGCGCGCTCCTCAAGGACGCCAAGATCAAGCCGGTGGCCAGTGAGTGCACGACATGAACGCGCGCACGCGCGCAATACTTGCTCATGCCCTGCTCTCCACCTCCAGACCAGGTCGAGCTCTCCTTCACCTGCCCGCAGCCCGAGCTGCTCAAGTTCTGCATCAGCCAGGACGTGCTCCCGCAGGCCTACAGCCCGCTCGGCTCCACGGGCGCCAGCCACGCCAGCCTCGACGCCGTGAGTGGCACGCGCGCGCTGTCTGTGCGGCATTCACATGCAGTGCTCACCATCGCCCTACCCCCAGATCGAGAAGCTCGCCAAGAAGCACAACTGCGAGGGCGCCAACATCCTCATCTCGTGGCAGGTCGCCCGCGGCGCCAACGTGCTCCCCAAGTCCGTCACCGCCTCGCGCATCGCCAACAACCTCAAGCGTGAGTGGCGCGTGCACATCCATCGCGCGCGCATGTGCTCATCCTCCCTCTCTCCTCCCAGTCGTCGACCTGTCCGACGACGAGGTCGCCGAGCTCGAGAAGCAGGCCGCCGCGCAGCCCTTCAAGAAGGTCTGCGACCAGTCGGAGGACTTCGAGTACGACATCTACGAGGCCGACCACCCGCAGAACAACGACAAGGCCCAGGCCAACCTCTGAAGCGGGTTGCACATCTGCCGCTCGTCGTCGATGTTCCTGCTTCGGTGTAGTAATGGTCCAGCGTGGGGAATGACAACTCTTCAGCACTACCCTTGGGTGAATCGTGACGGTGCGTGCTCGGTGAGCGGAGGGAGGGTGGGGAAAGCGAAGGCGGAGCCGAGGCAGGAGGCAGTCGCGCGCTCATCATCGGGCTTCCTTCGCGCGCGGCGGGGATCTCGCCGCGCGCGCGTCGGTGGCCCGTGCGCGTCGCGCTCGCATTGGCGCGACTCCTCCGATTCCAGGCCTTCTCGAGCTCGCTACACATCGGACAAGCCCATCGCTGCTACAACAGCACGAGGCAGCTATCTCACCTGCATATCGTCTATGTGCAGGCCATCGGCGGTGCTCATCCCATGGGCATGAGACGGAGGCAGCGGCGGCGGCCGGCGCATCGCGATCGGGTTCGCAAAGGTAAGCTCGTCCTCGCCCGCCCCCGCAGAGTGATACATGCTCTTCGCCATCTGCGGCGCTGCAATTGCTCTACGTCAAGCCATTGCCGCCTCGATGTTGACCGCTCCAGCTCAACAAAGCATGCAATTCCCGAGAGAACGGTGCCCAAGAGAACGGTGCAAGACAGCAGCGTGACGTGTGCAGGTGAGGGCCGACGAGGAACAGAGCCAGCTGTTCCGCAGCAGACCACGCAGGGCACCTAGATGAGCTTCCAGAAGCCAGCCTGGTTCTGCAGCACGGGCCCGGCATGGCGTCAGCTCGGCGTTCGGAGGCACAACGATGCTGCGCCTTGGACGCACCAGGTCAAAGTAGGCCTCGTTGAATGCGCCCGGATTGTCCATCGACCACTGCGGACATGTCTGCGGCGCGCCGCAGCCGTCAGTCTGCCAGAAGCCCTCGACGAAGGGGCCGCAGACGTCGACGTTCATCTGCGACGTGGGTGCTGTGTGAGCTGATGAGGGCATCTGCGGCACGAATGGCGGGCATTGCGCACGACGATCTGGTGCGCTGTGTTGCAAGAAGAGAGCGTCAGTCAGCCCGGAGGTGCTCTCGTCTCGTCGGTCTGCCAGACGCACCTGCAAAGCGCTTTTTGATCGAGCACGCGGCCGTCTTGGGAAACGCAGCGTGCGGCTTGCCCCACGTCGACGGGTCTAGCACGCCGCGCACGTCGCCGATGCTGCCCTTTGGCGCCTTGCTGCGCGGCCAGTACCAGATCTGCCGCGGGGCATGTCAGCCTCGACGACGCAGCGGCGCAGTGTCGGGGTACGCACGAAATGCGCATTTCTCCTGCTCAGCGGAGAGGCGCCTCTTGCGGCGCCGGCTGCTTCTCGCGCCCGTGCCGCCGGCGAGGTTCTGCATGCTGTTTGGGCGCCTGGGAGTAAGAGTGGGCGCGTGTGGAGGCACGTCACGATAGGACGGCAGCAGCAGGACGCCGTGCCTGTGCGAGAGCGACGGCGCACAGACGCGTCCCAAACGGCGAGCTTGCGCGCGCGGCGGTGGGAGCGCGATAAAGGCGCCGCGAGGCGCGCGCGCAGCCATTCTTACTCTGACTGCTGCCTCTGGGTCGCTGCTGGGCGAGTCGTGAGCATGTTCATTCAGCTAGTGCGACTACGCTGGGCGCTGCTGCGGCGTCTCCAGCAGCGGCTGCCGGCGCAGACGTTTAAGGCTGAGTCTGGAGCGGAGGTCCTGGCGGGAGGGGCGCGTGATGCGAGCTGGCGGGCGGTGCACGCTGACGCTGCCGTGCGGCGGTGGGCGCGACTGCTCCCAGCCAGGCGGGCCGGCCGTGCATCCATCGCAGCGCCTCACGACCCCGGCCGTGCGCGCCTCCCGTCCTCATCCTCTCCACACACGCAGTCGCCGCTGCCACGTCCCTGCCACGAGCCGCCTCCGCAGCACCTCGGCGCCCACCTCGCCGTCCGCGCTGCCAGGCCCGCGCGCTCGCCGCTGCTCCGTGTGCCGCACCCGCGCGCCGTCGCACCGCGGCCTCCACGTCCGATAGCGCCTCGTCTGCGCTGCTCTAGACGCAGCTGCCTCTCTGCATCGACCTGGATACCCTGGCCACCGCGCATCTCTCGCTTCGCATCTGCACTCCGCGCTCCGCTGGCCGAATCGCTCCAGCAGCAGCGCACATCTGCGCCCATCTGCGGCAGATAGCCGCTGCCTCGCCCAACCGGCGCGCGCTTGCTGCCTCGCAGCGCCCCACTCTCTCGTCCGCGCCTCCAGCGGCCCGCTTTGTTCCCGGCGCAGCCAGCGCCGCGCAACCGTCTCGCACGTAGCAGAAGCCTCGCCGGGCCGCGTAGCAGCGCGGGCAGCGCTCGCCGCACCTCGGCCGCGCGGGCCTCTGCCCTGCCTGCCGCCGCCGCCGCCGCCGTTGCTGCTGCCGCTTCTGCCACTCCTCGCACTCCCCTCTGCGGTCAGCTGCGCCCTCCTCTTCCCTCGCCGCGCGCATGCCCGTGGTGCATGCCTCGGCGCTGGCGGGCGCGTGTGCGGGCCTGGTAAGCAGCATCCTCACCTGTCCGCTCGACGTCGTCAAGACGCGCCTGCAGGCCGCCGGCGCACTGCCGGCACAGCTGTGCGGCGCGCCCAACTTTGGCGCCTCGGGCATCGGCGGCCGCGGTGAGTATGCGCGCCCGAAGCCGGGGGCGCCGGCGCCGCCGCAGCGCGTGCCGGGCGGACTCAATGTTGGGGGTGAGTGGACAATCGGCCCCTTCTCTCAAAGAGGGCCGGCTTCTACTCCTTCCCCTTCGCCGCAAGGCTCTTTTCGTTTCGCATCTTTGTGCTGTGGACCGGCGGCGGACCGTGCTCACGCGCCTTGTCTGCAGCGGTGCTGCGCAAGATCTGGCACGAGGACGGGCCGAAGGGCTTCTACCGCGGCCTGGGCCCGACAATATTCGGCTATCTGCCGACGTGGGCCATCTACTTTACCGTGTACGATGCGTGCAAGAGCGGCTTTGCGCGGAGAGGTGAGTGCTGTTGGTGACGGGCAGCGCCGCGGCGCAGCGCTGACGCTCGGCGCACAGAGAACGCACACGACGACGAGTTTCTCGTGCACATCGCCAGCGCCATGACGGCGGGCGCGGCCAGCACGTGCTGCACGTCGCCGCTCTGGGTTGTCAAGACGCGCTTCATGGTGAGGCGAGCCCTGGCGCGCTCTGCACATGCCAGGCTGCTCACGCTTCTCCACCCGCAGCTGCAGTCGACAAAGGACTCGGACGTCCGGCCATACCGGCATACGGGCGATGCCTTTGTGCAGATATGGCGCACCGAGGGCTTCCGCGGCTTCTACCGCGGCCTGCTGCCGTCGTTGTTTGGCGTGAGCCACGTGGCGATCCAGTTTCCGCTGTACGAGCAGTTCAAGAGCTGGACTAGTGAGTAGGCCGAAGCGCCAAGTGCGCCAGCAGCTGACGTCTATGCCCCACAGTGGACCGAGTAGGCACCGACGAGCTGCAGCCAAGCGTGATCCTCATGTGCTCGAGCAGCGCAAAGATGATCGCCTCAGTGCTCACGTACCCGCACGAGGTGCTGCGGACACGCCTGCAGATGCAGCCGCGCATCGCCGCCGCCGCCAAGGCCGTCGCAGAGGGCACGCCGGTCGCCCCACCGCCGCCGCCGCCGCCAGCAGCAGCAGCGCCGACGCGGCCAGGGCGGCCAGAGAAGGCGCCGGGGCGGGCGCTGCACACGCTCGCCTCGACGCCGCGCGTGCGTGCCGGAGGCGGAGCCACGTCGTCAAGAGGCGCCAGCCGTGGCATCTCGCACATGGGCAACAAGGGCAACGGCGGCCGCTACTCGGGCGTGCTGCAGGCCTGCACGACGATCGCACGCGAGGAGGGCATCCGCGGCTTCTACCGCGGCATGGGTGTCAATCTCGTGCGCACCGTGCCCAGCTCGGCCCTGACGATTCTCACGTGAGTCGCGGCAATGAAGGAGGGGATGTGCCCAGCTGACGCTTTGTATCTGCAGCTACGAGGTGATGATGCAGCACCTCACGGCCGGCGACGATGACGGCGACGCGCACGTGGGCGACACAACGACTGACAGCGACGGCAAGCGGTGATTTGCAGCAGCAGCACAAGCAGCAGCCTCTCCCTCTACAGCACCACATTGATATCTCTCTTCACCATCGTCTCGGACGTCTGCTGATGTGCTGCAGCGGCTTCCTGCGGCCCCTGCAGCTGCCGGGTCGCGGCTGCCGCTCTCGCACTCGTAACTAGGCCTCGTCGTGCCGCCTGCATGTCCTTTGCCTTGCTATCCTGGCCCTCAAGGGCCTTGCCAGGGTCTCGCTGCTCGTCACTGAAAGCGGGCTCGCCTGTTGCCTGAGTCGGCGCACTGACCAGTCCTTGGGACAGCACCTGTCATGCTCACGCTGCGCTGCGCGCTTCTGTGCTCGTCTTGACGCAGCAGCACCACGCCCTTGAAGCTGTTCAGGCGGCAACGCGCACGTCGAGCAAGCACGAAGGGTGGCGCTGCATGCTGAAGATGCTCTCACCGCAGCGGGCACCTGCGGCTGACGTCGCAGTCGGCCTCGGGCGGCGCCGGCGATCTTGGGCTTGCGGCGCACGCGGCGCGGGGCAGGCAGGCCAGCACAGCAAGCGGCGGCAGGGGCGCGGCGAAAGAAAGCTCGGCGCTCGCGGGCGGCGGTGCGTCATCAGCCCGAGGTCCGCCCTGGCGCTCCGTCCGAGCATCCCGTCCTGTCCCCGCACGGCAGCCTCGGAGGCATCGCATCGCTTCATGCACGATGAGAGGGATGCGTCTCGTCGCTCTCTTGGGCTGAGGCGCCGCAGCACTTGCGCCATCGGGAGCCTCAGGGGCCTGATTGCGGGGTCCTCTATAGGTCTTGCCCCTCGCGCGCCGGGCGCAGCCAGCATGATGGCTCGCTGCGACGCACGCTCGCCCCCACATGGCTTGAGATGGACGCTCGGGCGGCTCATGATCGGCGCTCATCTCGCCGCCCACTCCAGCGGTCATCGTTGAGCGTTGAGAGGCCTCTCGGGTGGGGCGCGGGCCGCTCCGGTTCCGCGCCTGCTTCTGGCGCCGACGCCGCCTCGCCGCCGCGTGGAAATTCGCTCGCGACGCCAAGCGGGCAGGCCGTCTGTGTGTGCCAACGCCGAGGCTGCGCGCGGCGCCGAGGCCGAAAGTGCAGGCGCCGCAACGTTGGCTCACCGCCTCACGCACCGCCAGCAAACATTCACCGCCTTCTCTCAGCTCCGTCGCATCCTGGATCACCACCACCACACTGCTGCACGCGCATCACGACTCGCACCGAGACGCACACACATCCTCGCCGTTCATCGCACGACGCATACAACCGCGCCACTACGGCGTCCTCTGCCCATCTTCGCGCCGGCGCCACCATGAACGCCGCCGCATCCAGCAGCAGCCCGGCCGGGCCCTCTGCCGCCGCCGCTGCCTCCTCCTCCACCGCACCGCCGTCGAGCGCACTGCGCCAGCGCCCCGCACACCGCCGCCGCGCCTCGCAGCCGGCCGTGTCGTCGCGCCCGGGCCGCAGCGGCGCCTCGCACGCCGCAGCGCGCGCGCGCTGGGCCGCACGCCTGGAGGAGCCGAGCGACGAGGCGGGCACGAGCGGCAGCAGCAGCGGCGCCAGCAGCAGTGATGAGAGCGACGAGGAGATGTGGGGCGCGCGCCGCAGGAGCATCGACTATGTGAGCAGCAGCGACGCGTGACGGGTGATGTCAGGTGACCGGTGATGCTGGGTGGTGGCGCGCGAGGCTGGGCAGCTCGATGCCTAGGGTCAGCCTCCTGGCATGGCACTGGCGCGCGTGTAGCACTGTATGGGAGCTGCTGTGTCTGCGAGAAATCGCTCTGCTCCGGCTGCCCAGTCGCAGTCCTCCGCCCGCCTTGCCGCACCGTGCTGACACTCGCCTCCAGCTGGACCTCTCGCCGTCGCTGCCCTACACGCTCGTCTCGCTGCGCTCGCACCTGCTCTCGCAGCTGGCCGAGCTCGAGGCGCGCGTGCGCTCCCTCTACCCGGCCGCCGACGGGCCGTCGCTGGCGGCGTCGTTCCTGGCGCAGGCGTCGGCGCTGCGCAACGACGTGCGCCGCCTGGGCACCTTCCTGCCGCGCGTGCCCGCGGCGCTGACGCTACCGCAGGTGCCGTCGCTGCCCGCAGCGCCGACGTGGGACATGGCCGAGCTGGCCGCGGCGTGGGAGACGCTCTCTTTCCAGCTGCCGTCGGGCGGCGGCGACATGTTGGCGTCGCTGCGTGCGCGCTTCGAGGGCTGCCAGGATGCCTATGCGGCACTGACGCTGCCCGACTTCTTCGGCGCCTCGACGCGCGCCGCGTTCGACGAGGGCATGATGAGCCCCGCGGCGGCGCACTTTGAGGCGCTCGTCGCCAAGGTCAAGGCCACGGGCGAGGACGTGCGCGCCAAGGGCCATGCCCGCGCCTCGTCCGTCGCCAAGGCCGCGCGTGACGCCGAGGACCGCCTCTACCAGGCCGCGCTCGAGCTCGCGGGGCAGGGCCAGAAGCTGATCCGCTACGAGCACCTGCCGGAGCTGTGGAAGAACAACTCGCACATTGTGAGTGCAGCGCAGAACAGCGCGCCGGCCGCGGCGCTCATCACTCTCCTCGCAGCTGTCCGGCTACCGCTTCATCCCCAAGTCGAACCTCTCTGCGCTGCTGCGCTCCACGTTCCAGATCCACAACGAGACGGGCAACATCCACTCGCACCTGCTCGGCGCCATCATCATCCTGCCGCTCTTCTGGCCGAGTAAGGGCCTCGACCCGGACACGACGCCCATGGACCGCCTCGTGCAGACCGTGTACCTCGTCGCGGCGCTCAAGTGCCTCGTGCTCAGCGTCAGCTGGCACGTCATGGCCGGCTGTGCCGACGCCTGCTGGTTCGAGCGCTTCGCGTGCGTCGACTACACGGGCATCGCCTGGCTCGTGGCCGCGAGCGTGTGGACGCTGGTGTACAACGGAGTGAGCACGGAGAGCGTCCTCTACGGCAGTGCCCAGCTGACACGCTCCACGCAGTTCTACTGCCAGCCGAATCTGGCGCTCTTCTACAGCATCACGACGTTCCTCGTTGGCCTGATGGGCGCGACCGTGCCGTGGGCGGCCTGGTTCAACCAGCGGCAGAACAAGGGCCTGCGCATCTGCGTCTTCCTCGCCATGTGCTTCACTGGCCTGGCGCCCTTTACGCACGCCGCCTACGAGCACGGCCTGCTCAAGACGGTGCTCTTCTTCCAGCCCATCGTGCCCAGCCTGCTCTGCTACATCGGCGGCCTGGTGTTCTACGCCTTCCAGTTTCCCGAGAGCATCGCGCCTGGCCGCTTCGACACGTGGGGCCATGCTCACCAGATCTGGCACGTGAGTGTGCTGCCTGTGCCGCGCCAGACCTGTCGCTCATACCTCCTCCAGCTGGCCATCGTCGGCGCGATCCTGCTGCACTACCGCGCCGCGCTCATCTTCCACGAGAATCGCTTCGACTTCAGCTGCGCCGCGACGCCGTCGCCGACGCTCAGCACGCACGCCTCGGCGCTGCTCGAGGCCGCCGGCGGCCTCACGGGCATCTACGGCCTCGGCGCCGCCGACGACCGCGTGCTCGGCTGGCGTCGCGCCATCGGGCGCCTCGGCAACGGCGCCGTCGGCACGGCGTGGAACCGCCTCGTTGACTGGACGCAGACGTGGTAGCCCCGTCGCCCCCTTTCTGCACTGCTTCGTCCCGGACCGCACATACCGTCACCTTCCCATACAGACGCGCGCATTCACATAGACTGCCATTTCGCCGCCGTGTGTGTCGTACTGGCAGGTGCGAGCACGAGGGTTGGCGCAGGCTGAGTGATGCTGTCAGGGCTTATGGATCCCGTGCGTGCCGTCGTCAACACCGCAGCCACAGCATCACTCTGGCACACTCTACTGCATGCTGAGTGCGCATGCTGCAGTTCTGTCGAGACACTGCGGCACGGATGATGCTGGCGGCAACAGGCGCTGGGCCTCCGCTCTGCACAAGGGCTCAGGGAGGCCTCGTAGCGCAAGACACGGGTCGCTTTGCTCCCTGTGGTGCGGGGGTCTGTGTCAGGCTTGTGTATGCAACCCGGCGGAACCCGGCTTAGCGGGGTTGTATGGTCCAGTGGTTACGACGTCAGATTCTGATTACGAATCTACGCATGCTTTGCGTTCTGAAGATCATGGTTCGATTCCGTGTACGACCTTCCTTTTTGCTTTTGGCCCACCTGACTTTAGCCCTCCTTTTTGCACCTTGGCCTCGGGGTCCCGCTGCGCCGTCTAAGCTCCACTGCTTGACTCCTGCGGGCCAGCGGGAGGCTTGGGTCGTTGTCCGGCATGCTGTGAGGTGTGCTGGAGCGCTGTAGAAGGGCTCGCCGACGGGGCCATTTGCGACCTTGTTGGCACCGGATCTCGGGAGTGACGCGCCCCGCACGCCGCGCCTTGGCTGTGCTGCCGCTGTCACCTGTCACTTGCTTCCCACCCCTCACCCCCATGTCGCTCTCCTCTCCGGCACCGGGCCAGGGTGCCGCGGGCGCGCCACCACGGCCCGTCTCTGCGCTCTTCGATGCGCCGGGCGCGCACGAGGAGCGGCGTGTCAAGAAGGCCGGCATGCTGCGGCTGCCCGGCGGCACCCCGGTGCGTGCAGCAGAGGCGCCCCGGCATTGCCCAGCACTCACCCCGGCCACAGGCGCTCGTCGCGTTTGGCATCTCGCTCGTCGCCTTCACCGTGCAGACCGAGGCGGCGCAGTACGTGCAGCAGGGCCTCGGCTACCGCAAGCCGTTCCTGTCGCTGTGAGTGTGCGCCGAGTCGCGAGCCGCCGCAGCGGGCACTGACACACACGCAGCTACCTGGGCCACTCGTCGTTCCTCTCGCTGCTGCCGCTGCATCTCCTCTACCTGCGCCTGCGCCACCCGTCGCTGCCCCTCTCGCACCACCTGCACCTCATCGCGCAGAACCTGCACTGGCAGCTCTCGCCGCGCACGACGAGCCTGCCGCCGACGGCCGAACGCGTGCGCCGGCGCCTCAGCAGCATCGGCAGCCTGGGCCGCAGCAGCATCGCCTCGGACGAGGGCGGCTGGGCCGTCGAGGCGGCGCGCGAGCCCCGCGAGCGCGCTGCGCCGCGCTACGACGGCTGGCTGCAGGAGACGTGCGGCTTCGATCCGTTCCGCCTGCTGGGCTTACTCGCCGTGCTGACCGTGGGCATCACCGTGCCGGCCCTGAGCTGGTGAGTGGGTGGAGGTGGGCATCTGTAGAGCGGCGGGCTGCTCAATGCGCTGAGCGCGCTGCTGCACATGAGCTGACGCTGGCCTGGCACAGGTACTCTGCCGGTGAGCATCGCTTTACTGGCCCACGACTCGCACTCGTGCTCACCCCTCACAGTGCCGCTGACGACCATGGCGGACGTCACGACCATCTACAACACGTATGCCGTATGGGCGCTCGTATTTTCGATCTATTTCCTCGGCGAGAAGTGGGAGCGGGTCAGTCTTGCTGCTCGCGCTGCGAGACTCTCACTCCTCTGACACGTTCCCTGGCAGCGGAAAGTGCTCGCAGTGCTCCTGGCCGTCGGCGGCGTGGTGCTCGTCGCATACGGAGGCGCCGAGCACCGGCGCCGGCTACGCGAGCCCGATCCGGTATACGGCAAGCCCGGCGACAACTCGACTACCACCGTGGCAGCTCGGAGTCTCTACGCTTCGCTGCTCTCGCGAGCTGAAGAGGCGCCAACCGACGATGACGCTACGCGGAAAGGCAGCAATCCCGTGCTGGGCGCACTGCTCAGCTTCGTCGGCGCAATGACCATGGCGGGGTATGAGATGGCCTTTGCGCTGCTGGGCAAGCTTCCCGACGAGGCTGCGCAGGCAGCGCGGTATGCCGCACGCGCGGCCCGACGACCGACGGCGCGCGGCAGCGTCGTCGAGTACTCGGAGAGCGAGGGGCTGCTCGATGGGCAAGAGGAGCAGCACGTCATCGGCGACGACGCAGATGAGAGCTTTGGCGCTGCATCGCCCGCCAAGCCAGATCGCCCTCGCAAGCTGGGACACCTGGACGCGGCGCGCGTGTCGACGCAGCGCGTGGATGACGAAGACTCGCAGAGCGAGACGAGCAGCACCGTCGACGGCGCCAGTGCCAGCTCGATCTCTGACGACGAAGTGGAAGAGGTGCAGCGCGGCAGCACGCGCCTCAGCCGCGCTCGCTCCGCTGCCACGCTGCCGTCTGCCGCTCGCAAGACTCGGCCGTCGGTCGTCGGCGTGTTCGACCAAGATGGAGGTCCTGCTGCTCCGCCGTCGCCGAGACCAGTGCGGCACAGGAGCGACTCGGTCACAGAGTGGATCCCGCCGCCACTTCCGTTTGGTCTGCACGCCAATCTCATGACCGCCGGCATCGGCGGCACAACGCTGCTGTGTCTCTGGGTCGGCATCGTGCGTGCTAGCCGAGCTTGAGGCCGTCCGCAAGCTGACACCTTGCACAGCCCATCGCCCACACGCTCGGCTGGGAGACGTTTGAGCTGCCGCACAACTGGACGACGGTCGGCTGCCTGCTCCTCGTGATGGGCATGGGCGTCATCTTCAACTCCTGCTTCAGTGAGCACGCTCGAGTGCAGCCCGTGTCGCGCCTCTCTGACACGCTCGGCAGTGATCCTCCTCGCGCTGTGGGGCCCCGTGCTGGCAAGTGTCTCGTGCTTGCTGACGACTGTGCTAGGTGAGCGCGACCAGCGCCTCCAAAGACCGCACGCTTACGCTGCAGCAGTCTTCTTTGCGGACCTGGCGCTCGGACACGAGTTCCGCTGGATCAGCTTGCTCGGCTGCGTCACGATTGCGGCCGGCTTTGGCGTGCTGGCGTCGGGCGACAGCATGGCGCCCCATTGATGCGAGACGTGTGTTCCTCCCCTGTATTTCTAGAACGCTGCCGCATGGCACTGCACGCTATTCACGAGAACGGCCTGATGATTAGAGGATCCATAAGAGACATCAGCGAGAGGATGAAGGTACCGCTCTCTATTCGTCGCCGCGCTCGAGCGCCGCGAGCTCCTCGGCACTGGCGAAGAAGCCGCTGTCGAGCTGAGACAGGATGTCAACACCGCTCGCGCGTGACGGGTCTGCTTTACACTCACATCCTCGAGCTCCGCGGCGCCCTCCTCGCCCGCCGCCAAGATGCGCACGGCATGCTCGTCGTTCTCATCGTCAAAGCGAAAGAGGTCTTCCTGCAGTGCCAGTCTCTGCCGCTTGCGCGGGATCGGCGAAGGCGTCGCTGCCGAGCTCGCTGCAGCGTGCGAGCTGGGTGCCTCTAGCTTGCTCCCGCTGCTTCGTGCGGCGACTGCCTCGTCTTCGTCGGAGCAGCCAGAGTCCGGCGGCTCGAAGTCGGTCCACTCGCTGCGCGGCAGGGCCGGCATGCGCGCTCCTTCCACAGCCAGTCTGGACACGGAGCCGTCAGTGAGCATGCGATGCAAACAGTGCCGCGCTAAACACTCACCGATCCGCCGCTTCATTGCCCACATGCCCAGCATGGCCCTTGACGTAGATGAGATTCGGGCGCGGCACGTGCTTGCGCAGTTCGCGCTCGAGCAGCCGGATCAGGTCCTTGTTCAGCACGGCGGCTGCATTGGAGGTGCGCCAGCCGCGGCGGCGCCAGCCTTGCTGCCACTCCTGTATGGCTGGAGGCGCAGCGAGGTGAGCTGATGGCCTCATGCTGCATGCGGGAGAGACCCACCCTTGACAGAGTACTGGCTGTCGGTGTAGATCTGCAGCTGTGCGCCCGTCATCGGACACAGTTGACAGGCACGGATGATGGCCTGTCGCGCGAGCGTGCTTAGCACACCTCTCTCCTTCTGGCTTGCACGCAACTCACCGTCAGCTCGGCGCGGTTGTTCGTCTGCGTCTCGCCCGCAAGACGTCCGGCGCGATTAAGGTGCTGCAGCTCTGGGTCTTCGAACCACACGCCCCAGCCGGCCTTTGCGCTGGCCTTGCCGTTGCCGGCCGAGGCGCCGTCAGTGTAGACGTTGATCACGCGTGCGCCGCTCGAAGAGGCATGCGTACTCGACGATGGCCTCGAGCTGGAAGCGCTAGACTCGGCTGCCTTTGTCTTGGTAGCTGCGGGTGCGGCGGCAGCCTTGCGCTTGACGGGCACAGTGATGACGGACGATGAGCTCGCCGGCGGTGCTGTCGCCGCGGCAGCGCCGTTGTCGCGCAGGAAGGCCTGCGCCTCGGGCAGCGCGGGAAACGACTGGTACTTGGCGCCCGAGAAGCCCTTGACCTCTGTGCGAGCGCAGTTCAGCGCACAATCTGCAGCGACAGGCAGCGATGCCAGCTACACACGCTGCTCGCACTCGGCCCAGCTGTTGTAGAGGCCGGGCGTGCGGCCGCGCGCCACGGCGTAGAAGGAGGCCTTCTTGGGCATGCTGCCGCTGCGCCAGACGTCGGCGTTGCCTGCACCTGCACTGAGCAACGCGGGCCGCGAGACCAGTGGCAGGTGCAGAGCACGCACAGGCGCGGCAGCTCGGAGCAGACGGACGGCGAACAGCGTTGCGGGCGACGAGGTGGACTTGCGTGCTGTGATGGCGAGAGGCGAGAAGCAGCGCCGCCGTGGGTGGGAATATCCGGAGAGGAGCGGCTCCGCGGATCTTGAGCCGCACTCTGCGGCTGCATGTGATCGGCGACTCAGACTGGCCCTCCACGACGGCGTGCCGCTTAGCGTGGCGGGCCGGACTTTGGACGTGCCCGGGCCGGCGGGCGGCAGCGCAGCGAAAGTCAGCCCATGATTTGGCGCGTGACGCTGAATCGCCGCCTCCGGAGGGCGGGGACCGTGAATGGGCACGGAGATGGGACAAGGAGGCAATGCTGCGTATGCCCCGTGCTTCCTCACCACATCATCCTCCAGCGCAACCTCAACCTAGACTCAACCTGTTGCGCCTCGCCTCGCGCCCGCTAGCCCGTGCCGCATACACCCCACCGCACACACGCCTCTTCAGCATGGTCTCCTTCTACGACCTCAAGGCCCAGCGCCCCAAGGGCACCGAGCTCGAGTTCGGCGAGCTCAAGGGCAAGGTCGTGCTCATTGTCAACACCGCCAGCAAGTGAGTGGCGCCGCCGTGCTGGCTGCCGGGCCGGAGTGCTGACGCCCGTCTTGCAGGTGCGGCTTCACTCCGCAGTGTGCGTGCGGCGAGCCCTCGTATCGCAGCCGGGCTGGATGCTGATTCCTGTTCTGCAGTCGAGGAGCTGGAGGAGCTGCACAAGAAGTACGCCGACAAGGGCCTCAAGGTCATTGGCTGTGAGCAGTGTGCCGGCGAGCGAGGGTAGAGTGCAGGCCTGACTAGGTGTCCCGTGCGCAGTCCCGTGCAACCAGTTTGCTGGCCAGGACCCGGGAGATGATGATGCCATCGGCTCGTTCTGCCAGAAGGTGAGTCTCGCCCGGCTCTGCTGTTGGCAAGACGATGCTTGCGCGGGAGAGCACGAGTCGCGAGTTGGAGGACGCCAGCTGATGCGCGCGGCGGCAGAACTACGGCGTCAGCTTTGACATCATGGCCAAGTCGGACGTGAACGGCGCCAACACCAACGAGGTGTTCAAGTACCTGAAGAAGGAGAAGGGCGGCCTGCTCGGCACCTCGTCGATCAAGTGGAACTTCAGCAGTGAGTCTCGCGTGGCAAGCGTCGAGCTTGCGCGTTGCTGACGCGCTGGGCACTGCAGAGTTCCTGATCGATGCCAACGGCAAGGTCGTCGAGCGCTACTCGCCCACGACGAAGCCGGCGTCGATTGCGCCGCGCATCGAGGAGCTGCTCGCCGCGGCCAGCCCGGCAGAGGGCGAGCAGAAGTCGGCGCTGTAAAGTGCGCCGGGTTCTTCCTCCTCTCCGCTCGACATCTTCGCTTCTCTCCGCCACGTATAGCGGCAGCATACCTCTCCCCTCGCTGCGACTTGGCGCGCCTCCTTACTGCTACTCCAAATCTAGCTTTAATCGTGCCTCATCGGCCTGACAAGAGTGGATACGCGTGTGGGCTGGAGCAGCGTGCATGACGCCGTCTTCGAGGCGGCAGCTTCGAACCGCGACAAGCGCTGTGATTGGTCTGAGTGAAGCGCATCGATTGCTAGCAGCGTCCCGTCGTGGCAATTGGAAAAGTAGTGCAACCAGCTCCAGCGGCTCGTCCCTCCCATCTCCCAGCCTGTGCCTCTCTGTCCTTCAAGCGCGCTCACCAGCCGCCGCCGCTCTTCTCGACGGGCACCGTGCGCCGCTCGTCGCGGCGTGCGCTCTGCTCCTTGGCCTGCGAGCCGACGGGGTCGTGCTTCGAGGCCTCCTCAACAATGTCCGTGAAGGCGTTCGTCATGCGCGCATCCTTGACGCCGGCGCACACGTCGAGGAACTCCCTGCAAGCGTGAGCCGCGTGTCAGCGCGGAGGGCGGGGAGCATCTGCAGTCAGGGGACGTACTCGAAGTGCAGCTGGCCCGACTTGGCAGAGTCGACCTCCGAGAGAATGCCCGAGATCGTCTCGTCGCGCACGTCCTGCATCGCGCGCATTAGCAGCTGCTCGGGTGCGTACCATAGCGCTCGTGCTTACCTTGTAGCCCAGGCGTGAGAGCACCTCCTTGAGGTCGCGCGAGTCGACCTTGCCGTCGGCATTGACGTCGAGCGAGTTGAAGCGCTTGCGCAGGTCAGTCAGCTCCTCGCTCGACTGTGCGGAGAGAGCGTCAGCTACAGGAGAGTGCGCGAGGCAGATTGGTGCTCACGAAAGTGGCGCGCGAGAGCAGCGTGGCCTGCTGGTCGTTGGAGTCGAGGCTGCCGGCCGAGGCGAGGTGCGAGAAGGAGGCGCTCTTCTTGCCCTCGGCCACCTTGCGCATCTCGTCGAGGCTCACGCCCTTGAGCTGCTCGAGGCGCGCAGGCTGGATGCCCATCGAGCCGAGGAACTCGATGCCCTCCTTGTACTCGCGCTCCTTGCGCTTGGCGTCCCAGCCCAGCTCCTCGGCCATGAGGTCGATGATGCGCGGCATGGCCTGCACCGTCGCCTCGGCGTTGAGGAAGGAGAGACGCGTGCGGCGCGCGATGAAGTCGGGCACCGTGGCGGCGTACTCGGAGCGGCAGGCGTAGCGCACCTCGGCCTCGATGTACGGGTAGAGCGGGTCGATGCGCTTGCCGTGCACCGGCCAGCGGCGGCCCGTGGCCTCGGTGATGCTGCACACGCTCCAGGCGCGGTCGCCGTACGTGGCGGAGAGGTGGCGCGCCACGTCCGTCTCGAGGCCGAAGCGCTGCAGCAGCTTGACGTACATCGTCTTGCTCCAGCCGTGGCTGCCGAGCAGGCGCGTCTCCTTGGTGACGCAGCCGCGCACCGGCTTCAGGCCGAACGACTCGATGGCCTTGTCCACCGTCTGCTCGGCCATCTCGCGGTACGTCGTCCACTTGCCGCCGGCAATCGTGAGCAGGCCGCTGTCGGAGACGTTGATCATGTGGTTGCGCACGAGCGACTGCGTGTCCTTCGCGTCGGGGTCCTTAACCAGCGGGCGCAGGCCGCTCCAGGCGCTCAGCACGTCGCCGCGGCGGACCTTAATGTCGGGCGAAAGGTAGTTGCGCACCTCGTCGAGGATCCACTGGATCTCCTCCTCCTTGGGGTGCGGGTGTGCCTCGACGGGCGCGGCCGTGTCGGTGGTGCCGGCAATCGTGTTGCCTTGCCACGGCAGGAAGAAGATGACACGTCCGTCGGACGTCTGCGGGTCAATCAGACCCATGTCGCGCGGCGAGTAGTAGCCCGGCAGCGTGATGTGCACGCCCGAGGACGGCGCCACAATCTCCTGCGCGGTGGGCTGGTCCATCTTGCGCAGCGCGTCCGAGAAGGGACCGGTGGCGTTGATCACGCCCTGTCACGAGCAGTCAGCACGAAATTCTAGCCACTCGTGGCGCGCAGCTCACCTTGCACTTGACGTCCCACTCGTCGCCTGTGAGCACGTCGCGCAGGCGTGCGCCGCAGATCTGGTCCGGCTTGCCCTCGACCTTCTTCTTGTGCAGCGCCGTCACCTCGGTGTGGTTGGCCACGACGGCGCCGTGGTGCACGGCCGTGAGGGCGAGGGCGACGTTCATGCGCGTGTCGTTGTGCTGGCCGTCGTAGTACACCACGGCGCCGGCAAGGCCCTGTGCCTTGAGCATTGGGAAGGCTTCGAGCGCCTTGCCGCGGCTGAGCACGTAGGACGACTCCATGTTCTCCGAGCCGGCGAGCATGTCGTACATCTTCGTGCCGGCCCAGTAGTACGGCACCTGCCACCAGCTGTGGAGGTGTGTGAGTGGTGCAGTGCTACATGTGTGCGATTGCGCTCACCGGTAGACGGGCAGCATGATCGGCAGGTGCTCGGAGAGGTACGGCGCAATGTGCAGGAACGTCTTGCGCTCGTGCAGCGCCTCGCGCACCATCTTGTACTGGTCGTAGTCGAGCTCAAAGACGGCCTTCTGCAGGTAGCGCACGCCGCCGTGGATGAGCTTGGTGCTCTTCGACGAGGTGCCTGTCGGCGGCAGAGGTCAGCGTGAGCCGCACAGCCTGGCATAGACGCCACGCACCCGCGCCAAAGTCGTCGCGCTCCACCATCGCCACGCTGAGGCCGCGCGTGGTGGCATCAACGGCGACACCTGCGCCCGTGGCGCCACCGCCGACGATCAGCAGGTCGAAGCCCTCGCCGTCCTCGTTGCCGTCGCGGCCCATGGCCTTGCCGCCGCTGTCGGCGCGCGCGGCGGGGCTGGGCGTGGAGCTCTGCGCGTCCTTGGCGGGCGTGCCGAGCGACAGGTTGTCCTCGCTGGAGCGCGCCGCATCGGGGCGCAGGCCGGCGGCCGACGACGCCTTGAGCGCGGCGAGCATCTGGGCGCGCGTGGGCGGCGACCAGAGCGGGTGCGGGCGCACGTCGCCCTTGACGCCCTGCCGCACCTCGCGCTCGTCGGCGTGCGCCGTGCCCATCGTCAGCGCCGCCGCAGCGGCGGCAAGCGCCAGGCCACCGGCGCCGCCGTAGTAGAGCACGCGCCGCGAGCGGGCGCTGGGGCCAGCAGCAGCGTTGGAGCTGGCATGGCGCACGCCGGCACGCGGCACGGCGGCGACGGAGCGGCGCAGCATGGCACGCGCGTAGTCGGGGGCAGGGATGTGGAGGCGGCGGCGGAGTGCACGCGCAGCGGGCAGCGGCGGCGGCGAAGGCGGCGCTGGGGGCGCTACGAGCAGCAGCCACGGATGAGCACAGAGGAGTGCGGGAGGTGCTGCAAGCTGGGTGCCGGGAGCGCACGCAGGTGGTGGTGGGTGGTGACGACGAGCCGGAGCGAGCGTCGACGGCCGGCGCGATGCATCGGCGGCGCCGCTCAGCAGCAGCCAAGCATGGCGCATGCGCCGCACGCGGTTCATGCGCGCGTGCGCTCGCAGCAGCGCGCAGGTGCAGCAGACAGACCCTCGGCGGCGCCCTCGCAGCCGGCCCGGTTCAGCCGAGGCGGAGCGGCAGCCATGCTGCGCCTGTCGTCGTCGCAAATCTCACGCATGCCGCTTCGCACCGCTGCTGCGCCGATGCCGGCTGAAGACACCGCCGCGCTGCTGACGCTTGATAGAGCGGGAGAGACAGCAGAGCCGCGGCGGATGCGTGTGGCCGGCCGCGAGCGCCGCGCCAGGCTAGGCACGCTCACGTCACCGCGCCGGCGTGCCCGATGCCGCCCTGTCGCGAAACTTGCCGCTGCGAACTGCCGCTGCATCTCGTTCTGCTGCAGCTCACGCTTGGCAGGTGGCCCTCCCAGCGCTGGCGGATCCTCCGTCCGAGCTCGCAGCGACCTCGCACCGCATCTCGCGGCGGCGCCGTCGCTGCCCCGAGCCCCCAAGAGCCCTTGCTACACGCTGCGCAGAAAGATGGGCGAGGCCACCACGCTCGCGGCGCATTGTTGTCGCAGCGGAGGAGCATCGCCATCGCGATGAGCTTGGCGCCCAGTGAAGAGCATTTCTGCGTCGCTCGACGCCGAGACGACTTCGTGCTGCACACCCCTTGCCACCAAAGAAGCAGCTGAGAAGGTGGATGCAGCGTCGGAGAGGAGCGGCGCTGCTGTGGGAGCGGCGCGGCGCGCGGCGGCAGGGCTGGGCTGCGGCGACGCGCTGCAGCAGTCACGTGCTGCGGCCCTTCCTCGCGCGCGGGAGCGACTGCGGCGCCGCGTGAGCCGACTGCCGCCGCCGCCGCCGTTGCTTCTGGCGCGCCGGCTGGCTGGCTGCCGCCGCTGCGTCCGTCCAGCCGGCCTACCACGACCTCCTCCTCCCTCTCACCCTCTCCGACCTCAAGACTTCGTGCGTGCCGCCGCTGCCGCACACGCGTGCATCGAGACCGCCCGACTGACCTCTGTTTCTGTCTCTCTGCTTGCCGCACACAGCATTCATCATGGGTGTCCGTGACGTTCCCGCCGACTCCTTCATCACGGCCTACGCCAACCACCTCAAGCGCTCCGGCAAGGTGAGGCGCGGCGGCCGTGGACATGCTGGAGGACGGCAATGCTGCTGCGTTGGTGGGAGACGGGCAGATGACGTGGTGCAGGCACAGTGATGCTGTGCTGGAGTAGCGTCAGGAGGACGGAAGGGCGAGCGCGGCCGGTGAGCAGGACACGCGCGCGAACAGCCTGCTGACATCCTCCATCGCCTCTCTCTCTTTCCCTCGCCGCTCTGCTCGTTGCTCTGCCTCTCTCGTTGCTCTTGCTGCTGGGTTGGGTCTGGAATTAGCTTGAGGTGCCCACCTGGGTGGACATCGTCAAGACGGGCGCCTACAAGGAGCAGGCCCCGTACGACCCTGACTGGTTCTACGTGCGCGCTGGTGAGTACTCGCTGCGAGTCTGATTGAGCTGCGACGGAGCGAAAGTGCATAGATGCGAGGCGCCGGGTGGCAGAAGCTTGGTGCAGCCAGGAGGGCGCGGCGGATGTGTCTGGCATGTAGATGTATGGCGCAGCACTCAAGCGTGAGGCTCGGCGTGCGGCAGGTCTGCTTGACTGTTCCGTCGCACGAGCTGGCATGCTGTCGCCTCGATTTCGCGGTACAGGCATGCTGCGACGATCTGCGCGTCACGTCCTGTCGAAGGCGCCGATGGCCGGCAGCTGTGCTGTGCGACTTTAACGGGCGCTGGCGTCACAAGGGTCGACTTGAGTGCCGACCTTCAGGCGGTAGGGAGACCAGGCAGAGCTGACGCGTCATTTACCCTGCAGCTGCCCTGGCCCGCCACGTCTACCTGCGCAAGGCCGTCGGCATCGGCGCCCTGCAGAAGTACCACGGCGGCCCGAAGAACCGCGGCTTCCGCCCCCAGCGGCACGCCGAGGCCTCGGGCTCGGTGCAGCGCAAGGCTGTGCAGGGCCTCGAGGGCATCGGAGTGCTCGAGAAGGACCCCAAGGGCGGCCGCCGCATCTCCGTCGACGGCATGCGTGACCTGGACCGCATCGCCACCGCCGTGCTCGAGAGCATGCGCGAGGAGGAGGACGAGGACGAGGAGGAGGACGACGAGGACGACGAGGCCGAGGACGAGGACGACGAGTAAAAGCGACGCGGCGCACACTTCACTTCATTCACCGCTCGCGCGCAATCTCATGCATCCCTTCTAGGCACACCGTGCGGCGTGTGTCTTGCCTGCGACGAAGCAGGCTTGCGTGGTGTTCTGGTTGGCAGAGGGAAGCCGAGCGTGTGCTATCAGTCGCGTAGGCGCCGTCGTGTCCGAATTGCTCTCTCCCGCTGACGAGGATGAGATGTCTCATGGCCGTGTCTGCTGCCCCTCTGTCCGTGTCATCGCGCCCAGCACACGGAAGCTCCATCTGATGGCACTCAGCGCACACACACGCGATGACGCACAGCTCACGATGCGGCTGGTATTGCGAAAGGCGGCAGCGAAGCCCGATAGAGAGGCACTACAGGACTGACTCGGGCTGCCGAGGGCGAGACGCGCGCAAGAGGAGGGGTGTACCAAAGACAGAGGGACGAGCTGCAGCAGGTCAGATGCCGCGCCGGGTGTGGATACATAACAACAGGTGAGAAAGAGAGGAGGGTTGCGCAGAGGTGAGGCTCAAAAGACAGTGTGGGTGTGTGGCAAGTGTAAAGAGAAAGGGAGCGACATGAGTGTGTGAAAAGTGGAGACGGGCGTGCGGCGCAAGGGCAGCGCGCAGGCGGTATATGGCAGGAACGGAGAAGCGAAAGCGGGACGGACCACGGAGCAAGGCGAGCAGGGGGCAGCGCACCAACGCGTTCAGTGTCTCCGGCTTGGTGCGTCGGACGTGAAGCCCTCGTCGGCCGTCACGGCGCCGTCGGCATCGCTGGTGAACTCGTTGCCCGACGTCATGCCGTCGTCCTCGGTGCCGGTGCCGGTGCCCGTGGTGCCGCTGCCCGTGCCGCCGACGCGCGGGATCTCGCCCTTTGTGCTGCTGACGCACACGAGCGGCAGCGCGCCCTCGGTGCCGTCGCTGGTGCGGCCGAGCGCCCAGCCGTCGTCGTACAGCCGCACGATGGTGACGAGCTGCTCCGGCTCGAGCGTGATCTCGTCGTTGAGGCTGGCGTTGTACGGGTAGATGGCAATCACCTCCTCGCCCGGGTAGATGTCCTGCCCCGTGTACTGGTCGCGCACCATGGGCACCGTCGTGCCGCGGCCGTCGGTGCCCGAGCTCTGCGTCGTGACGCCCGAGATGGGCCGTTCTTGCCGGTCCTCGCTCGAGTGGTCGCGGCTGCTGCCAGCGGCGGCGGCGGCGGCACCGACGACGCCGGCGCCCACACCTGCGCCAGCGAGCGCTGCGCCGCCGCTGCCGCCAATGCCCTTCTCGTTGGACAGCGGGCTGGCGTCCATGGAGCGCCCGTGGCCCATGCCGTCCTCCGAGTGCTGCCACGGCTTCTCCGTCGAGCCCGAGCGCGCGCCGTTGTGCGCGGCGTACATGGGTGCGATGCCGCCCTGGTGCCCGTTGCGGCGGCGGCGGAACACGACGAGTGCGAGGAAGGCGCCCAGAACGAGTGCGCCGATGATGACTCCGATGATGAGACCGGCAAGAGCGCCGCTGCTGAGGTTGGCGGCGCCGTTGGTCGAGCTGCTGTTGTCGCTGGCAGACGAGCCGGCGGCGCCCGAGTTGGTGGGCCGCTGCGAGGAGCTCGAGGAGGTGGCCGTGGCCAGGCCCGTGGCGACGGACGTCGTGGCGATGATCGCCGCCGCCGCCGGGTGGCCGTACGACGCGCACTGGCTGAGCGACGTGTTCTGGTCAAAGCAGCAGGCGTCGATGGTGCGGTCTGCAGAAGGCACGCCGCGTCAGCGCCCGAGCCCGCGCAAACCCGGTGCTCTGCCCTACTCACTGCCACTGGGATCACACGCCGTGCACAGCTCGGTGCTCACGCCCGGGCCGTAGCCGCAGTTGCCCTCATTGGCGCGTCCCTCGACGCACGTGGCGTTGTTCGTGCTCACGAGCGTGGTCCAGTCTGCGAGCTGGCGTGAGTGCAACATCGAGCGTGCTGCATCGCCGCACACTCACCAGTGCATGCGACAAAGTCGCGCGTGAGCGTGTCCGAGCGCGTGCGGTTCTGCGCCGCGGTGAGCTGGTCCTCGGGCGCACACAGCGCCGGGTTCTCGACGAGGCGCGTCTGCGCCGCCGACCAGGAGCGGCACGTGTCCTGGCAGATCATGGTGGGCGCCTGCACGTTGCACGCCTCCGAGTAGCTCATCTGCGTGAACTTGCCGCACATGATGGTGCGCTCCCACTGCAGCGTCGTGTTGGCAATGCCCGAGCCGTTGCACGCCAGCTGCCGCTGCTTCTTCTCGGCAGTGAAGCGGCTGGGGTCGCTGAAGTAGAGGGCAAACTGCTCGTCGAACGTGGCGACGTCGTTGACCTGGGAGAACCAGGAGAAGCGCGTCGAGAGGTTGGTGGGGTTGATGTCTGTGCAGCGGTGTGAGCGTGCGCCTTGCCACTGCGGGCGACACGGCCGCCGCCACACGCGCGCTGCTCTGCCTGCCACTCACAGGCGTCCTGGAAGCTGGGGCACTGCTCGCTGCCGCGCAGGCTGAGGCACTCGGGGCCCTGCGCCGCGACGAGGGTGGCCGGCAGCGCGACAGCTGCGGCGGCGAGAAGGAGAACACGGCGGGCCATGGCGGCGGCGGCAAGTGCGCTCGGGGCGCGGGGCCGGCGAGAACGAGGCAGAAGGAGTGTGGGTGGCGCGGGTGTGCGAGATGCGCGAGAGATGGAGCAAGAAGAGTGCGCGCGTGTGTGAGAGGGCTGGTGCGAAGGCGGAGGAGGGTGCGCTGGGATGTCGAGGTGAGAGCGAGAGGGGAGCGAGGTGTGCCAGATTAGAGGCGAGGCGGTCGCGGACGCGGGCGAGCACAAAGGGCACGGCGAGAGGCCGGCGGGCCAAGCGGCGCGCGCGCAAAGAGAGCGTCGCGAGCGCGGGAGCAGCACGGCAAATCGCGCTCCCCTCGCACTGCTCCCGTGCCTCGCTCCCGCCTGCGCGCCGGACGCGCGGGGCGCTTTGGCGCGCTCAGCGGCCGCTCCGCCGCGCCGCCGCCGTGCCCTCGCCGCTCATCGCCGCGGCTCCTTGTTCGCTGCAGGTGCACCGCTGTGCCTTGTGCGTGGGCCAGAGGTGCTGCTGCGGCAGTGCGCAGCCTCAGCGAAGACAAGGCTTTGCAGCCGGCGGCGGCGAGGAGGCGGCCCGCACGAGCGGTGCGCGTAGCGGTGCGGTGCGCGGCGTGCGCTGCGCTCGGTGGGCTGCGGGCACGGCGGCAGCGCAAGCACCGCACGAGCGAGGCAGAAGAGCAGCTCGCGCCCGGCGGGAGGCGGAGTGCGGCGCGCCCCCGATGCCTGCGGGCGTCACCTCGCGCCGGCTGCTGATCAGCTTGTGGTCTCAGAGCAGGCAGAGGGCCAGCATGAACGCCGGGGCGATGCGCAGCGCCCACGTTCTCAGCTCGCGACGGAGGCTGGAGATGGATGCGCCAGCGCGACGACGTCAGCGAAGCGTACCTGCGAAGGCTGCCCTCGACGACGACGACGACGACGGCGACGGAGGGGCCTCCGAACGGCCGCGCCCGCTGTGTGGCGCTGCGCGATGGCCCGAGGGCGCGCAGGCGCAGGCAAGGGGCTGGCTGCGGCGCGCGCCAGAAGACGGCGCGGACGCCGCTGCGCTGCGGCTGCAGTCGCAGTTGCGATGCTGCGGCTGCGACTGATGCTGCGGCTCCTTCTCGATTTCAACCTCAGCAGCAGCAGGTCAACAGATGCACAGCTCGCCGCAATACAGCCAGGTGCAGGAGGCGGGCTCGCCGCACCGGTCTGCGAGCCACGCAATCCTCCGGCGGGCGCAGCGCTGACGGGCCGCGGAGGCGTCCGGCGCCTGGCCCTCCTGCCGGGCCACGCACAGCCCGTCGCAGCGCTCCCGAGCGGCACAGGCCACCGGACGCAGCATGCACGCGGCGGCCCGAGCTTCTGCCGCTGCCTCCATCGCAGGATGCTGCTGAGGAGTGCGATGCAGCAGATGTATAAGTAGCGCGGGCGCGAGGCGCTGCTGCCTGCGCCCTGGCTCTGCCAACGCCCACTCGGCGCGCACCAGCAGCGAGCGAGCCGTGCGCGGAGCCGATCATTCGCGAGGCGCGCCGCCGTCGCTGATCCTTCTTGCACGCCCGGCGCGGCTGATGATGAGCTGGGCTGAGCGAGGTGCGAAGATTGGGGGATGCCGAGGGCGGAGGCGGCGGCGGAGGCGGCTGCCGCTGCGAGATCAACAGCCGGGCGCGGCCGTACCGCCCGACGCGTCGAGCCCCTGTTGCTCTGCCGCGCGGCGCTGGATGTGTTTCCACGGTGGCTGCCAAGCGTGGCGCCTGCGCATGGCGGGCGCGCGGCAGCACGGTGCGCGCACCGCACAGCACCCTGCAGCGCGCCGGCAGCACCAGCGAGCGGCTCAGGGGCTGGCGCGGCCGGCGCGGCCTCCTCTCCGCGCCGCCTCTCCCTGTCTCTGTCCCACGCCCCTCTCTCTCACTCACACCCTCTCCTCGTCCGTCGTCTCCTCTGCACCGCCTCGTCCGCTATTCTCCGGTGCTCCGCGCCACCTCGCCATCCCATACCCCGTGCCGCGCCGCCGCAGCACCGCTGCCCGGCCTCGCTGCCCCTCACACCACGCGCTCCTCTCGCCTCCACACCCTCGCCGCCACCCTTGCCACTCTGCCGCGGCCGCCTCGCTGCACCGACGCCGCATGGCGCACCCGCTCAGCGCCGCCGCCGCCTCCGTCCCGGCGCTGCACTCGCGGCGGCCCGCGCTGCGGCCCGTGAGCCTCGTGCGGCCCTCGTCGACGACGTCGCTCTCGAGCACGAGCGCGAGCGGCAGCAGCAGCAACAACACGTCGCCCAATCTCTCGTCGGAGTGCTCGGCGCGCCTCTCGAGCATGTCCGACGTCTCCGCGTCGTCGGCACACACGAGCGCCGCGTCGTCGTACGCAGCGCCGTCGCCCAAGGAGGCGCGCATGCCGAGCGTCGTGCGCACCAGCTCCGTTGACTCGGCGCGGGCGCGGCCGCGCGTGCGCAAGCAGAGCGACAGCGCCCTGCACTCGAGCAGCCGCCCGTCGAGCGTGCACAGCAGCGCCTCCGGCCACAGCGGCCACGGCCACGGCCAGCTGGCCGTGCAGCCGGGCCTTCTCTCGCCCACGCTCGCGTCCGCGCTCGGCATCAACGTCTCGAGCTCGGCAGCGGCTTCGGGACGCAGCAGCGCGGCAGCGGCGGCCAGCAGCTCAGGTAGCGCGGCCAAGCTGCGCCCTGCGCGGCCCATCACCGCCGACACGTGGGCACGGCGGCCCAGCCTGCCAAATGTGCCGAGCATGGTGAACCGCATCTCGACGATCAGCATCGCCTCGTTCGAGTCGCTGCCCGAGGGTGAGCCTGTCTCGTTTGCCGCCTCGCCGCTGTCGCGCACCACGAGCGCGCACGACGAGCCGGTGAGCCCGACGTCGCCGACGTCGCCCGTGTCGATGACGGCGCCGTCGCGCAGCGGCTCGCATCCCGTCGGCGACAGCAGCATGGAGAGCTGCGCGTCGGCCGGCTCGTCGACGTACTCCACCACGCGCAGTGGCCGGCCCAGTGCGCTGCGGCGCAGCCCCACGGATCCGACGCACGTCGTGGCGAGCTACGAGGCGATGATGAAGAAGCGGCTGCACGTCGCCATGGAGCTTGTCGACACGGAGCGGCTCTTCGTGGCGAGCTTGCGACTGATCAATGATGTGAGTTCGGCGCGTGATGAGACGCTGGCGCACTGCTGACACGCGCCTTGCAGTCCTACTATCAGCCTCTGATGGCGCTGAGCAAAGGCGCGGCAGCTTCGAGCGTCGCATCCAGCAGCTCTGCGGCACCGATGCTCTCGCGCAAGGCGCTTGGCGAGATCTTCTCGAACTTCGTCGACATTCTGCACCTCAACTCTGAGCTGCTGGTTCGGCTCGACGACCGGCTCAGCGGGCGCAGTCGCTCGCCGCCCGGCTCGCGCCCGGCGTCGATGGCCCTCGCGTCGCCGTCGGTGCCGGAGATCATCTTTGATCCCGCCGCCTCGCTGATGCCTTGGGCGGCCGAGACCGACGTCGTCGGTGACATCCTGCTGCCGATGGCGCCCTTCCTCAAGATGTACTCGCTGTACGTCAAGAACTTCTCGTCGGCGCTGGCGCGCATCGAGAGCGAACGACGGTCCAACGATGCATTCAGTCGCTTCCTGCGCGACACGGAGCGCGCCACCTGGGGCAAGGCTAGCGCCAGCGGCGGCTTCGGATTCGGACTGGGCTTCCAGGCGCATCTGCTGACTATTGTGCAGCGCATTCCGCGCTACAAGATGCTCGTCGGCGACCTGCTCAAGTACACGCCTAGCAGCCACCGCGACTACGCCGATCTGTCCAAGGCGTTCGAGGTCATCGAGCAGGTCGCCTCATACATCAACGAGAACATACGGCAGCACGAGATGGTGCTGGTCATGCTCGGTCTGCAGCGCTCGCTCGTCGGCCTGCCCGAGCCGCTCATCGTGCCCGGTCGGTCGCTGCTGCTGCGCGGCGCGCTGCTCAAGGCGTGTCGCCGCAACATTCAGCAGCGCGAGTTCTTCCTCTTCTCAGACTGCCTCGTGTACGCCAGCCCCGTCAGCGGCTCGATCGGCATGGAGTCGGCCTCTGCCGCATGGCAGGCTTTCGCTCGTGGCGGCGGTCTGTACGGCGCGACAAGCGAGCCGCCGCCGAGTCCCACGTTTGGCGGCGCCACTCGGCTGCCAGCTGAGCGCACTTCGACAGGGCCAGCCGACGGCACGGCCGCTGCTGGAGCCAGCCGGACGCGCTGCACGTCTGCCGAGGCCACGCGGCCTCTCTCGATGGCGCAGGACAGCCAGCAGCTGCAGTTCCGCGCCAAGTTCCCGCTCCAGGAGCTCACCGTCGTCGGCGTCGAGGGCGGCGGACCAGCAGCGCTGCGCTACTCCTTCGAGATCCGCACGCCCAACAAGAGCTTCGCCGTGTACGCCGACAGCGCCGAGACGAAGGAGGCATGGCTCTCTGCCATCCGCGACGCACGCGACGACCTCATGAGCGCACGGCGCACGCTGCAGGCCGACGAGAACTCGTCGGAGCTGCGGCGTGAGCGACGCCGCTCCATGACTCGCGCCCAGTCGGCCTACGGCTTTTCGCAGCAGCAGGTCCGGCGCACGTCGGCGCCTCAAGGCGGCTGGGGTCTGCAGAGCTCGCCGTCGGCCAGCACTGAACCCGGTGATGCTCAGGCAGGCAACCGCTTCTCCATCGTTAGTGCCGACGGAGCGTCGAGCTCCGTGGGCGACGCACGGCCGCCTTCCTTCCCGAACAGCCTCCCGAGCGGAGCGTCGCTGGCGACGCTTCTCTCCTCGGGCGTAGGCATGGGCCACGGCCCCTCAAACGCACCCAAAAGCGGCCTGCGCGTGCTCGAGGACTACAACGCGCCGGTGTGGGTGCCCGACTCGCACGCCGACCGGTGCATCTGCTGCAGCGAGACGTTCGGCATCTGGCGGCGCAAGCACCACTGCCGGCTGTGCGGGCAGGTTGTGTGCTGGTCATGCAGCCAGCGCTCGTTCCTCATCGCGCGCTACGACGACGGCGACACTGATGTCGAGAAGCCCGCTCGCGCGTGCGACGCGTGCTACGACTCAGTGTTCCCAGTCGAAGAGGCACAAGCTCCCTTTGAGCGCGTCGTGTCCAGCACAAGCCAGCCACTCGAGCCGATTGAACCGGCTGCTGACACGGGGCCCGCCGCCGCCGACGCATCGTCCACCGTCGAGCCCACCGCAAGCGTCGCTGAAGCACCCGAGGCTGAGAGCTCCGAGGCACCAAGCCCAAGTAGCCCGCAGACTGGCGCAGCTCGCCAGTCCATCGCCGGCGCACTCGGACGACCGCCAATCCAGCCTCGCCTCGCATCCCTGCCAAACTCGCCGTCATCCGAGACCCTCGCGGAGCAAGAGGCCGGCCGGCCGAGCGAGCTCAGCGAGCTGACGCGCCGGCGCGTCAGCTCCCCGTCGTCTCGTGCTCCGGGCCCCAAGCTGCAGCGCGCCTCTGGCGCTCGCCCGGCGCTCTTCCACGGCGGCCTGGCGCCGCAAGTGCAAGCAGCGACGTCCGGCTCGGGCACGTTCCGCCTGTGCACGCCGCGCCTCACCACGCCCGAGGCAGAGCACCCGTCCGGCTGGCCCGGAGCCATCACGCGCATTGGCGAGGAAGGCTCGTACTTCGCCGGCGCCGACTCGTTCGATGCCGGCGGCGATGCTGCGCCGCCCATGGCGCGCCCGCGCAAGAAGCCGCTGAGTGCCGCTGCTCGCCTCAGCACGGTGTACGGCGTCGCTCCGGCCAGCATGCCGGGCGCCTGAGGCGCCCCCTATATCCAAGACTCCTTGACAGACTCCATCGTTCCCGCACCCCATCAGATACCTGCAGCGACGCACTGCTCCCTTCACGTCCCACCGCCTCATGACCGCGACGACGCTCTATCTCCACACCGCTCAATGCTAATCGTGTTTGTGCTTGATTGCAGGTGGTATCGATGATGTCTAGGGTTGTCGAGCAATGCCTCAGCGCACGCGCAAGGCCGCCCGGGCGCGAAGGGCCGCCGGTCGGCTGGCTGCGCAGTACGACGCGCCGCGCTCGCGTGCTTCCTTGGCCTGCGTGCGTGCCTGGAGGGCGTTCGCCGCCGCTCCGTTGGACCGCGTGGCCGACGAGAGGGCCATGCTGCTCAGCTCGTGGACCACGGCCGCGAGAGCCGCGCGCCGTGCCGGGTCGGCATCGCCGGAGGTGTCTGCTGGGCCGCGCCGCTGTGGCGCAAGGCTGGTGTGCTGGTGGAAATGCTCGAGTTGCCTGCCGAGCGCATCGGAGCCGCCAAGCGCCGCAGAAGCGCGACTGAGGAGTAGCGAGCGAAGAGCGAGCAAGTGCGCGTCGATGAGCGAGGACTCGAGCGCCTCGAGCAGCAGCGAGCGCAGCAGCGAGACGATCAGATGATCGAGCGCGCCGACGACGAGCTCCACCTGCGCGCCGGGTGCTGTGACGGAGAGTTAGACAGTGCTGAGGTTCGGGCTCGCGGCGTGGCTCACCGTATTCGAGCATCGAGGCAGCAGCGTCAGCCAGTGTGACCACGCCCTCAAGCGCACCAAGGGCGACAAGACTATCGTTGGCCGAGAAGGCGAGGTCGAGAGCAATGACGGTGCTCTGGACGAGTCTCGCGCCAGAGCCGTTCGCGTCGACGAGGCCTAGGCCGAGCAGGCGGTGCGGGAAGCGGCCCGCGATGTTGCTCGTGAGGCGGCCGAGCTCGCTGCGGATGGCCGGCACGCTCAAGGCGTCGCTCTGCAGCAGCGGGACCACCGTCGAGAAGCCGTGAAGCGCCACGTCCGACGTGCGCTCGGCGGAGAGAGAAGAGGCGAGCCACGAGCTCTGATCGCCGTCGTCATTTGCAGACGAGACCATGGCCTCGTTCAGGAGCTCCAGCGTCAGGCGCAGTCCCTCGAAGGGCGCGTCTTCCTCGAGTGCAGAGGCAGTGTCGACAGGCGCCAGCGCTTCCGGAGCCGCCGCCAGGGCGTCGATGAGACGCCACACCGTGATATTGATGCCCGCCACGATGGACGGCTCGGCAAAGTCGAGATCGAGCGAGACGGCCAGCGCTTTGACAACGCGAAGCAAGCCCACGGCAACCTCAGGCCGCGACTTGTACGCCCCAACCAGGCCGACAAGTGCGTCGAAGAACTGCGCAACGAACCCGTAGATGGCCTTCGCACTCGAAGGCTGCGCGCTGTGCGCCAGCCCTTCAAGCATGTCGAGCACTGTGAGTACACTTGCGAGGACCTCGCCGCGCTGGCTGACGGCGGCAAAGTCGGGCCGGTGTAGCACGGCGCTGAGACGCTGCTCGATCGCGCCAGTGATGCGCTGGAAGTACGAAGCGGCCAGCTGTGCACTGCTGGCCTCTCCGCTGGCCGCGCCGTAGATGCACGACACGACACCTGCAATGACAGAGCCGTGCGTGCTCGCCGGCAGCGCGTCGAGCCCGTGAATGACGGCCTCGACAATGCGCTCGAACTCCGGCCTCGCGAGCAGGCGCGTCTTGAGGCCGGACGAGCGTGTCAGCGCTGTGAGAACAGCGGCTACCTGCTGCACCACGTCGGCGTCCGACAACCAGCGTTCGAGGTTGTCGCGCAGCAGCTGGAGCAGGTAGGCTAGGAGCTGCTCGCCTGGCTCGCCGCTGAAGGTCTGCTGCAGAGCAGCTGAAGTCGGATTCTCGTCGGAAGCGAGGAGGTACGAGGCAGCCCAGCGGCCGTTGAACCAGAGCAGCGTCTCTGTGACTTGCGGCGAGGCAGGTGCGCTAGCGGCCGCCGAGGTGAGCTTGTGCAACAGCTCGACGCCAAGCCGTGTGATGAGGTGGGCAGCCGGATGCCCGTGCTGAGGAGGAGACGAGCGTCAGCCAGACTCAGCGGATGACTGACGCAACGCAACTCACCTGCGCAGCAAGGCCTGTGATGGCGCTGGGAACTGTCGGCGTCTCGCCGCGCACATCGTCTGCGAGCACGTGCCCCGCCATGAGAGCCAGCCAGTGCACCTGCTCCCAGGTCCCGGCGAGGCGCGTCAGAGCCTCATCGCCGTCGACCTGCGCTGAGCCGTCGGCCACCGACGCGAGCGTAGCGCAGAGTGGGTCTGCGAGATGGACGAGATGGTTGAGACTGCCGGCTGCGTCGTAGCGAGCGAGGACGGCCAGCGTGATGAGCTGATCCGCATAGAGGTCGCGATCCTTGCCAGCCTCCTCGCCGACTTCCGACATTGCGTCCTCGGCACTGCCGGCAAGCGCGGCGGCGAGTCGCCCTTCGAAGTAGGGAGAGACCACGTTTGGCCGCACTGCCTCGGTCAGGGCGTGCCACAGAGTCTGCATCTCAGCAGAGGTCTCGCCCTGCTCCAGTGCGCCGCCGACCGAGGTGCACAGCGTCAGCCAGCACCTCAGCGCTGCGTCCGTGCACTCTTCGGCCAGAGGCACCAGCTCCTCTTCTTCGTCCGAGTGGCCTGCTCGCCGGAACGCGAATGCGAAGATCGTGCCTGTGAGCTGGGCGAGTGCGCCCACGAAGGGACCGAGCTCGCCAACGTCATGCGCTTGCACTCGGCAGGCGGCACACAGCACTCGCGGAGCGACAGAGCCGAGAAAGACGTTGACCGCAGTGGCGAGGAAGAGCAGGGCCTTGGCACGCGTGCTAATAAGGCGGTGACCATCAGCGGCCGAAGGAGTGCACTCTGCCTGAAGCAGCTCCTGGAGCACAGACACGAAGGCGGCAGCGCGCGAGACTTCGTGCTCGAAGTCGAGAGCGTGGCCCGGCGCCGGAGCGAAGCTGGCGACTGTGAGGATCGTCTGTCGCAAGCGATGCGTCGCAATCGAAGAGAAGAGCCGATCCTCGAGCTCTGCCGAGGTCTCGAGCTGCAGCGCATGCCGGTATGCAGCAGCCAAGAGCTTGACGATGTCGCTGCTGAGCAGCAGCGCGTGGAAGTCGCGGGGCACTGGGTGTGCACTGAAGCTGCGCTGGCCATCCTCGACGCCACTGGCTGCTGAGCCGCTCTCGTCATTGAGCAGAAGCGACCCGACGTCGACGGTCTCGTAGGAGATGCCAGCGAAGGGCTCAACGAGGAGGAATTGCCAGCCCATGAGGCGCTCGAGCAGCGGCACAACGTGCCGGAACAGGCTTGTTCCAGATGCTGCATGAGCTCCTGACGGGAGGCAGTCGACGAGCAGGTGGAAGACGAGAGGCAGCAGCGACGGAAGAAGATACGTCTGTAATGCAATGTCAGTGATGGCACAGAGGACTGGCCGTAGCGTAGAGTCACAGCTCACCTGCATGGCCGCCTTGCACCAGCGGTGCTCCAGTGCGCTCAGTCCGACGGCACTGCCCGTCTCGAGCGCTCTCTGTTTGCCAGCCTGCTTTGACGACCGCCCGCTTTGAGCTTCGGCGCCGCCTGCAGAGCTACTGAGGCTCATCTCGTCCACCAAGGCGCCGGAGATGCCGAGCGCGGCAACGACACGAGCAGTGCTGACTGCTGCCTCCAGCTGATCGCTTGGCCATGGGCTCGGCACGACGAGCAGGGCCGCGATCTGCTGTCCCAGCCCCGAGAGCTGCTCGCGCGCGGCTGAGTGTGCCGCCTCGGGCCCGCCCGATGCGAGCGCTGAGCTCATGGCCAGGCCCAGGATGCGCTTTGCGACGGCAGCCACGACCTGGTATGCACGCGAGCGCACATATGTCGGCCACGGCCCGCTGCTGCGGGCGCCGGCGGGGCCCTTGGTACCGGCATCGGCAGCGCGCTCAGCCTCGGCGCCTCGGTGCACGGCCACGCGCAAGAGAAAGTCGAGCAGCGTGGAGAGGTGCGCAATGCTCGGCCGCGGCTGCGCTGCCGGCAGCGAAGGCAGCGCGGCGAGGATCAGGTTGAAGGACTGAAAGAGCACGAAGGGATCGGACGAGTGCTCTGCGGCAGCGATTGCAGGTCAGTCATTACTGAGCGGGGCTAGCAGCGGCACCACCGCAGTCTCACCAAGTGCAAAGACAGCATAGTCGCACGCGCCCTCGCTCACACGGAGCGCCAGAAACGTGGCCTCGCCGCGCGCACGCACAACAGCATCGGGAGAGCTGAAGTCGAGCGCTGCCTGGTGGATGCTGTGCAGCGCCTCGTTGAGGTGCGGCGTTGCCTCGATGAGCGAGAAGGGCGCGAAGGCGGACATGGCCGGTGGCTTGAAGGGTGCTGCAGACTTCGCTCGCTCGCTCGCTGCTCCGTGCCGCCTTTCGCAGGCGAGCCTTCAGACGGTGTCAGGCCTGAGACCGGCCGATGGACAGGCTCTGGACACCGATGGGTGACGCAGAGGAAAGAGGTGTCACAGAAGAGCAGGAGGCACGAGCGGGAGCAGCGATGGCGCAGTGGAGGATGAGGTGCGGAAGGAGGCGCCTGGAAGAAGTGCGGAGCAAGCGAAAGCGTAGTCGCCGCTTTCGCCGGCCGAAAAAAACTGTACTGCCCCTTGCCCGGAATTGTACTCCGGCTCGCCTAGAGTTGTATTCGCGTGCGCCCAACTCAACGCCTCTCACCCTCCTGGCCGGCGCCCGTGCGCGCCGTTGCATCCACCCTCTCGTCCACGACCCCCTCTCGCACCTCTCTCGACACGTGTGCTGCTCTCGTCGCAGCGCCCCAATTCATCCCGCGCGCTCTTCTTAACGCCCCGTTCCGCAACTCCTGAGGCCGCCTGGCGCGCGCCGCACTCTCGTACGCACATCCTACGCCTCCTCCTGCATCGCCGGCCATGCCTTCCTGGCTGCCCGGCTCGAACCCCGCGCCGGGGCCTGGCGGCATCGGCGGCAGCGGCGGCACGGGCGCGTGGATGAACATGGACTCCATGCGCTACGCGCAAGGCGAGCTGACGGGCGAGAACGACGCGTTCAAGGAGCTCGGCTTTGAGCTGACGCGCCAGCAGCGCATCATCGGCTTCTGCTGCTGGTGAGTGTCGAGCATCGGGCAGCTGCGGAGCGATCAAGACAGATGTGGCGACGGATATGCGTGCGCCCGGCGCGCCCGGCTGCACGCAGGCGGATGGGCGCAGTGCGGAGTGCTGCAAGGTCTAGCTGTCGAGGGATGGACGCGCAGATGACAGACTGTCGTCGGAAGCTTGCGAGGCTTGAAGCCTCGCAGGCGCATAGGCCTGCAGCACGTACGGCCAGGCGCGCTTCAGGCGTACCCGACCTGCGACTCCATCTTGGGACTGACGCCGCCCTGTGCAGCCTGGCTGGTGGCTTTGCGCTCTCCATCATCGGCTCGGTCATGCTCTTCATCGGCCTGTCCGGCGTCTTCGCGGTCCTCTACTCTGTCGGCATCATTGCCTCGCTCGTCGGAACTGGTGTAAGTTGCCGAATTGCGTAGTACGCCCAGACGCCAGCTGACACTCTGCGGGCCGCCCAGTTCCTGGTCGGCTTCAAGCGGCAACTCAAGGGCATGTTCGACCCAGGTGCGTCGCGCGACAGGCCACAGCCTTTGCCTCGCTCACGCATTCCGAGCAGTGCGGATTGGCGCCACGATCATCCTGTTCGTCGCCTTCATCCTCGTCTGGGTCTTTGCGTTCGCCGTGCGGATCGATGTGCGTCGTGCGAGCGCCTGCTCTCTGCGGTGCCATGCTCACCTTGCTCCGACAGGTCCTGGCGCTCATCATGGTCATCATCCTCTACCTTGCCTATGTGAGTCAGGGCGCTGCGCTATCGTCCACCCATGCTCACGCCTGCGCGCAGATCTGGTACTCTCTCAGCTACGTGCCATATGCCCGCGCGCTGGTCTCGAACATGTTCAAAAAGCTGTTCTGAGGGCCTTTGCTGCGAGCAAGCTGGCCGGCCGGGCAACGTGCTATTATGACCTGCAACGACAATGCCGAGACCCGTCACACGCATGTGCGCATGACGTCGTGGCGAACGATCGTATTGGGCGCGGCAAGTGAGGCGGAGGAGACATGAAAGGAGACGGTGACGATGAAGGTGGAGCGAGCAAAGGAGGCAGGAGCGTGAGTGAAGCAGAGGAGAAGCACACGTGGCGATTGCACACGGCGTCTAGGCGCAGATGAAGCTCTTGTACGCGTCCTCGCCGGTCGTGTCGCCGCCGATGTACTGCGAGCGCGTGGGGAAAGGACAGAGGCGCCGCGTGTTCTCCAGGCCCCATGCCTTGTTGGCGAAGGGCACCGGTAGCTTGCGAATGTCCGACGCCGTGCCGTTGGTCTGCGGCGAGCTCTGGTAGTAGGTGTTGCGCGTCGTGTACGTGGCGGCGACCTGCGGAAGGGAGCCTCAGGTCAGCAGCCGGCGGAAGGACAGTCACGTAGCGCTGACCGGCTGGGGAGGGAGGTTGAGCTCGCTCCAAGCGATGAGCGCGAGGAAGATGTCGTGCTTGCTGTCGAACTTGAGCGGGGTGTTGCCGGCATGTGAGGGCAGCCAGCGGTAAGCATCGAGGGAGGCACGTGCGAATGCCGCAGCCACTCATCATTCTGCGTCGGGCTGCCAAAGTGCCACGGGCCGGGGCCGTCACGGCAGTGCGCCATGCCCGGGATCTCGTAGTACCGGAAGCCGTCGCTGACCTGCAAATACGGGCCCTTGAGCGCCGGCGTGGTCTGCTCGACGACGTTCTTGTAGTACGCCTGCGATGCCTCCGAGCTGATGATGAGATCGCTCAGGCCGTGCGTCATGATGAGCTTTCGGCCGGCGTTGATGAAGTCGGCGATCTGCGGGTCGTTGGCCTGGTAGCCGCCAACGTTCTCGTCGGTCGCGGGGTCGACGTCCGAGCCCGTGATGTTGCCGCCCGGGTAGCCGTCAAAGTCCGGATCGAGCTTGGGCTTCTTCAGCACCACGAGCTGCGTCCACGCGATGGCCTTGGCAGCAGCGCCGGTGTAGGACCTCAGCACCGACTCGAGGCCCGGCAGGAAACGCGGGTAGATGAAGATGCTGTGAAGCCGCCGTCAGCAAAGACATCTTGCTGTCGAGTCAGCCTTGCTCACCCATCCAGCACTGTGGGGCTGTAGAGCTTTTCGAGCTGTGCGTGCGTGAGCACTGGAAAGGCGACGGCGAGGACCAGCACTCACGTTGGCGATCTGCGTCGAGTTGAGACACGTGTCGTCAGAGGCGCCCCACTTGGTCGGCGCGCCGCACAGCAGGTCTTCCTCGAACTTGGGCTCGCAGGCTTCAGCGTGCACCATGACTCCGTCAGCGACACCATCGAGCGCCTCGTCGCAGCGCGAAAGGATCGCCTCGTGCACTGCGCCGGCCATGGTCTGTGCCGAGATGTACCCATCCTTCGCTGCGGACTTGCGGTGCGTCGCCTGCACAGTGATCTGGCCGATGTTCATCTGGTTGAAGCCGATCGCCGGCGAGCCTGCGAACACTCCGTCGAAGTCGTTGGGGTACTGCGGGCAAGATGTATGAGCGAGCGCTGCTGCCGTGGAGGCACGTAGCACTCACGACCTGGACCGACGAGAGCGAGCGGCCGCCGCCAACGCTGCACGCTGCGAGATATGAGCGCAGCCTGATCTTGCCAGTCGTCTGGTCTTTGACCCGCACGCCCGCCTTCTCGCCATACACGAGCTTCGCCGCCGCCTGTGCGAGCACATTCGTGACGTGGTTCGAGCGGCTCGCGGCGTCGAGGAGCTTGTTCTCAAAGACGCGCTGGCCATTGACGGTAGCGTTCACCCAAGGTGCTACGCCGCCTGTTGGAGCGAAGCTGACAGACGCAGCAGTGAGCTGTCACACTCGCAGTAGAAGAGCAGCATTTGTCACGACTCACTGGCCGCCATTCGTGCCCGCGACGACACCCATGTACCGACGCATGTACTGCTTGAGGTCCGTGAGCGGCACAAAGCCGCGCTGGCCGCCATTGCCTATCTGTATGAGCCGGCCGTTCCATCCGACGCCGTCGCCAAGCAGGTCCTCGCCTGCCACGCCGGAGTAGTTGCGCTCCTCCATGTGACTGCTCGAGCTGGTGGCGTCAAGGCTGCCCTCAATGGCGCCCGTCAGCACGTCCGCCACTGTGTCGGCGCCGAAGGTCACTGCGCCGCTGATGGATGCGCTGGCGCCGTCGATGCTCCCCGCCTTTCGAGGGGTCAGGTCAGCTGATCTCTTGCTGTTTGAGACCGCGTTCGTGACCTGTCCGCCTTGGCCGACGGAGCCCGGTGGACCGCGCAGCACCGTGCCATCGGCGGCGATCGCGAGCGGCGTCGAGTCGGTCGGGAAGTCGGAGCCATTGACAGGCGCGAGCGGCAGGCTCTCATTGTCGGCGAAGGGTAGCCAAACTTCCGAGAGCACCTGCGTGATGGGAGACGTGACGATGTAGGCGCCGAAGCGGCAGAACGGCGGGAGCCCGCCCAGCGGGCCGTTGCTCGCTGTTCGGCCATACGCGAAGCCGTAGCCGAGGTCGGCCGGGATGTCAATGTCGGGGCCGACATCGCTGAGGATCGCCGAGACGTTGACGCTAGCCGGGACCCAGCCAGGAGGGTAAGTCGCGCTCAGCAGCTCGAGAGAAGGGTTGCTGCCAGCCTCGTAGTACTACCTAGAGTGTCAACGAGCGCTCAAGATGCGACACTTGCCTCGCTCACCTGCGAGAAGGTGCCGTTGAGCGTGAGGCCAGTGTCGGAAAGCTTCGCCTGGGCGAGGTCATCGCAGGCCTGGCGAGCGCTCTCGCCGGCGTAGAACGGCGTGTCTTCGCGGCGCAGGTTGAGCGTCTGGCCATAGGCCTTGTCGTCGCGCGGCTGGACGGCACGCCGCATGGCTGCGTCGGAAGCGACACCGCTGGGCGGGTAGTCGCGTCTGCCATGCTGCTCGGCGCTTGGGACGCTGGCGCACTGCACGCTGGCGAGCGTCGCCAGCGTTACGGAGAGGGCGAGAGAGAGCGTTCGCATGGTGAAGACGAAGCTGTGCTGCGGTCGTAGAGGTGAGCAAGGCGCAAGGAGCCTCAGGAACGGTGTGCTAGCTCACTCTTCTCCTCCGCTGATGCTGTGAGGGTGTCGTGGGTGTGAGCAGAAAAGCGGGGCAAGTGTTCGTCGCGTAGCCGCCCGGAAGATGCAAGCACGGCGCCACTCGCCGCAGAACACGCCCCTAGCCGCAAGATCTGCTGATGCTTCCAGCGTCAGGCAGGCGAATCCGCCAAGTCGTGATCTTCAAAAGAGATCACACTCTATGCACAGGGGTCAAGCGGCGTTCAAAGCTGCAGCAGGAACGCAGCGCCGTCTGCGCTGAAGCAAGGCAAGCTTGAGTGGCCGCCCTATGTGCCTTCACCTTGCGGCCAACGCGGTCACGCGCGCGCGCGTTTGCCCCCTGAGGAACGCACGCTGTGCCCTGCCGAGGCGTTTGCCTCCTCTCGTCTTTGCTCGTGGAGCCGCCGCTTCTACAGCACTTACAGTCCTTCTTCTCGAACCCAGCAGCACCGAGAGAGCGGCAAGGTGGTCTGCGCAGATGTTGTGGTGGGATGAAGCGAGCAGGCCCCGCCGGAAGAAGAGCGTGCGCTGGCGGCGGGTGTAAGGCCGCCAGGCACGCAAGCGTCGCGCGAGAGGAGCGCCGCCGCGCCGCGCGCCCATCCTGCCCGCCGCCGCGTCGGCGCTAGCGGTCCGGGCACGCATGAAGCATGCGTCCAGCAGCCGGCTGCTGCCGAGACTTGGCACACAGCACGAGCAAGAGCTGCAACTCGCTTCGTCGTCTGTTCCATGTTGACGACAATACGCCCACCAGGAGACGAAAGATGGCACGAGTGTGGGGTACAGGAGGCAAAGGCGGCCGTCACTTTGCCTCGGCGATCGCGCCACGCGACGCGCGGCGGCGCCAGTAAGTGTGTCGGCGCCACCCCTGGGTGCGAGCGCCGCTGTCTCACCGCCTTTGGGCGATCATCACAGCATCAGCACGCAGACCCTGCGCCGCCGCCGCTGGGTGCTGAGAGCAGCCAGCTGCGGCGCCCTTTGAGAACTTCTTCACGGCCCACTGCCGCTGCGGAAGTGCTCAGGCGTTCCGGCACCGGATCCTGTGCTGCTGACAGGGGGCTCCCTCCGGCCTTGCTGGACCTGACGAAGCGTGTGAACCTGCTGCAACGAAGCAATACGGAGGGCCGGACGTGATCTGGAGGCGGCCTGAGACGTGAGATGGTGGCGATTGACGAGACATGGGTGGGAATGTACAAGAGGCGAGAGACGGAAAGGACGAAGCGAGCTTGGCTTGACGAGAGGGAGCGGCGCACAGCAGTGGGCTGCGCACGCTCACTCGTCGTCGATGAGCTTGTCGGCCTTGCCGCTGTCGCGCGTGCCCTTCGACGACGGCTTGTCCTCCTCGTCCTTCTTGCCGCTCTGCTTCTTGACCGTGTTCTTGCGGCCGTAGAACTCGGCGAGAATCTGAGGGCAGCGAGTGTGAGCCGCGGCCGGGCACCCGCAACGGCATCATGGCGCACCTTCGGGTTGATACGCGACAGCTGCGTCTTGGGGAAGACGCGCAGCAGCTCCCAGGCGAGGTCGAGACTGCAGATCAGGCGTCAGCGCAAGGACGGGCGACGCTGATCCTGGCACGACGCACCTCTCGTAAATGGTACGCGTCTCGTAGGCGCCCTGGTTCGTGAAGCGCTCCTCGAAGCTCGTCATGAACTCGAGACTGATCTTGTCCTCCTCCGAGAGGGCCTCCTCTGCAAAGCGCGAGGGGGTCAGAACACGATCGACGCGGGGCAACAGGACGAGCCAACTGACCTCCGACGACTGCCTTCATCGACGCGGCGTCGCGGCCGACGGCGTAGCCCTGCGGAGCGGAATGAGTATGCGGAGACGACACGCGCAGAGGCAGCAGTGCGGGCTCACGGCGTAGAGCTGGTTGGACACATCTGCGAGAGATGCAGTGTCAGTCAAGGCCAACAAGGCGGGCGTGAGACTGTGCTGCTCACCGCCGTGGTCCTTGCGCGTGAACTTCTCGCCGATGGCACTCTTCATCTGCGCGCGGAAGGGGGTAAGCGTGGGACGAGATCGGCTGTGGCGTGTGTGCGCACCAGACGGGACAGCGACGGCAGCACGTTGATCGGCGGGTAGATCTGCCGGTTGTGCAGCTGACGGTCGACGTATATTTGGCCCTCCGTGATGTAGCCGCTGCGAGAGCGTGTGAGCACGAGGAATGCGCCAAGCGCGGCACAGCGCCGACTCACGTCAAATCGGGAATGGGGTGCGTGATGTCTGCACTCTGCCGTCAGCCACAGCAGCCTCGCACCAGCACGAGCGCACACGCACCGTCGTTGGGCATCGTCAGAATCGGGATCTGCGTGATCGAGCCGTTGCGGCCCTGCACACGACCGGCACGCTCGTAGATCGTCGACAAGTCGGTGTACCTGCAGGCGTTGTGGCATCAGCACAGCTCGGAGCACCACCGATGCGGCGCTCACATGTAACCGGGGTAACCGCGGCGACCGGGCACCTCCTCGCGGGCGGCCGAGACCTGCGACAGTATGACGGTGAGCCAGCGGCCGCGTGTGCGGCACTCGCATCACGTACCTCACGCAGGGCGTCGGCGTACGACGTCATGTCGGTGAGCACGACGAGCACGTGCTTCTCGAGCTGGTACGCGTAGTACTCGGCCGTGGTGAGCGCCAGACGCGGCGTGATGATACGCTCGATGCTGTGTGGCTCGACGGGTGAGTGACTGGCCTGGCAGCACGAAGCACACCCGCTGCTCACGTCGGGTCGTTGGCCAGGTTGAGGAAGAGCGTGACACGGTCGAGCGAGCCGTTCTCCTCGAAGTCCTGCTTGAAGAAGCGCGCCGTCTCCATGTTGACACCCATGGCGGCAAAGACGATGGAGAAGTTGTCCTCGTGGTCGTCGTGGATGCCCTTGGACGGGGCGGCGGCGCCGTCCGAGGCGCTTCCGGGCTTGCGCACGAGACCGGCCTGGCGACAGATCTGGGCGGCAATCTGTTCGCGGCAGAGCGTGAGCATCCCAATCGCTGGCGCCACGACGCCGGGCGGCACGCACCTGGTTGTGCGGCAGACCGGCGGCACTGAAGATCGGGATCTTCTGGCCACGCGCAATCGAGTTCATCACGTCGATCGTCGAGATGCCCGTCTGAATCATCTCCTCGGGGTACACGCGCGCGTACGGGTTGATCGGCGAGCCTGCGGACATCGTGTCAGCACGAGCGGCCCGAGCGGGTGCGTCTCGAGAGGGCAGCAGCCGTCTTTGAGCAGGCCTCTTCGAAGCGCCACATCGAGAGGCCATGCACCCAGCCCATGCGCACGCCACGCCGCACTCACCGTTGATGTCCAGGTAGTCCTCGGCAAAGACCTTCGGGCCCTTGTCCACCGGGTTGCCCGAGCCGTTGAAGATGCGGCCCAGCATGTCCTCGCTGACGGCCAGCTTCATCGAGCTGCCGGTGAACTCAATGTGCGTGTCGCGCACATCGATGCCGCTCGTGCCCTCGAAGACCTGCACGATGGCCTTGCTGCCGCTGACCTCGAGCACCTGGCCGCCGCGGCGCGAGCCGTCGGGCAGCGTGAGCGACACAATCTCGTTGTACGAGGGGAACTTGACATTGTCGAGCACGACCAGCGGGCTGCACGGTGGCCCAGTCAGCGTGAGTCAGGCGGATGCTTGCTGCGATGCTCACCCGTTAATCGCCGAGACGGTGCGGTAGTCCAGGCGCGGGTCGACGCTGTAGTTCTTCACCCTGCGAGGCGCCGCTGGCGTCAGCACTACTGCTGAAGCGATCGAGGCGCTGCGACTGCTGCGGCGTCTCCTCTCGCTGCACTCCCTGCGCCACTCACGCAGCAGCGGCGTTGAGCTGGAACGCCTCCTTGGAGCTGATGCGAGGGTCGCTCATGGCGCCGGCGCAGGGGTGTGGCGTGGGCGGCGGCTGGGCGGTGGCGCTCGCAGGCGTGCGGGCAGAAAAGGCAGAAGAGACGAGCTGCAGCCTGGCGTCGCGGGCAGACTGCGGATGAAGTGGAGCAGAGGGGGCGAGGCAGGTGCACGAGACGACGGCGAGAGCGAGGCTACGACGGCGGGTGGAGATGACCACGCTCGAGCCCACAGCCGCCCGCCTCGTGCGCTCACAGCGTGGCTTGGCTGGCGGGCGGCTGGCGCTGGCGGGGCGATAGGCGCGCGAGCGACTCTGGGCCGTATGACAGACGCCCGTGCGCAGGCGCCCAACTTTAGTTCTGGTGCACTGCGACCGCGTGGGAACAGCTGGCTGCACCTGTGGACCCGCGCCGGCGGCTCCTCCTTCTCCTTCTCGCTGCACCGCCATCTCGATCCACCTCGCATCTCTCAGCCCCTTGCGGCGCTACGGGCCAGCGCCGCGTCGCCTCTCGCCCGTGCGCTGCCACGCCGCCCGCGCCGCCCGCGAGCCATGGCGCCGCCGCCGGCGCGCAGCGGCGCACACTCGATGGAGCGCGTCTCCATGTCCTCGGCCTCGACCGGCTCGCTGCACCGCCGCTCCTCGTCGCAGCAGGCCCGCCCGCGGCCAACGGCGTGTCCCATCGTGCTCTGGACGCACGAGCCGCCGAACTTCTCGCCCGCCGACGTGGTGATCCACCCGGAGCTGCCTGCCGTGCTGGGCGGCGTGGGAGACGCAGAGCTGCTCGAGATCCGCAGCCTCGCCGCCGGCAGCGCCGACACGAGCGCCAAGGGCCGGCGCTTCCTCTTCCGCGCCACCACAGCTGTGGCTGAGGGCGAGGCGCTCGGGCGCGCTGCCGGCAATCTGCAGCTAAGCATCTCGCGCAGCATCGCGGGTCTGTACGGCCTGCACAATCGCTGCGACGTGCTTCTCTCAAAGGTGAGCCCCGCAGAGGAATTCTTGCTTGTGGCCGTCTGACGCGTCTGTCTAGGTGCCGCGCGACCCACACACCATCTCGCACGTCGAGCTGTATTTCCGCGACCAGTACGTCGGGCGAGCAGACATGTGGCGCCTGGCGGCGAGTCTGGAAGACACCTGCGTCTACGTGGGCCAGCGCATCACGCTCGCCGGCTGCGTCCGGGCGACAGTCGGGCGCATCTTCATCGATGCGAAGAAGGTAACGTCCGGCTTCGTTGCGCCGCATACGCGCACGATCTTCCGCTCCGAGTCGGCCAAGTACAATCTCCTGATCCAGCTCGGGCGCGAGATGTGGGAGTTTGACGAGGACGGCGAGCTGTACTTCGAAAAGGCCATCAGCGGCTTCATCCCCGAGCTGCTGCGGCGTTGGAACGCGGTGCCGACGAACCACGTCGTCTCCGTCGTCCTCTTCGCGCGCGTCTACTACGACGTCGGCGACCTGCACATGCTCGAGGACGCCGCGCTGCCGGTGCGCAAGTCTGAAGACGGCCGCTGGTACATCGACTACTACAAGGTCATCGTCGATCTCGAGGGCAGCTGCGACTGGGCGCAGGCAGTGACGAGCCTCAAGGAGGAGTTCTTCCGCTTCCAGCACGACATCCTGCTGCTGCGCCGCCCAGTTGCAGGCCCGGCGGGCGCGCCGTGGGCAGAAGACCCGCACGCAGACCTCCTGCGCCGCGACCGGGCGCTGCTTGCTGGGCGACTCAGCGCATCGCACGAGGGCAACATCCTCGAAGCGCTGAATCTTGCGCTCAACCCTGCGGACGCGCACTTCGTCGATCGCGATCTCACGCGCACGGGGCTGGACGTGGTGGTCGTCTCGGCCGGCACCGGCCACTTCCGCGTCGACAAGCGGCTGCTGCGCCTCACGACGGAGCGCATGATCGACAGCGGCTTCGGCCTGGACCTCGTCTGCCTGACCAAGATGCCGCTGCATTCCGTGCCGCTTTTCCACTTCAAAAGCGAGATCCCAGAGGCTCGCACTGCGCCGCACGGACCAGCGTCTGCAACCGGCTCTCGAGGACGGCGCGGCCGCGGTCCGAGTGCCGCTGCTCCAAGCAGCGCCCCACCTGACCCGCTCTACTTCGACCCGCTGCACGCGAGCTCCACAACCGCAGGGCCCGGCGCGGGCACGACGCACACGACTGCCGCCTCGTCCGGCTACGGCCTCGTCGACTTCTACTCGATCCCGCACTGGGTCGACTGCTCCTTCTACAACCTGCAGCAGGACAAGCCCTTCCGCGCCGACCGCTTCGTGCCGCGCTGCAAGATGCACGAGGTGCAGATGATGGGCATCATGGAGAACGAAATCAGCGACATTTCGATCCCGTACCTCGAGCTGGGCAGCCTAGGCATTCCTGGGCTCGTTGCGGCGCCGAAGAGCATGGGCAGCAGCATGGCCATGAGCGGCGGCCGCGACCGTGCACCGCGCGGCCTGCAGGGCAGTAGCCTCACGCGCGTGAGCGAGGGCGAGACGGGCCTCGATCTTGCCGGCATGGGCCCCCGCGAGGCCCGCAGGCTGATGCGCGAGCGCTTCGACCGCGAGACGATGCGCGACCTCGAGACTGCGCCCGCGGCTGTGCGCTCGTCGCTTGTCTATGCGGCTTCAGGCCGGGTGCCTGCACCTTCTACGAGTCCGTCCCGCAGCCTGCACCACAACTTCTCGAACGAGCAGCTGCGCCAGCGTGCGCGCGAGCAGCAGGCTGCGGCTTCTTCATCTGGGCGGTCGCCCGTCACTCCGGGCCGGATAGCGCGGCCCGGCAGGCACAGCAGAGACACGCGCAAGCAGTCGACGATGCTAGAGGCGCACGATGAGCATCCGGCGGATCGCATGGAGGGCGCGACGCACACCACGGATGGCACTGCTGAGCAGCACGCCAACGCATCGACTGCGCTGAGCTCACCGAACTCGCCAAATGCGAATCGCTTCTCAGCAGTGCTCAGCGACGACAGCATCGGGCCGAGCATGTCGCGGGCGCTCTCAAGAGCCAGCTCCTTCCGTAGCTTGAACACGCTCAGCCGCGGGCTGAGACCGCTCGAACCCATCGGCAAGGCCAGGGCGCTCGTTGCGCCGTCGGATGTGCTGCCGGACGAGATGGACGGGCCCGTGGCGCCAACCACTTCTCCTGTGCATCCGAGCGCATCCGCAGCGCTGATGAAGAACTCCAAGGCGGGCAGCAAGAGCTCATCGCGCTACCGCTCGCCGGCGAACTGGCTGTGGTCCTCGTTCCGCAGCAGCCTCGCGAATCCCCCACATGAGGAGAGACACGCTCAACAGGATCCTACCTCGCCTCCGGGCGCTGCATCGGCGAGCAAGGAGGGCATCGAGTCTTCGACGGCTGCCTCGCGGCGGATCGCTGCGCTGCTAGCCTCAAGTCGGCCGACCTCCAGTTCACCCGCGCCTTCGGTCACCTCTCCGAGCTCGGCAGAGAAGTCGCCGGTCGGGAAGGAGGAGAGTGCGCCGAGCCCCATCGCGATCCCACCTGCGATGCCTACGGACCGAAGCTCCGACGGCAAGCACCACAACGCGCAGGACGCGCCGGGAGCCGCTGCCGAGGCTGCGGAGGAGCAGGCGCAGCGCGAGCAGGACGCCTACGAACAGGCGCTCGAGGAAGAAGAGGCACGCGCACGCTACGCACAGTGTGCGCAAGTCGAGAAGCAGACGCTGGTCAATCCGTCGAACCCGCGCAAGAGCCTGGCGGCCAAGGCGACCAACACGCAGCTCATGCGCTGGCAGCATCTCTTCCCGCGGCGGCTCAACCATCACGCTGTCAAGTGGCGCAGCATGACCAGCCCGGCGTGTCTGCCTCTGACGACGCTGTACCTTCCGACCGAGAGCGATCTGGCTTCGCAATGGCTCGAGTACCCCTACACGATGAGCATTTCGTCGGAGATGAACAGCTTTCTCGTCAAGCGCAATCCGTCGACACATCCTGCGCTCGCGGTGCTGCGCGAGATGGCGTCGCAGCGTCTCGCTCAGGGCTATCAGTTCATCGTGCCTGCAGGAGGCCAGTCTGAGAGCGCCGATGGCAGCACAGGTCCGACTGCAGTATCGAGCCGCTCGCTGGTCAACGACAAGCCGCGCCCATTTGTGCTGCGCCAGCCCTCGGAGCTCTTCCAGCCCGGCAATCTTGTGTCGGGCAACCCGATCTTCCTGAGCGTGTCGAACCAGATCCACCGCATCGCCTACGACCGGCAAATCGGCTCAATCAACGTCAAACGCTACGTCCGCCGCACGGAGCACGAGACGTCGCCGCTCGAGTACGCATGCTGCGTGTGGCCGCGCGACCTGCCCGGCTACCAGACGGTGCGCGCCACCTTCCACTACCCCGACTTCGGCGCGTACAACTGGACGTACCTGGACGCGCTCATCGCGGGCCACTCGGACGAGGAGCGCTTCATCGAGAGCCTGCGCTACTGGCGCACACGCTTCGTGGTCGTGCCGTCCGAAGGGCCAGCGCCGCCGATGCGCGCACCGACAGGCGAGGCGCTCAGCGACGAAGAGATCCGCCTCATCGGCATGGACCGTCTCGCCGACCTGTTCGCACGCGCCCGCCTCCGCCCGCGCACGAATGAGGACCGCAGTCTGGCGCCGCTGCGCTTCATTCCGACCAGCCTCGATCCGGCTGCGAGCTTCCACGACGCAGACTTCATGCGACAGATGACCGCCGCCATCGAGGAGAGCAACGCGCGCGATGCGTCCTTCCGGCGCGACCGCAGCGCCGGCGGCGGGCGGCGCAGGCCGATCAAGGATCTTGACTTGCGCAGCATCGCCGTCGAGATGCGCAGCGACTCGAGTGGGCTGCGCATCAACGACAAGTTCTGGCAGCGCGTGCTCTACGAGGATTCGTTCACGGGCGCCGACCTCGTCACCTGGCTGTGCCGCAACTTCCCCGACGTCAAGATGCGCGATGACGCCGTCGAGGTCGGCGCTCGTCTGCTGCGCGAGGGCCTCTTCGAGCACGTCAATCGGGCGCACGGCTTCCTCGATGGCTATTACTTCGTGAGTCGAAACCTAAGGTGTCGTTCTCCAGTCATGCTCACCTGTCTCGATGCAGTATCGCCTGCGTCCGGAGTACTCGTCGCCGCGCACGAAGAAGTGGTTCGCCAGCGGATCCCGGCCTAGCACAGAGGACGGCAGCAACGCAGGCTCGCGGCCCGGTACCGGCGGCGGCAGCCGAGGCGCCTCGCGGGACCGCGCGCCGAGCTTCGTTGAGGGCTCCAGCCTTGGCCGGCGTGGCACGCTGCTGCAGAACTCGCAGGGTCGTTCGTCGCACCAGCGACGCAAGCTTGTCAAGCTATCGCGCACGCACATCATCGACATCGACCCCAGCCGCCGCAGCGACCGCGCCGAGGTTGCCTTCTTGCACCACGACGTTGCACACAACCCAGGTGAGCAGGCAGACTGCTGACATGACGCTCGGCGCTGACACACAGCTCTGCAGCGAACGGCTTCAACTTCCAGATCCACTGGCTCGGCACGACCGCGCGCTTCATCGAAGACGCCGTGCAGGCCTGGACGCGCACGGTGGAGCGCTACGGCCTGCGCCTCATCGAGGCGCCCATCGGCCAGATCGCCGATGTCACTGCGCACAACCCGTTCCAGGCGCCGCTACAGATTGCACTGGCCCTGAGTCCGCCCGCGCCGTCTGCCTATCTGCCGCTGCTGGCCGAGCATGTGCGCCCAGAGCACTACTTTGAGTGGGCGCTGCTGCGCCGCTTCGGCTTCATCCTCGACCAGGAAGCGAGCGACCGCTTCCCCGAAGACGTCGACATCGTCTATGACTCGCGTCCCAAGCATTTCGAGTACTCGCAGTTCGTGCACCGCTCTGGCGTTGCCTTTGTGCAGGTTGTCGGCGGCGCCGAGGGCTTCCTCTGGTGAGCAGCGTCGCGCCACGAGCCTGTGCTTGCCACGCTGACGCTCGCGCAGGCTCAACAACCGGCTCTTCACGTCGCACCTCTCCAACACGACCACCACGCGGCAGCGCAACGAGCGCGATGGCCCGCTGCGCGGCGGAGGTGCTCACGCCTCATCGTCACCGGCCATTGGCGCAGTCGGCGCATCAGGCGCGGGCAGCAGCGGCAACGCAGCGGCGCCGCAGCCCGACGCCGAGTCTGTGCGGCGCGAGTTCAGCGCGTTCTGCGCCGATGCCGCCGCCCTCGAGCTCTTCTACCGCAGCGTCCTCGCCAGCCTGGGCGCAGAGGTGCAGCTGCCCAGCAATGCTGCCGCCGCATCGACGGATGGCGACGTCTCGGACGCCGACATCACAGGCAGCACGGACGGCATGAGCGAGGCCGGCCTCGACACGGCCAGCCTCGCTGCGAGCCAGAATCTCGAGCCCGTGCTGGAGGGCTCGCAGCTGCACACGGGCTCCTGAGGCACCTCACGTCACGACTCGTCACGCTATACCATGAATCACCTGCCGCATGAGTCTCATTGCGAGACGACGAGAGAAGTAGAGAGGGAAGGAACAGATCAGAGCGCCAGAACGAGCTTCTTGCCGCTGACGCCGGCCTGCAGCTTGTCGAGCGCCGCGTCGAGGCCGGAGAGGCCGCCGCCCTCGATCTGGGCCGCCGGGCTCGGCACGAGGCTACCGTTCTCCAGCGCAGGCTTGAGCTGCTCGTGGAAGACCTCGTGGAAGTGCGCGTTGCGCTCCGCCTTGTCGAAGGATGGCAGGTTGAAGGTGACAGTGGTGTCTGCGGGCGTGGGCATGTCCTCGGGCAGAGGCGGCGAGTGCGCCACGCGAGCGTGCTGTGCACCTCTCGTCTGGTGCAGCACGTCGAGTACGGGCTGGAGCGAGCCGGGCACGACGGCGTGGGCAAGAGACATGCTCACGCCGTCTGCTTTGACCGCCGCCGCGATCTGGGCGACGGCATCGGCGGCATGGTAGTCAAAGACGGCGCGAGCACCGAGACTCTTGATGTACGCGTGGTTGTGCGGGCTGGCCGTGGCGTACACGGTGAGGCCGAGCAGCTTGGCCGTCTGCACCGCATACGTGCCGACGCTGCTGGCCGCGCCCCAGATGAGCACGGCGGGGCCGGTGCCGGGCGCATGGCGGGTGGCGATCGAGATGCCCAGGATGGGCCACGCCGTGAAGGCCGTGAGCGCGGCGACCGGCACCATGGCGCCGTGCTCGAAGGAGATGCCGGCGGGCAGCGGCGCGACCGTCTCCTTCTGCACGAGCACGAGCGACTGGAAGGCGCCGTGGTCCGGCGAGCCCTCTTGGTAGTACGACGAGGCGAAGGCGCAGACGCGCGTGCCGACTGCCAGGCCGAGCGAGCTCGAGACATTGGCGCCGCAGGCGACGATGACGCCCGCCACGTCGCAGCCGAGCACGGCGGGCAGGACGGGCACGAAGAAGAGCGTGCCGCGCTGGATGTGGTCGATGGGGTTGAGTGCGACGGCCCTGACGGCGACGAGCACCTCGTCGGGGCCAGGCGCCGGCGTGGGGCGCGAGGCGACGGCGAGGGCGCCCTTGTGCTTGAGGAGAGCGGCAGTGTGCGAAGACATGGCGAGCGGATGGGGCGCAGGTACAAGCTCGTGCTGTGCAAGCCCTACTTATGCCTTCGGACGGGCGGTGGTCCTGTCGGCAAGCAGGTCGAGCGAGGGCATCGACGAGGGCTCAGCTTACTGTGCTGGACGCCCCTGAGGGCCTGACACGCGTGGGAACAGAGCGCGCGCCTCCGGCTTCTGCCGTGAGCTGACCTGACAGCCAGCCGTTGGGCATGGCCGCAGCCGCAGGGCGCCGGAGCGTCAGTCGATGCAGCTCAAAATCAGCAGCGACTCCTCAAGGATCAGCGCCGGGGGTGAAGAATGTGCTTGTTTAGTGCGCAGCTGAGCAGACGGGCTCGAGGTGCGCTGCGGTGCTCCCACCTACGCTCGCTCTCTCATATCTTCGCGGCTCCGCATCAACCTTGCAGCCTGGCCGTCCGTGCTGCACGGCCAGGGCAAGCCGTTCAGCGGTCCAGGGGGCTTTGTCCATGCTCCATTGGGCAGCGTACGGCCAGCAGCAGGGCTACCCGCGCGCTGCCGCTGCGACACAGCGGCCGTCTGCGTGGCGGCTCGCGCCGGCCAAGCCCTGGGACCCGAGCAGCGCATCTCCAGATTCACGAGTAAGCCCGTGTCGCACGTGTTCGCCCATGCGCTTGAGCGTCCTCCAGCTCGCCCATGGCGGCGGTCGGGCAATTGAGTAGTCGCCGCAGAGATGTCCGGCGCGCCCTGGGGGACCTCCCGAGACACGCGTGTTGTTTGCTCGGCGAAACGTCGCTGCAGAGCGGTCCGATGCCCGGCGCTGGAGTGTGTGTGTGCCCACATGCTCGCTGCCGATGCTGGTCTCACCGTCGGAGGTACCTCCAAGCTCGCGGTGTCGCAGATACGGCGTGCGGTCGCCGGCTCGCGACAACGCTGCTTGAAGGTGTAGCTCCGCGTTCAGCACCAGCGAGGAATAAGAATTTCCGTGAGGAGCCCTTGCCCCTTGGCGGAGCGCCGTCCCTGAGCCGCAGCATGCAGGTCGCAGGGCGGTGCCGAATCTGTGGGTTGGGCCTCGGCGCGCCGAGTGCTGAAAAGGCACGCGCGCGCGTCATCTGCACCTGAGGCACGCCGTCTGCGAGGCGAGTCGAGCGGAGCCGGGACGCAGCGCTTGTGCCGGCGATCCGCGGAGTCGGCGCCGACGGGCAGCTGAGCACTCTTGCTCGCCACTCCACTCAGCCAGCGCTCCGACGCAGCGGCATGAGATGGGGGAACGCAGCACCACACACCAGGCGTGCTCAGCAGACGACGACGACGAGGCTCAAGGACGCCCTTGGGCAGCGCGGCGGCAGCCAAGAGGCGCCAGCAGCAGGCTGCTCACGTCACGGCGTTCTCGGCGGCAACCCCAGGCGGCACATCTGCGATTGCGTGCCGGCACCCGGACCCCGATGCCGACGCTGCTCTTGCCTCTCGAGCACTTGCGACGGCGAGCAGAGCAGCGATCTGTGAGCGCGTGGGCGTCGGGCGTGCGCTGTGCTGCACTGGCAGACGGCAAGGCGCTGCCTGCTGCCGAGTTGTGCCTGCGCCAGCGCGCGATCCCGACCGCTCGCTTGCTAGCTTGCTGCGGCTGCCCGCTGCTGCAGGGAGAGAGCGCCCATGAGGGCGCGCGTGTCGATCGCAGGGCCGCGCCTAATCGACCTGCCCGTTCGAGAGCTCAAATACGAACTGCCGCCGCTGCCGCTGCCTCGGTTCATTCGAGTGCTCCGGGAAGGGCAGGAGATGTGCTGCACGCCGAGGCGGCCCGCATGGTGCTTCCTCGGCCCGCCTTCTCGTGAGCCACCTGCCCTGCAGCGTCGTCACTCGGGGAGCGAGCATGGCGATGAGCGAGCGGCGCTCGGCTCGCGGCGAGCTCGAGCCTCCTTCCGGGCGCCGCGCGCCGCGCCGTCATGGGCCATTCAAGGCCAGCGCAGAGCGGCAGGGGTGGAGGGGGGCGCTGAGGAGGAGCTCAGCCGCGCCATGTTTCGTCTCCCGCCAGCTGCGTCACACCTCGCACACTTCCGCTGCGCGCGCAATCTGCGCCTTGGGGTCGCATCTGCATGCAGCCGCAGCGCCGCCGGAGCGGGAGCTGACGCTGAGCCGGCGCGCGGCGCGCGCGAGCGGGTCGCAGTCACGGCGTGCAAGCCAAACTCCGCTGCTCTTGGGCTGCGTTGGCGGGCGGCCGGCGACGTCCTTGCCGCCATCATCTGCCGCCAGATGCAGCGCCGGCCCGGAGAGGGCGTGTGCCTGTCTCTCCTCACGATTGACGCCTTGCGCTGCGCTGCGCGCTGCGTGCTGCTGCCGGCGAGCTTGTCGAGCGGAAGCATCAGCATGACGGCTGCTGCCGCTGCGCCCGCCGCGCGCGCTCCCTGCCCCTCCTCGAGCATGCTCCGCTGCTTGCGCTTGCTGCGCTTGCTCGCCGTGGGCGCCGAGCTGCATCTGCAGCTGCTGCTTTGGCCGCCGCCCCGAGCTCTGCATGGTGTCAGAGAGGAGCGGGCGCAGGAGCGGAGGAGCGGCCCCTCTGGCGCGCTGCCGGGCGCCGCTCTTTGCTGCCGCGGCACGGCGCAGGCGGCGGCCGCTCTCTCTGCCCTGGTGCTGCCCGCCTGCTCCGCCGCCGCCGAGCGCCCGCCGTGCCTCGGCCGCGCCCGCAGCTGCAGGCGCTGCAGGCGTTCAGGAGCCGCCGCCGCGGCGTGCCCAGCCTCTCAAGCCTCGGCTGACGGCGCCACCTCGCACACGCCGAGCCTTTCTCACCGGCCGGCACCTCTGCCTGCTGCTGCTCACCGGCGCCCTCTATTCCCTCCCGATCCCACTCCTCCCACTCCCCGGCGTCGACTGGCGCACACCACATCGCGCACTCGCCTCCTCTCACACACCTGCGCCCGCGGCTGGCGCTGCTCTCTCCGCTGCAGAGCCCTCATCACGCCTGCTGCGCCGTCGGCGTACTATTTGCCGCCCGCGCGCGCCTGCTGCTGCTGCGTGCGCCAGTCAGCGGCCCGCCTGGCCCACCACCACCCGGCCGATCCTGCCGTTGGCGTCGTCCTCTGCACCTCACTTGCAGCACCACTCGCACGCTGCTTGAGGCCGCTGCTAGTTGTGCCACTCGCGCTCCACGTCTCTGCGCCACCTTCTCCACGCCCTCACCCTCCAGTCACACCCCCTCGTGACCCTGCCGCATCTTCGCCGCCTCATGGACACCTCTGCGCCGTCCGACCAAGGCGGCGGCCCGCGGGTGCACCACGCACCGCCGCACCTGCAGACGCGCCCCTCGCCGACGTCGGCCAGCAGCGCAGCCGACGTGCGCGCCGCCTCCGTGTCCTCGTCGGGCGCCGCGGCCAGCAGCAGTGCCGGCTCCAGCATGGCCGCCGGCACGTCTGCCGGCTCGTCGAGCACGAGCGGCGCCTCGCCACGCCCGCACAAGCGGAAGATGTCGCACGGCACCTGTGCTGCGGCCGCGGCCGCTGCGGCTGCCTCTGGCGCCACGCCGTCATTGCCAGCCGACGAGATCGCGGCGACGGGCCGAGATGCGTTCGACGAGCACCAGCATGGTGACCAGTCGACGTCGTCGTCCGCTTCGTCGCCGTCCTACGGGCGCCGTGCCTCGGAGCAGGGGCACGAGCAGGACGAAGCGGCCGCGTGCGATGGCAGCCTGGACCACATGATGGCGCAGCCAGAGGCCGATGGCTCTGCGAGTGCGCTACACGATGCATACGCCGTGTCCGCCGGCGCAGACATCGACCAGAAGCCTGCAGGTGCGGCGGTGTCCGAACACGGCTCGCCTCTGAGCCACCATCGCTGCCTTCCCAGCCCGTCAACGCTTGGGCCGCTCGAGGCGCCCGATGCAGTAGACCACCGCGATCCACGAAGCTCCGATGCCTTCTTTGACCGCTTGCACGCTGTCGAGCCCACTGCTTGTGAGTTGAGACGCGGACCGGCTGCACGCAGCGGTCCTGCAATACTGATCTCACCTCCGCAGCCTCGTCTCGCGCACCGCTGCTGGACGCCGACGCACACGAGCGGCGCATGCTGCCAGGCGCCCGCGACGCAGCGGCACCGACCACTCCGATGTTCTCGTCGTTCTTCCTCACCGCACCGCACTCCTCTTCGCCGTCGTTTCCTGCTCCTCCAGCCATGGCCAGTGCCGGGCCGAGCAGCCCGTTGCTCGTCAAGGCTGCGCCGCACATCGCGGCACCTGCGTCGAAGGGTCTGCGCGCCCGCTTCCTCGACGACGAGCCGCCACCGCCCTCGCCGAGCAGATCTGCACGGCCACCCACACCGCCACGGAGGCACGACTCGCCTGGCCGTACTGCTGGCGCCCACATGCGCCGCAGGCACCAGGCCTCGTCGCGCCGCATCAGCGGCGTGCGCCATGGAGAGGAGCTGCCGGTGCTCTCGCGCCTGTCAGAGCTGCACAACTCTTCGCTCTCGGCCTTCCGTCGTTTGAGCACGGGCGACAAGGCTACCGCTGCGCTGCCTTCGGCCGGTCCGGCATCGCACGACCCGCCCGTCGCAGCGTCTGGAGCTACGGCGCCGGCCGACCCGCAGGCCGAGTTCACGCTCTTGCCCGTGCCCGCTGCCAAGCGGCGCAAGATCGCCTCGCCTCTGCAGTCTGTCGCCACAGCCTCGGCCTCGGACGATGCGCCAATGGACGGCGACGTCAGCAGCGCGGCCTCGCACCGACGACCGGAGCGCGAGAGCAGCGGCACGGACCGCAGGCAGCCAATAATCATCGTCGAGGACCCTGCTGCTCGCACCGGTGCCTGCTCGTCGGCCGGCTCGTCGGCAGTCGAGCCGCGCCTGGAGCGCAGGAATGCCGCAGCAGCCTCGCACGGCCTGAACGTACCATCGTCTGCCTCTCGCTCCTCGCGCGGTCCGTCCGTCTTCACGAATGCTCTCAAGACCCCTGCAGCCACCGGCGCTTTCACGGCAGCATTCGCACCACGCGAGTCGAGCCGCAGCGGCCACCGAGCACCGGGCACATCGAGCTCGTCACGGCGTCGCTTCCCGCGCCTACGACGCACGCAGAGCCTGCCGAACCTCAAGGCACGTCCGCTGCTCGATCTTGCTGCGCCCGTGTCGCACCGACTGCAGCTGCCGGTGCATCTGGCGCAGTACCTGGCCAGCATTACTCGCTCGCAGGAGCGCAGCGCGGCTGCGGCCGACGGATCGACGAGTCGCTCCGGCACGTCTGGCTCGAGCTCCAGCTCGCGATCGGTCTTCACACCCCCGCTGCACCCGCCGATCACGCGGCACACGCTTCGCGAGCTAGACTTGAGCGAGATTCTGAAGAATCCGCAGCTGCGGCACGACGTGGTCTTCGATCCCAACGTCCAGTTCCGGCCCAACTTCGACGGCGAGCGCGGCCGTCGCAAGCGCGACGCCGGCGACAAGTACTGGGCAGCGGTCGCGCGCGAGATCGAGAAGGGCTGCACATGCACGGCCTTCGAGGGCCGGACGGCTCTGCCGTGCAACTGCCCCGCCGAGCGTGGCAGCAGCAGCTCGCGCAGCAGCGCTCGCGCCGTGCTCGACAGCAAGTCGCTGCGGACGCCCATGCGCAGCTCCTACGTCAAGATCCCGCCACGCATTCCGCACCTCATCCAGGAGCTGCGTGCGATCTGCCTGTTGATCCTGCCCGCCGGATCGTCGGGCGACACGCTTAGCAACCCGACGAGCCCCGTTCCGCCGACGCCCAGCTCGGCTACTCGCCCGGCGAAGGAGAGCAAGCCGAGCACCACGAGCGCTGCTCGCCTCTCTAGCGCCGCCGCTGTCGCGCAGCCGTCGAGTCCTGGCGGCATGTCTAGTCACCATGCGCTGATCATGCAGACGCTCGACCCGGCACTCATCACCCAGGAGCTTGCCCACGGCGTCTTGGACGTCTCTGCGCTCATCTCCTTCCTCGGCGCCGTGCTCAAGCTGCACTGCGCGCCGATGCGCGACGAGGCCATCGAGCGCATGATCGCCACCGTCGTGGAGCTTGGCGACGTCGGGCGCGGCCTGCGCATGTGCTTCGAGATCCTCGAGCTGATGAAGCTGGACATTGCAAACCACCAGCTCCGCACCGCGAGGCCCTACCTCGTGGACACGGCCGTCGAGTTCGAGACCCGCTGGTTCAAGGAGCAGATCGACGCGGGCAAGCTGTCCATCGAGCGCACAGCAACGTGGTTCGGCGCAGCGCTGCAGCGTACGGAGGCGTCAGCTTCTCCGATGCCGCTGGCGACTGCTCGCACGGAGCACATCTCGCGCGCATTTGTCGACGGCTTCCTGCGCCTCATCTTCGAGGCACCCGCGCCGCCGCTGTCCGGCGTTGCGCCCGCTCTGCCCGGCGCCAGCGGTGCCTCGTCCAGCACTGCCTCTGCGGCTGGTGTCTCGGGCCTGGGCGCCGGCGTCGCGCTTTCCAGCAGCTCGCTCAACCATGCCTACACCTCGTTCTTTCCCGAGACGTTCCAGTTCGACGCCTACCGCCTCGTCACCTTCCACGCCGACACGACGGACATCACGGTGATGTACATGCTGCTGCTGCTCTTCCGCCAGCTGGCGTGTTCGCCGCTCGTCGGCGGCGACGGCGTGTCGACGACGCTCTCGACGGCGCAGGTCGCGAGCAACGCCGCAGCGCTCGCACAGCGCCACGTCGACGCCATCAAGGAGGAGATCTGGTGCCTGCTGTGCGACGCGAACCTCAGCGTGTGCGCACCGGCTGCTGCGTCTCGCAGCAGCGCTGCGGCCGACGGCGTGCAGCCTCGCACACCGAGCACGCCATCCGCACGCACAGCTGCCATCGTTCTCGGCGGCGCCACCGGTGCGGCCAAGCTCGAGGATGTTCGCTGGCGCACGGCCATGTCCAGCGTGCTGCTCCAGGTTGCGGCACGCGCCGGCGCCATCCAGCGCGCCGCCCGCAGCGCAACGTGCCTGGCCGCGAACGGCAGCAACTCTACGTTGCTGCCGACGGTCGGCGATGCGCCACCCAGCGCACAAGTCCTCGCGCTCCTCACCTCCTGGCTCGACACGAACATGCGTGCCGGCAGTGCGCTGCACAAGCTCTGCCAGCGCCGCTTCCGCGAGGTCGCAGCGCTCATGCTTAGCGAGCGCCTCAATGCTGCACCGCGCTCGCAACGCCGCCGAGCCACTCCCGGCGCTAGTATCGCCGGCGTCGTGCGCAAGGAGGGCGAGCACCCGGAGGCGCTGCCCGAGGCCAAGCGCATTCGCGGCGAGGATGGCGAGGCCCTGACATGCGAGCTCGTTGCCACGAAGTCTTCCGAGTCGGCATCATCCACCGCGACTGCGGCCACAAGCACGGCGAGCAGGGCCGAGCCTGAGCCACGCGCTGTCCGCCCGCCCGGCAGTGCGGCCCACAGTGCTGCACCTGCCCTGCCAACGCCGCCGGCCGAGTGGGAAGCCGCGCTGCGCAAGGCCGGACTCGAGCCCCTCGGCGCCGAGGTGCGCCTGCTCGCCGAGCGCATGGCCAAGGTCGCCCTCTTCCACCTGCGCGTCATGCGCCCCTTCTACGAACGCCTCGCCAGCGCCGACGCTGGCGCCGACGGTGCTGCTGCCGCCTCCGTCGCTGTCGTTCCCAACTCTTCGTCCTAGTCTCCGTCGGCCTCTAATCGTTCCACCTGCCAGACCCTTACTTGCCCCCTCGCGATGCCTGCCTTCATTCATTGTCACCCAGCACCACCGTTTCCTCATTGTCTCTTCTCCGGGCCCCGCGCGCCGCATCCTTCCACCTGCGTTTCCTCTGCCATCATCATCTTGCTCTCGTCACTGGCTGCTGAGCCACACATCTCCACGCTGCCGCTGTCTTCCTCCATCTGTCCATGCTACCTCTTCCTCATCAGCGCGTCTTCCAATGCGATCATGCTCCGTCTGTCTCAGCTGCACGCGTGTCTCATTCCCGCTTCTCTGCCTTTGCCGCTGCCTGCTTTGCCGCCTTGGGTTGCGACTGCGGCGGCTTCGGCGATGGCGAGGGTGGCGGCGCTTGTGGCCGCTCCTCGGCTCCTTTCGGGCGGCTGTTCGCTGCGATCGCTGCGGCGCCCATCTCCTCCAGCTCGTCAAAGGCACGCACAAGGGCGCCCTCGTCACCCTTTGCGCTGCCTGCCTTCGCCCGCGGGGCGCGCGACTCGCCGGGACTGTCGACATCCATGTCAAGCCCCGGCAAGGAGCCGCCCGTGCGAGCCAGCCATGACCGCCCCTGCGCCGAGGCGGCGCGTGCGCGTGCGAGCGCATACACAGGCGAAGAGCGCAGCGCATCGGCCAGGTGGCTCTCTGCAGGCACGAGCATAAGTGTGTGTCGCTGGGTCAAAGGCAGACGATCCACGCACCAGTCGCGCGCACCCGCTCCGCCAGCTCCTCGACCGTGTCCTCCACGCCCGCCACGAGTGTCCGCGCCTCCTCACGCGACTTTAGAGCCCTGCTACGCAACTCGAAGTTGGAGGGAATGTGCTCGACGCTCCGCTCCAGTACGGCGAGACGCTCCATCAGCATGGTGTTCTGCGAGCAAGCGTCAGCGAGCGCACTGCGCGGGCAAAGAGTGCGGCGATGGGGCTCCATCGACTGGGCGACGTGCACGATCGCAGACTTGGTAATGCAGCACGTCGGCTGCCTTCATCGGCTGCCTTCATCATCGTGCCAGCACCTGAGCGTACTCTCTCTGTCTCTCTCTCTCGTGTCGTGCTCCTCTCCTCCCCATACGACCTGCTGCCGCGAGCATCGCCAATCACTGCAGCCCCATCCGCACCGCTTCGTCTCTGCCGCGGGACGCTCAGCTCTTGCACGCGCAGCAGTACTCACTGCTGTTCGCACCTCTGCCAACGTCGCGAGCGCCGCATCGCGAGCCAGCGCATCGCGCTGCTGCTCTCTCCGTGCCCACGCAAAGCCGGCCGCGCTGACGGCCGCGACGCCGAGTGCCAGGCCGGTGACGAGGGCGCGCATCGGGCCGAGCGGCCGCCGCACGAGGGGCGCGCCGACGACTTGCGGCGCTGGCCGCGGATGGGGTCGTTGTGCCATGGAGCGGGCCGCTGTCTTGTGGTGGTGGCTGATGAGGCTGCGAGCGCGAGAGGCGAGGCCGACGCGGCGGGCGGGCCTGATCGCGCATGCGCAGCTGGAGAGATGGCCCGCGGCTCGCAGCGGGCAAGAAAGTTGCCCGCGCCGCACGCTGCTCCTTTCCCTCTCGCCACGACGACGGCGCATTCGCCTCGCTCCTCACCCACCTTCCCACCCACCTGCCATGGTCAAGGCCAAGCGCGGCGGCCTCAAGCGTGCGCTGCACCAGCCCGTGCCTGCTTGTGCCTACCGCTGACACGCTCGCCTCACAGGCGCCGAGCGCCGCGAGCCGGAAGTCTTCCCGACCATCGTCACAGGTGCGTACGCCTGTGCGAGACGGGCGACTGCCCCCGGCTCGCTCGCGCCGCACCGCCTTTGCGCTGTACGCTGCATCAGTGGCATGGGCTCACTCCAAGCCCCTGCACAGAGCCCGACGAAAGCACCTCGTCCGCACCCGCTGCGCCTGCGCGGCCCATCCCCGCACCGCCGGCGCCAGCAAGGAAGGGCAGCGTGCGCGGCGCCGTGCGCTCGTCAGTCGCGGCACGCAAGAAGCAGGAGCGCGGCGTGCAGATGGCCGAGCGCCTCAGTGCCAAGGCGTCGCAGAATGCCGCACGCAAGGAGCGGCGCAAGCGGGCGAAGGAGTAGCGGAGGAGGGCGCACCAAGGGAGTGCTGGGCTGAGGTGGAGAGAGGAGGGCAATGGAGGGAGCATAGATCATCAGGGGCACCAGTGAGACAGTCTGTAGCTATAGAACACAGCGCTTGCACGGGCGACGCCGTGCAGTGCGCATCTGCTCGTGTGCGGCGCACGACAGGCAAGCCGGCCTCACGACAGGCATCCGATAATTATGGCATTGCAATGCCAGCTCTAGAGGTCCGTGACGCAGCCCGACGAGGCGTCGCTGACGTTGCGCACATACTTGAGCAGGTGGCCCTGCTTGGGGCGCAGCTCGCGCGGCTGCCATGCCTCGCGCCGCGTCTGCAGCTCGCTCTCCGACACGTCGACGAGCTCGAGCGTGTTGGCCTCGGCGTCGATGGAGATCGTGTCGCCGTCGCGCACCAGCGCAATCGGGCCGCCCACCTGTGCCTCGGGCACGACGTGACCAATCACGAAGCCGTGCGAGCTGGCAGACAAGGGTGATCAGCAGGGGTAGGAGCGGCGTGCCCAGTTGAGCAACTCACCCGCCGCTGAAGCGGCCGTCCGTGAGGCACGCCACATCGAGACCCAGGCCGGCACCCATGATGAGGCTGGTCGGCTTGAGCATCTCGGGCATGCCCGGGCCGCCCTTGGGGCCCTTGTACCGCAGCACGACGACCGTCTTCTCGCCCTTCTTGATCGTCCCTTGCTCGACGGCAGCCACCATCTCGTCCTCCGTGTCGAAGCAGCGCGCCTTGCCCGTGAAGCGCAGGCCCTCCTTGCCCGTAATCTTGGCGACGGCGCCGCCAGGAGCCAGGTTGCCCTTCAGGATGCTGCAGAGTCCGAGTCAGCTGCAAGGCCCGCACTGCTTGCATATGCGCTGAGACGCACCGGATGTGGCCAGTCGCCTTGAGCGGCTTGTTCAGCGGGCGCAGCACGTCCTGGTTCGGCGAGAGCTTGCCGCGCTCGTGCGTCCAGCGGTCCGCGTTCTCAGCCAGCGTGCGGCCGGTGACGGTCATGTGCTCGCCCTTGATCAGCTTGTTCTCAATGAGGTACTGGATGATCGCTGCGGGCGTGCACTGTTCAGCCGGGTCTGTGCTGCGGCAGCAGAACCAGACTCAACTCACTCGGGATGCCGCCCAGCACCTTGTACACATCCTCCATCACGTACTTGCCGCTCGGCTTCAGGTCAGCCAGGAACGGCGTCGAGTCGCTGATGCGCTGGAAGTCGTCAATCGTGACCTCCACGCCGACGGCGTGCGCCATGGCGATGAGGTGCAGCACGGCGTTGGTGCTGCCGCCGAGCACCATCGTGAGGACCTGCACAGCAACATTAGCAGCAGCGAGAGAAGCAGTGAAGCGGCCACACGCACCATGGCATCCTCGAAGGCCTCGCGCGTCATGATGTCGCGCGGGCGGATGTTCTTCTCAAGCAGGTTGCGCATCGCCGCGCCCACCGACTCGCACTCGGCCTGCTTCTCCGGGTACTCGGCCGGGAAGGAGCTGCTGCCGGGCAGCGTCATGCCGAGCGCCTCGGAGCACGACGCCATCGTGTTGGCCGCTGCAGGGCGTGTGAGATTGCGCAGACCGAAGTGCTCGCCCTCTGCCGCACTCACTGTACATGCCACCGCACGCGCCCGGACCGGGGCACGAGTTGCGCACCGTGTCGTAGCGCTTGCGCTCAGCCTCCGGGGTGCCGCCCTCGGACAGGTACTGGCCGTAGCTCTGGAACGCGCTGACAATGTCCAGCGTGCCTGCCGCAGCGCCGCAGCCTCCCGGCTTGATGGTGCCGCCGTACACCATTAGACCCGGACGGTTAAGGCGGCCGAGCGCCATGAGCACGCCGGGCATGTTCTTGTCGCAGCCCGGCACCACGACGCAGCCGTCGAGCCAGTGGCCGCCCGACGCGCTCTCGACGCTGTCGGCAATGAGGTCGCGGCTCGGCAGCGAGTAGCTCATGGCGTCGGTGCCCATGCTGATGCCGTCGCTCACGCCCACGACGCCGTACTGGTAACCCGTGAGGCCAGCGTCGTGGAGCGACTTCTTGATCTTCTGGCCCAGGCCGAGCAGGTGCGCGTTGCACGGGTTGCCCTCGTACCTGCGCAGGACGATGAGCGGGTGTGCAGGCGCAGAGTGGCTGCGCGCTGCACTCACCACACGCTGGCGACGCCGACCATGGCGCGCGTCAGGTCCTCGTCATTCTCGATGCCGGGCGTGGCATAGAGCATGGCCTGGCTCGCGCCCTGGTCCTTGGGCGCGGTGATGGTGCGGCTGAGGCGGTTGAGCGCGCCGGGCGGCGGGCGGGCGCCAGCGGCGCGCACGGCGCTGGTGTGCAGCGCACGCGAGCGCAGGCTGCGGGCGAGGGGGGCGCGGAGGGACATGGCAGCAGCGGTTGGGGACGGGAAGCAAGTCAGATGGGTGACATCTGCGAGCGCGAAGCTCTGCCCGGGCGAGAATTATCGTGACTGGGCGCGCCGGCGTGGGAGCGCGAGCGGCCGGCCGTGCATTTCGCAGCAGCGGACATGTCACGTGGCACTCGCGCCAGGGTGCTCGGGGTCCGAGAGCGAGGCGAGAGAGGAGAGCGGCGCCGCCTTCCCCGCCTCCACACGCACCCCTCAGCATCAGCCGCGGCGCTGTCAGCATGTTCTACCAGCAGGCCCTCTTCTTCACCCTCCCGCTGCTCCCCGTGCTCATCCGTGAGGCGCATCTCTGAGCCCAGCCTCACACGCGTCTCTGACCGTACTCCGTCAGTCATGCTCGACTTCTCGCTGCGCGGCACGTACGACGTGCTCGCCGTGCCGCTGCTGCTGCCCGAGCATGTCGTGCGCGACGTGCTGCTGCCGCCGAGCCTGAGCCCGGGCCTGCTGCCCGTGCCGCAGGGTGTCTACGAGCAGCTCGGCCTCGCCGACGCCGTGCGCGCCGCCGACGGGACGCCGCAGCGCCTCGTGCTCCTGCAGCTCGGCTACCAGTCGCACACGGGCCCCGGCGCGCCGTGGATGGGCATGCGCATGCAGAGCTTCAGCGAGGTCAAGTGAGCGAGGCGGCCGGACTGGGAGGGCGATGTGCTGAGCTAGGCGTGCAGGCTCGAGATTCCCTTCATGCGCCACCCCAAGCTCGCGCGGTCCGAGCAGCCGTTCCTCTTCAAGCAGACGATGTGAGGCGCGCACTGGCTCGCATCGTGGCGCCGCCGCTGACGCCGTTTGCAGGCTCTTCTCGAACCCGCTCATGTCCTTCTCATCGAACATCTTCCCGGGCGCACGCTCGGTGTACGCGTCCTTCCGCCCAAAGAAGTCGCCAGCCACGTACGCGCCCGACGCTGCCCAGCTCGAGTACGGCGTGACCGACTGGGTGCATGCCGAGGCCACGCAGGCAGCAGCTCCGCGCGCACAAGGCATGTGGCCGGCTGTGAAGGACATGCTCAATGCGCCCTGGTTCGCCGAGCGCTCGGGCAGCAGCGTGATCCAGGTGAGTCGTGCCGCGAGCGTCGCTGCGACACGAGGCTCACTTCTTGCGCGGCAGTTCATCTTTGACGACAGCGCTGCGGAGATCGCGCCGACGCTGTACGACGTCGAGGTGAAGCTGCGCATGCGAGCATGGCGGCATCCGCTGCAGAAGCCGTACAGTGGGCCCGAGGAGATCCTGCTGTCCGGCCAGGGCTTCCGCTCCAAGATGGACTTCACGTCGCGGAGCGGCGCGGCACACAAGTTCATCGAGTAGCACAACGGCGGACGGCTCCATATATACGCATCCGCATTTCTGGCTGGCCGCAGCGATTCAGATTAGAGGACAGGGACAGGAGCACGGGACGGACAGGGTGCGGAAGGTGGTGTCGCGACGTCGAGCGTCGCTTGATTCGGTGAGGTCCAGCTCAGAAGCTCTCCTCCTCGTCGTTGCCGTAGCGCGGCATGGTCTCGAGCGCCATCTGCGCCTGCAGCGCGGCCTCGCAGAGCGCACGCGCGCAGGTGCCGCAGTCTGTGCGAGCGGAGGATCAGTGCGAGTGGCAGCGACGACCACACGCTGCACCCACCGATCTGGCCGATCTCGGTGATGACCTTGCGCAGCACGTCGGCCGGCTCCGGCGGCTTCTTGCTGCCGTCCTTGTCGGCGACGCGCGGCCATGCGAGCTTGGTGCGCAGGTGCGACCAGGGCGCGATGCAGCAGATGCCGCCCGTCTGGAAGCACTGCGACTCGAGCACTTTGGGGTCCATGACGATGCTGTTGAGCGCGTCCTGGTAGTGGCCCTGGCGGCGCGCGTGGAACTCGGAGAGCCGCGAGAACGACGAGAAGCCCATGAGCGAGAAGACGAGCTCGGGCAGGCGGTGAATGTCGTAGCGCACACTGCGCTCGGCGGCGGCCTCCTCGAGCGCGGGCAGGTGGTACATCGACGCGAAGGCACTGCGGAGAGGCGATGAGCGGCGGCAAGATATTGATCATGTGCGCCACCCACAAAGTCATGAAGGGCGACAGCGTGCCGAGCTGCTCCTGCTCGGCGAAGAATGCAGCGGCGACGTCCTAATGAGACGCGAGTCAGCACGACTGATGAGCCTCGAGCTACAGCAGACGCACCTTGGCGCGGGCGCAGTCGTACTTCTGTGCGGCGCGCGCGAGGCGGAGCACGACTTGCCAGTCAGACATGGTCAGAGCCGGCGCCGGGTTGTTGTAAAACAGGCCGAAGAGGAGCTTGAGCGTGGCACCGTCTGCAGAGAGTGTCAGCACGGCGAGCGTGACAGCGGCGGATGCTACTCACCCTCCTCGAGCTGGTGATGCTTGTTCTCATCGCAGCCGTCGACCATCTCGCTGAGGACCGCGGAGTGCACATTGAGGTTGACCTCGTGGATCTGTGCGACCGTCAGCAACGTCAAGCACGGTCCACTCGACTGCTGCTCACCCTGAAGCGCGTCGGAGGCTGACGGGTCGCGGCGGCGCCGGCCTCGGACGACACGAAGATGATGTCGCCGTCCTGGAAGTCGGTCGCCTGGGCGATGGGGTCGGAGCCGAGGAAGGATGCCGCGCTGCGAGGAACGGATCAGTTGATGGCTTCAAGAGCGGATCAACGACACCGACTCACTCGGTCTGCTCCCAGCGCGACACGTTACCGTGGCCGGCGGCCATGCGGCTCTGGTCGACGGACCAGTCGCCAGACTGCTCGACAAGCGACTGCTCGCGGCCACGGCCCATGATCGACTGGTTGTCCATCGTACTATTCTCGCGCGCATCCTCATACGTCGAGGCGATGGTGTCGCGCCGGTTGCCGCCCGAGTTGTTCGCGGCGTCGCTGTACGACTGCTGGCCGCCGAGCGAGTTATTGCCGTAGCCCGATTGCTGCTGGCTGACGTAGCCGCCGGACTGCTGCTGCTGCTGGTGCTGCTGCTGGTGCGTCTGCTGCTGGCCGCGCTGCTGACCGCCGGTGTTGCCCGACTGCTGGCCGCCGCTCTGCTGCTGGCCGCCGTACGCGCCAGGCGTCGGCGTGCTGCTGTTGTTCTGGCCGTACGAGCCCTGCTGCTGGCCGCCCTTGCTGCTGTTGTCGACCTGCGAGCTGACGCCGAAGCCGACCTTGTTGCCGCTGTCGTAGCCCCCCGTATGGACCGACGTGGCGACCGTCGAGGGCACGTCCGAGCGCTCGTCGTCATCAGCGACGTTGTTGCCGAAGTACGACGCACTGCCGGTCGACGAGCTGTCGGAAAAGGCGCTGCGCAGTCAGTGTCAGCTGTCACGGCAGAGGAGCCGCAGCCGCTGCTGCTGCGGTGAGACTGACCCTGGCGTCTGGCCAACTTGGCCGCCGCTGCGGCCTTGGTTGCTGCTGGTGCGTCCCATGGCGCTGCCCTGGTTGCTGCCGCTGCGGCCCATGGCGTTGCCGCCGGACTTGGGAGGCGAAGAGGAGCCGCCGCCGAAGAATGGCATGGATTTGCTGGTCTCGGCGAGGGCTGAGAGTATGCCGCTAATGCTGAAGAGAGAAGAGGCGCGGCGTGAGTCGCGCCGAAGAGGGCAGTGGTGTCGAGGGAGAAGTGTGAGTGCGAGAGGAAATGGCCGCACAGCGTTGGCGGCGAAGAGACGTTCCGGGACTGCCAGCTTATTTGAGGCCACCACCGTCGGCAATGAGCCGCTGCCGCTCGAGCTGCTCTACCTCACTAGGCCGGCGGCCGGCCAGTCAGGCCCATGCTGCGTCGCTGTCTCGTCTCGCTCCCCGAGCACTGAGCCCGGCTCTGGCGCCTTGCCACCTGGCGCACACGGCGCGACGGCAGAGCCATGACGAAGGCAGGAGAGCATGCGTGGCTCATGCTGCGTGCGAGAGCTAAGCTGCCATGACGAGACGTTTCGTACTGCTCCTGTGCTGCATTGCGGCTGCGCGAGCGCGACGTGGGCGATGGAGGCGCGATGGGCGGCTCGAGCGTCGTGGTGTAAAGGAATGCGACGCCGCGGGAGCGCGCGGCGGCCGGCGGACACGCTGCCGCTGCTGCGCCGGCCTCGCTTAGCGTGCGAGCGCGCCCCGAGACGCAGCCTCGGCTCCCGACCACCACCTCGTCCTCGGCGCTCAGGCCGCCTCGCCTCTGCCGAAGGCATGCTGCACGCTGCGCTCCACTCCGCAACGACGAGCGCTTGACACGATCGCTGCCGAGCCGCGCTTGACGCCGCGCAGTGCCACGACTGCGGCTGCCGCAGCCGAGCTTTTCGCGCGCGACAGGCGTCCCGTGCGCGCTCGGGCCCGACGCCTGAAAGCCGACGCCGGTCGAACCCGCATGGACGCGCAGATGAGGGGATGTATTGTGGACGGGTGGTGGTATGCTCTAAGGGGTGACGTGAGGAGGCGTGCGAGAACGATCAGGAACGGGCGCGAACGGCGGGCGGGACGATGGGGAGGAGAGGTGCGTGCACCGGGAGCAGATGCGTGCGCAGAGCGAGACTGGCTCAGGCAAACGGCTTCTTGAGGTTCTCGTTGTACAGACCCACGAGCCAGTCGACGGCGGCGGGGATCTGGCCGACGTAGTGCGGCGCAAAGTGGATCTGTAGAGGCAGAGCATCAGCGAGTGGCAGTGGGTGTCGTGCGCGGTGCAGCCCACCTCCTGGTCTGCAGAGCAGGCAGCGAGTCAGCAAGTAGTCTCCCAAGGTAGCACATCTCGGGTCACGCACTGTTGCCGCCGGGCCAGCACACAAGGTCGTTCTCGTTGCAGAGACTCTTGACGGTGTGCTGCGGCTCGTTGCTCGGCCACGAGCTGTTGAAGACGAGCGGCAGCCAGTACTGCCGCGAGTACATGTAGTCGCCCACCACGAGGCTGCCGACGACGCGCGGCCGGTGTTCGGCGTGCGGGTAGAGCTGGTGCACGCCGAGCGTGCCCTTGGAGTAGCCGGCGGCGATGTAGCGCTGCTCCGGGCACTGGGCCGCCTGTGGAGGAGAAGGGTGAGCAGCGGCAGAGGGGAAGTCGCACCGGCTGCATCAGCTCCAGTCAACTCACCCGCTTGTTGATCCAGTTCGTCGCGTCCTGGCCGGCGGCGAGCGGCGACACGAGCTCCTCGTAGACGTACGAGTTGAAGACGACGTTGTAAGCGCTGATCTCAGGCACGCGGGCCTGCAGCTGCTGGAAGAGCGGCTCGCCGATGAAGCCGAGTGCGTCCTGCGGCTGGTCGCCCGAGCGGAACCAGATGAGCTCGAGCGGCGTGCACACGTTTGTGTTGTCTGAGCTGCCCGTGGGCGTCCAGCGGCGCTCGAGCGAGCGCCGCACCGACGCCGCCGAGACGGCTGGCGCCACGAGTGCGGCGCCGAGGAGAAGCACGATGCTGCGGAGGGAAGGCATGGTGCGGGCAGGCTGGAGGGAACAGAGGATCAGAAGGAGAGAGGAGGGCGGAGGGCGGGGGAGGAGAATCGAGGGTGAGGTGGGCGCTCCGGCGACGCGGCCGCCATGGGCGAGGTTCTTATGAGGGCGCCGTGGTGACTTCTGGTACTGCCTCGATGCTCTGAGCAGCGCCGCTTGTGTGCGCCATGCTAGCGGCGCGCATGGGTCATCGATACGTGGGTGAGCAAAGTCGCTGCAGGATGCTCTCGAGGAGCCGTGCCGTCCAGGTCCCCCCATCTGTACCGCTTCTGAGAGGCGTCTTTCCCTTGCCTCATTGGGCAGATGACGGCCGGTGTTGCTCCTCGACGCCTCGCCAGAGCGTTCGAAGAGGGCGGTGCGAGGCAAGGCGCAGTCGGCGGCCGATCATGCTGCGTTGCAGATCATCACGCGGAGCAAACAAGCTCTCAACGCCGGCGCATCGCGAGGCGTGCGCTACTCGATGGCGCGCCTAGCTCGGCTCGGGGAGCGCAAGATGCTCGAGAGCGACATGCATCGACGCACCGCTGGAGCATCTGAGCGGCTGACGAGCGGCAGGCTGCGTCCCTGACAGACGCTTTGCTTCCGCGGGACGCATCCGACATGCTTTCGCTAGCGTGGAACGCGCGTGCTTGATGAGGCACGCGCGAATGCGGCGCGGGAGCGTCAGGGGGCAAAGGCAACACGACGCGAACCGACTATCGTCACGCGCCGCTCTAGCAGCGTCACATCAGCGACTTCGGGTGAGAAGCAGCATGCTGCAAGCAGATGTTGTAGGCTGGAGTGCTTAAAGCGACAGGTGATGCTTGTTTGCGTCTGCGGCTGCATCTGGCGTGCCTGCCTTGCTTGCATGCTGCTGCGCCCCTGCGCCGGCTAGCGCTGCGAACGCGTCGGTCGGGCGATGTCGATTGTCTCGTGCTGCGGCAGCAGGCCGCGCCAACATAAGAGCATCTCTGCTCCGGCTGCTGCTCGAGCGAGAGCTGAGCGAGGCTCAGAGGTCTGATGAGCTTCGTGGCGGCACGGCGGCTCGGCCTGCTCGGCCGTTGCATGCCGAGCCAGACGACCGCTGCGAGCGCCGCCTTGCACCTCCACAGCGCACGTGATGAGCAGTAGCTGATGGTCTGAGCGCTCTCGCATGAGCTCCTCGATGTCAAGAGGGTGGAAGGCGGGCAGGTGAGGCGGGATCAGCTCGAGCGTCGGCGCGAGTTCTAGAAGCGAGCTGGTGCCTTGGCTGCGCGGCCGACGTGGAGGGGCTGCAGCCGCATCCGTGCGCGCGCCACACCGCCGCGCGTCACGCCCGCCCCGCGTTCTTCCCAACCCACCTTCATCACCCTCTCCTGCCGCCGACGATGGACGAGATGTGCGTCTGCCGTGCTGCACATCCCACATGCGCACTCACACTTCACACAGCAACAAGATCCCGCCCGTGACGCGCAGCCTCGTGGGCGCCACGTGTCTCGTGTCGCTGCCGACGATGCTCAAGCTCGTCAGCCCCTACGTCTGGCTGCTCTGGTGGCCCGCCGTCGTGCAGCGCTGGCACCTCTGGCGCCCCATCACCGCCTTCTTCTTCGGGCCGCCGGGCCTCTCCTTCATCTTCGACCTCTTCTTCCTCTTGTGCGTCGGCCCGAGCGACAGGTGCGGCGGGCCGCGCTGACGCTCTCCCCCACAGCCGCCATGCGCAGGAGCTAGAGCTCAACTACTTCCACCGCCGCACCGCCGACATGGCGTGGAGCCTCGTCATCATGGGCGCCGTCATCCTGGTGCGTGCCGCGCCTCACCGCTGCGCTGCTGCCTGCTCACGCCACTTGCCAGGCGGCCAACTATCCGCTGCGCAGCAGCGTGCTCCACTCGCCGCTCAATCACGCCCTCACTGTGAGTCGCGTCTCATCTCTTGCTGACCTATGGCGCTGATGCGTGCCCGCACAGTACCTCTGGGCACGCGCAAACCCGCACGGCAGCACGTCGCTCTTCGGCTTCGTCACCATCCCGGCAAAGTTCCTGCCGTACGCCATGCTGGCGCTCGACTTGCTGCAGGGCGGGCCTGACGCGCTGATCCTCGGCGCCACGGGCCTCGTCGGCGCACACGCCTACTTCCTACTGCACGACATCATGCCGGCGAGCAACGGCGGGCGCGGGCCACGCTACCTGCCCGCCACGCCTGCCTTCCTCAAGCGCCTCTTGCCCGACAGCCGCGACCCCACCGCGCCGCCGCCGGCGACGGAGGAGCACGGCGCAGTGCGCCGCACCGGCTACGGCGGCATTGCCTTTGCGCCGCGTGGGCGCGCCTTTGGCGACGGCGGTGCAGCAGCTGCGCCGGCGACGGGCGGCCAGGCGCTGGGCTCAGGCGGGTCGGGCAGCAGCGGAGGCGGCCTCTTCGGTATGTTCCGACGTGGTGGAGCGACCGCATCGACCGGCACGAGCGGACCGAGCTCGTCTGGGCCAGATCGCGAGGCGATGCTGCGGGCTGCCGAGGCTCGGCTGCGTGCGCAGCGCGAGAACAGCATTGCCGGACGTAATGCCGGAGCAGCGCGAGCAGCCAGCCAGGCGGCCGCCAGCGATGCCGCACGGGCACGCGAGGCGCGCGCAGGACGCAGCGATCTCGGCGGCCGCGAGAGCAGCACGAGTGCACTGCGCGAGAGCTCGAGCACCAGCACGACGGCTCGGCGTGCGGGCGCCGGCGGCAGCAGCAGCTTTGCGACGATGGCGCGCGCGCCCGACGCCAACGAGAGCGCCTCGGGCAGCGGCGGCAGCGTGGCCGAGGAGCGGAGAAAGGCGCCGCAGCCGGCGCAAGAGGAGGAGGAGAGGAAGCCGCCAGGCGCGAACTCGACAGGCGGAGGCGTCTTCTCGGGCACGGGACATCGCCTGGGCGACTAGAAGGCATGCTGGCAATTGCACTGCTCTATTAGTGGGTATCTATGCGTCTTCGGCTGCCTGTACAAGCTCGACGAAGCGTCGCGCCTCGGGCCGGAAGCAGTCGGCCTGGTTGCTGGACCTGCACAGGGCGTCAGCGCGGGGTTGCGAGCGGTATGCGTTGGGCTGCTCACCAGGCAGTCGTGAGGAGCAGCTCCTCGGCCTCTTCAGGCATCTCCACGACGTCCTGCAAGGTCGTATAGAGCAGCTCGCTCGTGGCTCCGCGCAGCTGGAGGGGCCTTGTGAGTGGGCTGTGTGAGGCTTGGCAAGGCACCTCGGACGCACCGTCGGGAAGCTGTGCGAGAGAAAGGCGGAGCAGTGCGCCAGCGCTTCGCTGCGCAGAGGCGACACGCGCAGCATGTTCACCGTGCTGCCATGCGGGTCGTCAGCGGCGGCAAGCGAGAGGCGGCGGTCGTCAGGGACGCACAGCTGCATGCACGCGTTGACGCGCATCGGGCTCTTGAACTTGTCGAGGTTCTTCGTGGCCATGGAGAGAATGCGCCGTAGCCTGGAGGGAAGCTGTCAGCAGCGGCATGCGACCGAAGCGGCAGTCGTGGCTCACAGCACGGTGGCCGCCTCGTCATCCTCCAGCTTCTCATCTGCCACGTTTACCTCCAGGAGCGCCGTGAGCGTCTGGATGGCTGGCACATAGATGCGGTTGGCCGAGTAGTTGCGCATCGCCAGCTCGCGCAGGTCGTCGATGATCTGCAGCGCTCCATAGGCCGGGAAGGTCGCGACTTCCGCTGAGATGTCGGGCGAGGCCAGCACGTAGTCGCACAGGCTCGTGGCGACCGCGCTTTGCTGAAAGGGGTGCGTCGTCAGCTGCAGAGGCAGGCGATTAGCGAGTCGGTACGCACGGCCATCTCCGTCTTTGTGCCGAGGCTTGTGACGATGCCTCGCAGCAGCTGTGCGCGATAGGGCGGCAGTGCGAGCAGTCGCATTGCACGAGGGAAGAGCCAGTCGGGTTGCTTGAAGTTTGCCACCTCGCCCCTGTCTCGGAGTCAGCCGACAGCAAGGTGCGACGTGGCTTTCGATGCTCACCGTGGAAATAGCGTCTCGAGCAGTCCGACTCCCACTGGCGCGTAGAAGCTCTCTTGAGGCGGAGCACGGCAAACAGCAAGCAGCTGCTCGCCAGCCTCGCTGCGCACACTGTCGATGCGCTCCACCATCTGCTTCATCAAGCCCGCGAGCGCCGCGTGGTAGTCGTCCTCGGTGAGGCAGTCCGCCAGCGGCACGAAGAGAGACGTATGCGCGCGGTACAGCTCGAGCAGCTGACGGAGGCCTGCCACGCACGCCAGCCGGACCCATGAGCCGACGTCGCCTCGCTGGTCGGTCGTGTAGTCTTCCAGACCCGCAAGGAGCGCTCGCAGGATATCCTTCGCAAGAGCTGGGCTCAGGACTGCGGCGCGTCAGGGCTGACTTGGAGCTGCACAAGAGCCGCAAGCGCTCACCTTGGGCTATCCGGCTGCCGAGCGTGTTGCACGCCGCAACGATCGCCTCGTAGGCGTTGCGGCGCGTCTCGATGTTCTGCGAGTAGCTCGGCGCCTTTTCGGTAACAAGGCCCAACAGGAAGCGCTGCGCTGGCTCGAAGGCGCCCTCGCACCGCAGGTACTGGTAGAAGCCGAGCGCGCGAGCATGGCTCTGCTGCTCGGCTGGGAGCAGAGACCGCCACTTGGAGATGACAGTGCTCGCGAGTGCGGGATCAGCAAGCAAAGAGGCGAGGCCTGCATTCTGTTCACTCATCTTTCGATGCGTGCAGTGCAGTCTTGTAGTCCACTGACCCCGCGCAGCGCCTTGGCTGCCGCGACTTGCACGTTCTCTTCGGAGCGGCTCATGGCCGCCTGCACGATCGCCTCCCAAGCCGGCTCGCCGCTCGAGGAGAGCGCTTCCGAGCTCGCGCTGGCTTCGATGACGCCACAGGCCGCACGAAGCACCATCGCGCCGCCCATCATGCGCAAGGTGCTGCGAGGGACGCGGTCTAGCGCAGAGAAGATCTGCAGGGCGCTCGTTCAGCAAGCCGACATGCGAGGGTTCTGCGGCAAGACGGACCTTTAGCTGAACCCTCTTCGCTGTCTGACCCTCAGTACGCGCACAGAGGCGAGCAAGCTCCTCCAGGACAAGCAGCGCGCCATGCAGAGTCGGCGTGTCGCGAGCTTTGCACTTCTCCGACTGCCGTCGAGTGTCAGCTTCGGATGCGCCGGGCTAGCCAGCAGACAGCGCCGCACCATGACTTTGGCAATCTGCGGCGCGAGCTCTTCGAACTGCAGAGCGGCGATGCTCGCAACCGTCCTAGCGCCAAGCTCTTGCATAGCAGAGTCCCAGTGCGTGGCAGTGACGCTGAGCAGGTGGTCGAGCAGGCTCTGGCGATACTCCGCATGCCTGTCGAGAGGAGTATGAGGCACGCAGGCCACCGGCAGGCCCTGAGAGACTCACACGGCAACCTGCGGCGCGCACTCAAGGAACGAGGAGCGGCGCATGCTGACTGCGAAGAAATCAGTCTTGCGAATGACATCGATGCCGTGCGGAAAGAGGTTCTGGGCGAGCCAGGGTGAGCAAGCGGTTTTGAGTGATGGTGAGGCTGGCACTCACGAGGCGGCCAGCGCACTCCTGGTATGCGGCACTCGCAGCGCGTCGAATGGAGACGTCTCGGTCGAGGCAGGACACATTGACGAGTCGCTGAGCCAAGGCGAGAGCATGCGGCCTCATGGCGTCTGCGTCATGCGCTCGCGCGAGGGCCCAGAGCACATAGCAGGCAGCGTCCCGCACGCCAGCACCGACCGAGTGTGCGCCTCGACGTATGTCGAAGAGAAGAGCCTGGTCGTATCGGATGTCAGTGTGAACTTAAAGCATCACAGATCATGGCTCACCTTCTGCACCCACTCGAGCTTCTCGCCCAACTCCTCGCCCTTGAGCAGACCGCGCCGGCCGAGCTCTGCAAGCGCAAGACACGCGCCTTGCCACGTGTGCTCGCTGACCGAGCTGAGGTCGCTCCGGTCACCCATGATGTCTGCCACGTTGATGGCGAACAGCGACGCAATGGCATCAGCCACCTGGTCGATGAAAGATCCAGGCAGACGCTCGCAGAGGCGGGACAGAGCTTTGGCCGCAGAGTAGCGCACAACGGTGTCCTGCGGTGCAAGGTTCAGATCTCTCTTCGACACTAGACGGCGGTGCTTCTCACCTTGTCTTGCAGCGACATCATCAGACGGGCGATCACGCCATCGACCTCCTCCGGCACGTCCTCCTCATCGTCCTCATCTTCGCCGCCTTCGCCGCTTGCATGCGAGGCGCCAGTGGCAGCATGACGCATGGGATCGCCGAGCACCTTGGCTATGTAACCAGTCAGAGCGTGCGAGTGCCAAGTTGATGCGTTCTGACTCACCGCGAACGAAGCGAGTCCGTTTGCGCGGCCGCAGCATCTTCAGGCCGAGGCGGCCCGTGAGCTTGGTGCGGTACTTCGACACAAGACTGTTCTTTAGCACGGCTGCCCGCGTGGCATCCGCGTCTAGCGTAGCCTCATCAGCGCCGAGCGGCGGACTGTAGATGTCCAGAATGGCGTTGATGGCGGGCAGATGCGGCGCAATGGCCACCGCATCAGAGACCTTGACGATCTCGCACAGCGCCTGGAACACGCCGGTGGTGAGGAAGATCGAGGGCTGCGCCGGTGGCATGAGCTGCTCGTGCGTCCACTGAAGGAAGCGCTCGAGGCGCTGCTGCACAGCGTCGCGTCTGCAGGCAAAGGTCTCAGCGCTGAGTCGCCGCTGCTAGTCGACAGGGCCTCACCTCTGGAAGAGCTTGCCGAGCATGACTGCCGCCGCATCCCGCTCCTTTCCCGACGCGCCCAGGAAACGCCTGCCGACAGCCTCGATTTGGTCGGCAACGGGCATCTCCTGGCGGTCGAACTTGCTCAGGTCGAACGGGATCATGCACACGAGCGACAGCCAGAGGAGCAGAACGTAGCGCAGCTCCCAGGTCGAGGAGACCGTCAAAGCGTCGGTGGCTGTCGAATCACCGGCAGTGCTATCGAGTGCAAGCAGCGCTGGGTGCAGATCTTCCACCGAGTGCGGGAAGAAGTGGACTGGCACGCGAAGTCAGCGGGACAGACTGCGGCGGAGAGGACGGGCAAGCTCACTAATCGTCTTGTAGCCGCGGACCTTGGTGAAGACGTACAGCAGCCGAGCGATGCGCTGCAGGCTCTCGCTCACGCCTGCGCTCGAGGACGAGCCCGGCAGGCCGGCTGCCGCACGCACAGACTGCTGCAGGCGCGAGACGGTGGGCGCGACGATGGCATCGAGGTACGGGTCAAGCAGGTACGGCTGCTCTTGGTATTCTTCGAGCTGACGGACACATGCATGAGCGTTTCCCAGCCTCTCTAATGACTTGCTCGCCGCTCACCATGACGCTCAGCTGTGCCAGGCGCGGCTCCGTCGGCTGCGCAAGGAAGAGCGCCAGCAGCTCGCGAAACTCGTCTGCACGCTCGAAGCGCACGAGGTCGCGCTGCTCAAGCTCGACGTCCTCGAGGGCACCAGCCTCGTGCTCCTCGGCCTGTGCCATGTTTGTCGATGAGCGTAGTGCGTCAGCTTGATGTTGTAGAGCTGTGTCAAGATGTCGAGCTGGCCATGCCTCGAGCAGCGCTTCCTGCGGCCCCTCAAAGCGCGTCACGTGGCGCGGCGCGCCTCCTGTTCCTCTGGGCGGTGCCGCCGATCATGGCCCGTGCACCGAGTCCTCTTCTTCTCAGCCCGCCGTCCCACAGTTCGCCCTCTGAAGCTCGCATTGCGGCATGTCAGGGGTCCTGGACAAGTGTCACCGGCGGCGACAGCGGCAGCCGGGCTGGGCAGGGCATGGGAGCCGGCTGGCACGGCTGGCGGCGGCTGACGCTCAGCCGGTCCATGCACGCAGCGTGTGGAGGCGGTTTGCCCGCTCTCCCGCTAACGCAGCGACCCGGCTCGTGCTGTCGTGTGCCACAAGCCCACAAGGCAGACGCCGAAGGAAGCGGGGCTGCAGCACCCTCCACCTCGCTCCCCTCTCACCACCACACTAGACCCAACCCTCGCACACTCATCGTCCACCATGTCTGCCCGTTGCAACTGCTCCAAGTTCCAGTTCGAGGCGCCCAAGGTGCGTGCTCCTCCACAGCGCTGGCCCGCACTTGGCTCACCCGACTTGCCACGTCCATAGCCCCAGATGGTCGCCGTCTGCCATTGCAAGGCGAGTTTACGCTGCGTATCCATGCTTCTGACCTGCCGCTGACTTCATGCTCAGAGCTGCACGCGCAGCGGCGGCTCCATCGGCTCTTTCAACGCCGTCGTCACGCTCGACGACGTCAAGTTCAGCAAGGGCTCGATTGCCGAGATGAGCAGCTACAACGACAGCGACACGGACAGCGGCAACACCATCGTGCGCCACTTCTGTGGCACGTGCGGCTCGGCGCTCTTCTCGGTGCGTCGGGTGCGGCCTGCGCATGTGCGATGCGCCTGCTGACGTGCGCCTGCCTCGTCAGATTCCGGAGAAGCAGGGCGAGGGCGCCATCGGCTACCTCAAGGTTGCGGCGCTCGAGGACCCCGATGCGTACGCCCCCGGCGCCAACGCCGTGCTCTTCGAGAGCCGTGCGCCCGGCTTCGTGCGCAAGGCGCTTAACTGGCCCGAGGGCGTGCAGGTCATGGCACGCGGCTCGTAGGGTGCCGGCTTCACACACGGGTCACGCATCGACAGCTCTCACGCAAATGGCATGCTCTGATGTGTTTGCATTGAGATGAGCATCAGTGCGAGGCTTTGGCTGCCTCTGAGCGCTTCGCTGCAGCGGGCGTCTTTCGTTGCTTCTTCTGCGCGCCGCCCAGCAGGCCCAGCGGCTCGATGCCGCAGGCCAGGCCCACTTCAAGCTGGCGCTTGAGGGCCCACGCCCACAGCAGGCCCAGGGCCGGCGCAGAGAGCAGCACGTTGAGCACGGCGTAGATGTCGGGGTATCGCGAGGTCACGCGCTGCTCCAGGCCGGGGAGCAGCAGCGGAAGGAGAATCTCCAGGGCGTGCAGGAAGAGGATGCCGGCGTGGATGGCCTGTGCGCGAGTCAGTGCAAGATCGCAGCACTGCGTCGGCGGCACTCACTGCAGATGCCCAGCCGATGAACGTCTGGCGGTGCGAGCGGAGCGCCGAGAAGGGCGCCGAACCAATGGCCCAGTTCCAGAAGAGGACCAGCACGAGGTACTGCAGGCTCTGGCCGTCCTTCTGAAGCAGCGGCCACATGCTGAAAGATCGTGCGTCAGCCAGCTGCTCTCCTGCGCATCGCTCAACGCCCTCACCTGAACACGCCGACATTGTTGCCGAGCACCGCCCACTCCCAGTCCGTGGCGCCCGCGCCTCCGCCCCACTCGTCGCCCTTGACCGTCAGGAGCAGCGTGAGGGGCAGCAGCGGCAGCAGCACGCTCTTCTCATGCGTCTGAAAGCCAAAGAGGAAGAAGGAGAGCGACACGCTCAGCAGCGCATACGGCAGCACCTGTGCCGCCGGCGAGGGCGTCTTGCTGGCGATGAGCGGCCGCTCGGCCTCGGAGCCCAGCGCAGAGAGGCCCATGATGCTGCCGCTGACGCTTGGCGCTGCGCCGTTGAGCGCACTGCGGCCAGCGAAGAGCGATCCGAGCTCGGAGCCGCCCGTCTCGGAAGCGGCGGCGAAGGACCGCGCCTGTCGCCGGCGGTCGGCATTGCTGCGCGCGCCGCCAGACAGCACTGAGCCTTCAGACGGCGCGAGGCGCGCAAGTCGCTCCTGCGCTGCGCTCGGCGTGGCGTTGACCTTGTCTTCGTCGAGGAACATCTCCATCTGCACAGTCTGCGCAGCTGCCGCAAAGAGGTGCACGCACGGGGCCAGAATCGTCGCGAGTGTGGTGCCGAGACTGAGGCGTGCCAGTGCTGCAGAAGTCATTGCGTTCTTGAGCTTGTAGCGCGCAGGCAGAGGCAGCACAGAGAGCAGGCACCAGAGGTTGGCCACCTTGTCCTCGAAGATGCCGCGCGCGAGCGGAAAGATGCGGTGAATCACTTGCCCGATCGACGCCAGCGACGTCAGCCACGGCGCAAACATCACGAGGAACGTCAGCGCCGTCACAGCGCCGATGCTGGCGAAGCAGATGAAGCTGAGAGGCGGCGTCAGCCCCACATCAATATGCATACTGCTGGTACACTCACCCGCGCTCAAAGCCAACGCCCGCCAGGCCCCAGCAGCGTCCCAGCATGACAGCAAAGACGGCAGGCGCAAAGTACAGCGCCATCTGCTTGAAACAGAGCGCCAGGCTGAAGAGCACCGCAGCGGCAATGTACTGGTAGGAGACCTGCCGGCTGAGGTCTGTCTTGAGCTCCTTGCGCTTGTCGCCCTGGGCGCCAGCCGCCGCAGGGCCAGTCGATGCGACGCCAGCATCTGCATTGGGCAGAGAGCTGTAGAGCAGCGCGAAGCAGCCGGCGCACAGACCCAGCATGATGCTGTTGTACTGGAAGTGCCCGTGGTCGATGAGCACGAGGCTGGGCTGCAGCAGCACGCTGAGGATGGCGATGGTGCGCGTTCGCCGACCGCGGCCGTGCAGGCGACGCGAGAGGAAGAAGAGGACGGGCGGCATGTAGAGCAGCACGTCGAGGGCCAGCACGCTGGAGCGCAGGAAGAGAATCAAGAGCGGATCCTCGCTGCCGCGGGAAGAGTCGAGAGCTAGATGGGGAGCGAGGCCGGGAACGAGCGAGCCACTGGAGCGCACAGACGCGTCAGTCGGCCTCGTCGCGCGCGACCGCCAAAGGACAGGACTCACATAGCGCCACATGTCCAGCTCACGTATGCCGTGAGCGGCGGGTAGTCGAGGCCCCAGTAAAGCAGGTCGTACTCGTACCAGCGCGACAGCGGCAGATGCAGCGTAAGCTCCATCCAATGCCGCTGTGCCTCAAGGTCGCCGTGTAATGGTGGCTTGCCGCGTCCTTTCCCGGCATGAGTGAGCCTCTGAAGGGCTCGGCACGACTGCGAGCGACTCACCACTCCAGCCGCCAAGCCCCACTGCGGCGCGCACCCAGACCGCCGCCAGTGCAATGACGACGCTCATGACCCAGTCGCCTTGTCCGTCGGCCTCGCGCAGCATAAAGCGGACCCATCGGCGTAGCGGCGAGTCCGTCCTCTCGCGTCGCCGCTGCGAGCTAGTGCCGAGGGCTGCTGCACCGGGCAGCATGCGGCTTGAAATGCCTGGCAGCACGGGCAGCGGCGCGAACGTCGTGCGCGCCTTGGACGGCGTCAGCTCCTCTCGCCCGCGGCTGGGCGAGGGCTGGAAGGCGGAGCCCGCAGCGCTCGTGCTGGGCGTCAGCATGCTGGCCTTGGGCAGGCCCTCGCGGCGTGTGATGCCGCCGACGCTGGCGCCCTTCTGGCGACGCTCCACCCGCGGCGTCCGCTCCTCGTCGCCATGGCTCAGCGTCGGCATGTCCTCCGCATCGGGCCACTCCGGCAGACCGGTGCGGCCGCTGCCATTCCTGCGCCGCGCACTGCTGCCGCCGGCGCCCGAGCGCGGCCCGGCAGACCAGGCGCCGACGCTGCGCACGTCTGAGCCGGCGTCGGAGCCGGGCCCGCGGCGCGAGATGCGGCCGTTTGGCGCTGCCGAGGCGACGTACTCGGCCGGCACGGCGATGGACTGCGAGCGCAGCCAGCCCTCGAGCCCTGCGGAGCTGGCGCCGGGCGCGGCGGAGGAGGAGGGCTCGGCGTCGCGCTCGCGCGTGCGGCGCCGTGAGGACGGGCGTGCGCCGGCGGTAGCGGCGAGGGCCGGCAGCTGGCCGGGCGCCAGCGAGCTGCCGACGGAGGAGAGCGAGTCGAGGCGGCGGCGTGCCGTGCGCGAGCCCACGAGCGGCGCCAGGCGGTCGTCGTCGGCGTCGCCCGAGTGCGGCCCCAGGCCGGCGGCGGCCTCGCCCGGCGAGCCGAGGGAGCGCTGGCGGCGCGTGTGCGTGGGCGAGTGCGGCCGCGGGTTGGTGCGCGCGAGGAAGGGGTCGCCCACGTCCGAGTCGGGGAACTGGCGGCTGCGCGACATGGCACGGCACACGCTGCTGCGGCCAGAGGAAGGAGGGAGGAGGAGGTGATGGGCGGGAGGAAGAGTGCCGGTGTGAGGCCAGCGCACCCCGCGCCGCCCGGCTCGCTGGCGCCCGCTCCGGTCGCGAAGCCTCATGCACGGCGCACCGGCAACACAGCGGCGCCCCGCTGCGACGCGCATGCGGCACGTGCCTCGCCCAGCCGCACCGGCAGCGAGCAGCATCTCCTCTGGCTGTCTCGTCTGAAGCATGTCGCCAGATGGTGCCAAAATCTGGCAGCAATAGGGCTCTCTGATAGTCCCGAAAGGCGAGCGGAAAAAGAGGCCTCGGGGGCGACGAGCTGGGCGGTGTCGTCGAGCTCTCACGCGCCTCCGGACGGAGGACCTCGCCCATGCTTCAGCGACACCTCTGCTTCCCTGCTCGCCGCAGACTCAACCGTAACCTTCGCTCTGACGGCTGGGAAGACAAAGCGCCTCACGAGCTGCTCAGCCCTCCATTTTTACCCAGTGGCATCGCCTAGGCGCCATTGTCCGCCCTACGGCGACGCAACGCCGTTGCTTCAGTCAGCCAGGCAGGCCAGCCCTTACAGGCCAGACGAGCCCGAGAAGCGCAGGCCGACGCGTGTCCCTCTGGCTGCTGCTTCGTGCAATGATCGTCCAACACCTTGAGCTTGAGCGGACTCGACTGCAGCGTCGAGGGCAGGAAAGGTCGCCAGCAGGCAGGTCAGCGCAGCGGTGCAGCGGCGGTGACGTCGCAGCGGCCGCTGCCAGCGCAACGCGCGCGCGCGAGACACGCCTCCACATCGCCTGACCAAGCGCTCCTCTTCGCTTTTGGCAGCCGCCGAAGCGCACCCTGGCCGCCGTTGTGTTCTTCTCGCGGGTCAGAGACGCAGCTGTGCTCCGTACACCAACACCCATATGGCCCACCGCCTGGCGCTCAGCCTCACCCGCCTCACTCTCGTCCACAGCTCGCCCCGCGTCGCCCGCCTCGCCGCCATGCCTGTCGCCGTGTCGCGCCGCAGCTCGACGCGCATCGCGCCGGCTTCGACCAGCAGCAACAGCGTCCAATCCGTCGCGCAGGCCACCTCGGACGCCATTGCGGCGTCAGTCCATGCGGCACAAGGCAGCAGCAGCGCTGTTGCTCAGGGCGCCGATGCAGCGCCAGCACCAAAGAGGCGCGGGCGCAAGCCTGCAGCTGTAGCGGCAGTGAAAGACGATCGTGAACCTGTGTCGGCCGAGACTGCGCCGAGGAAGCGAGGGCGAAAGGCAGCTGCCGTTGTGGCAGACGGCGAAGAGGCATCCGCGCCGGCACCGCGCAAGAAGCGCGCCAAGAAGGAGCTCTCTCCGACAGACGAGGACTCGTTCGAGGATGGCGAAGCGAAGCCCAAGCGCGCTCGCAAGGCGCGGGCGAAGAAGGAGCAGAGTCCAGAGGAGCCTGTTGAGCCGTGGATTCCGCCGCCAGTCGAGCATCGCTGCTTCGAGACGGAGGGCATGCAGCCACGGGGCCCCTTCACTGGACGGCTGGGCTATGCGTGCCTCAACACCGTGCTGCGCGGCCAGAAGCCACCGGTCTTTTGCTCGCGCAACGTGCGGATAAAGACGATCGAGGAGAAGGGCATGGACTATGTGCGGGACCTTGCACGGGCGAACGTCGCTGATCTGGTACGTGCAATGCGGGAGCGTGGTCAAGGCGTCCGCTCACACCGCGCCGCAGATCCCCATGATCGAGTGGTCGGCAGCCAACAACATCCACTTCCTGCGCCTGTCGTCGGAGATATTCCCCTTCGCCTCGCACCTGCAGTACGGCTGGGACATCAGCTTCCTGCAGGCCGAGCTCAAGGCCGCGGGCGATGTGGCCAAGCGGCTGGGCGTGCGCCTGACGATGCACCCGGGCCAGTTCTGCCAGCTCGGCGCGAAGAGCAGCACCGTGCTGGAGGCTAGCTTGCGCGAGTTTGAGCATCACTGCAAGACCCTCGACCTGATGGAGATGGGCCCTGACTCGATCATGATCCTGTGAGTGTGCATGCCGGGACGAGATCGTGCATGTGCTGACCATTCCTTTTAGACACGGCGGCGGCACGTATGGCGACCAGGCAGCGACGCTGGAGCGCATCGAGAACACCATCACGACGCGCCTCTCTGCGTCAGCTCGTGCCCGTCTGGTGCTGGAGAACGACGAGCTGTCGTACTCGGCCGAGGAGCTGCTGCCGCTCTGCGAGAAGCTTTCCGTCCCGCTCGTCTTCGACTGGCACCACGACGCACTGCGCCCTTCGAGCCTGACGCCGACGGAGCTCATGCCGCGCATTCTTGCCATCTTCCACAAGCGCGGCATTCGCCCCAAGTTCCATCTCTCGGAGCCAAGAGCCGGTGCCATGACTCTGCGCGCAAGGCGAGCACACTCGGACCGCTGCGGACAGCTGCCGCTCGAGCTGCCGAGCGACGCCGACTTGATGCTAGAGTGTGAGCGGCCTCACTTCGAGCGTTCTGCTGCGATGCTGACGCTTCTTGTGATGCAGGCAAAGACAAGGAGCAGGGCGTGCTGCATATGTACCGCATCTACAAGCTCTTCGAACCCGACGTCGCCTCGTTGCGACCCGAGGCCGACGACGCGACGACGCGCACGAGTGGCCGGCGCACCAAGCTCGACGGCAGCGGAGGCTCGTCGACGTCGCCGCGCAAGAAGGCCGGTCCGACGGCCAAGGAGCAAGAGCGCTCGCTCATTGCTCGCACCATCGCCAAGGCGAAGGAGGTCGCTGCCCGCACGGGACGCCCGTACACGGGCCCGCCGGACGAGGAGGACCTGGCTCGCTTGCGCCAGGCGGAGCTGAGCAGCAGAGACGTGCTGCTCGACATGCGCAAGCGCGCAGACGCTGTCCGCGCTGACCTCAAGGCCGGACGCCCGCGCACGTCGACGGCGGCCGAGGACCTCGATGAGGCGGGTGCGCTCGCTGAGGAGCCTGAGTAGATCTGGTACTGCGACTACGGATGGACGGTGCAATAGAAAGTTCTTGCGAAGCGCTCCATGTCCGAGCACGCTGCTGTCCATCAGCCAGATGCCCTCAGCTGTGGCGACCAATGGGTGCTGGAGAGCGTCGAGCTTGCGGCCAAGCGTACCGTCGCGGCCAAATTCCCTGCTGCCACTGCACAGGTCCGATCCTGAGAAGCTCCGGAGCCCTTGGAGGTCTGTCGGCGAGGAGGTGTCCCACTCGACAGCCTGCCGAAGCCTGTCTCCTCTCGTCGCTGCCTCGAAGACGGCAGGCTCACGCCGCTCCAAAGGCAGCACCGCTACCCGGCGCCGCAGCGGCGAGAGCCGCCGCCGGCTCGCTCGCTGGACGCGGATCCGGCTCGCGCATGCTCCGCTCTCGTCGCCTTGCTGCTGAGCCGCTGCAGCGCTTGGAGCTGCGACTCCGCACCCTTTTAGCGCAGCGTCTGCAGCCTGCGTCTCAGCTGGGCCCGGAGGGGTGGCACCGCACCGTGGCAGGCGGCGAGTCACGCGGCCGTGCCTGCCTCCGCTGCGCTGCACCTGCCTCGGGCGATGCTTCGCCGACGGGCTGCTCCGCTGCGGCAGAGACAGCGCCGGTGCCGAGAGCGAGGTGAGGAGAGGAGCTGCCGTGCTGCTGCGACGCTCCTTCTCCGCCCCCGCTCCGCTGCAGCGTGCGTCTCACGCTCGTCTCGCGCTTCCCCCGCATCGGCACCATGCAGGCAACAAAAGTAAGCTCTCCACAGGACGCTTTGTATTGCCGCCGCGCTGCGGGTTGTAATGCGGCATTTCAGCGGCCTGTCGCGGGGGCGAGACCGAGCTGCAGGATGCTGCCGGCGTGCCTGTCTCCGCTCTCGCTGCTCTGCTGCCCCGCCGCCGTGCCTTGCTGCCGTCTGCTGCCGCCGCCTGACGCGGCACCGCGACGCTTCCGCTTTCTCTCCTCATCCTCTCCTCCATCTCGCTCTCTCTCTCTCTCTTCTCCAGCAAGCCTTCTGTGCCGCAGCTCGCTCGCCGTCGATCCACACGCTTCCCCGCCGCGCCGCACACCACACTCCTTCGCGCCTGCCTTCGCCACTCGTCGCGCGCGCACACGTCTGCCGTCGCGCCCTTGCCTCTTCGCTGCTCCGCCTTTTGCCTCTGTTTCCCGCACACGCCATGCTCGCTCGCTCGGTCTTTGTGCTGGCGCTCGTCGCCGCCGTCTCGGTGCATTTGCAGTGAAGACCGCGCCCCCGCGCCTTGCCGGACTGACGCTCGCGCAACAGGCACAAGTGACGCCCACGTCGTCGATCGACCCGCTCAACGGCACGCCCTTCTCGACGCCGCGCGTCGTGCCCGAGCAGACCTTTACGCCCACGACGACGTATGAGTCGGCCGGCTCGCGCACGCCCACCGTCGTTGCCGGCAGTGTCGGCCCCAGCGCACTCACGGACGCATACACGTTCAGCTACAATGCGCCCGTCAGCTCGCTCACAGGCACGGGCGTCAGCAACCTGCTCAGCAGCCTCGCCGCCAAGGGCCAGCCTACAACACAGGGCGCTGCGCTTGCGCCGAACCCGTCGGGCCTGCAGGTGAGTCTGAACGACCCGGCGGCCCGGCAGCCCGGCAGCATACGTGGCGATGAGGACGAAGGTGGACGGTTCTGCAAGACCGGGGCCCCGTGACGGGAACGGGATGGCGGCGGGTGGTGTGCTGCCGGATGGTTATCGCATCGTTATCGCATCGAGACGGAGAGCGAGACGTTCGCTGGATGATGACACGAGCGGCTGGGCGGCTTGCAGTGGCGATGCAGTGGTCGTCTCGGTCTGCGTGGCCGCGGCCGGAACGTGCAACGTCACCTCTGCTCCAAGCTGCATCTCCACGGCGCAGCTTTGCATGCCGTTAGGCCGTCGTCATGCTGCATCTAGCAGCGCATGCCTTGTTCGACGGCTTGTCTTGCGCCTGCCCGGAGAGGAATGTTCGTCTCGCCACGCCGTGCTAGAGTCGAGGTTCCATCTCTGCATTCAAGCGGTGAGCATCTCGCTTACACCACCCCTTCTCTAGATCGTCACGGACGCCGCTCCCGCACGGCTGGGCACGTCGGCCGGCATGGCCATGTGTCTCGGCGCCGTCGTGCTCGGTGCTTTCCTGGTCTGATCGGCCCGTCGCCCGTTGGTCGGCTGCGACCGTGCACATCTTCTCTCCGCAGCGTGCGGCGCCCTCTGCGTCCGTGCTGCACGGTGCGCTGCGCTGCTGCGAGCAGTCGTGACTGCTCGCCTCTCCCTCTCTCCATACTTGCCCCTATACCAGTTGCAGCCTCTCTCTTTGCTCCTTCTTTCACCGCGCCGGCCACCTGCTGCTGCTGCGCCTCTGTATGCTCTCTCTATCCCTTTCACGTCGTCCGCTCTCTTCCTTCTCGTGCTCTGCAACTCCTTATTGACCTGGCTTGTCGCCGTGTGCGAGTGCTCCTGCCTCTGCTTCGTCCGACCGTGAGGCTCACCAGCGACGGGCGAGACTGCCCAGATCGTCGTCTAGCCGCCTCGCCGCACGTGATGCTCATCCAAGGTGTGCGCTGTCTGGCAGATCTGCGAAGTCAGCGCCTCTGCGCTGCATGGCCCTCTTCGTCCGCCTGCGCAAGGAGTGGCCTTCGGCAGCGTGCTCGGGCGCAGCGGCGTTAGGAGGCCTTGGCAGACTTCCTGCGCGCAGCAGGGGGGCCGAGGCAACCCGCCAAGGCCCACCGTCTCATTGCGGGGCTAGACCCTTGCGAGAAGCGGCTGAGATGGCGCTGGAGCCTCTTCCCTGTCGGCAGTCGCAGTTGGGGTTGCGCGGACGCAGAGAGGGTGGCGAGAGTTCGGCAGAGGCCCTGAGAGCCAAGCCCCTGGCAGTTCCGCGAGCGTCACGCGACGGACGCGGCGCAAAGTGGCCCCATTCGCACCCTGAGGGCCCTGAGCACTCTGTTCCGGCCCGGCCAATCCGGCCAATGAGTGTGTGACAGGCAATCCTGCCGCGGGAACAGACGAGGAGAGGGAGAGTGCTGCCTCTGTGGCTTGGATGCTCGGTGCTGCGTGCCGCGGCCGGCGGCGGCGGGTTGGCAGAGCACCGCCACACGCTCTCCGGCCCCGCAGCCGCCGCGTAGGGATGCTGGACGCTGCCGCAACAGCGCAGCCTGCAGAAGCTCGAGGCGCGATCGCGGCGCCGCGCAACGGCAGCGGTCGGGCCGCTTGAGTTGCGCGCGAGCGAGCATGCCTTCATCGTCGACCACACCCAAAGTGCGACGAGCACGCACGATTGCCAATCGAATGGCGAGTGCATCGCTGAGGCTGATCGGGCACCCGCGGCGGCACGGAGGAGGGCCAAAGCCGTGCCGCGGTGCCGGCCTCTCGGCAGGGCTTGGCTCTGCGATGCGGGCGCGTGCGCTGCCGAGATGCCTCGCTGCGAACGCGCAACGTGCGCCCCTGCTGCAGCGCCTTGCCGTCATCGGTGCGCGTTCCCCGCGCCCGCCGGCGCTGCTGCCGTGCGTGCCGCTTTGCTCAGCGCTGCGGCTGCTCCACCCGCCCCAGCCTCTTGCTTGCTGATCGACGGCGCTTCAACCTTCCGCTCCTTCGCCATCCCGACCGCACCACGCCCTCCTCCGTCTCTCGCCACCACCTCCGCCCGCGCTCTCCCTCAAGACCACCTCCAGGGCTCCTCACACTCTCTGAACCGCACCCTTCTCTTCCTTCGCAGCGCCTTCATGAAGGCCGCTCTGCTGCTCGCCGCGGCCGCCAGCCTTGGCGGCGTCTCCGCCATCGTCGTGCCCAGCGCCGGCGATGCGCCGCTCGACTTCTCTGCGCCGTCCAAGTTCGCGTCGTGGGAGAAGCTGCACTCGCACGCGCAGGCGGGCCCTGTGGGCCGCCGCGATGCTGCCGGCAGCGTCAAGCTGCCGCTGTACACACACTCGCGCCGCGACCTAAACAACCCGGACGACACGCGCCGCTTTGCGCTCGGCCAGGCAGAGCTCATCCACTCCAAGTGGGGCAATGCTACGCGCGAGGAGAAGCAGCGCCGCTGGCAGCGCCGCCAGAGCGTCGGCCTGACGAGCTTTGACACGGACGTGTGAGTGGCGCGGCGAGAACTGCGGCGGGAGAATGCGCGGCGTTGCCTGCCGGTGCGATGCACGGTCTGTCCAAACCTGTCGCACGTTGTTCCGTGACGCCGGTGCGACAATTGCGGCGAGGACTTGCCCTAGGTGTTGAGCACGAGCGTAGATCACGACCTGTTGCGCGTCACACACAACCGCTCACGCATCCGCTCGCAGCTCGTACTACGCGCAGATCTCGATCGGCACGCCGGCACAGAACTTCGTGACCATCCTCGACACGGGCTCGTCGGACCTCTGGGTCGTCGACACGTCGTGCACGAGCTCGCAGTGCTCGGGCTCTGCCCTCTTCAACCCGCCGTCGAGCTCGTCGTACCGCGGCAGCAGCACGGCCTTCCAGATCCAGTACGGCATCGGCGCCGTGCGCGGCACGCTGGCCGCCGACACAGTGTCGCTGGCGGGCTACACGGTGCAGAGCCAGACGTTTGCCATCATCGACGAGCTGGCACAGGGCACGCTGCGGGCGCCGGCGTCGGCGCTGATGGGCATGGGCTTTCAGCAGCTGGCCAGCTCGGGCGCCACGCCCTTCTGGCAGGTGCTGGCACAGAGCAACCAGCTGCAGCAGCCGCTGTTCACCTTCCAGCTGGCGCGCAACAACCAGAACCCCACGGTGCTCAATGCTCAGACGCTGGCCGACCAGCTGCAGCCCGGCGGTGTCTTCACGCTCGGCGAGCTCGACTCGAACCAGTACGAGGGCGACATCACGTACACGTCGCTCACGTCGCGCGCCTACTGGACCATTCCCATGGACTCGCTCAACGTCAATGGCCGCACCACGTCGCTGAGCTCCAGCGAGAACGTCGCCGCCATCGACACGGGCACCACGCTCGTGGCCGGCCCGCCGAGCGTCGTGCGCTCCATCTACGAGCAGATTCCCGGCTCCGTCACGGCGCCCATGGGCGGCGACGACTCGAGCATCTACTACGCCTTCCCCTGCAGCACCACGGTGCAGGTGAGCCTGACGTTCTCGGGCAAGGCCTGGTCCATCAACTCGGCCGACTTCAACTACGGCCTCTACGGCCGCCAGGGCAACACCAACTACTGTCTCGGCGCGTTCTTCGGCACCGACATTGGCCAGGGCGCGCCCGACTGGATCGTCGGCGATGCGTTCCTCAAGAACGTCTTTAGCATCTACGACTCGAACCCGGCACGCGTCGGCTTCGCGTCGCTGCGCGGCAACACGGCACAGACGCTGGCCACGACGACGGGCGCCATCCGGCAGGCCACCGCCACGGCGGCGCCGGCGTCGTCGGGCGCCTCGTCGTCCTCGGTGGCGCCGGCCATTCTGCCGAGCAACAGCGCCGACAACACGGCCTCGGGCAACGTTGGCGGCTCGGGCCTGCCGGCACCCACGCCCGGCACGACGATCGTCACCCAGACGGCCTCGCTCATGGCCGGGCCCTCGCAGAGCGGCAGCTCGAGCAGCGGCAGCGGTAGTGGCCGCAATGCCGGTGCGCGCTCCGCAGGCGCCACGCTCTCGTCGCTGGGCCTCGTTGCCTCGTCTCTCTTCCTCGGCGCCCTCGCCGTGCTCCTCTAGATACCTCGGTCCTGCCGTGCTCGCGCGCTCAGACGGACCAGGCGCGGATTCTTATGCCTCAGCTCCCTCTTTTTTTGTTGACTCGCATCGGACTGCTCCCTCATATCATCACATCACCAGGTCTGCTCGTCGTGTATCTGCATCTCTCACTCCACACACACGCCTGCCCCCGCCGTGAGCTCCAGCAATGCGAGCGTCTTTGCACACCGTGCCTTGTCTGCACATCGGTGAACGGGGATAGCTTGAAACGGGCGTGGGCGATGGGAATACAGGATATGGAGGAGCGAGGAGCGGCGCGGAACGGAGGGCAGCATGTACGGTCACGGACGGGTTACAGCGGAAGAAGCACATGGAGACGACGGAGAGAGACGGAACGACCTGAAGCAGACGAGGGTCGGACGGATAGGATGAGCGAGGCTCATGCGATGCAGCATAGCCGGGCACTGCGCACGTAGCATGTACCGAGCTACTCGGCGCGCGAAGCCGACGGCGACTGCGGCGCAGCACCGCTCTGGCTCTCGCCGAGCTTGACCCAGCTCTGTCCGAGCGGGCTGTCGAAGCCTCTTGCAGCGCCGCCGTCAGCGGCCGGCGTACGCACGGCTGCGACGCGCGGCGAAGCTGCCTCGCGCGACGGCGGCCCCATCCATGGGCCCTCGGCGCTGTGCTCGGAGCGTGTGCCTTCGACGTGCTCCATCGACGGAGACGACGCTGAGGACTGTGCATCGAAGCCGAAGCTTGCGCCTGGTCCGGAGCCGGAGACGACGCGACTAGCACCGGGCGTCGAGCCTTCCTCGTACGAGTAGTCCGAAGCGTGGATTGTCTCGTCCGAGGCGCGCATTGGAGGCGTCGCAGTGGCGCCCCACGGAGGACTGCTCATGCCGCGCGAGCTCAGCGGCGGACTCGAGGCATCGCCATCGCCGAACGCGCTCGAAGGCACGGAGCTCAGCAGGCCGGAGCTCTCCAGCCCAGCGGCACCGCCGGCAGAGGAGCCCGAGGCGTCTTGCTCCTCGCCGCTGCTCGTGGCACTGTGTGCCGAGCGCGGACGCGCGGCACGACGCGTGCCGCTGGAAGAGGAGGGACGACGGGTGGCCATGGTGCTCGAGCTCGCATTCGTCGCGAGGTTGCGCCCGATCGATGTACGACTGTGCGAGTTGCTGACGGGGCCCGGTCCCGGTCCAAAGGCCGGTCTGCGCGTAGCAGGTGCACCAGGTCCGCCGACGCGGCGAGAGGAGAGGAGACCGATGCGCTCGCCGAGACTATACGTCGAGCTATAGATGCGCGCAGCAAAGGAGCGAGACGTGCCCAGCAGGAAGCTGGGCGACTGACGCAGCACGTCGAGCAGCGACATGCTGCGCAGCTGGACCGTCTGCTCCCAGAAAGCGCGGTGCAGCATGAAACCGCGCGAGGAGCGCACCACGGAGAATGCTGCGATGCGCGCAGAGGCCGGCGAGAGCATGAGACGTGAGCAGTGGGCTGCCAGGCGTGAAGCCTCGTCGTCGGCAGCAGAGGGCGTCGCTGCGCTCGAGTGCCGAGACGGCAGCGGCTCGCCGCGCGCGTTGATGGTCGTGCGTCGAGGCTGCGGCGTGCGAGGCTGCGACACCAGCTCTGACGACACGGGCGCGACCTGAAGCGTCGCGAAGCGGGCCAGACGCGCGCCCTTGCGCGAAGCAGTGGCGCCGGCAAGCGCTCGCATGCCCTCGAGCACGGCGGCGCGCACCATAGCTGCTGGTCCTGGTGCCGCAGGGGCGGGCGCCACCAGTGAGATGAGCGTCACGGGCTGGCTGGCCGCACGGGCATCGCCGGGCGTGCGCAGCATGGGCAGCAGTGCCGTGAGCGCGTCGAGCGGCAGAGCAACATGGCGCTCCAGGTGGGCACTGGCGGACTCGGAGAGGGCGTCGGCGTTCGTCTCGCCCACCCAGCTGAGCGCATTGATGACGCCCGCGAGGCGCACATGCTCGCCCGTCTTGGCGTACGGATCGCCGGCGCTCGTCAGCGGCCAGCGCAGCTCGGTGGCGCTGGCCAGCGCAGAGACGAGCGCGCGGATGCTGCCCTGCGGATCGGAGTGCGAGGGGTCGAGAACGACGGCCTTGACGTAGCCCTGCGATGAAGGGCGCACCTGGCGAGAGAATGTCGCCTGTGCAACCGCGGACTCGACAGTGGCCAGCACGATGAAGCCGGCGGCGGCGAGCGAGGCGCTAAGCTGGGCGCCGAGCGGCGTGTCGCCACCAAGAATGACTAGCACGGAATGAGCTTGTGTACGGGAGAGAGGCAAGACAGCGTCGAGCGAGACTCACCGACTGCCTCTGCGCGCCGTCCGCCTCGCAGCTCCGGCTCACGCAGCACAACCTGGCGGCGCTGCAGCGCATAGGTCGCCACGACGGCCGAGCCTGCACCTGCTGCACTGACCCACAAGATGGCGCTGCGGTGCTGCTGCGCCATGTCGCCGAGACGCTGCAGCGTGCTGGGCGGCGGCGGAGGCGGCGGCGGGGCCGGCTGCAACGCGGCAGGCAGCGAGTGCACGAGGTCAGGCAGCTTCGGCGGGTCGAACTGCGAGATGGAGTGGTAGACGAGCGACGTGTACTCGCTGATGGAGTCGTGGATCTTGCCGGGGAGCGCGTGCTGAGATGGGTGCGACAGCGTCAGTGTCGTGTGCAGATCAAGCGCATACACGCGCCTCGCCGCGGTAGGGCACAGTGCACGAGCTGTGCCGTGTGCGAGCTGGCTGCGCGCCCGGAGATGCGCTCACGGCTCCGCTGCCGGCGCCGAAGGAATGACTCTGGCGTGGCAGAGCCAGCGCAGCGCTGCTCTCTCGCGCTCTCGCCCACGACGTGTGCGTGCGTGCCCCCCAAGCGCCGCCGCGGCACTCACGAGATTAGGCGGCAGCGTGGCCGCGAGCCACTCGTCGAGGTCGTAGAGCGACGGCATGGCGTGAGACGCGCCGACGTGGGCTCGGCCGAGCAGCGGGCCGAGACGAGAGAGAGTGAGAGTGTAGAGGCAGGTGCTGCGACGCTGCCGGGAGATGGAGGTGAGAGGCGTGGAGCGGCGTGCCCTCTCTCGCGCCCCTTGATGACGCCTGTGCTGCTGCTGCGCGGTGCGGGGCCACAGCCCCTGCTGAAACCACGGCGCAGCGCCCGTGCGCGCGCGCCATGGCGCGATCTGGCACCCTGCAGCTGCACGATGCGGCACGCCGCCTGTCAACGCGTCTCGGCGCCGGCGATAACCAGCCGCGCCGGCGCCGAGAGGGATGAGGCGCGCTCGGTACATCGAGGGGGCGCTGTGGGGCTGGCCGTCCAGGGGCGCGCGAGGTCGAGGGGCGAGCGAGGACGACGCAGCAGCAGCAGGACACGCTGAAAGGAAGGGACATGTCCGACAGCCCAGCCTCGGGATTCTTGCTCCCGAGCGAAGGCCATCGCAGCTGCAAAATGTCCGAAGCCACGAGCCCGACGCAGCGAGAGCGCGCAACGTTGCATCCTTGAGCTCGCCGACGTGCCGCTGCTCTCTCTCTCTCTCTCACATGCTCGTGCTTCATCAACGGGCTTCTTAATGCTCGCAATGCTATCGAGACTCTGCTTCCGAATGCTCTCGCTCTCGCGGTGCTCCTCAGACAAGCCGCGGGCAGGTGCTGCTCCGGCGGAGCTGCTCCCACTCCAGACTGAGGGGCAGCACCGCCCTTCGCGCCGGCCAGCATCCGCTCAGGCTCGGACTCGCCGAGGCGCACCTCTCCAGGTACGATCCGAGACGGCCGTAAGCGTGCGGCATGCGTCTCCGTTGCCCTGAAGAGTGCAGGCCGGACCGTACCAGCCGTTTGCCTGCTGCTGCTGCGTGAGGTGTGTGGGCTTTGGGGCGCCGCACGACGCGGCGTCAGGGTGCTGGCGCGCGGCGGGCCGTGCCGTTCGTGCGCGTCTCGGCTGCGTGAGCCGCGAGTCGCGCGCCGGGCCGCTCTCTTCACCACATCCTCCGCAGCAGCAAGGGCAGCGCACAAATAGCAGCGAGGCTGCCTCGCGCAAGCGCTCACACAACCATCGCACCGTCGCGAGAGCGTGCAGCACGTCGACGAGCTGCGTGCCTCGCCTTGGCCCTCGACGTGAGCTGGAGGCGTCGCGTGACGTTGCAACAACACTGCGAGCTTCGCCTTCTCTCCGCGCACCTCTTGCGCTGCTCGCGCGGCAGCCAGCCTCGACGCTCTGATGGCGTCCTCCTCGAGTCGCGCCCTGCTGCGGCGCGAGTCCTCAGCCGACGCCTCGCATGCGCAACACCTCGCGGGCCTGAGGAGCGCCGGCAGCTCCGTCAGCGATGCACAGGCGCAGACTCATCTCGAAGGCGACGGCATGCTCCGCTCAGACAGCGCTGCCTCTGCCGAAAGCAGTGCAGCTGGCGCCGCAGCTCCGTCCCAGCCAAGTGCATCTTCAGCCCTCGACCCTTCTGCGTCTGCGACCGACGAGCCGCTAGATCTCTACTCTCCCCCCGTGCTCAACTACGAGTTCCGGCGTCGCATGCCTTCGCTCGCAAAGCATCTCGCCATCATCGCACTCGTCAACTCGATCCCTCCTACGCTAGCGTACTACGTCTCCACTCATCTCTCCGACGACACGCCAGCGCAGACGTACACGTGGATCACACTCTGCATTGGCGTGCGTGCCCGGCACGCGCGCTCGCTCATGTGTTCGCAGAGCTGACAATGTCGCCTTGCAGCTGACGGAACTGCTCTCCTTTCCCCATCGCATCTACGTCCTCTGTCGGCGCAACTACGAGCGCTCGGCGCGGCCTCTGACCTGCGCTCACAAGCGCTGGTATCAACACGTCTGGGCCGTCTTTGCACACTTCGACACGTTTCAGTGGCTGCTGCTCTTCGGCATCCTTGAGGGCGTGGTGCTGCTGACCGTCGCGTCGTCGATCAATGGAGAGCAAGGAGACTACAATCTCATGTGAGTCGCTGCTCCAGCGCGCCAGGCGAGCTTGCAGGCCATGCTGACGAGTCTGTCAGGATCCTCTCTCTGCCCATCATCTTCGCCACCATCGGCGGGCTCTTCTTCGTCACCATCGTCCTAACCTACTTTCACGTGCCGGCGCCGAGGTGGCCTCTCCTCTCGAGCTTGCAGCCCGGCGAGGCATTCAGGCCTGCAGTCTATCTCATCGTCGAGGACGTCACGGCTGTCGATGGCGGCGGCGGCCTGCCGTTTCGTCAAGCCATTGCGCGGCGCTATGAAGCAAGCCAACCGTTTCGACGACTCTGCACGGAACAGACGGCCATCTTCACTGCCTGGGGCTTGCTCTTCCCCGTGCGTGCACACATACTGAGCAGCTCAGCGCCTGCACGCTGACGCCTCTCTCGTCTCGCAGCTCTGGATCGGCATCCTCATTGCGTCGAGCTCGAATCGGGACATCTCATACGGCGTCTCGGTGGGCATTGCCCTGCTCTGGTCGGCCCTCATTGCCCTCGCTTCGTATCTCTCGCTCCGGCGAGGCTTGCGTCGGGAGAAGGAGCACTTTGCTCGACTCAAGGCGCATGCTGCTGGGCAAGGGCATGCTTGATCGATCCCACGTGCCATGCTGCTGCCGTTCGCGTCACCTCAGATCCTCCGCTTCGTTCTGTATCGTTATCTCCAACGCACGATCACTGACGCGCTAATGACACTAAACTGCCGTGACCTCCGTTGACCTGCCTCGCCTTGCTGCACTTCCCGACGGCGGCCGCCCTGCGTGAGCAGCCGATCACCAAGAGAGAGTCATGTCATCGTTACGAGCGCAGCATTCGAGGAACGAGCGAGAGGAGAGGAGGAAGGATGAGGCAGCGGGCGACAATGGCGAAGCGCGAGGCGCGAGGAGAGAGAGCAGAGGAGGTGTGCGAGTGGGAAGACTTGGAGAGCCAGAGCAGCAAGGTGAGGGGAAGGAGCGGGGATGGGGAAATGGAGGGTGGCGAGGGAAGATGGGAGGGGCTGAATGGGCTGCGATCGCAATCGGGGGACGAGACGAGCCCGCGAGCGCAGCAGGCGGACACGAAGCGCGAGTTTGAGAGCGAGACCGGGTGAGGAGCGCCACAAAGAAGCGAGAGACGGCGCAGAAGAGACTGGAGCCGACGTCTGAGTAGAGCTGGAGACCTTGCTACCGGAAAGGGAGACCAGCTCGGGAGCGACGCTGCTTGGTGCCAAGCTCTGCCACCTTCGCCCTCTTGAGGGCTGTAGGCGCCCATGCGCCACGCCGAAAACTTGCAGACGAGAGAAGCGAGCGGACGAGAAGGACGACGTGGACGGCGCCGCCTCGGCGCGCTTCTTGACCCGCTGGAACGTATCACGCGCAGAGGAGGTAGCCTGCAGCTTCTTGACGCCTGTTGCCCTCTCGCGAGATGGTGCATTCTCGCTCGCTCGGTCGCCAGGTGACGCCGACGTCTCCGCCCTCTATTGCCGGATCGACCGACTCGGTCTTCACGCGTGCCGTGCGCCCCTCAGCTCCAAGCCGACCAATGATATCGTTGCGAAGTCGCGTAGGTCCACGTCTGAGAGAGAGAAGAAACATCATACTGCGCACTACGTCGGAGAGGATCGCATCCCCTCGCCTCTTCCACTCTCTTCCCTCCCGCCATCAGGATATACCGCTCGCTCGCCCCTCCGCCTGCGCTCGTTCTCCTGCTGCCCGAAGCAGGCCCCGCTGCGCATGCCGTCCCACAGGCATTGCATGCGCACGCTTGCACATCGCGCCGCATCTAGAGGATGGCGCAGAACTTCGACTTTTTCCGCACCACTGGCGGCTCGAGGGCTGCGACGATGGCCTGGGAGGAAGCGCGGACGTGCGTTAGCGCCGCAGTGGGACGCCGTCGTCTCTCTAAGACTCACCTCGTCGAAGACGTTCTTGAGGCCCTTCTGCGTCAGTGCCGAGCACTCGACGTACTTGACGGCACCCAGCTCGCGCGCCAGACGCTCGCCGGCCTCGAATGCAACGGGGCGCTGCTTCTGGCGCGCCAGCTTCTCCGTCACGGCGGCGTCGTCGCGCAGGTCGACCTGCGTGCCGACGATGAGACACGGCACGCCGGGGCAGTGGTGGTGCACCTCGGCGAACCACTTCTCCTTGACGTTCTCGAACGACGCAGGAGACGTGACGCTGAAGCACACCAGGAACACGTCCGTCTGGGGGTAGGAGAGCGGACGCAGACGGTCGTAGTCCTCCTGACCTGCAGATGGACAAGCGCGTGCGTCAGACCACAGCATCGTTGCTTGCCGCTCATGACCAGCCACGCACCGGCAGTGTCGAACAGGCCCAGCGTGTACGGGTCGTCGCCGATCATGACGGTCACCGCATAGTTGTCGAACACCTGCAGGAGTGCGCCGCTATCAGTGTCCATGCCAGTGACCGCGGCTTGCGCAGATTGAGACGCACCGTCGGCACGTATTCTGCGAGTGCGCGGACGTGTCAGTCGGTGCGCTTCAAGACGAGAGCGACTGCGCGAGACGCACCGCTGGGGAACTTGTTGGTGGTGTAGGAGATGAGGAGGCACGTCTGTGGAGCGAGCGCGAGCGCATCCGTCAGTCTCGGCGGCCACTGCTGCTGCGCGCGCACTCGCGACGCACCTTGCCGACAGCTCCGTCACCGACGACGACACACTTGATCGTCTGCATCTTGACTAGCGGGCGGAAGAGGGCAGAGCTGCAGAGATGCAAGAGGCGCATCAGCACGTCGTTTGCCTGGCAAAGCGCGCGCCAAGCTGCTCAGCCCGCAACTCGGCCGCCTTGTCCACGATGCAAGCACGGCTGCGCGTCGAGCATACGGCAGACACAGCGGCGTTGGCTGGTGTACGAGCTCCGCCTCACACCTCTGCATACCGCCCAGCGGCGCGCACCGCACCGCCAGCGTTTAGCCGGCCAAGCTGCGCGACGGTAGATGCCCGTCGGCTGGGCAGACGGCAGACATGTCTGCGCCGACCAATGACCTCGGCCGACGGCCACACCGCGGCGGCAGCCAGCTGCGCCAGCGCCGTGCACATCGCACCCGCGCAGCGATGCGCAGCGCCGTGCACCTCCGCGACGCTGCACGGCAGCAACACTCACGCTGAGCGCGCGACGAGCGAGCGGGCGGGCGAGAGCGAGAGGGAGGCGCGCGACGAAGAGGTGCGCAGAGGGTGCGCAAGGTAGCTTGCGCGAGAGGCAAGCGGCGACGGCGAGCGAGCGAGAGATGAGAACGGGAACGACGGCGGCGGCGGCGGGAGCTGATCAGGAGACGAGGAGAGGGCGGATCACAGGCGTGAGGCGCGCGGTGCGGCGCGCGGGCAGCACGGCAGGCGCACGCCCAACGACGACACGCCGGCCAGCAGGCGTGGGCGCGGCGGCGCAGGCGTGGGCCCAGCGAGCGTGAACGCAGCAGCAGCGGCGCGCCGCGGCGTGGCTGCATGCAGCAAGGGCCCGCCGCCCGCCTGCCCGCCTGCTTCTGTGTGCTGCTCCGCCGCCGCCGGCGCGAGGAGCGGCGCTTGTCGCGCCAGGGGCCAGCTCGGTCACGTGCCGCACCGCCGGGCCAGATGCGGTGCAGGCGAGGTGCGATCGAGCGCTGGCAGGCCGCCTGTCTCTGGTCTCCGCCCGCGCTCCCAGTAAGAGTCCGCTGCGTGCTGCGCCGCCTCGTCATGCGGCACGCTCTGGCTCGTGCGCAGTCGGAGCGGGCCGCTTCCTTTATAGGCCTCTCCGCCTCGCCTCCACCTCTGACCCTCCCACCACCACTACCACCTCCAGCGCAACCCACAACACACACACCATGGCCTTCCGTCTGCCCATCGTCCGTGCCTCGCGCCAGCTCTCGACGTCCGCACGCGCCATGTCCGGCCCGGCCAAGGGCAGCGAGTTCAGCGAGGCCATGCCCAAGGGCGGCCAGGGCGATGCCTTCCAGAAGCGCGAGGGCGCCGAGGAGGCCAAGTGAGTGGCGCCCAAATGCGAACTTCACTCGCTGCGGCTGACAGGAGCACCTTCGCCTCAGCTACATCCGCCAGCAGGAGCAGGCCAAGCTTAAGGCCCGTGAGTGTATGCGCGCCGAGTGCTGCAACTGGAGGAGAGAGAGGCATGTGGTCGCCGCAGCGGAGATGCTCGTGTATGCGTGCACGCCGGCCGGTGTCCGCGTGGCGAAGACTCTGAAGGCAGCTCCAGCAAGGCGGCAGCCGCACGTGCGCCTGCGATGCCACTTCGACGGACTCGAGACCCTTGCAGTCATTCTCGCTGCGCATGCCTGCCACTGCCATCCTGTCAGCGCTTGTAGGCGCGAAGGAAGGTGCACCGCGAGCTCGCTGCCTGGTAGCCAGCCATCGAGTTTGCGGTACAGCTTCCTTCTTGCGTACAAGCGCTGACAGGATGTCCGTGACGTGCTGAGGTCTGGACCACGAAGCGTGCCGTCGTGGGCGCGACAGCAGTCCTGTGCAGGCTTGACCGTGACGAACACGGAAGAACGGCTGGGCATCGACTCGATGCTTCAGCTGTGCTTCCGTGTTCGTCGCGGATAAGCATGCACGGGGTTGAGGCATGCGCGCTGAGCTCCAGCCGTGTTCGGCACTCGTTTGCACAGATCTTGAGGGGTGTGCTGACGCCCGTGCTTTCTACCTGCAGTCGAGGAGAAGAACAAGAAGCTCGAGGAGGAGCTCGCCAAGCACAAGGTGCGTCTCGTCCTCCTCTTCTCCCCCGTCCGATCGCTGACGCTGCCGGCCACAGAAGTAAAGCATCATCGCGGTTTACGAGTGCACTTGACGCAAGTGGGCAGACCAGCGCGTGCAGTGACGCACCTCGTCGAGCCCTGCGTGAGACTGACTCTTGAAGGCGTGGTGGACACTCTGTGAACGTCACGCTGCGATGCAATGAAACATGAAGCCAAGTCTCCCCTGCTGCGAGGACGCGACGCACGAGCGAGGGGTAGCCGCTGGAACAGACGGAGGGTGAGGCTGTCCTTTGCTGGGCAGCGACAGTGGTCGCGTGCTGGCCCTCGCTGCCAGCTGCGTCTCGCGTTCCTCCCTCTCTGGCCCTCTGGTGTTCGCTCTGTGCGACGCCGACGGAGTGCTTGAGCTGCATCTGCGCTTTCCGAGCGGGCGCCGGCTCTGCGCTGCACGGATGTCATCGGCTTTGCCGCCTCGCCACTGTGCCTCCTCGCGGATGCCGCCGGCTTCACCGACGGCATCTTCACGACAGACAGAGGGAGAGGGACGAGTGACGGTGACGATGACATTCCCATACCCCTCTAGCGCCAAGCGCTTCTATATGAACAGCTGGGCATCTACAGCAGGCATCTTGCCGCGAGCAGCGCGACCAGCGCGCCGAGGTAGCGCGCAGACCTAGGCGACGACGACGGCGCAGCGTTAATCTCCGCAAGACGAAAGTCGACGCCCAGCGCGTTGCACCAGGCGTTGCCAAACGCATCTTGAGCGATGTATCGCTGCGTGCCTCCCCATCGCTGCCCGTCCTCTCCCGCACCTCCGTTGAATCCCGCTCCGAAGCCGTCCGCTCCCGCATCCGCAAACGCGCCGTAGTCGGAACGCGCAGTGACGCGCCAGGACGGACACGCCCACTGCACTACCGGCGCCGGACATGTACGAAGCACGCTCGTGCAGAGCGAGAAGCACGGCAGCATCTCGCTGTAGTTGTCCGCCTCCAGTTGTGGAGCTCGGGAAGTCGAGGCGTTGCGTGTACGGACGTAGGGCAGTAGATCGGAGTTGACGTCCACCGGCGTGCCGCTTTCCGCGAGGCGCTCGGGTGCGACTGCATAGCTGTTGCTCATGGAAATCCCATCGACACATCGAGGCATTGTGACGGCGCAGAGCCAATCGCGATAGGCCTCTTCGCAGTCGGTACACGTGTGGATGCTCGAATACGGCCCAAAGTACGGATCGCCGCAGGCGAACGTCGAGAGCGTGGCGCTGAAGTTGGCCGCGTTGGTGCTGATGATGGGCTCGAGACGCGAGAGAGCGTCCGAGGTGGAGAGAGAGGGAGAGATGGGAAGGGCATAGCCCACGGAGGGACAGAAGGGCACGTCGCTGACCAGTCGGCACGTCGCGTCTGCAGGCAGGTATCAGCTCCTGCAACGGATCACGCGCCCTCGAAACGACTCACCGCTCTTGGTGCGCAGCTTGATCGCAGGCCACAACACCTTTGGCGCCGCAGCATCCGCAGAGTCTGCCGTGCTGAGCCATGCCGTGTAGTTGCTCGCGGCAGCAAGGCCGTCGATGCGCCACTGTCGACGCGTCTGCTCATGCTGGTTCTGCCAGGCCGTGTTGCCTCGTCTCGTCTCGGTCGCGTTGATGCGTAGCTGCGAGTTGGCAGGCAAAGACGCGGAGTAGAGCGAAGAGAGACGGGTGAGGTAGCACGAGGAGGAGTTGAAGTAGGCCGGTAGGGCAAAGGGCCCGTCGCTCGGCAGCAGGGTCAAGTTGGACACGGCGGGAAGCGAAGAGAAGTTGGTGGAGAGAAACAAGGCGGCGGCTGTGTCGGTGTCGGAGAGGAAGAGGCCGGGTTGAGGCGCGATGGAGGTTGGCGCAGCTAGGAGGGGCAGTAAGCGTGAGTCGAGGCTGCCTCGCTGGCGTGAAGCAACGCCGGAGCCGAGCTTCGTTGCTTCCGCTGCGAGCAACCGTGCGCAGTCCCCGTCTGATGTCCTTGCGAGGGACTCTCCATGTCGTTCCCCTCTCCTCCGCCTGCGGGCCTCGATTGCTCCCAGTGCAACTCACCTTCTCCCACTGCACCCATCTGCGCCTCCACTTCCCAAGTCCCCTGACCCGCTTCCGGCGGGTAGACTGCAATCCAGCTGCCTTCATTCTGTACCTCCACCACCGCCGCGCCTCCACTCATCCACGTCCTCCCCGGTTCACTCTCATCTCTCGCGCCAGCTTCATCATCCGCCAGCACCAGTCTTGGCAGCAGCTGCCTCGCTTGTGTAAGCGCAGAGTCGGACGGGTCGACTTCGGAGAGACGCTGGGGAGTCGGGCCGGAACAGAGGGATAGAGAGAGATTGCCAGTGTTGGCGAGTGAGAGGAAGAGGGGAGAAGAGAGATTGTAGCGCCGAGGCTGTGTCGTGATCTGCGCGCGGCAGAGGGCGAGCAGCAGGACGTGGAGAGAGGCGAGAGAAAGCATTCGCCGACGACCGCGCGCGAACATCGTGGGCGAGCACGCCAGCTCCTGCTGCGATGACAGTGGCGTATCTGCTGCCGTGAGGACGTGCGAGGGGAGCGCGAGGGCGGAGGATGGAGGCGCGAGAAAGCGAAGCGCGCGCCAAGTGGAGCAAGGGGCCGCCGCGCGAGATGCGCACTACAATCTCGCGCCCGGCTGAATACAAGAAGCCGATCGGGGGCTTCACTCGGCACAAGCCCCAGTCATGCACAAAATGAAGACCCAGACCGCGCCGCTGTATTGGCCAAACTGTATTCGCCTCCTGCGCGCGAGACCAACAGACGCCGCGCGGCACGTGTTCGCCCGTGTTGGCGCAGCTGCCAGCGGCCCAGCTCGCAGCGAGGAGGCGGCGCCGCTGCCGGGGTCGGCCTCCGGCGCTGAGAGGGGGGCTTCTAGCGCCGGTCTAAGCGCTGCGCTTCGAAAGGACGAGAGAGGAGCTGCGAGAGAGCACAGGAGGTGCTGCGGCGTGCCCTCTCATCACGCACGGCAGCGGGTCTGCGCGCTGTGAGCGGTACGAGAGGGGCACGGCGGGCGGCGTCTCTCCCCTGGGGACGAGCTCCTAGATAGGGCAGCAGCACCAGGGGATGTCCGCTGCGAGCGCCGAGCACACGACCTTCCAGCTGGCGGTGTAGAAGCTGGCTGTGGCTGAGCAGCACATGCGCCCGTCAGCGCGGCAGGCGCCCAGACGCCGCCGGCGGCATGGCGGCGCGGGCGGGATGTGCGGCTTGCTCGCGGCTGCCCGACGATGCATCTCGCTCGGCGGGCGCGGCTGCTGCTGCGCCAGCGCTGGAGCCGCACCGCGTTGAGGGAGGCGGCGGCGCGCCCAACGAGCACCGAGGCGAAGGCGACGGCGGGCGCTGCGGGCGGCCGGCCAGCAGCGCAGCAGCAGCGCCCGCAGCGCCAGCAGCAGCTCAGAGGCGCAGCGCGGCGGCGGCAGCAGAGCAGCATACACGCCTCACGCCTCACGCCTCACCCGCGCCCGTCTCCGCCTCGTCGCCTTCCAACCTCTCTCTCGACTCTTCCTCTCCCTGCTCCACTCGCCTTCGCGCTCTTGCTCTACCTCTGCCACGCTTGACAGCCGCGCAGCCGAAGCCGCCGCAGCAGACGCGAGGCGTTGCTCGCCCATCTCCCACGTCCACGCCGGCAGCAGCAGCAGCAGAGCAGCGCAGCTTGTCTCTCGCCCACCCGCCTCGCCCGCAGCTCGCAGCTCGCACCTCGCCCCTCTACGCCGTCTCCTCGTCGCTCTGCTGCGTCTCGTCCATCTGCTGCCTACGCGCCTCGGTGCTGCTGCCAGTCCAGCTCCGCCTCTCTCGCCCTCCGCCCTCCCTCGCCCTCTCCGCCCCCTTCCTTAGCCCGCCATGTCCGCGGCGCACGGCACCTCGTCGCACAGCTCCGGCTCAAACGTCGTCGGCGTGCACTACCGCGTCGGCAAGAAGATTGTGCGTTGGCCGCGTCCGCCGTGTGCTGCTCTCGATCGGAGAGCCTCTGCTGCGCTGGCGCCTTAGCCGTGCTCGCGGGCTGCGGCTGCGATGCCAGCGATCGGCGGAAAGGCAGCTGGCGCACCGCTGCGCTCTTGCGATGCTGGACAGCGCAGTGCTGCATCAAGCCGGCGCTGCAGCTTCACTCAAGGTCGCCCCAGCCTGTGCGGCGGGACGCCCACGCCCTGTGGGCCGTGTCAAATCCTGACCGAGCGGCCCCTGGGCGAGGCAGGCTTGCCTGGCGCCTGCTTGTTTGCTGCCGAGCACAGCAGAGCTGCGCACATGGCTCTGCAGCTCGTGTGCTACTCGCTCTCGGCGCAGAGCGAGCTCGAGGCTAGGTTCGAGTCGGCTGCCCGCCTGTGCATGCTGTGCCTCTCCGCAGCAAAGCAGCTGCTTCGTGCTGCCCCTTCTCCTGCTGCGAACCTCCTCCCGCCGACGCTTCGTTTTCACTGACACTGCACCTCCGTGCCGCAGGGCGAGGGCTCATTTGGCGTCATCTTTGAGGGTGAGTCGGAGATTGCGCGCGGCAGGTCGTGGTGCGGCGTGGACGGGGTGGGCGTGCAGCTGCGCTACGTGGATATGCGCTGCTCACGGCGCAGCACGCATTGAAGTGGCGCACCTCGTCGAGGTTGGCGCTACTGCACCTGAGCATCACCTGCCGACGGCGCATGGGCTCTCATCGCTTGGTTGCTCACGCTTGCCTCGGCGCACTAGGCACGAACCTGCTCAACTCGCAGACGGTGGCCATCAAGTTTGAGCCGCGCAAGTCGGATGCGCCGCAGCTGCGCGATGAGTACCGCACGTACAAGATCCTCAACGGCAGCCGTGAGTGCTCTCGCTCTATGCGCGGGCTGGAGTGCGTCGCTGACGGCGTGGGTGTGCAGCGGGTGTGCCGCAGGTGTACTACTTTGGCCAGGAGGGCCTGCACAACATTCTCGTCATCGACCTCCTCGGCCCCAGCCTGGAGGACCTGTTCGACATGTGTGGGCGCAAGTTCAGCATCAAGACGGTCGTCATGACGGCCAAGCAGATGGTGCGTCTGCTCCGTGCTCGCCGCAGTTCGCCGTGCTGACCCTTTGCCGCCTCGCAGATCACGCGTGTGCAGGCGATCCACGAGAAGAACCTCATCTACCGCGACATCAAGCCCGACAACTTCCTCATCGGCCGGCCGATGACAAAGACGGCCAACATGGTCTGGGTCGTCGACTTTGGCATGGCCAAGCAGTACCGCGACCCCAAGACGAAGCAGCACATTGCCTATCGCGAGCGCAAGTCGCTCAGCGGCACGGCGCGCTACATGAGCATCAACACGCATCTCGGCCGCGGTGCGTCGAGTTGTGTGTCGTCAGACGTTGTGGCGCTCAGACTGACATCTTGACGTTGCGACGCGGACAGAGCAATCGCGCAGAGACGACCTCGAGGCTCTCGGTCACGTCTTCATGTACTTCCTGCGCGGCGGCCTCCCGTGGCAGGGCCTCAAGGCTGCCACGAACAAGCAGAAGTACGAGAAGATTGGCGAGAAGAAGCAGAGCACGCCGATCAAGGAGCTGTGCGAGGGCTTCCCTGGTGCGTGATGCGTGCTCGTCCTCGCGCTCGCCGGCCCGCTGACGTCGCCGCGATGCTCTCGGCAGAGGAGTTTGGCATCTACCTCAACTACGTGCGCAAGCTCGGCTTTGAGGAGACGCCCGACTATGACTTCCTGCGCGAGCTGCTCGGCAAGGCGCTGCACGGCGAGGTCGACGACGGCGTGTATGACTGGATGATGCTGAATGGCGGCAAGGGATGGGAGGCCGGCACGGTGAGTCTGCGGCGAGGGCATGCAAGCGAGGGAAGGCGCGCGTGTGTGCGGGTGAAGACCGACGGCCGTCAGAGCGCTGGCTGCAACGCAGACACATGGCTGACCGCATCTCTCTCGCTGCAGAGCCGCGAGCGTCGGGACGAGCGGGAGCGCTACCGCGACCCACGGGCATCGCACGCCGCGCCGGCACGCGACGCCTCGGGAGCGGCGCTTGCGGCGCCGGGCGCTGGCGTGCAGCGCAGCGGCTCGAAGCAGGGCCGCAAGTCTGGCGTGCCTGCCGGTCTGCAAGCTGCCGATGGCGGACGCACTGCAGCTCTGCGTCAGGGCGGCGCAAACGCCGACTACGCCAGCGGCGGCGGCGCTGGCTCCGGGTACGGCGGCAACGTGGCTGCTGCGAGCAACGTGGCAGTTCACGGCGCCGCCATCGCACCGGGACAAGATGGCACGCACTCACCGAACGGCGCGCACACGCCACGAGGCGACAGCCACCACAACACGCTGCCGACGCAGAGCAACATGCACATGCACAACGGCGCGGGCGCAGGCAACGAGACGCGCATCAGCGGAGCGGGCAATCAGCAGCGCGAGTCGCGTGGCCTGGCGCACGAGAACGGAGCGGCTGGCGGCACACACCCCGCTGAGCGCCAAAGCTTTGGCACCAAGCTCGTCAACTTCTTGACGTGCCGCTGCGGCTGATCGCGCCCACGTACCCACTCTCTCCTCGCACCTCATCATCATCATCTCCCCGGAAGCGCTCATCGACGAGGAGCGCACACACACCCATCGCCACACAAGAACTGCCTAGACGAGGCTGCAAGGAGCTATCGCGCGGGAGCTGGCGTTCTTCTTCTCTTTGCCTTATTCCTACGCTCCGTCCCATCTCTGCCTCTTCGCCGGATCGAGTCATCGACGCACGTCGATCTCTCCTCTGGCGCAGCACGCCGTCGAAGAGGAGAAGGCGGAATGAGCGCCCCAAGACGCGCCTCTCGCCAGTCCCTCACGATTCGCAGCCCGCCCTCTCCCACTCGCCAACCTCTCCCCCCCCCCCCCCGCATTCTCAGTCCCACGTTTCCCGGCATACCAAATCGGTCGCAGAGCGGCTCCATCTTCTCTTGCTTCCCTCTTCTCTTTCGATCCGCTCCTCCGTCCCCCTCCTCTCGCCTTCCCACCCGGCATCGCCGTAGCACACGTTCATTTCTTACTCCCCCTCTCCCGGCTCCGGAGCGCAAAGCATTGCGTCTTCTCAGTCAGTGGCGCATCGTTCGCTCGACATCACCAACCCCACCCCCCTCTCCTCGTCCTCAGCCTCGTCGGTCCTCACACACACCTCCGCGCGCAATCCGCTAGTGCTCTTCCGGCTGACTGCGTGATCCGCTCCCGCCGTGCTGCAAGCTCGATGAAAGGGGCTTGCTCATTGTCGCCGCGTCCTGCTGAGCGCGCCGGACTGAAGCGACATGGTCTGGCACGGGACGGGAAGGGATGAGGTTGGTGGTGTGCGCATTATCATCCCCGCTGGGGGGATGTGCTGACAACGCTTGTAATGCGCTGTTACATGTGTGTGGTGTGTGGTGGCGGGGGGCAGAGGCAAAGGAGCGTGTGAAGTGAGATTGGGGGTGGAGTGAAGCAGCGTGCGACGTGCGCGGACGGCGAGCTGAGGCAGGGAGGGTTAGGGTATGTTGCGAGCAGCGGCGGCGCACACTCACCGCGGGGCGCGACGGCCAGGGGCGATCGACGGCAGCGGCAGGGCGGTGCGTGGCAGTGGACAGAGCGTAGGTGCCAGCGGCTGGGCGCGGGAGAGAGGAGAAGGGGGCCGGGGGCAGGCGTCAGTCAAGTGCAGCGCATGCGCAGTCGCGGCCGTGCTCACAACAGGCGCCACCCGAGCAGCGACGACGACGGCGGCGACGACGGCGGCGACGACGGCCTCCAGGCGCTGGAGCGAGGAGGCTGAGGTGCAGGCGTCAGTTCAGCGCAGCTCGGGCGGGCGCTGTGTTGCCTCTGCTCACCCCGCACGACACAGCCGAGGCGGAGCGCCGCAGGGGAGCGGGAGAGGGTGGTGGCGGGAGGCAGGGAGCAGCGCCGGGGGCGCAGCCTTTATACGGTGCGCAGCAGGCTGCGACGGCAGGGCGGCGAGCAGCTGCTCCCACGGCCATCAGCGCGCCCGCAGCGCGTGTGCGCCTTCGCACTTCCTCGTACGGCCGTCAATCAAGCAAATTGAGGGCTGATTGCGCCCAAACAGCACGCTCCTGCGCTCTGCCTGCTTGGCTCACGCACACCACATCCTTTGCCTGGCCGCTGTGCCTGCGTGCCCTCTGCTCTGCTCGCCGCCGCACCACGCTGCAGCCATTCTGCCGCCGGGCGCCTGTCACAGCCACCGCTCCTCTGCGCCTCCGCGGCCACTGTGCTCTCGGCGTCATCCTCCGCCCGCCCGCCCGTACAGTGCCGCGCATCGCATCGCCGCTGCTGCCCAGCTCCAGCCTCGTCTGCACAGGCCCGCACCAGCGCCGTGACTTGGCCCGCACAGTGCTGCAGCTCAACCTGCACTGCAGCGGCGGCGAGCAGTGCCCCAGCGCACCACGGCGCCGCACATCGGCGCCGCACATCGGCGAGCAGTACCGCAGCGCACCGCAGCGCCGCACATCGGCAAGCAGCACCGCAGCGCACCGCAGCGCCGCACATCGGCTGTCGCAGTACCGCAGCGCACCGCAGCGCCGCACATCGGCGAGCAGCACCGCAGCGCACCGCAGCGCCGCACATCGGCTGTCGCAGTACCGCAGCGCACCGCAGCGCCGCACATCGGCGAGCAGCACCGCAGCGCACCGCAGCGCCGCACATCGGCTGTCGCAGTACCGCAGCGCACCGCAGCGCCGCACATCGGCGCCGCACATCGGCGAGCAGTACCGCAGCGCCGCACATCGGCGAGCAGCGCCGCTCGTCAACTGCACCAAGCAGCTCCACAGCGGCGCACATCGGCTGTCCCAAGCAGCATCGCCGCTGGCCAGCGGCATCATGGGCTTCGGTAGCAGTGCATGGAAATGGGCGCTGTCTCTTCCTGGTGCTGGTGAGCGTGCTGTGCCGATGCCGCCGGCGATTGACGTGGTGGTTGTCGACATGGGCATGGTGATGGTGCAGGCAACCATCCGGGCCGTGCACGTCCTCTGTTGCGACTGGGCGGGCACCGCTGCGCAGCTAGCGGCGGGAGTCCCGCTGGTTGAGCTCGCACGGCAAGCCGGCGTGCAACATGCGGTCCAGCAGCAGCTTGCGGGACTGCTGCAGCCCGGTGCTGCCGCTCCGCCCGCGCCCGGTGCAGCTCCTCCGCCCGCAGCCGGTGCTGCTCTGCAGCCCGCGGCCGGTGCGCCCCAAGCCATTCTTGTCTTTGACGGCGTGCGACCAGCGGCAAAGGCAAAGCGTGCTGGACGTCACGAACCTGCGGCAGCCGAAATGCTGCAGGAGCTTGCACGCTGGGAGGGCCTGCCGGAAGCCGACGGCTGGCTGCCGGAGCGCTGGCTCAGCCTGACAGCTGCCGAGCGTGACGCACACGCCAACGCCGGCGGTACAAAACGCAGGCTCACCACAGAGCAGCGCCGCCTCTTCCTGCGCAAGCACGTCCAGAAGCTCGCCGTCTCGGTCCTCGCGCCTCTCCTCGTGCGCGATCTTACTCTCATCCCGGCCGCCAACAAGGTGCTGCAGCAGCGCGGCGCCACTCTTGAGCAGCTGGGCGAGCAGCTGAGCACTGCCCTTGCTGCTCGCTCAGGTGTGCTCGCTGTCGCTGCCGCCATGGAAGCCGACTCGTGTGTGTCAGTGGTGGCCATGCTGCTGCGGCGCCACAGCAACGTCACGGTGGCAGTGCTCTCCGGCGACAGCGATCATCTGGCGCTAGGCGACCCGGCGCTGGCAAACGACATCGTCATGCGTCGCAGCCAAGCACCCGAGGCTGCCGCTGCAGCCGAACCGCTCTTTGATGTCGTGCGCAAGACACAGCTCTGCGCAGCTCTCGGCAACATGTCGTTCTCTGGCCTTGTCGTGCTGTCGCTGTGAGTCGGTGGCCTCTGCCTTTGGCAGCGCAAAAAGCTGACCTGTTGCGCCAGATGCTGGGGCACAGACGACACAGCGGGTGGCCTGAAGAACGTCGGCGCAGTCCGTGCTGAGGGCCTCGTGCACGCAGCAGAGGCACAGCTGGCCGATGCCGACGCCGATGCAGCGGCACCAAGCAGTGCTCTACCATCTGGCCTTCATGGCAGCTTCCGCGCCATCCTCGACCACGTGCTCGACAAGAGTCCGACGCCTGCACCAGCCGATCTCGGCCCAGCCGCACAGTGGCGCCTTGATGGCGTGCAGCCCGAGGAGAACCATGCAGCGGCGCCGGTGGTGGGCCTGGCAGAGGGCCGCCTGCTGCCAGCGCCTGTCAACCTCGGCGTCAACATTGACGCACCATGGGCCTCACACAGCGCGCAGATGGCATCACGCGCAGCAAGCGCCATCAGCAGCAAGCGCGCTGCCGTCGGCAACACGGCGGCTTTCCAGCCCGAGCTCTTCTTTGCGCGCATCACCGTCCTGCGCCCAACTGCCAGCCTCGAGCGCAGCCGGCAGCACAGCGTCGCACGCTTCTCCAAGCCGATCCTGCTGCCTGCGCTGCCAATGGTGCAGGAGGGCCCGCAGCAAGGACAGGGCATGGGCAAGGCGCCCAAGCCCGTCTTCCCGCTGCCGCAGGGCGGCCGCACAGGCAAGCAGGCCAAGGGCAGCGCGGCCAAGCAGGCTAAGAGCAAGGCCAGCAGCTCGCTGCCGCGCGCCGACAACACAAGCAGCTCACGCAAGCGTGCTGCCGCCGACACGGTGCGCCTCGACAAGGGCAAGCGCTCGAGGTTCTCGGCATCTACGTCCGGCACGTCGGCCAGAAGCGACAGGCAGCAGCAGCAGACAGCCATCAGAGCGGAGACACGGCAGTTCCAGCTCTCAACGCTGACTGCACGCCTCTCGAGTCCGCACGGCTTTCTTCATCGAGATTTTGCTGTGACGCATGGCGCTGCCATCAAGGCATCTGCGCAGCTGCACTGTGCAACCATGTCGTTCATCGCCATCGAGGCCTGCACTCTACTGCAGAAGACTGCAGCCGCGCGCGGTGCTCTCCTCGAGATCATGCGCCCAGACAGCAAGAGAGACGGCGGCACCTTTGACATTGCTGTGGCGCACGCCCTCGAAGCGCTTCAACCGCCCGTCGCAGCCCGGGCGCGGCGTGGTGGCCGCAAGAGCGCTGCAGAGATGTTTGGTGCCGCCCACCTCGCCGGCCTCGTGGGCTTTCCCCGCTCCATGCTGCTTGCGGAAGAAAAGGACGGTCTCACGCAGTACATTACGTCACGATGGCGTGCCATGCTCAAGACGACGGCGCAGCTGCGCATCAGGCAGGCAGCAGCGGCTGGCCTTCCACGAGCAATGCCGCTGCTGGACGCAGAGCTGAGTAAAGCTCCACAAGGCTCGCAACAACTCCTCGCGCGTCTTGTCACCTTTGGAGGCATCAATCCTGCTGCCGAGCGTGCCATTGCAGCTCACCTTGCCGCGCTCGAAGGCGGCGAGGCTGCAGAGTCTGCCGGCAGCGAGGCCAGCACCGTCGACCTTGCCCTCAAGGATGTCAACGTCCGGCGTGCCGATAGCATCGTCAAGGCCCTCACCGGCATGCTCAGCAACGGCGGCAACGCGCTCTCTCCGGGGCTGACGGCCGAAGTTGCTGCATTTGCAGCTGCAGCGAGCGCACTCTCGCGCCAGCTGGAGCCCGACAACAACGGCCGCACGCCTGCCAGCTTCTTTGGCCTTGGCGCCTCCGACGAGGACATCTTTGGTCTGCACGAGCGCCTGCACTTGCTGCTGCCCAAGCCGTACAAGCTTGTGCCGCTCGTCAAGCATTATTCTGCAATGGCAGGGCCGGAACATCACGCTCTGCTGCGGAATGCGCTGCGCACAGCAGAGAGGGCCGCTGCTCTCAAGCTGCATCTCGAGTCGTCAGACGGCCCTGCTGACCTCGCCAAGCGCGTCTTTGGCTCAGCTTTGGCCTGGCTTGACAGCGAGTCTGCACACGAGGCGTTTGCTGCGCTCTCAAGCTACATGGCCCTCTCCCAGGGCGGGCAGCCGTGGGACAAGATCCTCGGGCCTTGCTGGAGAAGACGCACGCAGCGACTTCCTCTGGCTGTGCGCTTTGATGGCGCCGGCAGAGTTGATGTTGCCTTTGCGAAGCTCGGCGTGCTTGCTGGCCGGCCTGCACCACCGACGCCTGGCTCAGCGCCCGCAGCAGCCTTGTCTGTGGCCGGCTACCTCAAGACGCACGCACCAGCCATCTGGCAAAAGGTCAACGACATCCACAGCGCAGCCTCTCTCGAGCGTCTGCACCATGTGTCCATGCGGCATGCGCTGCCTCGCAAGGCCGATGCTGGCGTCTACGTACCCTTCGCCGCCCTGCCCGAGATTCCCGAGGCCACGTGGGCAAGTGCCGCCGATGCGTCTCTCATCCGCAACAGCAATGTGCAGCCTGAGAGCAGCGTCCAGCTTTCACTCAACAGCGACGTGCAGCTTGTTGGCATTGACCCTGGCATCTGGAATGCCGTGGCCGCAACATCCGAGGTGCGCGTCGACATCAACCCACACGCCAGCAGCTCGCGCTACCCGCTCCTCACCGGTGGATCCGGCTCGTTGCACACGCTGCGACAGAACCTTGTCATCAAGCAAGGCACTCTGCGCCGCGCTACCCGCCGAGGTACCGCACGCCTGGCTAGTCTCCAGCAGGCCGAAGCGGCGCCAGGCCATCACTCCCGTCTCCTGCGGAGCGAGGAGGAAGCAGAGATCCGGCTGCACACGTTCTTCGATCAGCGGCGCACCGTCGATAGAGCGGCAGCATCGCTGCTCCAGCTGCACGGCCGCGCAGAGCAGACCGTGCTCATCATCGGGGCGGGTCTAGCTGCACAAGGAGGGCAGCGCAAGCGCCGCCACAACACAGCTCGCACGTCAAAGGCATACGTCGAGGTTCTGCGGCGTGCAGCAAGGAACCCCGGCGTGCACGCACGCTCGTTCAACGAGTATCTCTCAAGCCAACTCAACTCGGTCCTGCCGGCTACTGCCAGCACTGCCCGCCGCGATGCTCACGGCCATGCCCTCCGCCCCATGGCGCAGCACGCGCAGCGCGCGGGCAAGGAGATTGGCCGCCTCAAGGTTGCCGCCGGCGGTGGCTTGCTCCCCGATGCCTTGGTTCACGGGGACTGCAGTTCGGCGCTCATCATGCTCCAGGCGTATGAGCACCTGCTGCGGTTCGGCACGCACCCGCATCTCCCTCCTTCTGAGACACCCGAGACGAGCACCGCATGAGCGCTTCAGCCCCCATCCTCTTCTCCCTCTTCCTCCCGAGACACCCGCAGCGACAAGCACCGCGCAAGCACTTACAGCGCTTTGGCAACCATCCCCATCTCACCCCCCCCCCTTCCTTCTTCTGAGACACCAGCGTCGAGCAAGCACCGTTGAGCAAGCACCGCGTGAGCACACTGATGGTCAGGCAAAGCGGCATTGCGCAGATGGGGCGGGGCCGCACGGCGGCCAGCAGCCGGCGCGGGAAGATGTGGAGCGGAAAGCGGGGTGGTGGTGCGCAGTAGCGAGAGTCGCTGCTGCTGCTGGCAGAAATGGAATTGATTGTGCGGCACGCGCGCGCGCGCGCGGCCCGGCGACGGCGCGGCGAGGCGCCGAGAGGCTTCGTCTTGGCTGCCACCACCACGCTGACGCGCACCCCTCCTGCACCCCCACCCCTCGTCCAATCATGGAGGCCACACTCTCTGCGCTCAAGGTGACGGAGCTCAAGGCGCTGCTGCAGCAGGCGCGCGCCTTCGTAGAGAGGTACAGCGGGCGGCGCACGAATGAAGGGAGAAGAGAGCGAGGAAGATGCGGGAACGAAGAGGCGGAAGGGAGAGGAGGGCAGAGGGATGCAGAGAGGCGCTCAGAGGCCGCGCTGAGCAGCAGCCAGCTTCCACGCCGGCTCGCCCTTTCTGCGCTTGAGGCCGAGGCCATTCCAGCTCTCGCGAATCGTGAGGAAGAAGCAAGTGACGCAGACGATGTCCTTGAGCTCCTCGCGCGTCAGGCCTGCGCCGTCGGCGCCGAGCGCAGAGGCCGAGAGGTCGGGCAGCGGGAAGGGAATCGCCAGCTGGCCGACGAGCTTCGGGTGATGAGGCGCCGGAGCGAGCGAGGCGATTGGGATGCGTGTCTCGGGCCCAAGCACCAGGTGGCAGGTCCAGGGCGTCTCGGAGTCTTCAGGGTCGGAGCCTTCGCCGTCGGAGCCGACATCGTCATCAGCCACGGAGCTGGCCGCATCGTCCAGCGCGCTGCTGTCGACCGAGCGGCGCGGCGAGCGATCGTGCACCGAGCCCGGCCGAGAGCCGGCGTTGCTGCCAGGCGGCTTGAGCGTGTTCCCGTTGCCGTTGCCTGCCGCAGCAGCTGCCAAGCGCTCGCCGAAGTTGGGCGCAATGCCGATACGCGGACTCGTGCCGCTGCCCACGGCGCTGTTCATGTCGAAGCTGCCGCGTCTGGCCGTGACGACACGAGGTCCTGCGGCTGCGGCGCCGTTGGGCCCCGCCGTGCTCTCCGTCGCGGCGCGCGCCGGATGAGCGCTGACCTTGCTGGCGCGCCTCGAGCCCGGAGCCGCTGCGCTGGATCGTCTGCGAGCTGCGGCGCTCGAGGCAGCAGTGGCGCTCTTGTCCTTCGTCCACTCGAAGCGGATCGTGATCTCCGACGGCGGTGGGTGACGCACACTGGCGATGCCGGCGCGGTTAAGCACGTTGAAGCGCCGCCAGACGTTGGCCAGCACTGCGTTCTGTCCGTCTGCGCCCAGCGCTGCATCGGTAGGAGGCTCGCCATCGCTGCGACGCGTCAGCTTGCGGATGACCCAGAAGTAGCCTTCCGTGTGACGCAGGCCATCGGGCGTCAGACCGCCGCCGGGAACGAGTTGCGGCACGTCGGAGCCGGCGTTGGTGCTGGTGACCGACTCTGCAGCCGAGGGACGACTGGCACTGTCCATCGAAGCGCGCTTGAGCGACGGCGAGCTGACGATGCTGCTAGCTGCGCCTCCCAGACGTCCGAAGGCGCCCGACATCGAGCTTTGCCCTGTGTGTGCGCCGAAGGAACTGCGTGTCGCGCTGGCGCTGAGGGGACGACCGCCTTGAAGACTGAGCCGCTTGAACTTGCTCATCAGCTTGCCGCCCAGTCCGCCGTCGGTGCGCGCCTCGGGCGTCATGGCTTCGAAGCTAGTCGGCGGCTCGCCGCTCGGGATCGAAGGAGCGACGCCAACGTCGGAGCCGGCACCGATCGGCGGCGGCGATACGTCGCTGCCAATGACGCTACCTGCGGCGCGCGTAGAGGGCACGCCAGTGCTGGGCGTCAGAACGGCGCCGGCCAGAGAAGCGACGTCGTTGACACCGCGTCGCAGTTCGTGCGGCTCGAGAATGCCGAAGCCGTCAATCTCCACTCCCTTGCGCGAGAACTTGGCCACTTTCTGATCGGTGCCCGCGTCCGTGACGACGGTGGGCAAGATGGTGTGGAAGGAGAGGTTGTAGAGTGGCGTGACGCGGCGAGCGTTGCTACCGCTGACTGAAGAGACTCCGCCGGACGAGGCCTCGGAACGCTGAGAGCGAGAAGAGATGATTGAGGCGCTGCGAGTGACGGCGCCGCCGCCTACGGCTGCGCTCGAGCCGACGGAAGAGGTGCTGCCAGCCGTGCTGAGGCCGGACTCGTCGCGTGACATCTCGCCCGACACGCGGGATGCTCCACTGCCGCCGGCTGCCGACGGCGTCACGAGCTGAATCTGCAAGTTGAGCGGGTTCGACTGCTTGCTCGGCGGCGGTCGGACCTGGCAGGGACAACGGATCAGCATCTGCCGACAAAAGGCAGCCCGCGTCCAACTCACGATGACGAGGATCTCGGGCGGCGCATGCTTGCGCCTCTTGCGTTCTGCACGTCGCGCCTCGCGCTCCTCGGTCGTGCCTCCCACAGGCAGGCCAAACTCGGCGGCGCTCATGCCACTCGCCACGCTGTTCCTGCCAAGGCTATCCGCCGTATAGCCCGAGGCCAGGCTCACATCTCCCACACTCTGGCGCGTCGCAGTCGAGCCTACAGGCGACTGAGGCTCGACTTCTCGAGGCGCAGTCTCATCTGAGAGCGCAGCGAGGCCACGAGGATCAATGGCGATGCCAGACGCCTCTGATGCGGTTGCCCGGTTCGTACGGCGGATCCAAGCGGCCCAGCTGCCGTCGCGCGCCGTGTCTTGCGATGCTGCCTCATTTGCAGCTGCCGCGGCTTGTGCGGCGCCAGGACGAGGCGTGGCGCTAGCGTCCGGCGGACGAGGCGTGACCATGCTGCTCTCGCGCTCGCCGGCCATGAGGGCGCCGAAGGCCGAGTGCGCCGAGTTGGAGCTGCGCGAGCTGGAGCTGCGCAGTGCCTGAGCTCCGCCCTCCATGCCTGGCCGTGCGTTGTAGCCCGAAGGCAGATCGCGTGAAGATGAGGTGGACGAGGAGCTGCCCTCACGTCGATCGCCTCCGCCGAGGCCGAAGCCGAGAGAAGAGAGCATGCGACGTGCTGGTGAGGGAGAGCGAGAAGGTGCTGGTGAAGGAGGAGATGCTCCCCGAGTCCGCGGCGGAGTGGCAGGCACTGGCGACCACGAGACGCGCGAGGGCGACGACGACTCGCGCGAGTTGTTCAGAGAGCGGCGCTGCGGCGAAGGACTGGTGTCACGGCGACCAGGTTCGAGTGACTTGGTGCGCCAGACAGAAGCGCCCGTCGATGAGCCAGCGCGCGATTCGTGAAGCGTAGGGAGAGGCGCGTTGCTGCTGGAAGGCGAGCGAGGCGGCGAAGTCTGCTGTCGAGCCGGACGCTGTGGCGGATGGGGGCGCGGCGAGACGTGTGCGTAGGCGCAGTTGAGACGGAACGCTTGCTGTGCGAAGAGCACGTCGGCGTCGTCAAAGTAGGCAGGTGGTGCTTCGGGCGTGCCGAGTGGTCGCGGAACGTCAAAGTGCGCCTTGCGGGGGAGAGAGGTGAGTCCTTGAGAAGTACTGGGACGACGCGAAGAGGCACGGAGCTGAGACTTGGGCGGCAGTGGCGGGAGGATGCGCGAATCGTCCTCGCGAGAGCAACGTCGGGAGCGCAGCTGCGGCGTGGAGGGTGCGTCGAGGGAGAGGTCTGACGAGGCAGCGCGAGCATCAGTCTCTGCCAGCAGTCCCTCGAGCGACGAGTCAAAGGCGCCCGGCATCGACGGTCGCTTCTGTCCCGGCACGCCAGAGCAGCTCGCACTCTGCCGCTGCTGCCGCGGCGAGCCGGGCGGCGGCGGCGCAGCACGAGCAGAAGAGGCACAGCTGCCGCTGGCCGAGGCGTGCGCAGGCATGGGGAGGTCGGGGTGCGCGGCGACGAGCAGCATGGACGGGCGAGGAGGAAGGAACACGACGGGAAGCGCCGGGAGGGAGGGCGCAGTGGAGGTGAGAGGCGCAGCCGCGGCCAGCAACTGCGACCGCCGTCATGTACGACCTCGCCTGGCCATGATCGCTGCGCCGGCGGCCGAGCCAAGCATGGCCTGAGCGCAGCAGGCCGCCTGAGCCGGAGCATCGAGAGCGAGCAGGCGTGGAGCATGCTGCGGCCGCAACACAGCGTGCGCACTGCTCGCCAGCATCTCGGGCCCGCGGCAGACGGCCCAGCGGCTTCCACGCAGGACACGAGGCGCACTCCAGCCGATGCCGCATCGCAGCACCACTTCAGCTTACAACTCTCTCACTCACCGGACCAGACGAAGCGGGAATGCGCGGAGAGGAGACGGCGGCGGCGGCGCAGCGATGCTGCTGCGGCTGCTACTCGGAGGAGCCGAGCCGAGCCAGGCACGCAAGAGGCGAGAGCGAGGCGCGAAATGGAGCGGCGGCACGCAGGAGCGGGCCGGGGCAAGGAGTTAAGGCGGAGGCGCGAGCCGAAGAGCTCTGAGAGCAACGACGGCGAGGCTGGAGGAGGGTGCGTAGGAGGGAAGGCAAGATGCTGGTCTGGGCCTCTCTCACTCAGAGTGCGCTTGCTGTGTTCGGGCCGAGCGGCGGAGGAGCTTGATGAGTCTGGAGTGAAAGGGTGTCGAGCGGAGTTGCGGCAGAGGCAGGAGAGCTCCACCTTGTGACGCGCGGCGGGGTGCAGCGCAGCGCGCTGCTGAGCGCCGCCTTCGCTGGCGGCGTGCCTGCATCTGACGTCGGCTCCAGCCGCCGCGCCCGCACGCGCGGCCCGCGGGTGCGGGACGACGATCCCGGGCCGTCGCAGCCCAGCCGCTCACTCTCAGCGCGGCAGGTGCAGATGCAGCATGATGAGCGCAGTCGTGCAGCGGAGGTACTTCCGCTGCGCCCCTCTCGCGTGCCTTTGCCGCGGCCCGCGGCGCCGATGGCGGCGAGAGCCGCGGCATCGCACAGCAGCTCAGAGGTGCAGGCGTGGGGGCACCTCCTCTCCAGTCTCCGCCGTGCTCATCCGCGAGCGGCTCGCGCGCACGAGACAGCACAGCCGCCAGACATCGAGAAGCCTCCTCATCCGCGAGCGCATGCGTGCGCTCTGCTCTTGACTCGCGTACAAGCCCATGTGTGGGCTCGACTCTCGTGTCCACTCTCGTACGCAGCAGAAAGACGTCAGCTCCAGTTGAAGCCGCAGCGCCACCTCTCGGAGAGCTCGCGCTAAAGCACGAAGAGGCGCTGTCTCACGCTTCGGGAGCGCCATCCGGCCTTAAGCGCCACCTTACATTCCGCGCTGACGCCGTCGTCAGCAACTGTTGCATCCTGGCTGATGCCGGCGCTCGAACGCAACGTGACGAGATTTCGACTCTGCTGAGAATCGGAGAGCTGAGGGCCCTGAGAGCTGAGAGCTGAAGACGAGAGAGCCGGGATCGGCGGCAGCATGTCGACCTTTGACCTCTTCTCCGGGCCAAGCCGCTCCCGGGTCCGGGCGGAGATGAGACCGGCTTCATTTAGATGCCAGCGCACGGTTCCCTCGTCACAACATGCAGGGCACGACTGCCTCTCGCGTTCCTTTCCGTCGCTGAGGATCTCTCTCTCGTGCACTCATCTGCACAAGCCTTGAGAGAGTCAAGAGAGGTGCTCGTCGGCTCTCCTTCTCCCACTCACGCTCGTCACAGCTCACGCGTGCGCGATGCAAGCGAGGCAGTGCGGCCTCGGTCGCATTCGACGATAGCGAGGCCTCGTCGAAAGCGAGCGTGTCCGAGAAGGCACCACATGCCGCGAAAGAAGGCCAACGAGGACTGCTGGGCGCTTCGCAGCCGAGGAGGATTTAACAGACAGACGCCAGGCAGAAGCAGGAGCGATTCAATGTTTCGATTTCGCGCAGAGCGGAGCAAATGGGTGCCTGTCCCAGCGCGAGACCAGGACGGGCCATGGCAGATCAGACCGCCGAGCGTGCGACTCGTACGAGGGGGCCTCAGCTAGCCATTCGGTACGATCTCAGACGAAGCCCGCCGAGGGCGAGAGAAAAGAGAAGACGCCTAGTGGTGCGCCTCCTTCTCGACGTCCCGAGCCGCCTCCTCGAGGAACTGCTCGGCCGTCTGGCGGTTGCTGGCGTCGGGAGCGGCGCTCGAGCTGGACGCAGCCTTCTCGGCCGTGTCGGGCTCGCTCTTGGCGTACGCGTCCAGCTCGGAGGAGAGGTCGGAGGAGGAAGGCACGGCGGGAGCCTGCGGCGCCGAGGGCGCGCTGAAGTCGCGCACTTGGCCGACGTGCGCGTCGGCGGCCTGATGAAGGGGGGTGAGGCGTGTTAGAAGGGAAGTGGCACAAGAGCCAGGAGGGCAAGATGTGAAGGGGCTTGAGATGATGATGCGAGCTACGCGATGAGGTCTCGCACCCACATGGCCTCTCTTCGCCTTCACATGTGCCATCTCGAGGCGCCGTCACGTCCATGCACGCAACGCAGCTACGCCCGAAAAAGTCTCAGCATGCCTCTACCCACTCCCGTGGCCTGCCATACCCCGGCGAGCAGCTTCGGGCGTGCAAAAGTTCGATCATGGACCCCTGCCTCTGTGCAGAACGACGTGCGACGCGCCCCGCACCCCTCAGTGTGTCCCATCACGCCTTTGCCCTCCGTTCGCTTTGTTTGCGGCAGCCTTGAGTCCTGCCAGCTCTCCTGCTGTGGACGCGCTCTTTGTGTCCCTTGCTGCGCACGCCCGTTCCTGCTTCCCCCTCATCTCCCTCCCAGCCATGTGCTTCCATTCCCCATCCCCC